TTCTTCCTTAATTAAATAGTAAGTAGAACTAAAAAGCCTATAGGAAGTACTCTTTATAATTTATTTAGATTATTAAGCTTTCAAGTATTTTATAACTATAAAGAAGCTTTTAGTAAAATAAGTTTATTAGATAAAATTTTTTTTTTTATTATTATTTTAAGTTTATATATTAAATAAATAAGTTAAATAAATAAGCAAATATTCTAAATAGGAAATATAAGAATATAATTACCTAAAATAAAATAATAATAGCCTACTAGATTCAAATTCTCTTCTTATAATAAAAGATTAATAATAATATTATACGAGATCTCTAATTAGCTCTAATTAAGGCTTTAGTAAGCCCGGCTTAGAAAGAAACCTAATATAATAATCTCTAGCTTATAAATAAGCTATTAAGTAAAAACCGAGAATTACTAGAGCTAGAAAAGCTATAAAATAAGGCAAGAAATAAAAAAAAATATACTTAAATATTATAAGGCAGTTTTTTCTTATAATATAATAAATTATTTATATCTAATAATATAATAATACTCGAGATACTTTTATATATTACTTTTATTTAAAAAGTATATATATAGCTTCTAATAAAAATTTTCGGAAGAACTAAGCTTAAATAGCTTCTTTAGGCCCGCTACTATTAGCTAGACTAGAAAACAAATATTAATTAGTATAAAGATAACTATTATACTTATTAATAATTCTATATTTTTAGAAATAAAAAACCGGGTTTCTTATATCTATTACTAGTTTCTAACTACTTCTAATAATATATATTAGTAGATTTTAAGAAGTATCTAATAAATAGAAATAAATATAATATAGTAATAATCTTTATTAATTATTTAAGTAAATACTTTATTATAATTCCTATTTGAGATATAGTTATAGCTAAAGAAATAGTACTTCTTTTTCTTATTTATATAGTTTACTAAATTAGTATTCTAAAAACTCTAGTATCTAATTAAGAACTCTAGTTTATATTAGATTTCTAGAGCGAGTTCTATAAATATATTAGTATAAAGCTTAAATTATTAATTACTAACTATTTCTAAACTAATAGCTATATCCTTATATAAACTATTACTAGAATAATTAGAATAAATAAATAATAATAATTAATTATTAATAAATAGCTCTAATCTATAAGACTATAGGCCAGATTCTATTTCTTATAGAAAAGGGCTATAAATCGCGAATTTTATTTAACTAGAAAATTCAGATATAATTAGATATTCTAAAGAAAGAGCTAAATAAATAAGAAATAAAGGCTCTAATAATATAGCTTTATGAATTATAATAAAAGATATAAAAGAATATAATATAAATATAAGAATATTATACTATTTAAGCTAATAAGTATTACTAATTAGTAGACTTTAGAATAAGAAATAAGATATAAATTATTACTAAATACTAGAAGAATAATTATTCGAGCTATAAGCTAGTTTACTAAATAGAAGAACTATATGAAATTCTGAAATAAATAAAGTATTTTTTTAGGCTTAAGCTACTAGAATTAATAGAATATATCTGGTATTTTATATAGAGAAGCTATATAAAGATCTAGATAATTTCTTTTCTAGATAAATAAATCTAAAGCCTCTATTATTAGAACTATAGAACAGAGAAATAAAGTATAAAGTTTAGAAAATATTAGTAGTAAAACTACTTTATAGGAAGCTAAAATACCGGATCTAGTAAAAAAAATAAAATCTAGATTCGAAGTAATATTTTATATTCTTATTAAGTAATAGTACTCTGGCTTTTTAAAGCTTCTATAATAAGAATCCCGAATAGCTAGAATTGTATTAGAACCTTCTTTATTAGTTAGACTATACCAAAAAAATAGATTACCGGAACTATATAATATAAACAGAAATCCTTTAAAGTTATATATAAAAGGCCCTGACCTTTAATATATAACCTATAACTTGAGAATTTAATAGGAACTTTTAAAGCTTAGAGATAAGCTTACTTTAAAGAAAGAAGTAATATTATAATTATTATAATATATAATACTAGTAAGGGTTAAACCAGAACTAGTAAGATATCTGGTATCTATAATTACCTAATAATTATATATAACCCCGAGTTTAAGCTAATATATAGGTCTATATATAGCTTATAATTATTTAGATCCGAGGCTTTTTTAAAATTCTTTTCTTTTTTTAGCTTTAAATTATTAGAATAAAGATAGTTTAACTCTGCCTTTTAGGCCCTAGATCTTATATTTATAATAAGTTATATAGTAAAGGCTATAGCCTTTACTATATAACTTACGGAAATTATATAAAAATACTAGTTTTTCTATAGTTTTAGAGAATAATTTCTTTTAAGTATTTAATTAATTAAGCTTTTATATATTATATACTATTTATACTTTACTATTTATATTTTTAATTTATTATTTTACTATTAAGTTATATTTTATATTCTAATATACTTTATATAGGCTTTTATTTTATTATAGTTTCCTTTCTATAAAAGACTTTTTATTTAGGCTTAATTCGGACTTAATAAAAGAGAAGAAAAGAAAGCTATATAATAAAAGCTATTAATAGGAAATATTGAATTATTATCTAAAATCTTAATAGTAGTTTCTTTTATATTTTATAATATAGGAAAAGATATTATAAGATTAACTAAAGAAATACTATAATATTAAGGTCTTAAATTATATAAATTAAATAAATAAGGAACTTCTATATTATATTATTTATATTAGAACTAGCTAGATTTATTAAAAGTATTTCTATATATAAAATACCTTAAAAGAAAGCCAGAAATCTTTCTAGAAAGTATTTTAAAATAAATAAAAAAAGAAGATATAATTATAAATAAATTATATAATAAAAATAAAAATATAATAAAATTCTTAAATAAAGATTTACTTTTTCTTTTAGATTTTCTATTCTAATAAATTTCTTTTATTCGGCTATTTCTTATTCTATTCTTTCTTATCTAATTTATTTAAATTACTTTCTTTACTAATATTTATTTCTTTAATCTCTTTTTATTAGAATTATATAGTTTTTATAAACTTCTAGTTTTCTGAAATTAGTTATTTAAGGCAAGATTCGTTTTATTATATTTCCTTAATACTAATTTTAATTTTTAAAATAAGTTCTAGTTATAGGCTTGAGTTTCTACTAGTAATATAATATTATATAGTAAACTAAAGGCAGTAATATATTTTAATATAAAGTCTAGAATTATCTAATTTACTAGTTTCTTCTATAAGACTTAAAGAATTAATTTTAATATCTATAAACTCTAATTTATATTATATTAAAATATTATATAGAAAATATTTATTAATATTTATAGCTAATAATCTTAGTATATAAAGATGTATTTATAGTTTAGCTAACTAAGAGATTTTAGAACTAAGAAAAGAAACTAGTAATAAAAAGATATTAGAGTTTAATTTATTTATTTAAATAAAAATTATATAAACTTTTAAGTTAAGCTATATTATAAGCTATTATTTAAATTAGAAAAAAAAAGAAATTATAGAAATAACTTATTCTAATTTAGCTAAGAGCCCCTTATTTACTAGAAGCTTATATTACTTAATAATTATATATTTATAAAGAAATATAAAAATGCCTATTATATAGTATTTTCTTTTTAGATTTTTTTAGATCCGGTAGTAATTTTATATATTTATATATAATACTATAATATATTATATAATAAATATATAAATAGCTAATATAGTAATTCGGTCTATAAAAGTACTATTAAAGTCCCTAGCTATTATAAGGGCTTAAAAAAAGTCCTATACTAGATTAGCCTAAATAAAAGAATTATATAAATAGATATAAATATAAATATACTAGTAATATAGCCGGGATTTCTCAAATTAACTTTATTAAAACTCGATTCTTTAATTCTTTATATTAGTTCTAAAGTAATAGATTTTCTTAAAAGAAGAAATTAGTATTATTATATAAGAGAAAGTATATTAGACTTTATTAATAAAAGAAATCTCTTTTTTTTTATTAGAGGAAATTACTCGGGAATAATAGTTAAGCTTTCTAAGTATTTAAAGAAACTAGCTAAGTATATTATATACTATATAATTAGAAATGCCTATATAATATAAGATAATATTATAAGAATAAATATTAATAATAGTATAGATTTAGAAGCCCTATAGAGCTAGCTTATTATATTAATTAAGAAATTACTTCTAATTCGAGCCTTTAATTACTATTTCTTGCTTTTTATATTATATATTATTTATATAATATTTATAGCCTTTATTATCTAAGCCTTTAATAATATTATAGATTAATTTATAAAAAATAGTAATTTCTATTTAATAGAAATATATCTTAATTAAGTCTACTTTATAGCCTTTAATTCTTCTATAGTCTAGCTTCTCTTATATAATATTTATAAGCTATTAGTACTTTTATTTCCTCTTCTCTATTATTATTCTCCGAACAAGGCCAAGATCTAGCTTATATTATGCGAGCTATTAGTAGTAGAGAGATATTTCCTTAACTAAAAGTATTTAGAGAATTATATTATTATTATAATTACTTGCAAATAACTTAGAGATATATAATTTAATTCTCTTAATCTCAGGAGACCCATTCTTTCTATTATGCGATATATCCTAATTAGAGAGAGCTTGTTTCAGTATTTTTAGGCTATATTTAATCTATAGAATTCCTCTTATTTTACTTAAAATCTCAGGAATTATATGCTTCTCAGAGATCCAACTAAGAATCTCATTTTTATAAGGCTCAAGATCAATCTTTGGAGGCATTTTTAGTGCCGTATAATGCGTGCAATATGTTAAAAGTGGAATAATTCAAGTAAGTAATATGTAATGGGTCAAAAATTCGATTTTCCAAAAATTCGATTTTGCGGAAAAAGCCATTGACCCTTTTGGTCGCTATGGTCACCCGTACTAAAGAGGCTCGGTACACGCCGGAAGCCAGCACTGCCTCACAACAGAACACCAATTCAAGAGATCGCGACCCCACACACACTCAACTTCTGTTCTCGACAAACTGTGCCTCCTAGGAAGAGTCCAGAACAAGGAGTCAAATATTTTGCACTCGCTCGCGTCTTTATTTCACAGAAGCATGTCGTATCAGTACCAACCCCTCGACCGCCGCCGGCGTGAAATCCGCTTGCTCGAGATCCAGCCGTCCCCCACTTTCTCCGCTCCAGTGGAATGCAAGGCATTTAAGACAAACCTTGAAGACGCAATAGAATACATCGCCTTGTCGTATTGCTGGGGGGACGCGTCTGTTCGCCTTCCTATCATCGTTGATGGAGTTTCGTTTCCGGTAACGGTCAATTTGTGTCATGCGCTGCGAAGGTTGAGGCATGCGGACCAGTCGCGAGTTTACTGGATCGATGCTATCTGCATCGATCAAACGAACAACCCAGAGAAGAGTCATCAGGTTACTATAATGAGGGATCTATACCACAGGGCCGAATTTGTGGATGTCTGGCTGGGCGAGGAAGGGGAGGATAGTTCGCTGGCTGTGGAGTTGATTAGGATGTTAACTGATACAAACTTGGTCGATAATTTGGTCGCCGCGACCGAAGCTGTTGAGATAATACCTATTGTTTCGAACCTATATGAGCAAAATCCGGGATTATTGGATGAAACTGCCTGGTTAGCAGTGAGGAGGCTGTTTGAAAGGCCATGGTGGACCCGAGTCTGGGTATTCCAGGAGTTCATAGTCTCCAAGGCTGCGGTATTTCGATGCGGCCCTGACCGTTTTGACTGGTTGGATCTTAGCACCGCTTCGGTGGCGCATGGAAGGATTGTGAGCAGCCCATTAAGAAGTCTGTTAACTGGGGACCAGCTGATCTACCTCATTCTTGCAAACTTTTCGATTCCCATGGACTTTATCCACGTCAAACTCCCCAGGTACTTCGAAAGCAGAGAACTTGGCGACTTGTGGAACTTTTCCCCTATACATCTGATGACTCGATTGAAATCAACAGATCCGAGAGATTTGGTTTATGCTCTGCTCGGTGTCGCAGAACTGAAAAATCTACTTCTGGTGCCGGACTATGATAAGCCGATCTCTGAGGTTTACGCAGAGTTTACCATGAAATATATCATGGCATATCTTGACCTTTCCATTATTTCGTTTGCGGGAATTGGCATTTTAGGCGACCAATACCCTCTGGATACACCTTCGTGGGTCCCTGATTTTAGAAGTGGTAACAGACATGGCCAAAGCATGAGCTTAGGTAAATATCGTGCGTCTGGTGGGCGCAAAAGCATTTTCAGCTCCTCGTCAGGATCGAAAATCTTGAATTGCGATGGTGTAGTAGTTGATACGATCACGTCCCAACGACAACATGAGCGTTGGCCGAAAAGAAGTTGGCAAGACCTAGTTTTGAGTCATGCCGAGGTCCCCCATCCTACAGGAATCTCACAGTATCAAGTATTTTTCCGAACAACAATCACTGACGACTCGGTGAGGGTTCACGGAAATAGGCAAAGCGATTTCTTCGACGAAGCTGCCGGCTTCATGTATATAGTCGGGGCTGGCAGCCTAGTGCGTCGTAAAAATGATCCGGTGTTTGTAAAACAAATAGAGAGATTTATAGAAGGCGATAAAAGTGGGAGTTTGTTCGCACAAAACTTTACTGTTTGGAGATGCTCCTCACTGGACTTTGTGGAAACCGGTATCCCGTCAAAGAAAGAGATGCTGGATCCATTCCTCGCGGCCACTAGACCGGAAGATGAACTTCAGTGGCCGGAACCCTACGACGAATCTGGTGTTGCTCAACATGCTCAAGATTGGGCATTCACATTCGAAGTTGCTTCTAGTGACAGAGCCCTTTTCATTACCGCTAAAGGATACATGGGGATGGGTCCGCCGGACAGTCAAATTGGGGACAAGATATGTGTTGTGCTCGGCTGCGATAAACCATTAGTCATTCGAGCCATTGGAGAAAAGTATCTGGTAGTAGGCAAATGTTATATTTATGGTTTGATGAACGGGGAAATTCTAGCAGAAGTGGAGGAAGGAAAGATGGTAGTTGAGACTTTGCATTTCGAATAAACCCACGAGGATAGCTACGCAACACCCCGTCCACTCCAAGACAATCACAACTGTATGAGACTACCCAAAAGCCCTTAAATTCTTGAAACATGTGCTGCTCATGTTAACCCTCGAGCGTTCGTGGGAATTTAAAAGGCGAGGGGATGGTGATGAAGCTCACTTAATCCATTTCTTTTCATCTATTAATCAGCACCTGCGATTCCTCGAAACTTATTCTACCGTCAGTTACTCATTTCTATCATTAGTGTAGTTGTGCACGTCGCTGTGTAACGTAGTCTGCTAATGGCTCACAGCCACCAAGCCTCGACTCTGGCGAGGTTAAACGCCAGAGAAAAGGCGGAAAAGAGCTGTTGTGGAAGATTTCTATGTGTAGCTTTCTGGTCTTCGATCAATGCCTCCTAGCTTTCATTCCACCCAAAAACTACAGGAGATCGAGATGATGCCGAATATTACTGAAGAATCCCCCAACAAGTTTGAATTCTCGCTCCCGTTTGACAGTTTTTCATGATTGTAGGGTAATTCGATGCTCAAATTATTACCTACATCGGCCATTGAAACAGTGAACTCTGTTAATCATCATTTTCCAGATCCTGAGTAAACTGTTACTACCCCCGATGTGCCAGGTACGACTCGAGCTACCCCTGGGTCCAATGGAAGAGCGACGACACATTGTTAGCGCGTAGCATCTTGTACCTCATTGCAACTCTATTCGTATTCAACCGCACTACCATGGAATTTGAAGTAGGATACCCATTCCTATCATTCCAGGCTGGAGAAGTGAGTGATGATGACACTGAAAATAAACTTTACCGATTCGAGTGTATCTTTTCGATGTTTTTGAAGAAAAGGAAATTCTTATTTTTGGACAAAAGACTATACTGTGGCTTGCTACGAGCCAAGATGGCCCGTCGCAAGAAGTTGGCTGGATTTGGAATTCAAATTTTAAGAAGCTTGATCCGGACGCTCTCTATGGGCAGACTAGAGCAAAGTCAAGGTGCAAACCAAACGCACGCACACCTCCAGAGGAGACACCAAAACATCGACCGTATTAGTTAGTGAGTTTTATTTAGTATTATAGGAAGCTTATATTAAATAGGGATACAAAGATGCAATCTGCACAGTGTTTATTTCTGTCGTATATACGGGTACTACAGTCGGTCCGATCCAAAAGCGACAAAACGGTCGCTCTTTTACGCCCATAATAACTTTTTAACCACAACCCCAATTAATTTATTCTAAGTAATGCGATTATAGAATAGAACCAGGCGAAAAATACCTATTAATCAGATTTTTAATATAATTTGTGGTTCATTAATAATCGAGGCTTAAAGTGCACGGACCCTTTTTACTTTTTTGATTTTTCCCTATACAAAACGCAAATATATTTGCTTGCTAAGGTCACGTGAGCCCGGGCTTTAAGGGGAGATCGCGGCATCTCACCAGCCTTATTATTAATATAATAATAATAATTAAGCCCTATAAGCTTAAGTAAGCCTTCCTAAATACTAAATATAGCTTTTTCTGGTACTATATATATTATATATATAGTAGGGCCCTAATTATATAGGTTTCAAGCTAATTTTTGGCCAAACTAAATCCATAAACCTTACTTATTACTTAGCTACCTTCTTTCCCTTACTTTTACATATTATCCCATTTATCTATTACCTTTTTAGATATCGTTCTATAGCGTTTTTGCTTCCGTATATATTAAGCAGCTTATTTAATACTTAATTCCTTCTAATATGCATCCATTCAGCAGAATATATAGTTATAAAACCTCTGTATAGTCTCAATTAAACAAGCTTCAAGTGCCTCTATTACCTTAATCTTGGCATCTGGAAAGCTAGTCTTCTTTACTTAACGATATCGAGTTTTACTATACCCCTAGTATATCTTAATTAGGTTAATTTCGCAGTGGAACTTTAGTAAAAATACAGCCTTATATTCCCGATCTGTAATAAGCTCTTTAACTTGGGACTTCTCTTTAAAGAAGTCTTAGTAATTCAATAGTATATAAGCTAAACAGCACGTTTATTCAATATCAGAAGGGTATTCAAGAGATGCAGTATACTTAGTATCCTTTAGATACTTAAATCTTAAGCCAGATATATTATAACCTTACTTAATAAGAATCTGTTCCATACCCTTAGGCTCTCTTTCTCTATTCGAATTAAGTTATTAAAGGACTTAAATAGTGCCCTATAACCCCGGGATTATATACTTTAGTGAAAAGTATATATTCCTTCTATAGGCCTTAATATTACCCTTTTTAACTCCCTCTAATCCCTTATTTATACTAAAGGCATTCAGTACACCTTTGCTATATGAAGTATATATAGAAAACTAATCAAATATTAGAATAGCTATATAATTTGGGTACTTCTATTCAAATATATTAAGCATCCTAGTAATCTGTACCAGTAGCTGTTTTATATCCCACCAGGGGTCCCTATTTAAGCCTGGATATATAATTTGACGGGCATTCAAATTAGAATTATCCGGAATAAAAATGCCTTTATTATTTGGTACCCTAATACGCCCCTCAGGGCCTACGAATTCAGAATCGTGAATTAGCCTCCCTTTACTCTTTCCGGGCATTTTTTACTAATTATCTGCTAGCCAGAGGCTCTTTTTATAGTCAAATCCATAAAAACAGCTCTTATTATAGAAGTATATTATGTATACCTGAACTCTAATTAGAAGTAAAGATTAAATTATATACTATATACTAGCTTTATTCTTCTTATATTAAACTATATATAATAAAAGCTCCTTTATTAATAGTAAAAATATCTCTTAATAATACTAAATTATATTAGGTTATTTATATCCATTTATATAAAGCCCTTTTTTAGTCTTATAGTAATAAAAGCCGAGTCTAAAAAGCTATAAGTAAGCTATAGTACGGGCAATAGGCTTTTCTATTATTAATAATAATCGAGATAAAATCTCCTAATTAATAGTATTCAGGAAATTATTTAGTAATATTATTTCAAGCTCTTAATTAATTAACCAAGTACGGCAGGCTAAAAAAATATCCTTATTATCTAGATAAAAGACACTCTCTCTTTTATTACTTCTAGTTTCTTACGGAATACTATACTACTATTAATAGTAATTAAATAGCCCCCTAATTCGCCGAGCTAATATCTTTCTATTATTTAAGTAATAATTACTAGAGGCTACTAAGAGTAATATATTAACCCTTTTAAGTCAATATTACCCTAGCTTTAGAAGCTATTAAGTATATTACCGGAATAAGTATAAGTTAGTAATTATATATAAAGTATATAGCTCTTTAGTTTAGGCTAGCTTAATATTTATATTATTAAGGACTTCTTAATAAGTCATTTATATATCTAGAGCTTTATTATCTCTGTAAGCGTTTCTAATAAAGGTATTTAAAAGTAGCTTATTCGTTCTATTATCTTTATCTTTAAGCCTTTACTCTTTCCTTAATTATATATCCCTAGAGATATTAATTAACCCCCTAATAATATTGAATTATAGCTTCTTTTATTTAAAAGATAGTATAATTATAGGAGTCTTAAACCTACTAGATTACTCTATAACTTGAGTATCTTTTGCCCTCTAATTATATATATGTTTTTATTAAGTTCTTAATAACTTTACTAATTCCTTTATTAATTTAGAGATATATAAGCCTCTGGAAGCTAGAAATAATATTAGTATACTTATATTATAATATAAAAATAAGAAAATAAAATAAGAAACTTACTAGCCTATTCTATAAGTCTTTACTCTCGCTATATAAAGATAGGCTTCTCTAAAATAATTATCTTATTACTACTAATAATAAGCTTTCGTTAAGCCCAAAAGAAAGTCAAATCTTCAAGCTCTACTTTATTATTTTATTCAATATCTGATTTATTAGAATCGTTCTCTATATTAGATGGTTTCCTATACCATTTATTAATAGATACTTGAATTATAGCTTCTTTAGCTATAATAAGAACTATAATTAAATCAAGAGTCGAATTAGCTCGCTTGCGTTTCTAAAGGCTTATAGAGGTAGCTATTGGAAGTATATAAAAGAAGTACTTAATTGGGTTTATAGTTATTGAGATATTAATATAATTATAGAAGAGCGGTTAACTGAGGGGGGCAGTCACGTGATAACCAAAGTAAAAAAACGACTATATAAAACGCAAAAATATTTGCTCGCTTAATCACGTGCATTATAACTTTCTTAATAATAAAAATATTATAATTTTGAGAACATAGAATTATTTCCTATAGTATATAGTATAGTTTTAATTAATACAATTTATATCAATTAGTATTGTGGTGGTTTTTATTTTTTTTTCGTCGCTTTTGGATCGGACCGACTGTAGGGAGCTTAGCTTCGCTTACTCAGCGGCTCCCTTTTATTTAGCTAGATCTAGAGGCTCCCTTCAGAGCTTCTTTTAATCAGACAACCATTCATGCAAATCACTGTTCCTTGCTATTTGCAATAATTTCAATTTGAGAACTTATTAGGGGACTATTTGATACAAACGTAGGGCCGGAGGTTTATACAGGGGGGCCTGGCGTTCTGAGAAATTTATGCTGCGTATTTGTCAGCACTAACAACTGGAAAAGGGGCATGAGAAACCCGAACCCTCCGTTCCCACTCAAAACAAATCTGTGATACTGCTCACGACCTTCCCATCGTCTCTGCACGATGTTCATATCTGTGACTCAACTTTGTCGCCGTACCTGCCATCGTCAGCAGATACAGCTTCAAGACAACTCTTCTCCCTGACGCGATCACATGCCAAAACCTCGAAAGTAAACAAACCCGGTGCTTAGCAAGAAGCAAAGGTGTCTTCAGCAACTTTGAAGAGAACAGACTTCACTTGATGTGTGGCTCTTCACTAGAGAAGACGCGTCACGTCAATAGGAATATTCGACCATTTTCAAATGCTCGACAAAGGAGCAAGACGTGAAAAATCTTGGGATCCGGAGATTCACCAATGATCGACGCTGTGCCACATGTCATTGCTGTCGAGCTACTTGCACCCGATAGCGATCCTCCTGCCAAAACCCCGAAAAAACATTGCAAACAACATTTGCGCACATTGCACTTGATATTTTCGCAACTTTTTACTTCATATATAATAAATCACTTATAATATAAGATATTTATAAGCTTGCAAATAGCTCCTATACTTTTTTAATTATTTTCTTTAATTTAGATTAATTAGAATTCTTCTAATTAGATTTTTTTTCATTGTAAAATTTTCAAGTTCTTCTTTTAATATTATTTTCTTCTTAGAAATTTGAGGCTATTTTTTAAGACTAATAAGAGCTTTAATAAGCTTAATATATGAAAGAAAGATTTTTGGAAAGACTCTGTGATGGGCACACGTGATGGCGTATGGACAGGTGTCAGATGTCGTGGATCTAGTTTCCTATTTTGGGTACAGCTTGCGATCGGAATCGTATGGATCGCATGGGATTTCCTAATTAAGTAAAGGGCTTCGCATGCCTGGCTAAGCACTAGGGAATATATAGGGAGACGCTCCTAGCTTTGGAAGGGGCATCGATTAGTCTCTTGTTGGAATCAATTCTTGGAATCAGTTACACTTGCAAGCGTCACTCCGCAGCTTACTTACCTTGACTACTTGTGCATCACCCTGCTATTACGTGCCTTACAGACTCTAGTAAGATTTAAGCAAAGCGGCTGCAAAGGCTTATATATCCTAAAGGCTGGTATACTTTAAAGGCTTATATGCCTTAAATAGCTTATATACTTTTAACTATTATTTGCCTTTATTTAAGAAAATATTAAATTTAATTACTTATATAAGAATTTTTTAAAATAGCTCTTACTAATTAATAAAGAATTAAATAAAGAATTAAATAAATTAATAGGAATTGAAATAATTAGTTTATTTAAAAATCTCCGAATTCAAGTGCAATGTGCGAATGCATAATGTGCAATGCGGAAATGCGCAATGTCATGAAAAATCGGGGTTTTGGCAGGATAAGGGTTGGAGGCCTCGGTAAGAACAGTGTGTCAAAGAACTACTCATGCTACTCATACTACTCATGAATATTCATGAGTAGCGTGAGTAGAATATGAGTAGCGTAATGTCCTAAAAATTTGAGTAGAGTAGAGTATATACTCATGAGTAGTATGAGTAGTAATAAGTAGCCGTCACGTGACAAAAATAAACTAAAGTTTATTTAATAATAATTAAATAATAAAAATATTTATTAAGTAGCCCCAGTAAAGGTAAGCTAGGGCTTGTATAGGACTAGCTAAATATTAATTTTCTATAATAATAAACTAGTTATGCTTCTTAGAATCTTGATTTCCCCCTGACCTTTGGCTCGCTTACTAAGCAATGCCATTGCCTAATTGGGTAGAAACTTGGCGCTAGAGCTGCGCTAGATGAGAGGTTTACCTAATTAGGCTAGCCTGTCACGTGTAACCGTTACGTGGGTGCCTACTTACACTACTCATACTACTTATGAGTAGCTTGAGTAGAGTATGAGTAGAGTATGAGTAGCGCTATAATTGGTTGAGTAGAGTATGAGTAGGACCCACTACTCTACTCTACTCTACTCATTTGACACACTGGGTAAGAACAAGCGATCGTGAGTTGTGAAGAACAACTCAAAATGGGAAAAGTCAATGAAAATAAAATTTGCAAGTCTCAGAGGTAATTACTACTTTTGCAATATAAATCATTACTCTCATTCCACCGACTTGGGTATCAGCTCTATACCATTCAGCTCCTGATTAAGTGAAAAAGCAGCGCCGCTTGCCAAAGACAGCTGCAAGCCTCAAAAACAAAGGAACTAGATATATTAGAAATATTCGAATAATTTATTATATTCGTTATTTATAATTTCCCTTATAAACTATATAAAGAGAGCCTTATAACGGGCGCAGATATTTAATACTAATATAAAAATATTATTATTAATTATAATTAAAGATAATAATAAATTTAATTAATTTTTCTTTTATAATTTCTCTTATAATAATTATTTATATTTAAGAATTATCTTTTTATTAATTAAATATTATTTAAACCAGAATTTTAATAAAAATATATTTAATTATTAATTTATATAATAAATAACTTTCTTATTAAATTAATATTATTAAAATTTGTTTTAGATTTTTTTTATAATTCTTTATATATATATATAATTTCATTAATTTTTAATAAAAATAATTAAAAAAAAATATTAAAATAAAAAGTTTTATTTTTATATATAATAATAAAATAACTTAAATAAGAAATTAAATATATTTAAATAATAAGCCGATTTTATTATACTTTTAAATAGATTAAAATATACTAAAATTATATATATATAATTTAATTTATTTATATTTATTTCTTCGAATTCAATAGAACTTAATAAAACTTATAATAGTTTAATTTAAAGACCTTTAAACTTTTAGTAATAAGAGAAATTCTAATACAGTTTTATATAAATACATTAGATAACTATGCCTTTGCAACCTTATTAAAGTGCGAGAATTCTATAGTGCTGCCGAGGCTTACGAGTACATGTATTGATATAATAGAAGTGCTATCTGGTAGAGATAAACAAACCAGTTTCATGAGATGCCATGGTTTGCTTTAATTGGGTGAGGCACTCCGGTTATAGCGGCCTTGAGTCAAACTATTGGAATTTACTCACAGGAATATCGGCATCCTCTCTAATAAAACACAGAGACACGCATAGGCAGCATTCCCCCGCGGTATAGATGCCTACTTAGATACCTACATCAGGTGAAATCAGGCCTGTAAAAATGCAGTTCTATTCAATGATTGTTACAGTTTAGGAAAGGCATGTGGGACTACAAGACTTGAAACCCTGACTGACGACAGAGTATCCTACAATAATAGTCCACTAGTGTCTGGTAGACGTTGGATGAAATGAAGGATTATAAGGAGTATGTTGAGGGTCCAGCAGCGTGGGTTCGCTCTAGGATAGAAATATTTTGAGCGTTGACTATCTTAAACAGCCATAGCCAATAACCTAAAACACGAAGAATGCCTAATACAAAAAAAAAGTACAGAAAAAAGGGACATTTCAGCGGGGAAATAAATCAGATATATATATGCCCTCAATCAATCCATTGTCCAGACACCCATAACCTTTGTGTTCGCTCACTCTTAACAATAGAAGAAAGGGGAGGGACTCCAGTCTAAGTCCAAGGGTCATGAGATGCGATCAGCATTACTCGATGTTCAAAAGGTCCAGATTGTCCGTGTACGCATTTTCCTTCGTCCATCTCTTGAGTGCTTCGAAGTCTCGACACTCATGGTTCGCACCAACGCCACCAAGAGTTGGGTCGGCTAAGCATTGTATCCCTTGTCGTAAAGTATCAATGCAATGGGTGATATGACCCCAATTATCGATCTGCTTGCGTCCGTTGTATTGTTGGTAAAGGCTGGTGCGGATAACGGTCTTGGTCTCTGTCAGTTTCTAGACGGTATTCACTGGACTCTTTCGACTGGCGGCTTACAACACAGTGAAGCTGATGGTACATTGCAACAACATATATAGCCTTCCCGTCTGCGGCATACCCTTGTGTTTGTTGAAGGTTACTGTCAATGGCCCATTGGGGATCTACTTTGACCGCTCCGCCACCTCCTAAGCGTTTTTGGTCTGTCAGACAACTGGAGTCTTCTTAATATGACGAGAAGAGGGCTTTTCTTACGCGGGAAAAGGTCTGTCCAAAGCTGATTCATCTCCGTAAGATTACCGTCAACGTATGGCGTTGCGTATTCATAGGGGGAGAGTACGTGATATTCTTTGGCAGCTAGAAGCAGGCGAGAACAAAGTCAGCCATCAAAGTTACCAACGACGAGCAAAATAGATTGACGTTTTACCAGGAACGTTCTTTTGGTGTTTGTAAACACCGAACCAGACTCCATTGCTGATCACGATGGCAAGAATACACAATGTCCAAACAATTCTTTCCCAGCGCTGCTTTCCAGTGCTTGTGGCATAATGTTGAAGCAGAACCTCATCGCGGATATCATCAGAGGACCTCTCTAGAGGCTGGTATGCAATCTCTTTGGACGCCATTTTCAACTGATGCGTACGGAGATCCCGTGATAAGAGGATTTTATTGAAACGACTGGGGTATATCTTCAATTTTTGGTTTGAGCCTCGGCCTTCGATGGAAGTCAAGTATATATCAACGAGGTGTATAGAATATCGTTGAGTGATTCAACTTACGCTAACGGGGGACCCAGGAATACCTACTGTTTCCCCACCGCCGCCCCCCTCCCTCTGAACAGTTACGGAGGTTCGGAGGTAGCGGGCCATGTAACCAACCCTTTCCGGGCAGACACTTTTGAAAGGCTGCCTGGCCCGTAATATTATCGGCGAAACTCAAGGAGGTAAAGGGTGTGCTGAACTTTAGAAGGGGTTATTCACTAATAATTGCCTAAATCCCCTTCTTGCTTACGCTTATATTTACTTTATTAAAAATTTAAAAAATTTAAGTTCTTAGATAATACTCGAAGTGTTAGAAATATTGTATTAATTATTTTAACTTAAAGTATTAGTGTCTCTAAGATCTAAATTAAATAAAAAGAAAATATAAGTAATTAATATATATAATAGCTAGTATTATATAATTAATATAAACTTAATTTCAAGCTAAAATTTAAATTATACTCAGCATTTTAAGGGTTTTAGTTATATCTTACTTACTTATTATTATATTTTATTTTCTTTCTTTTTCTTTAGCCTTAAATTTTAAAAATACTAGAATTTTAAGTTTCTAAAATTTATTTTATTACTTTATTCTTATTATTATAATATAATTATAGCTTATAGCTTATATAAATTTTGAGTTTTTAAATAATTTAATATTATTTTATAATTGAAAATAAAATTAAATCTTATAATTTATTAAATTTTTAATTTAATAAAGTTAATTATATATAATATAAAAGGCTTAAGCTCAAATACAATAATTTTAATTATATAAAAACAAGTTACATAATTAGCTTTTAATTATTATATAATAATATAATATTAAATAGCTTTTCTTTTATAATTTATTGAAAAAAAACTTAATTTAAAAAAGTTTATATATTAATATTAATTAAGTTTCGTTTTTTTAAGCCTTATAACGCTTGTATATTTAGTTTTAAAGACTTATTTATTAAATTTCTAGGCTTTCTTAAGCTTATTATTAAGTTATAAATTATTAAATATTTAGGTTTTTTAATTTAAGCTTGGTTTTTAGTATTTCTGTCCGAGCGCCTTTACGGGCGGCAGAATCATTTCACCGATAATATTATGGGGCAGGCAGCCTTCAAAAGTGTCTGCCCCGAAAGGGTTGGACTTTTCAGGGTTGAGCCAGACCGCTGCCAGGCGCGGGATAAACATCCTAGTATCGTTTTGCAGCCATCATGCCGACGCCTCCCGACGATCAGCCTTGATTCAATGCTTACGGACATATGCCTTCAGTTGGTTTTCTGGAAGGTGGCCAAGAGGAAGAATAGCTCCTGGCCACAGAGAAGTAAGCCAAGACACAGGGACGCCAGTTCTATCCACTCTAGGCAACTCATAATGGCTTTTCCAAGGCAGTTACCACGGATGATGCCCCTACATGTTCGCAAGAAGATTGAGGCTTTTAATGCCGCGGATCCGTAAACACATCCCGGAGGATCTGAGCAAAGTGAGTGAAATTTGGGACTGCTTCAGATTCTAGGTCTTCAGTAGCGTTGTTAGTAGTGAGTGTTTAAACGCCCAAGCATCACATCTTGCACCATTTCTATTAGCTTCCAAAAGTCCCCCAGGTCATATTCTGACTACTTGGAGTGTTGGAAATAAGATGTCATGTATGCAATTGCGTCTCCTCACAGAATCGATCACTACAGATGAAGAATAAGTACACTTTGGGACAGCCACATTTATTTTTTGGGTCGATTTCTTTCTAAAGACTAATCTGTTCAGCGTGGAGTTCATCCAAACTCAACCTTTCTGCGTATTCGTCTTCTTCACTCGTTAGATGTGTATAAATGCCGCCGCCGAATTGTCCGCCTTCCCCAACTACAGTGACAAGACACAGGCTGCTGATGATAGTTGCGGCACCGAAAAGGGCCCATGCGTTGGTTGTAATTTGGAATAAAGCGCGGTCCACTGCGAGAGCCCAAACTATCTGAGTATAGATCATGAGCGTAGCAGCTGAAGATGAGTCCCTCGATATTCCAACTGTGAGGAGATATTCCTAAGAAGGTTTTTGAGTCGGAAGCCTTCCAAAGAGGAGGGTAAAAGATAAGATGCAGTTAACTTACCATCGCGAGGCCGCAGGTGCCTATATATATTAAGCAAGCCCATATAAATGGACTCCTCGGCCATTTTATTTCTGGAATTACCATAAGGGCGATCCCGCTCACAAACACCAGGCTCCACGCAAACATATTGACACTTGTTAGTGGATGAGTCCGCGTCCCAATCCGACGGATTGACGTTAGTGCAATCTATGGAGATATTAGTCCTTCAGCAGTCAAGAATTCCAAATCTATCGCAATGAAAGCTATCATCACTTACTACACCTCCGCAGACTCCAAAGACACCAAAAGCCAAGCCTTTCAAGTGGCCGTGCACCTTTCCAGAGACATCAGAACCGGTCTCTGTCATGCCAAATATGTCTTCAGGCTGGGCTACGAGCACAACGCCTACAAGCGCGCCTACAGCGCCGATGCAGTCAGTCCAATGGACCGTGGCGAAGGACAGGCACCTCGTTAGGATCAACGATCCTAGAGGGCCCAGAAAATTCAAAGCTGTGGCTTCACTGAGACTCAAGTATATCATGGAGACTAGTGTGAAGTTGGTGAGTTAGTGTAACGACCAACAAGTCAAATATCTTAAACTCGCATGATGAAAAGATTCTCGGAATGAGAGAGATGGACAACAAAACGTACAAAAGAATCCCGTAGCACCACAAACTCCACCAAAGGCCCGCAATAAGATAAGACCTCGCACATCTGGTATTCCGATCAAGACCTCTAACTTTGAGGATCCGATATGCCAAAGATACAGTGTACATCCGAGTCCCGTGATCAGCATCCGTATGTGTAGGATCATGAACGGATGGACTGCCTCGGGTCTTGTCTCACTGAACTTTGCCACGGTATTCAGCGTAGCAGCGACCACTTGCGAAACTAAGACAAACAGAGACGGACGACACCGCTCGATGAAGGACGGGACCCCTGAATCTATGGCCATTGGCCGCAGTACTTCCGAGTAGTGTTGTAGTTGAGGACGAGGCGTCAACGACTAGAAAGGGGATTGAACATGAGGAGGAGGAGGAGGAGGAGGATGATGACCATGACAGTGACTCATGCTCCCTCGTTTGATAAACAGGGGGGCTGTTGGACGCAAAAGCCATGTCGAGTTTACTTATGCATTACGCTTCAATGTGCCGCCTCGTCCACTGGCGTCTGCATGCGACATCACAGCGCGCGTCTGGGCCTTGAATTTTTGCGTAACTTTTGGTGATCGAGGTGCTGGAAGGTTTAGCCTTCCGAGAAGAAATATGCAACGTCGCCGCAGTCCTTCGCTGCTCCTTCAAGGGGATAGAAAGATATGCAGATGTCGGTGGTATTCAACTGTCGTATGCTTGCAGGGCTGTAGAATGTATCCCAATGATATGCAAGTAAGACCAGCCCGGCTTCCACCCTAGCTCGGATATGTGAATGCATGTACTGTAATGCGGCTGATGGCGACAGGGACTGCAGGAACAGCGAGAAGGCGGCACGGCTCTTTATGCCGGTGCTCATTGTCCTCTTAGATAACGGCAAACGCTTGTGGTACTGCAGATTATGACATGGCTGCATACGAGGTAACACCGAGAGCGCAGCCGCCCAAAAGCTTATCATTCGAACTGTTTCCGGGCAGATGGATCGAGCGTAAGGTTTCAGATCCGATAAGCTTAATTCTGCCGCATCTTCCAGCGCGCTTCGCTAAAAGGGATTACCCGCCAATTACTACCCAAACCTACTTCCCGCTTACGCAAAAATTAATACTTTGAATTATTAATTATAATATCTTGGCGTTCTGTCAAAGCTCCGAAACACGCCTCGCCGCCTTCTTATCGATCTGAAACCTTAAGTTCGATCCATCTGTCCGGAGACAGTTCGCTTATGATTGGCTACTCATATACAATACTCTGATCCAATAATACACCGAGAAAACCGACAACACCTAACAGCCCTCGCCTTGAGCTCCACGCATGCCGCCAACATCTCCCTCGAGAAACTCAACATGGTGGGTAGATGATTTCCAGGTAGGTTTCTATCTCATTTGGATCAAGACTGGGCCCAAACAACACTTGTTCAATAAACGTCTTCATGCAATGCTCCATGTGCGGCTCCGAGACAGCCTCGGCGTCCACCGTCCAGCCATTTACCAATGCTCGACTCAGCTTCTTGAACATGAAGAGGCAATGAGTGACATGCCAGCGTCTTGTGGTCCAGATGGTTCTGTTGACCGATCCCAGGAAGTCGGGGTCGTAGGTGCTTAACTTGTCCTTTTCCGTGCCGTCCTGCCTTGCGTAGAAGTCCCAGTTGCCCAATTCCAAAAATTCATCGACCAGCTCGCGATCGATACATTTTGGTGGTAGCCATGCGGTGACGAGCATGTCAAATTCGCATCCTCGGGCTCGCGCCTCCTCAGGCGTTTTGCCACACGGCAGTGCCTCGAAGTGCTGCGACCAGGACAGCGGGCCCGATGGATAAGTTTTGTTGTCCGCGGTGAGGACTTGATAGTGGAGGTTTGTACGCGGTGGAACAAATGTCTTCCATAAGGCGAAGACGGCGAGGGCGATGAGAACATTCTCAGTGATTACGAGCCATAAAAAACGACCGAAACGTTGCGGTCTTGGTGCGGAAGGTGTCTCGTCATAGAGAAAGCCCTCAGTTAGGTCGTGATCCGAGTTAGCGTCTTCTGTCCCTTCAACTTTGTCGTATTTCATTTTAGAGGTGATAATGATCGAGCTTTCAGAGAAAGCGAGGAACGATGTGAATCTGAGAATAGTTTGTGAAAGAGGTTGTGGAAGGGACAACGCGGTTTAGCCGATTTCACTTCCTTCAGAGGCCAATCGTGCTTTCGACATAGGATGCTTTCCAGGGTACGTAGGACAGGAAAATCTTCCAGCTCAATAACAACTTCTATAAACAACAGGATTATAGGGCTAGTCCAGGTTTGGAAGGTCACACGCCTCCATCTGCCGGGTTTCCTGCTTTTCCCTAGTTGATGCCGTTGTATACAGAGTATGCAGCTTTGCTGCATGCTTATGCCGCCTCCGTCTCCGATTATGGCGACCGATTAACACGGAGTCAGAAGACCCGCCGAAAAAGCAATTTCCTGTTCGGGGCTTCTGCTAGGGTTCGACCGGCCGGGGCCACCACAGGAGATGTCTACGCAAAATAACCTTCATTGCACCTAAGACAGCTCTACTGTCGACAAGCTTCTTTCTCTCGGGCGTTGACTGTCTTTTCTAACAGTAGTCATGTTTGGTGTCCCATACAAGAACAATATGGGAAAAGAAGAGGAGGAAAATCTGCTGGAAACCACCGAGATATCGTCACAGTCGTCGAAGAGGGACCTACAGCTTCTGCCCCTCCTTCTCATTATTTCTGTCTCATTTAATATTTTTTTTGCGTTTCTCGGCTTCTTTACTTCAACTCATAAACAAGATTCAATCGCTAAGGCATCATACGAAAATGGATTTCCCTCGGATCTCGGTACGTACATACAAAATAGCATTTAAATCTAGATTCTTTATACCATTTGACTAACTCCTTCCTTTAGAACCTGCCCGGAGCGAAATTGAATTAGTCGTTAAAAGTTTCTCAGGGGGTGTCGAATTGAATAGCGAAGGCCACTTCTTCACAGATCAGGGGGGACACGAATACGTTGGACCACCCGAATCAGCAGTTGATGAAGCGTGGGAAATGCTTCTAGGAGGTCAGTATAAATAATTAGGAGTTGAAAACACAAATCTTTGCTGATAGCTCATTAGGATTGAATCTTGACTTCGATAAAAATGAAGTAAATCTAGCAGACTCGACGTTCCAATGGCCAGAATCAGGCTTCTACTTCAGCGGGCTGGATGTATATCATTCACTCCATTGTTTGGTATACACGTCTTTCCCTCTAACTGTTCTCCAAGAACACAGCAGCTAATAGCCTTTACTAGAACCGTCTCCGTCAGGCGATGTATCCCGATTACTACACCCATGTTTTCGACAGGCCAATGGATCCATCACGCGTTAACCACATAGGTTTGTGTTACAAAAAATTCTGATACTTTAGATAGTCTTGCAGCTAATCAAAGTAGATCACTGCATTAACCATATCCGGCAGTCACTCCAATGTCACGCAGACCTAACGCCTATGGAATGGAGGCTCGTTGGGTCTAAAATCATTTTGAAGACGGATACTCGCCACACTTGCAGAAATTTTGACAAGATTCATGCTTGGGCAACTTCACAACGTACTCGGTTTGAGACCATTCAAAGTTTCCTTAACGGCAGCCTTCGTATTGTAGATTAGAGATCTGAGAAGAATCAAGACTATCGCTTCTTTCTAATTTTCTTGACCAGCGGCATGTTAGATTGAACGTTGAGGTGTGCATAAGTTTCCTAGTCCCCTCCAACCATTGGTTCATCCAAAAAGTACCTGCTCCATATATTGAGACCAATCTTGGTTCCCGACTCCACCGCGATGCCTGCATGAGCCGTTCTCTCATCCCCAGATCCGTTCCCATGCAGATTGTTCCAAAAGATAGCATTCCCTCGTCGAGGTTTAACAAGCAACCCGGTGTCCCCAGCTGCTAGAGCGAACTTGTTTACATCTGCCGACTCTAATACGCTCGGCAGAAATGGGAAATAAGTCTCACCGCGCTCGCAATCATCATCGAGATAGGCAAAGATGCTTCCTAGGCGATTGCTCGGCTTTTCTGATCCGCCTTCTGAGCCATATGGGAGATCGTTCTTTGGCGCGTCGAACCAGTCCGTGTGGGATTTATAATGGTCACCACCTGCGTCGTATTTGACAATTTGCAGCGTTTCGACCTCCATGTGCTGGACGTTGCCGAGGATGGATTTCATTCTTTTCGTCAAACACTCACATACAATGTCTTCCTTAGGTAGAACGGCGGTCTGAGAGCTGCGAAGTGTCTGATTCAAGACTTCCGTAAAGCCCTCGGAGCCCGTGAATACTAGGGATATGCGAAAGCTATCCTTTCTAGAAGTCACAATGTTAGCTTCCAAGAGACAGACACTGGTTCCCCAGCGTAGAGAATACTTACCCCAATTCTAGGAGATGTTCTATCTCCTCATCACGTAAGAAATTGTTGATGTATATAGCAAGTGGATCAATTGAAAGGAGCTCAATCGTGTAGCTCTGGTCACAGCTGTAGGAGTCCGTATCAAGATGTCCCGGAATGGCAACATTGAAGATGCTGCTGCTATGCTCGGAGATAAATTGTCCGCAGCGCAAGATACTGAGCATCATTATGCTAATCGGCACAAGCAGGATTGCGTATTTCGTCTGAGGTTCCTTAACATTCTCGTTGCATTAGAAATATTCTATAAGTGAAAAGTATCGGCATCACTATTCTTACCATAGCTGAAGGCATGCCAACTTCGTGTTTGTAGTTGTTTTGAAAACACTGGTTTGGGGCATAGAGAAACGAAAACACGTCCAGTCTGGCAAGTGACGTCTGACTATGGATACCACAGATTTTTGCACCTTTGTCACACCTGAGGCCAAAACTTGGGCAGGGTAGGTGAGTGTTGGAGATCAAAAAGCCTTAGTCCCTACTTGGCCTTCCTATTTCGGTGGTACGAGGACTAAAGGGACCCGACAAGCACTGGACATTCCTTTGAAACTCGGCATTAATTGTCCTTTGCACCTTCAACCTATCGTATGTTAGTTGTATACCACAACGCCTCCCAGATTTCTTATTTGGATTTTGACAAGGGCTGGTTGTATTCTCTACACACCAAGACAAGGACTTGCTAAATGCGCGTACCCTGGCTGTTATTGAGTGTAGAACAAAGCTGGATGGATGCTCACCGCATGCTCTGTAGACTTTAAAAAGGACCGGCTACATTTGTCACTGCCCGACAATTGGTGTTTGTGTAACACTAGCTATATGCTCACTGCATGATCTGCCCACTATGACAAAGGCTGGCTCCCGTTTGCTACGGCCCAAATGTTAGTGAGTGTGTAATACGACTTGCCACATGCTCCTGCATGCTCTACACACCGACTGTCAGGCAGGAAGTACTAGCCATACTACCGGCCTATTTAATGACTTTTTGCCAATCTATTTGACAGTGTGATCAAAAGCTGATCAAGTACAAGGGTCTCTGAAGGCTGCGGGGAAAATAGGGTTGCGTCTGACACGGCGTAGTATCGGCACTATTATTATATCCCCTGGCGGAGGAGAGAATGTGAGCATCGGAGTCGCGGAAGGAATAATCAGATGGAGTTAGAGGAAGACATGGGAAATGACTCTCGCTCATCTGATAGATGAATAGCAGCTCCCCTTTCTTATAAAACACATGTTTTGACATTAAAACAACTTCAGATCATCTTTCAACCTTCGCACTCCTATCTTCAAAATTCACCTCGAATTTTTTACTTCAATTACAAAAGCAATCATGCAGATCAACATCTTCCTGAGTTTCCTCTTCGCAACCTTAGCGACTGCGGCCGTTCTTGTGCCTGACGGATGTACTTCGGGCTTGATTAGAAGAGTCCCAGTCCCTCTTGATTCCAGAGTGCGTTTTCTCTTCAATTAGATTTCGACTCAAGGAATTCATACTAACACGCTCTAAAGGATCCTACTGTGAGCCCCTCTAATCTCCTCCGGTTGGCGGTTACTAGATCACAGAATACTAACACAATTATTACAACTTAGCCTGTGAGTAAATCTCCACCCATTGCTTGAGATAGTTACCCTTATTGGAGTGCCATGCTAATTCGATATGTGTGGTATAGCAAGTAAGTGAATCCTCCTTCGGTGCTTGATAGCAACGAGGTCACAGGTTACTAACATGATTGGCATGACGAAGGGCGTGAGTCGCTTCATAACCAGTTTTCAATATAGACTGCTGGATACAGGTGTACTAATATAATGGACATAACCAGCCCGTAAGTATACCTTCTTTTCCTCTTGGAATGGCCATTGGGAATACCTACGGATGTAACTGACATTTGTTTAGGCCGTGAGTTAATCCTTACAAGCGTGTATTTTAACTGCCGTATATGATACAATTATTAACGTAATGGCTGCGATACAGTGCGTAAGTAATATCACGTTTGTGTTGAGAGATTTACTGCTACTAGAAGCGGTGGTAATACTAGATTTAGCCTGTAAGTGTATCTTAGCCGTTTGACACGATGCTTCGGGATGCAGATGCTAATACTATGAATCTAATCCAGGTCGTAAGTAACCTCTCTCTATTTTTTTGCGACGCCGCTGACCTGCAAACTAGCCTCCCGGAGTTTCCCTTCCCGTAAGTACTTCTTTACGTTTTTTTGAAGCAACGACTCTTATGCGATGGGTATGCTAGGAAGAAGAGTAGAGGAAGAGATATGGGTCCATTTTCAAGAATCAGGACACGCATCGGGGCTGGTTGGTCAAATTCGCCTTGGTTAGGTTTTGTCCTCTTATGAGGTTTCCCTAATCTTCGTGCAAATGCAAAGGCCTGATAACAATTAATGTCTTTCTCTCGCAGTACATGTGATTTATGTATATCAGGAGGAGGTTGCCTAACTCCCTTCTTCTCGTGATGGTTTATGGAGAGAGCCTCATATCTTGTCTTGTGTGAAGATATTCGAAATCCTGTTGTGTCGTATACTCGGCGACGAGACGGCGGGGTTACCATTTTCGCCCCAGGTTGTGCTGATCGATCGAGCATCAAGTCTTCGTCCACACGCGTCGTATTCCCATTTCTCTATTGTGGCGATTTCACTGCTCTGCTATCCACTCATCCCCCAAAACTTGAATTGGGTATCTCCAGCGCGGTGCCGCTGTTCCAGTTAGACTGCATGCACATCTGACACAGGGGTATATTTACATGCATATGCGCGAATATGCTATCTGAATGGTGCAGCGCCGCTTAATTAACCAATCGCCCATCTGGAAAGGTACGTAATATTTTAGTGGCTATGTATATCTTTACCTGATTCCCCGCCCCAGCAGGAATTCAGTCAAATCTCCCAAGGAGCTCAACAAAACACATTTGACAGCCCTCAAAGCCCATCCCCCTATTCAAAATGTTTTCAATGTCAGGCTTGAGTTTCTTGCATACGTTTTATTTCTCTATAGCTATTGCTGGAGCCATGTTTGCCCTTTTTGGTCACCTCCTACCTGATTTCAGTATTTCGAGCTCCGCAGTTGGCCAAACAGTTTGCAAACAAATGGCCAGCCTTTGCACGCCAAATTTGAACCACGACGAGCAGAAATATCAAGTTCAGATCTTCTCGAGAGATCCACTCATTGTTTACATCCGGAATTTCGTGAGTAGCGACGAGATTGCTTACCTGCTCGATATCAGGTATGGAGTATATATAATAGACTACTTTTGTACAAATGGAGCAATCAACTAACTCGTACACACCGTTAGTGAGGACAAATACGAGCCATCCAGGGTCTACGGCGGCTTGGATGAGAGGCCAATCGACCAAAAGACGCGAGTCTCCGAGTCTGCGTTCATGCATCGCAAGGACCCGGTGGTTCGCCGCATCTCAAAGCGGGCCAGGGAGTTCCAAGGCTGGCGCGGCAATGCCACACTCATCGAGCCCCTGTTGGTCCAGCGGTACAATGTCGACGGGTTTTACAGCTATCACTTCGACTGGGACGAATCTCTGGCCCAGGGAAACCGGGCTACGACTTTTATGGCTTACCTGGTGGGCAACTGCACCGGAGGAGGGACGAATTTCCCGTTTTTGCCGCAACCTAGAGATACACGCTGGTGCGATGTCATCGAGTGTGACGAGGAAGGGAGGGACGGCTACCAGGGCGTGATTTTCAAGCCGATTGTGGGATCAGCCATATATTGGGAGAATTTTCACCCTAATGGGACCGGGCACAAGGGCGTCTATCATGCCGGCTTACCGGTCAGGTCAGGAATGAAGGTAGGATTGAATATATGGTCGTGGGATTCCGCTTGGGTTAGACCAGAGATAGTGTAGGTTTGAGCTTTAGAAGGTAGTGAAGGAGTAAATCTGAGTGCATTTCAGTCTGGTCTGCGTAAGAACCTGGTATGGTATGTTTATTTAGCCTGGCACCATTGTACTTAGGAATTCCCATAGGATCATCAATTTGTTTTAAAACAGGGCACCAACAAGGTATTCCCAAAACCCCAGCCAGGCAAAGATCTAGCTAGTTCTTCTCCGAGCCTCATTTCAATGGCGGCAACTTTCAACCCCCATACATAATCCCCCACGCTTTTGTTCACAGTGGTTTCCCCCCAACCTGACTCCATATAGGGATCTTTGAATAACCCCCTTGGATGGATTAACAAATCAAGTAGGTTGCTGCCATTATCAACCTTTTGCCAAAAGACTTCCACTGCCTTCATTACTCGTTGCACTTCGCCGCAGTACGAGGCCAGCCACAGCTTCTGGAGCGCATTCCTGAAGGACGAGCCATCCTCATCTTCTTCGATCGAACAACAGAGAACGGCTAGCGGCCAGCAAAAGAATGGTCCACATTTGGGTTCGATAATCAGACATCGTAAAATTGATATGGCGTCTGCAACAAATTTTCCAGTGTTTGAATCGCACGTCCGAATCTCTGGTTTAAGAGGTTTGAAAACCAAGATCTAAGTGACAAGGACATAGAGCAGCGTTTGCTCCAAAACAACTTCGAAGCGTTCTGTGACGTCGACTACCTTGTCTCTTTCAGCGTAGAGTTCCTCTTCTCGCCGATTGAGCTCGAGCTCGAGCTCCCGTCCATGGCACCAGGAGATGCTATCGAAGGGAACATTGTGGCTAAGCCGAACAATCTCGATGATAATTCTATACAATTCCCAATTCGAGCCGAGAAGGGGTGAATTAGTCTGCATCGATGCGCCCGAAAAGACGTTTGGCTCGAGGTAGACACTGAGACTATCCCACTCAATCGCCTCACCGGCACGATCTACATCTGAATAGTAGAAGGAGAGGGTCCAGGTGAATAGTACTAGTGATTCAGCGGCTACGCGGTTTGGGGGATGCACAAAATCGGTGGGTCGCTTGGAATCTTTAGCAATTCTGATCTTGAGGATCCGGGCCATGCCCTCAAGGTATGGAGCCGCTCCTGACGGGTTGTGACCAGTGTTCCAGCCCTGGTTTATCTGAAATTTCCGGACAGATTCATTAGTCACGGGCTAGCACTATGGCTATGCAGGCAAAAACCCACAAACCTCAAACAAGCACAAAAAGTTCGTCGCGTGCAAAACCCAATCCTCACTTCCATCTACCTCCCCGTCGGCGATGCCTCTCCTCGAGGCCTTGACTACGGAATTGTAGTATCTCGTCGCCACCAGCTTGAGGCTCCGGTTTGTCCATGATGTATGTATAGCGGCCGTAGCCAAGAAAGCACCCATCGCCGTGGTGCTTTCCGTTCCCGCCGTAATCAAATGGCGCCAGTCGTGGAAAGTAGTAGGATGGGCATTGGCCCTGAATACTCCAGGCAGGAACCTCTCTCTGAGATAGAGAGACAAATAATGATCTATTGATGTTGTGATTCCCGGCAGACCATAAGTTGCACAGCTTGCGAGTCCAAATTTAGTCGAGCCATCCGAGAATGGCGAAGTGGACATATCCTGTGATACTATTTGGCCTACCCTCTGAACTGCATTCTCCCCCCTACACCTGCCATGTTCTGCTGCTGCATTCCCAGGCGCGGGCCACACACAGTCGAAGTCTTGGCTTGCGCAGCCTGAGCACCGAGGTTTTCGCTCATCGCATTTCTTCCGGCGTTTTCTACACATAAAACCGGCCCTGGTTCGCAGTTTGGGTGCTGGTCGACTTGCACACTTCACTCTTGAGCTGGAGAGAGAGGGAATAGATGCAGACCAAGTGAGTTGGCTTGGCCAATTTAAGAGGCCAAGGTGATGTGTTTGAGACCAGCTGAAAACGGAGCGCATTAATTGATGTTCCGGAGTAATGCGTAAGTTTTAGCCTCGTCTGGATCAAACAGTTGGAGCCAATTGGAAAACGCGTCTTAATCAGAGTATAGTTCCATGATCAGTAGAACAATTTGGCTTTTCTCAGCTCCAGACGCTCGAACATGATGGGCCCAGTACTCTGCTGCGTACTGGGCAAGAGGGTAGTCGTTGGCGGCTACCCGAGACAACGAGTCGGGTTTGTCAAACTGCAGGAGATATGCAAGACATATCTCAGCAATAGCCTCGTGGGCATGAGTTTCCTGGATGCTGTAGTGAGCAGCTTTGCCATCCAAGATTTGTTTTGAGGTAAGATAATCCCTGACAGACAGATGTGCTAGTCTGATTTGTTCCCCTACACTCTTCCCAATAGAATGCCATGCTGCATCCTCATATGTTGTAACGAGACTGGAGCAGATGGTAAGTATGTCTCGCGGCTCTGGGAGTATGGAATCGGGATCAGCTCGAGGTTTGCTTTTGACGTTGACAGCAATTACGTCGGCGACTTCTTCAATTCGAAGGGGTCGAGCCGAGTAGGCTAGCCATTAAAGTATTTTCAATGCATTCTCAGTGCTGTCTTGATCAATGCTGCATAGTATGTTCGCGTATGTATCATGAAGCGTTTTCGGCAGCGACGCGAGTGCGAGTCGAAGTTGGCGTGGTTGAATGCATTTCTCCAACGCATCGAGCTGACACGCAGCCCACCGAAACCTGATCAGTGATTTCAGTCACGGCTTCATACCAAAAAGAGAAGAAATATCTCTTACATTCCGTCAGTTCTTCCTATCAATGTCGTTTCGATCATCCGTAAGTAATACTCATCTTTCTGCCATCTCTTCAACTTCCTATCAGTCTGAAGCCGCGCATAGATGCATGCACGAATGTCTCCTTCAATCAAACCACTTTGGATGTAGACTTTTTGCTCGTCTGTAAGGGTGGGATCAAGTACATCTTCGATCTCTTTCTTCTTCTGACTTGTGGCTGGCACATGCAGCATCTCAAGATCCCAACCGACAATTTCTTGAATACTGTTCATAAGCTCGTCCTTGTTGGCACATTCGTCAAGAGCATCGAGAATAATGAATACACGGTCAAATTCCGCAATTATTAGTCCCAAGCAAGTTCGAAGAGCTTCGGTCGTTGGTGGACGATTCCCATTGGTGCATGAAGAGAACAGTGAGTCCAGAGCCTCCGAAGTGTGTGAATTTTGCTCGGATAACTGTTTGATGAGCGACCGGATCATTGTCTCCTGATTCTGCTTACCTTGACTGCTGAAGTCGAAGTAGAAGTAAGCGACTGCCCAAGTGGGAGGTGGTTTCGGAGCAGCCCCTATATCAAGATTCAGCTCGCAATGAGTTCGTACTTCTTCGATTATCGTCGAAGTGAGAATAGTTTTGCCGCACCCAGGAATTCCGTAAAGCCATAGAAATGAATTCGGGGTTGTCTTCCAATAGGCAAACTTTCCGCCCCCAATGAACCATGAACCTGTCGTCGCTTGTCGTTTTCTAAGTGCATCGACGTGATTCGAGGATGGATCTGGTGCAGCAAGCCAGTCATGTATCTTTTGGAGGTGGCTATCTTGTGTTTGTCACTTTACCGTGCTGAATTTTCTAACATGGAGGGTTTAAAGGTACCGATCTTGATGCTATTAATTGATTTGATCGCCCTGCCAACCTCATTATGGACCCCCAATGTCTCCTCCCGTATTGCTTGCACCACTTCGTCAATCTTTAGCACGAAGGCCCTAGGGAATGTGTGAGCAGTTACCCCTTGGAAAGCCTGGTCAGGGAGCCGCTGGGTCTTGGATATATCAATACTTGAACTTCTCTATTAAAAACGGAAGTCTTCCAACTTTCCTACCAATTTGGCATCATTCAATTGAAAGGTAGTGGAAAGATCTAAAACTCACGTTTCATCTGCAGTGATAGCGAAATTCAATGTATCCCTATACCTCCCAATTGTCTCCACTGAGACATTAGATCAGCAATTCTACTAAACGTTCCTTCGGGAAGAGAAGCAAAAGCAATTCACGAGGGCAGAAACAAGAGCAAGTGAAGTATAAAATAAACTGTAAAGGGAGAGAGAAACGGGAACTGGGAGATAATGAATCATTATACTAACACCTCTCCGTGAAGTCATTCTCCTGGAACGGCCAGCCTAGTGCCCGAACGATTGCCAACCTCTTCGAACCCGCCGGTCCTGCCCATCCTGGTGGCGTTAGCTTCCTCTCGATCGTTTTGAGCTCCTCTAGACAAAGGTCTAATAATGCTCTTCTATCGCCATTGGGCTTGCAGAGTAGATATAATGTCGGGAGTCGTGACGCTGTAGTTTTATTTGCATTGTGTTCCTCCGAGGTGACTGAGGCGGTTGGCGTGAGACTTCCAAGAGTTTCGACTACGGTGCGAAGAGATTTTGCTTCTTCGATTACGCGGGTTAGTCCCCAGGTAGAGCCCCTTCACGCCGGCGCGGTAATCGTAACAGATAGATAGAACGGCGTGAGATGCTTCAAGGATGGCGATGATGCTCACGCTGATGCTAAGTGGATCCATCGTTCGTGTGCTACCTCAAATGCCGGAAAGGTATGGTTTGGATTTAGGATCAACCTCTTGGCGATAAAGGCAAATCAAATGAAATCTGCATTGTATATCGAATTCAGAGCCTTATCTTCAGCCGAACTTCTGAAACTACACAATCCGATGTGCTACGTGTCGACCTGTGATTGGGTTTAGCTGAACAGAGCTGAGACTATCTCCGACGGGCGGTGGGCTAAGTGAGCGGTGTTATAAACGTAAAGGGCAAGCTTAAGGTTAGTGGTTTAACTCCATGGCCGCAACGGTCCTAAGAAATGTGGTGTTAACTCGGTGGCCTCGGCTCGCAATTTCCAGCGACCAGGGATGCAATTACTTCGTAGGTGCGGGACGAGCCTCACCTGGGATACATAACTATGGTAGGGCTACCAGCGAATAATCGTGCGGCACTGTTTAACCGAGCGAATCAAGAACGGCCTTGGACAACTACTATCCCCCCCCCCTAGTAAATAATTGCTAGCCCGTATGTTTTGAAAAGGTGCGGGTAGGAATTCAGGGTGTTAAGCCAGTTGAGGAAGTCCTTTGTGAGCTGGCTGAGAGCCACTGCCAGGAAAAAACCTCTTTGTGGGAATGTGTAAAACGACACCCCCCCCGGGTGTCGATTGGGGTGTCGATTGGGGCGGGGTTGGCAGGGGTTGGCAGGGGCACACTGATATGATATGTATAACCAAAGCATTCCTCGGGATTTGTGTGTACTACCGTAACTGGATCAAGAACTATAGCCTAACTACGGAACCCATCTACAGGTTGTTAAAGGAGAACAAACCTTGGGTGTAAGGCGATGAAGAGAAAGAGGCCATGAGAGGCCTTTAGGAAAAGATCACTACAGCCCCACTCCTTTGCAAGCAGCACTACGACCCGGGTGGCAGATGGGGAGATATTGTGCCTACGTTGGATGCCAATTTGGCTAGGTGGAGAGAAACCCCTGGCTGATATGATCCACTGGGAAGGAAGCGGGTCGCCAGGTACGGATCCGGAGTTTGGGATGGATCATGCTCAACGCAGGTGTGATGCTGGCAAGAGAAAGTGCGGAGGTCTCTTGAGGTGTTTGCGAAAGTACGCTTCCTCCTGCACGGAGCCCGCTTCATCCTCGAACTCGATGCGAATACGCGCTTCAAAGTGCATGATGGAGGGGGAAACCCTGTGGTGAGGATCGATGCGCAGTACCTGTAGCAGTCAAAATCACTACCATCGACCTAACAATGGCCATTCTCACCACTACCACAAATATGATACTCAAAACAAGAACGAATCTCAAATGTTCGTCATATCCCAGGGTCGCTTTCATTTCATAGTCCACTCTAGGATCTATAGGGGTGGAAAAGCATCGATCAGCATCATCTGCAGCAGTCAAAATCGCTACTCTTAACCCCAACATCCACAATTCTAGCCACTACTACAAATCTCAAGCCGGAAAGGGGAATTAATCTTGTATCAAGGCACGTCTTCTGCCTCCCCTCCGAATGCTCTCTACTTGAGAGTCCGTGGGGGTAGTAAAATCTTTTCGTGAGTATCTAATTTTTAAACTGCTAGAATTAACTAACACCCGTAACCTCGTAATTCATACCACGAATACAAATCTCATTCTAGAAAGAAAGGCCCATCTGGCATCCCCTCAAACGGTCAAACCCAAGCCGAGGAATAAAGAATAAGTTGAAAATAATACAAAACATCCATTGCTGGAACCAGTGCTCCGCCCTGACGAAACTCCCCTGACGCTCTCCGAAACCCACTCAACTTTCTACATCCTTCACCATCACAGTCGTGGATGCAGGTGAGGTCAAGGGTAGATATAAATGTTGTACATTCAGCTCATCTTCCTATGCAGAAGCAAAGCTAGTCCAAGCATCCCCCCCATCTCCTCTGATCTCGAAAAACCAAAGGTACTGTACAGAAAACGCTCGCGCGTGACCATCTCTCCTATATCATACAAGTCACCCCATTTCTTTTCTCTCCACGCAAAGCCTTCGCAGGCAAACGATATGTAAATCAAAAACCCCGCCCAACCCATCCGTCCACCCAATTCCCCAAACTCCAAAGTAAAGCAGATTGACCTCCCCCATCCGAAAACAGAAAGAAAAACGAACTTTTCCCCATCGCGATATTCAATTTCAGGTTCGGCGCAAAGAATTAGCCCGTCCAATACTAAACCACTTTCTCCCTCCCTTCGCCTCCTCAACCTCGGCAGCAGCACTCTCACTCACACTCCCTCGTCTCGCCTGGCCTTGTCTCATCCCCTGTCCAGGACCAGCAGTGTCAAAGGCAATACTATCCCTCCCCACCGCACCATTTCCCGCAGACACAGGTCTATATCCACTCCCCTGCGGTCCTCGACTACGCTTAATCGGCGGTGGCGTAGCGCGTGCCAATTCCTCTTCCTCATACCCATTTGCACCTCCACCAAAGTAAGTCTGACCCCTGACAGCAGTGTTCTTTGGTCGCACGTTATGCTGTGCAGACAGCTGGAAGCTACTAACAGTCGGGCTTGTCTCGCTTCGTCCAAAGATCCGCAGGCTCGGAAGTCGGGACTTCTTCGAGTCTTTGGATGAAGCAGGTGAGGTTTCTGAGGCTTGTGCAGACGAAGAACCAGCGGTGAGGCGGAGTTTGGTAGATGCTGAGAGGGAGGAGCGGCGATCTGGTGGTTGAGGCTTTGGTGACGTGTCAATGGGGATGGTGCCGTATTGGGGAGTGTCGACATATCTGGCGACAACATTGCTGTGGGATGGGACAATTGTGCCGTCGCTTCTGAGGGGGTCCACCACGCTTGATCCTCGGAGTTCCTCGTATCGAGTTGTCCGGTGAGAAGGTAGACTGGGGTCATTGTTGAACATTATGTCCCGTCCCCAGGAATTGTGGGTAGAGAAGTTGAAGAAGCTGGGACTCATGTCGTTCTTAGAGCGGTAGTAACCGGAGGCACTTGCGTTGCTGGATTGGCTACAGGTATCGGTTATGTCGTCTTGCGTCTCGGTATCCCATCCATGGCCTTCACGTCTGGAAGTCACCGTCTCACCAGCACTTCGTGGGCGAATAGAGATTGTAGATTGATGTGCATTCCGGGTGGTACGCGAGACGGGGACGGTAGATGTGCTGTGGAGGAGTGTTCCTTGTTTTCTGTGATCTCCAGCCAGTGTGTCATTGGAGTATTGGTAATGTCTTAATGTGCTCGTGCTGATGGTGTCAGGTGTTGGAGGTAGTGTCTGTTGATGCTCAAAGCTTGCTTGATCCGTGAAGACTCGTCGAAGGGCATCTCGTGACTTGCGTTTATCCTGGACGCTGACTGCTCGTTCTGGCTGAGGTCGGGTAGATGCCAAGCTGGTGTTGTGCTTTTCTAGTGTATGCTTCAACTTCTCTAATCGTTGCAAGGGGGATTCCAGAACATCATTGATTGAGAGAAACTGGTTCTTTCGGAGGGCAGGCGAAGGACGGACAGGAGTCTCCTTAGCAGGTCCATCACCAACCCATTTTTCGATGGAGGAAGATGCTCGATGTCGTCGTGGGGTATCTTGTGCATCCTCAGAGGCATCGAGTGACAACTGTTTATCTCCATATACACTCAAGAACGAGCTCTTGCTCAAAACACTTAGACGGGGGCTGTCCATTCCACTCATGGTCTCCTCCTCCTGCAACTTCGGCAGAGTTGCATCGCTGTATTGGCTGTGTGGAAGATAAAGGCTTCGCAGTGCCTCCGTCCCCTCGGTAGTCTCAGACAAGAACGATGGCATCCTGGTAAGCCCATTCTTTGCCACAACCAGCTGATGGTCCTTGAGTTCTGGTGGCGAGCTCGGTGGTCCATCATCATTGCTCGGGCGGAAGTAGCTGGCCTCAAACTGCTTGTCGAAATCCTTGACATGCTCCCTCTCCTGCATCAACCGCTCGACCTTATCCTCCAGCCCAACAATGATCCCGACAGCCTCCTCGACCGCTTGATCCCTCTTCTCCAACTCCGCCAACAATTGTTCATTGACCTCTTGTAGCTCGGCCTGTTCCTCCACCTGCTTCTCCAATGCTTCCAATCGTGCCTCGAGGGTTTCTTGTCGTTGACGGCGATGGTATAGCTCGAGCTTGAGATCGAAGTTCTGCTTGTGTAGGGAAGATACTTGCTGCGCAATGTTAGCATTTGCCTGTGACAGATCGAACGAACGAACCAACCTCCTCGATCTGCTTAACTCCCATTCCCTTGCCAGCAGCAATGCCACTCGAACTTGGTCTGCGTTCCTCTCTCGCCCGCACCGGTGAGCTTTGCACACCCCTCTCTGCGTCCATGTCAATGCTTCTCCTCCGACTCTGACGCGCGCTCTCCACCTTCCTCTCCCTCAATCTCTCCTGCAGTAAACTCGCGCCTCCAGACGGTGCTCGCGTCGAAGGATTCTGTGACCGCGCTGGCAGATGCGCAGCCGAGTTATTGCTCGACGTAGGCGTCATTCTGGTATGGCTGCTGGCGCTCGATTCTGGCCGAGGAGCGCGACTCCGTCTGGATCCTTGGCTGCTGTCCTCCATGCTGGTCCAGGGCGCGAATAGTATTCTCTGAGTTCTCTCTTGCGTTTTGTTTGTTGTTTCCGGGGCAGAGCAAAATACGTCGGTGGCAGAATGGAATGGTGGCAGCGCTTGCGCGTGGACTGGGATGTTGCTTGCTATGATCGCGGGTTTGGCAATAATTCGAAGGGTCTTCCTGGGCTTCCTGGGCTTCCTGGTCTTTCGTCGGGCGGTGAGAGGGTGGAAGCCGCCTCGCCTGCAGCAACGCGGGCCCCTTTCCAATTGTAATTTACAGCGCAGATGCGAATGAATGGCAGATCGCTGGGATGCGGTGTAAATGGCTGCTGTGGTGGTTTTGTCGGCTTTCACATCGTGCAGCAGCGATGCAGTGCGCCGGCGAGTGAGACAGTCGAAGGTGAGAGAGAACGTATCGAAGGAGGGAAGATGCAGGATGCAGGATGCAGGACAGAGGCGGCTCGCCCCAGCAAGATATGCGCAGAGAAGATCAGGCAGTTGGTGTTTCCCACGGCACTTGCAGCAAGCAGCCTTTGGATGATGGAGGAGGCCTGCCGTTGTTTGGTTGGAGGGGATGTGCCAGAGCAGGGCCGAAAGCTACTGTAGCACGATGGCCCAAAAAAGATGGGATTAGAGGATGAGGCGTGAGAAGGTTTGGGTTTCTTGGGGGATTCGTGAATCGTGAAACCTGTTGGCGGGCTCTAGCGCGGTGAGGTTGGGGTTTCTTTTTCCTGGGTTTTACGTCTACATATCTATCTGGTGCTCTGGTGCTCTGTTGCCCTGGTGCCCTGGTGCCCTGCTGATCTGTTGCTCTGCTGCTCTGCTCTGCCCCTCTGCTCCTCTGCTCCTCTGCTGCATGGATTCCTTCCTTCTTTGTCTGTCAGCAGCCTGTCAGCAGCGCAAACACCTCACGAGCAGGTTCTTTGATCCCCTCCACTCCCCTCCCCTCCCCTTCCCTCCCTCCTTTCTTTCACTCGTCAATTCCATTTTTTATGCAGCCTTTTCACTAGTCCGCCCGTGCAGGCCCACGGCCGCCAAATTGGCCCTAATCTTGGCCTCCTCCATGGGCCATGGCCTCCTCCAACGGCGCTGCCCGCTGCCCGCTGCCGGCGGGGAGCTCTCTTCCCAGCTCCCTCCCAGGTCGTCTATTTCAGGGGCCCGTCACAATTTGTGATGCGCCCCCCTATTGGCTGCGGCCCCGGCCCGTTGCTTGGATCGCACGCTCGCCCGGCTTGCATCCCGGACGCCTGCAAACCTTGCATTCGCGGAGAATTTAAGCCCCTTCGGGTTAATCCCCTTCCTTCCCGAACCATGTCCCTGGGAGAACCTGGCTCATGCCGTGCGAGGGGAAAAAGGGGCTCGTGCAAGCGAGGGACTGAGATGAGGCAGCGCACGTGAGGGTATGGAGGGTATGGAGGGGGTTGGGTGCGGGGCCGAGGAGGGGGGAAAGGATGAGGATGAGGATGAGGATGAGGAAGAGGTTGCGAAAGTGGACGGAGAAGATGAGGAAGGTGACCCGTGCGTGAGAAGGTTGTGGCGTTGAACTCAAAGGGTGTACTTGCACCAGCTTGTACTTGTACTGTACAGTAAATTGGGAGCTGGTTGTGGATCGGCCCTGAACACCCATTGCAAAATATGCGATGTTCCGGTATTGCCATGTCCCGCAAGACTCAGACGAACTTGTTAGTTAGAGACTAGTCATGTGGAAAGAAGGCGAGGCAAGGTGGGATCCTAGGTAGTGGGCTTAAGAAGTATGCTTCGCAGCTTGTCCAAAGTTGTACCAGTACAACATGGGAAAGGTCATTTGGCTAGCCCTCGAGCTTGTGCCCAATACGCTTGCGGAACGTCCCCTGGTTTCCCACGCAGTAGAACGTAGAACAAACGTCGCACATTAATCCTCGAGAGCTTGGCACGACAGGTGAAGTATGAAAGAGAAAAAATGTGTTGAGTGTTGTCAGGTGACTTGGTGTATCTATACAAAGCACGCCTCTGTCTTTCCTCCCCAAAGCAACGCAAAGGCTCAATTGTACCCATACTCCAAAAAGCAATGATCCGTGAGTTGCAGGCTCTCTCATCCAAGGCAGCCACTCACCACTTCAGCCCAGCCCCGCCACCCCCAGATTCACCCATCCACTCACCAACGCCCATACTCGTTAAATTTCTGGCATACTGACGCACCAACAAACACCATCGTCCACTTCACCAATGCGCAAATGCCTGGAGACGTCCACGCCGTTCGAGGGGTTTTGCTGGCTTTGCTCGACACGCTGTCCAATGGGTCCATCCTCAACATGCTTTTCGGTATGTCCGTCACGCTGTCCACTGTGTTCTCCCTCAACAGGCTCTCTGTTTTGTCCTTCCTCAGCATGCTCGTCGTTTTGTTCTTCCTCCAGACGCGGATGATCCTGAACGAGGTTTTCCACGGCCGCCAGATCATGTTCATCCAGGCCATTCTCGCCCTGTGGTTTCGGCAAAGCCCCACCACGCAGTCTCATTCCTGGAGTCTCTTCCTCGCCATCATCGCCCGAAAATTCTGGAGGGTGGCCATAGTGTAGTTTAACTTGCCTGACGAGGTCCTCGTCGTAGTCATATCTGCCCCCAAATTTGTAGCCGAGTAATTTGTTGAAAGGATTCACGAAAGTAGATGGGTCTTCGGCCTGAGAATCCTCGTCCCACGAAGGATCCCCACTTCGCCGCCAATTCTCCCACTGCGGGTTACCACCACCCACCGTGAGGGGTCTCTTGTCTTGATCGTATACCTCGAGTTGTGCCTGCCAAGACTCATCCAATATCTCTTCCGGTGTCTTGTCACTTGTTTGCTTGCCAATCTCAGGAACTGAATGCATCTGAACATCCTGGCTCGCATCCATCCAAGTAGTGTCCGGGTCAAGCAAGTCGGTTGTGCAGTTTTGGCGTGAGAGTGGTTCGTCGGTAAGCTGGATTCCGGAAAAGTCTGTTCCATCCCACGATCTCTGCAATGTCGAGTAGTCGGCATTTGCGAAGGTCGCAAACTCATCAAACGAGAGTGGATTTGGGTCGGGTGTTGTCAATGGGACCGGTGGGTTGGAAATCGGTCTAGATGATGGAGTTTGGGTTGATTTGGATGCGCGGAGTACACCGTTGTCGTCCAATTGCTGTACTCGATTGGACTTTTTGCCGGGCTTCGACATTGGATCTATCAATCGTGTTTCTGGCGAGCTACGTGGCGTCGTTATTGCTGCGACAGAAGATGGGTGCGCGTGGTCATCAATGGTGATGTTTGCGCGTTGCCTCTTCCCAGTACGCACTTCATGCCGACTGTCCGGCTGGTCCACGTATTGTGAGAAGTTTAGATTGACAGGTTCTTGAATGTACTCATCAAAATCCACTTCATATTCATGAAGCGTCTTGGTGGTTAGGCTGTATCTGAATCTCTTTCTGCTGGCGCCAGTTAACGGTATTGTGTAGGCCGTACCCACATATTCCACGTCTTCGTCGACTCCAGAAACGTCGGTCGAATCCTCCCACTCTCCATTGGGGTGGTTTAGCAAATTAGTAACTTCCTCAGAGACATCGATGCCAGAGTCGTGTATTGCCAGTTGTGTTCCTGCTGAAAAGCTATATTGCTGTTTATCGCCATCTTGAGTCTTCACGTCACTATCGATCCCATAAGTATCAACCGATTCCGTAATGTCTCTGAGGTAGGAGGGTAACCGATTCAAGGCTGCCTTAAGAACACTGATGCCAGAGTGGTTGGGTGTTTGTTGTGTGCTCGCGTGGGCCTCCACTTCCCCATTAACTCCACTCCCAACGTTATCAAATGCCTTCCTATCCTTTTGAACCTCGTCGCCATTATACCCCGAGTCATCGCACCTGCTGGGACTTGCGACTGGACTGTATTCTCCATCCTCGAGCGACTCTCGAAGCCGATTCGTCAATCGCCGCGTATCACGGGGTCGAAAGCGCCCAAGAGGGGGCTGCGGTGTAGTATCCGTCGAGATCGCTCGGGGGGGCTCCGACATATTGATGTAAGGGCTCGTGAAAGAAAGGATGCTGGAGTATTCAAAGTTGCATTTGAGGATGGTAGGCTGAAGGAGCAACGGAAAAAGATGTAGATATCGACCTGCAGTGAGGCCAAAGTTAGGAAGGAACGATCAAAACACGGGAAATCGGCACGAATCGAGTTTCCCCGACTAACCATCAGACGAACTAAGGGGTCATTAAGAGCGGCGAGTTGTTTCCTGATAGACCCATTCAAACCCGCTTCTCCCATAAATCATTCCAGAACTCTTTCCACCCATACAGTGGCTTTTTCGAGTCATACACATTCGCCCGCTCGCCGGCAAATCGATCCAAAACAGAGCCAGGCGTATGCCCGATCTTCTCAACCAGTTCCTTCACTGGTCTCGTGGCCCTTTCCTTAATCTCTTCCGCTAGTTGGGGTGCGGCATCCGCATAGCAAGATTTCAACTCCCGCTCGAGAGAGAAGTAAGGTTTCTTGGCAAGCTCGGGGGCCATGAGGTTGTAAGATCTGGTGAGGCTGTTGAGGTTCGTGATGGCGAGCTTAAGGTAGGATAACTCTGCTGCTTCCCAAGTGGGGATTCGGAAGGGAGCGGGGAGGGGTGCTCTTGGGGTTTCCAGTATTGGTGTGGATGTATCTGTTGTTGGCTCCAACACGGTGGCCTCTCCATTCTTAGTCTCCGAAGATATCTGGATCGCTGGCTTCTCAGGAGAGGACGTAGAAGGAGCTTCCTGAGTAATCTTCACCATGACTGGATCACTGGTGGCATTTGTAGGAATAGAGATCTGCTCCACAGCCTTTCTCTTGTGGTTGTGAACTTTCTCTGCTTCCGCATATCGATCTGCGAGTCCCATCTGTTCTTGGAGGCTTCCACCTCGACTGGCAATCGTCCTCGCCGCATGTCTTTTCCAGTCATTTCGCAGTCTCGCTCGAAACACATTGGCTGCCTTGACAAGTTCCTGTTGCTTCTCGATCCATGGCGGTACAATATCCTGGCGTTGAATCATCTTGTTCATGATGTATTCGGTCGTATCAAGAAAAGGATTATCGGCTCGGGCATCTCTTTGAATAGCTTTCCCTCGTGGGATGTTCTATATAGAATGTTAGAACAGACCCTTTCTCGGGTAGAAGATACCTACCTTGAATTGCCCCCGTGCAATTGCATCCTCAATCCTCTCATTCGCCAGTGCAGCCAAGCCCCGAATCGAATTCGGAATGGCCCTCGCCCCTGGGGAAAATCTCTCCTTCAGTTCCTTCCGCATCTCCTCCCTTTCTTTCTCTGTCATACCTGAATCCTTCGAGGTAGTATATATCGATGTCTTGTCCCTGGCATTGGCCAATCTCTGCCCAGGTCGTTGTTTCGGTTGGCCCTTTGGCCTGAGGTCAACAACTGGAAGCTTGGATGGACCCCGCAGACCAGGCTTCAGCGGCTTTCGAGCATCGTCAAGCATTCGCAGTACTGCGTCTTCAGGAGCTTCTGTTCCTGTCCATGCCTGCCCGGTGGCAATGTCTCTTGATTCTCGTCCAACGATTGATGTCATCCCAACTTCCGAGAAGGCTGCTGCATGCTCCGATTTAAATTTGGCGGCTTCGATCCTTTCCAGTAGTTTGCTCTTCAATTCATCTGAGAACCCAGCTTCCTCAACAGCCTTTCGTCCTGCTCTTCCGCCTTCGAGCAGTGCATCTTCGGTGGCTTCGGCGAGACGTCTGGACATTGCGCCTTGCTCTGGTTCTGCATGATTTTCAGCTGAAGCTTTCAAATTATTGGCATTTGGTAATTCGGTGGATGGAATATCCTCCCTCTCTTCTACTTTCGTCGCATCCTGCTGGGGATTTCGGAGTGGCAGAAGCTTGGAGAATCTCCGCACTGGAGCTCCGGAATCGAGTCGAGATCCATTCCAGAGCTGAGAAGCTCGCATACAGCGGACGCATGTATATGGCAGTCGGGATCCTGTTACGTGCATATAGAAAAGAGATTGTGCGGATTGAGGTCGTTGACGGAAGAAGGCTAGATGGGGGAAGATGAGCGGTTGAAGATCTTCAACCCCTGTAAGGACTTTCGATTAGTGATAACGTTAGCGGATCTAAGGTCCATCAAAGCGGCGATGGATTCTGAACAGGTCGGCACTTGGATCTTGTAATCATGGGTCGTTAATTTTTCAATTTGTTCCAATTGTACCTGTCCTGTCTTGATCTCTTCTATTCAGATAGTTTAAGTCTCTTCAGCCAGAGACTTCTCTTTTTTTGTTTATACTACACCCATTTCCACATCTCCCCTTTGTCGACCCCGCTTGAGCCGCTGCTGCTTTTAGGATCCAGTTGGCTCCTTCCTCAGTCTCCTTCCTCACGCCTCCTTGATTGAGTTCACCACGGTCTCGCAAAGTACAAGGCCCGAAGTACTATCAAACACCAAGAACAGAAACGGTCGATCAACTCGCATTTCTTTGATCACTGGTCGGCTCCTACTTTTTCTGCTCTCAGTATCAGTACTCTCAGAACTCCAAGCAGCATGCAACTTGGGAAGAAATCCTCAGGCATTCTTCTTCCCTCCCGGAATGGAGTTCACAACCGCACCACAAAGCACCAATCCAGTGACACCATCAAAGACCAGAAATAAGAACGGTCTATCGACAATTATCTCTGGAAAGTCCTCGATGCTCCGGCTAAGTCTATCCTTAACATTGGACCAAAAAAGTGAAATTTACACAGAAAAAAAAAGAGCGAAGCTCACCTCATAGCAATAACAGTAACCGCTGCCATCTCAGTGCCCTCCTCGTTGACCTCAAGGAAGAGATCATGCGTCACCCGACTGATCCTCAAAGGCCCGGTGCTGATTGGCGCAAAGTGTTCCGAAGCCACGAAGGCAGGCCCGAGTCCAAGTGTCTTGAGAGCGGGAATCAAATCGAGGTTGAGCCTTAGAGCGAAGCGGGGCAAGCTGAGAGAGATCTTCTGTGTACGTGCTGCTGCAGATGGGTGGGGAGACGAAGTGGACATAGAGGGGCGTGAAGATGAAGATGCGGCAGCCTGACCACCGCCACCGCCCTTGAGAAGGGCCAAGAGAAGGTCAGGACTTTTGGAGAAGCTCCTCAGAATATCCCGCATGGCGTCCATTCCGTAACGTTTCGGGAGGATAACAGCTGCCTTCCACTCTGGCCCAGAGCTCCCCGCCTCACTGTCATACGGCAGAAAGCAAGCTTGCATCTCCTTATCCTCGGCATATTCCATCCTTTCCACCTTGTTCATCATTGCGCACGCCTGCGTCTTCCCCTCCCAAGTGTGGAAAACGCTCTTGTCCATCGTTCTCCATTTCTCAAATGGATTCTGCCACTTTGCTTTGAAGTACAAACATGTGATGAGCATCAATACGGCACCGGCCAAATCACGATCTTTGATCAAGTCCTTGAACTTCCCTCTCGTCTCACGGTAGATGAAGTCGTTGATAGGTTTGATTTCCAGCGGCCCAATGGTCGCTCCGAATGTGTTTTGGATGGTTTCCAGCCACGGTTTCTCGAGGATGAAATCGTCGCGATGCCAAATCGAGCTGCCGCTGCTCAAGTCCACGGCAGTATTCTTTTTGGAGTAGGCGTCCAGCTGAACAGTCTTGTCCACCATTGCCTTCAGACCATCGGCGTCGAAACCCAAGGTTTGACAGAACGCTGCGAGGTTGTTGTCTTTCGAGCCGGCTGCGACCATGGACAGGCAGTGGTAGATGTTCATAGCACAGAGCCCGGTGGGTTTTTCAGGGTCCAAAGTGAGGGCTTGAAGTTGGAGGCCGAATCTGTTCACGACGTCCACAAATGCTGGATCCATCGCGAGAGCGGGAGGAAGCTGGCGATTGATGATTGTGAGTCGCGCGTGTCGTGATCAATAGTTGAATTGGGCGTGGAAGGAAAAGAAGTGCGGGGGTGATTTGTGAGAAGGGTCCGACAAGTGTGCTTGTTCTTCGCAACCGAGACGCAGCCACAATCCCGCCCATTCGCTGAAGTTGAGCCGTCTCAAATCCAGGCCCGATACACCAACCCAGGCAGCGCTCCATTCCCTTCCAAAACCCTCTCCACCGGCCACCTCGTCCAAGTCTCCCAACCCCCTCCAAGCTCAGTCATGACCGTTTTCAACAGGTTCTCCGCCTTCCCCTCCATCCACCACGTCCCGCCCAACCTTTTCAGCACCAGACAATAATAACACACAAGCAGCAAGGCTTCCGGCTTCTTTTCTGACAGCATTTGAACAAGCTCATCCGAGATGTGCGAGAACCAAGACATCCCAGATGCCAGTTTACCGGGTCCAACCGGGAAATCCACCATGCTCAATACTCTTGTCGTTACCTTGAGATTCTTGTCCAGAACCTCTTTCTGCTGTTCTGGTAGGTCTTTCCATGCTTCGGGCAGCTGGTTGAAATATACCTCATCATCAGGACAAAGAGGATCAGGACGGTCTTCATCAAGATCTTTCCAGTCGTCCCACAAACAATGACAGGGGCCATTCTCCAGCAAATGCCACATGGATGCCAAGATCGTTGTTGCCCCACGGTGAAGCCTCACCCACTGGATATCCGCGGATTGGTAGTTTGATGAAGGGTTGAAGAGGAGCGTTGAAGGTTTGTCTAGCGCTTGAGAAGCCCAAGTGTACAAGCCCAGGGAGGTGGAGTATGCAAAGCACGCATGACAGTTCTCGGTCGTGAGATTGGCGATCTCAGGCTGAAAAAGAGACAAAGCTGCCGCTGCGTGAGAATCAGCTGCATGTTTGTAGACAGACTGTTTCTGTGGCCGTAGATGTTCAAGATGGCGAGCGGTTATTGCCAGAAGCAGGTGCATGACAAAGGGGTAATCGAAACCATATTGAACTAGTACAGTCCGGTGAAGCTCTCTGCCAGAGGCGAAGTCGATTGATACTTGGCAAGTTACCGTGGTCCAATGATGCAGGAGTTCCATGTCCAGTATTGAGAATTTGGTTGGTAGGGAAGCGCTTGATGCAGGACTTGAGACGGATGAGATAGTCGGCTCAGGTGATGCTAGCATCGAGGCCACCGTTGGGACTCTACTCTTCTGCGGGTGAGTCTGAAGAAACGAACATGGTGATCCATAGGTCTCGCATTTCTGGCATGTTGGTTTCTGTTCATCGCACTGCTGAGATATGAGCAAGAGCTGAATTGTGGACTTGTGAAGATGCAATTTCAACGGAGCCTCGGCATCCGGACAAGAGCAAGAATACGAAACGCCCAAGTACCTTGACTTTCCGCTGCTTGCACTGGGCGCAGCCGTTCCGGCTCTTGTGATGCGGGCGTCTGGGCTTTGATACCGGCTCAGCCATTTGATGAAGCTGGAGTGAGTGTCGTATGTGAGAGGACGTGATAAACGACCGATCGGCGCGTTTTAAGGGGTCTCCGCTAAGCATGGGCCGCATTGGGGTCTGAGAGGCCTCCCGCCCGCAGTTCAGGGGTTCGTTCCGGCGTGGCGCCGGTGGGCGCAGCTGAGACTATTGCTTAATTTTGAAATACGATGGATTTTCCAAGATGCAACTTGTTATCTGCGCTCGACTGGGGTTCAGGAACTTGGAAAAGGCCAACTGAGTGCATGCAATGTGTATTATTAGTAGCGTTTACTTCGTGCTCTGTTTTGTCAATGCCTAACTATTGTTGATTTTCTCTTCCCTGAAATACCCAACGCTCGCAGCTCTTTCGGCGACCTCCCTCGTTGTAGGTCTCACAACGCTATTTACTCGTGCTCTGCGCAATTTTGTGCTCTACAGGTGAGAAGTTTTTGGCCAGTGAGGAATTCATGGGTTCATGCTGAACACCGTCCAGATACCACCCTTTCTTGTTGCCTGTTTCAGTTTCGCCATGCGGTTCACCTACTACCACGTCTTCCAAGCTGCAAGGAAGGGGTCAATGTTCTTAATTCCACACATCATAAGAGGCTTCTGTTCGTTTAAACCCTTTGCCTTCTTACCCCGCTGACAATCCAATTTGAAATCGGCGGATACGAGCAATTGCCCGTAGCAACGAAACTAGCATCTCAATCTATGTGGTGCAAGTCATCCTCCTCCTGGTCGCCCCGGCGCTTTCTGCTGCAAACATATACATGTCCCTGGGTCGATTGATTCTGTTGACACAAGGCGAGAGCATGGCTCCGATCCGGGCAAAGTGGTTGACTAAAATATTCATGTACGGAGATGTTCTGTCGTTTTTGGTGCAGTCTGCAAGTATGTACACCTTGCGCTTGAAACGGCAATACTAACCTCTGTAGGTAGCTCCATGGCGTCGAAAGCTAGCAGCGTCAGCGATGGGAGTCTTCTCATCAAGTGGTCGGTCTCTTCTTGCAGACCATCTTCTTTGGCATCTTCATTGTTACCAGCAGAAGCACATGCTCACCTTGTATCTCACTGGCATTTTGATCTTAATTCAATCCGTATTTCGGGTGGTCCACTTCACACGGGAATGATGGACCATTGATATCGAGCGAGGTGTATCTGTATGTCTTTGATGCCGTGTTGATGTTTGAGGCTCTCGTCAGCCTGAATATCATACACCCAGTAGATACTATCGGGAAAGGCGCTCTTAAGCGACAGGGATACTTCGACTGAGGCGTTTGGATGAGAATAACCGACGGGATGAAAATAAGTGATTCGGAGATAGAAGACTAATAGGGAGTTAGAATACACTTTGTAGGTTGAAGGGTGGAGTCTCTGAGCTTTGCTTGCGTTAGATGGCTGAGATGTAATATAGAATTTGTGGCAGTTTCCAACCGTATAATCCGCGGCAGGGTCTGAATCACCCCGATATCTGGGGATCTACCAGCTTGTCGTACATCGGGGCCATCTGAGATTAACATTCCGCGCGTTGAACGATAGCTGCTGCCCAGTCGAACATTAGTTTGTAGGTCATTGAAGCTGCCAACACTCTCTTGATTCGCGTCTAAAAAGTGAATGACTTGACGAAAAGAAATCGACCCCGGTAGTTTCGTCTGGACGCGGTGAGGATATTTGTGCTTCACCTCGCAAGTGGGGATGAAAAATTGCATGTTATGAGCTGAAATGAGAAACACCTGGAATAAGATTGGGAACGAGGAGTGTTGCAAGTACTCTTGTACCCATTTGAAGTTTTTGTAGATTTCATAAGTTTGCCGACATAGAATGTGTGCAACCTCTCGAGCAAACTTTTCTTCCTTCTTCGTTTGCATCTTGGGTCGCTTGCTCCGGATTGAAGAATCAGTACAGTTCGACTAGAATTATAAATCACACATCTTGAGATCTACTACGAGATAGATACGTCTCTTCTTCACGATGCATTCGAACGAGATAGATAAGATCCAACATGTTCTGCAAGATTGTAGTAGGATGTTTGGAAGTTTTATAGATGATGAAATGCTGCAACAGGGTTTTGTGCGATAATGTAGCTCAATGCTGGGAGAAAAGCTTCAATACGCAGGTGAGGCATACTGGAGTATTCGGGACATAAATACATTACACGTATTGCGGAGTTTCCATGAAAATAAAAGGCCTCGTTTGAAGGCGATGTGGAGAACATTACTTCGAAGCAGCGTGAACAAATGTCCACGCAAAATACATTTTATTAAAATACTTCACTCACATTAACCCATTCCGACTACAGTATAGCCACCCAATCGTAATATTCAAATGAATGTTTTTATTCCCATCTTGCAAGTCATTAACTATTATTGTCCCATGTTTCGCCTCAAAGTCCGTCGGCGTTATATCCAAGACGTGTCGGGCTACCGGCGAGATTTGTAAGTTTCCCTTGCGTGGAAACTGTAACAAGGCGCTGCCTCAACTTGCTTGGTGTGAGGATATTCTCCTTTGCGATGAAATACAACGCGAGGCCGGAAATATGAGGAGTAGCTGCAACTGTTAGCAAGTTTCACAGACATCATGTCAAACTTACCCATGCTAGTGCCACTCATATAGTAGTAGCAGGAGTCACAAGAGTTGTATGAACTGAGAACATCAACACCCGGCCCAAAGAGATCCACCCTCGAGCCAAAATTCGAAAAGCTTGCTCTGGCATCATTGATGTCAGATGCGGCAATAGTGAGGACATCTGAGGCGGATGCAGGAGACTTTGTCTTTGCATTTACGTTCTCATTGCCAGCTGCCACAACGATAGTCATTCCCCCTTTAACAATTGCGTTCGCAAGATTGTTAACTGGGGTGTAGAGGTCTCCCCCAATGGAGATGCTTTGAACCGACTTGTGGACGATGCCTCTAGCAACAGCGTCATTGTAGGCTAAGGGAGTTAACATAACCCCTTCGAACTCATGAAAAACTTACCCCACGCCATGCCAGCCATGATCCAAGACCATGCTCCCGTTGAACGCCCCGTGCCATCATTGGTTGGGGTCAGTACTTTCACCGCAACTGCATTCGCTGCTTTGCATACACCAACTGATTTCCCTATTATTGTACCTGCAACATGCGAACCAACTGCTACTCGTTCAGCCATGGATCTGTCCGGCACCTGGGTGTAAGAAACGGTTCGCTATTAGGGCTTCCTGGATGCATCATGTTAGGAAGAGAGGCCGCAGGGGAAAGAACCCAGTGTGCCCTTTGCTCCAACCGCTTATCAAAAAGGTTGGTTCGCACCACGATTATTCCTTCAAGTTCATTATTCTCGACGATGGCGATGTTCAACATGTTGCTGATGACTACGTCTATGAGGAGGAGGAGGAGCTTGTTCTTGACGACGATGACGAGGAGGAAGAGGAACCTGTTCTTGACGACGACGATGACGAGGAGGAAGAGGAACCTGTTCTTGACGACGACGATGACGAGGAAGAAGAGGAGCCTGTTCTTGATGACGACAATGATGAGGAAGATAATGATGAAAAGCGGCCCCGTCGTTTTAAACATGTTATCGAGGTCGCCGATTCTGATGAGATCGAGGTCGAGGAGGATTGAAGACCAGGACTTGGCTGAGACTCTCACCGGAGGGATCGCCACAATCGACAAGGTCCTGTTGTCAAGATCGTTGCTTTCGACTTTCGGGCTCTGGGTGCAAATACTGATTTCTTGTTCCTACATCTATGTAGTTCCTCTGCATGCATTTTAGCTTTGGCATTTGTATCATGGAGGCTGTCTTTCTCGTTATTTGGCAATTCAAACAATACCCTAGGAGGAGGAGCTGTTTTGAGCTCCGATTATCCATAGCATTGATGTACTTGCTACTACAATCAAATCTTTCAATCTACGCAAATCCGCCTTCTAAACAAGCTTCTCAGCACCGGTGCCTGCCTGAATCCAAACCTCGACCTCCCACCGGTCGTCTGTGAGCTTAAACCAGTTAGAAAAGGATACCCCTTTCAGAAGTGATACTAACAGGCCCGCCTGGGACGAAGTTTGCACCCCAACGCGCTCGCCCTCCAAATTCGGAGTGTGAGGTTCGAATGCCTGTATCGACAACATATGCGGTTGTTCCGGCGCAAGCAGAGGTATCATAAACGTAGTTGTAGATATACTTGTTCCTGTGGGAGATGCGTCCAAGGCCCCAAGTTGCCGAGTTTTGCGAGACCAGGAAATCAGCGATGGGTTGCTTGACCTCCGTTCCATTTGCCGATGGGATGGGCGCACTAGAGACATGTACGTCGTATTCTACAGATGAGATCTATCATGTTAGTCAACTTTCTTATTCAGGGGCGGTGTGACTTACAAGTGGCGAGGTTCCGACCTTCCCGAGCCCGGGTAGATCCGTCTCCAGGGTAATGGCTTTGAAGCCGTTGATGTTGATCTTGGCTGTGGGCTTCTTACCGAGCTTCTTGGCTATGTCATTGTAATGGTCATCTAGCTGTTTGTCGGTGGTGTGGTTTTTGTAAAGAACAACCCAGCTGTTGGCAATAATTTTTGCTCCCTGAGGCTCAGGGGCGATGTTTACGCCTGGAACAGAGATCGGTGAAGCATACCCCACGGTAAGAAGCGTTGCAATTGTGAAAGTGGTGAAATACATTCTGAATGAGATTGGGGATTGTATTTGAGAGCAGATGACTGTAAAGCTTGTTCAGCTGGAGGGGAGATGAACATGAGTTATATAGCTCCATGGCCATCCTTCTCAGCCAAGCATTGAGACATCGTATTTGATCCTCAGGGGAGTTCTCCGTGCTCATCAGGTGAAAGAAGCCTCACAATGCTTGGTGTCTTAGAAAATAGGTGTCCATCTCACGAATCAAAGATCGAGACCAAGTTGCCACAACCCAATGCCAAGCTGCTGCTCTGTGAGGCTGTGAATGGAATATGGCTGGGCTGGGAGGATGAGAGACACAATGCAAATTTTTAAGCGGTAGGCGCATGAGACATCCAGGTTCGGAGATACAGGTGCAAACAGAAAAAGAAAATTGTAAAGGCTTCGTGCGTTGCACCGAAATATATGCTACTTTAACAAGTATGCAAGAACTGGCCAAGAATAGGTGGAGGTAGAAAAGTCCATAAGCAAACTCTTTGTTGCAGCAAAGACTAAAGTGTCTAACTGAAAGAAGAAATGCTAGCAGGCATGGTAGCCGAACTCAGGCGAGGAAGTTGAGAGAGTTTGGAACAGTTCTCTAATTTCAGGAACTTGACACTTGTGGCCTCGCAGCAGGCGCTAGGTGCTATGCTTTGCTTCGCCTAGTCTGCTGGCTGAAGGACGGAACGGGCAATGGCTGCTCCTAGGGGATTGGTTGGGAAGAATCGGTGGCGTAACTCGTCTGAAAAATTAAGAGGACATGTCTTGGGTTTTCCGCATTTAGACGGCCAAGGAAGATGCCTAATCATTTGCGTACCAATAAGCCACGAGTAAATAATTGTCGCACTCCGAGTTCAGGAACAAACCGATAGCCTCACAGGCCAAGATACTTGGAGGCCGTGAAAGATGTCACTGACAGAGGCTGGATGGGAATCATGAACCCAACGCCGCAAAACCCGTCCGAAAGGCTGCATAATATTGTTTCTTGGCAAAGCTATGTGGGATTAGCTTTGTTCACACCGAAGGATGGTAAACTTTACACTGTACAAACTTTACGTAAAGTAGTCGTACTTTACGTTATGTAATGTACTAAAGCTCGTCTAAAGTAGCGCATAAATAGAGTATAATTCATGCATAAAGGAGAATATAATTCAGGACACGTGGTCCCAATAGTTACCCTCAAAGGCCTGAAACTCCAGGTTATCATATTAATTAGAGAGGCCCTAAAGGCCCTAAATGCCCTGAAAGTCGCTACTAATCCCCCCCCTAAATCTCCTGCAAGCCCTCAAGTGTGCCCCGGATTGTGCCCTAAACCTCTGGAATAGCCTTAAATATCGACCCGTCATTGATACAAATCTTCCTCGCTACCTGTAATCATCCTCGTTTGATCCCATTCCAATCATTGAACACATTACATACATAATAGCAATCAGAACCAGGTTAGCCGTGGCTGCAACATTTGTACCAAAACCGGTGTGTCAAATGAATACTAAAATTACTCAAGTTACTTAAGTATATACTCATCCAATATTGAATAGAGTATAAGTAGGACATATTTTGGCTGAGTAGAGTATGAATAGGACCCACTACTCTTCTCTAATCTACTAATTTGACACACTGACCAAAATGAATCTGTTCAAGGAAGCCTTGCATAGTTATAACAGAGATAATGTTCTGTTCGAGTTATATGCAAACACGTAACCCAGAAATCTTCAACCTATCAATACGCTTGCTTGTCGTCACAGGATATGCCGAAGCATAACCCCGCGGATTGAAATGAGCCTGTACATGTGGGAATTGGGGACAGGAAAACTCGAAAGCGTGTCCTCCAATAGAGTTGAGACGTTTTATCTCCTGGATTAGGTCTACACAGATCTTTTTGAATGTGCATGTTGTGGGGTAGTTGGCCGGTCTTGCATCCCATACCGGAAGAGATAATTGATGCTATTCGGTATCTCTATACAAAGTAGGAAAGACCAAGATCAAAAAAGTTCGGTCCACCGGGTGCTGTTTCAACACTTATTAAGATGCCTGTTCCTCAACGAGACATCTTGCCTGTGCCGATCGGTCCTGAGATGACTACAGAATTCGAAAACTAGGAGCCCATTGGAAGACTTTGAGGTGGTCAGTTTTTCTGGCACATACGGCATCCGCGAGAGGGGTGTTTATTTTTAAGGACGATTCCGAGCCGGCATAGCTTGCGGACCGCCGAGTGTCGGAATTGTCTTGGATTCATACTTAATTATATTTGATTATAATTAAGTATAATTTAGTTAGCTTATTTATAACTTGATTTGATTTAGATGGTCTAATTAAATCAAATCAAATCATTTAACATATTGTCCTAATTTAATATTCCCATTATAGTATGCTCTCTAAGCAAGCTATACTAGTATACTGCTTAAGAGTTTATTCTTACCTACTTGTATAATCCACATAATATAGAACAAGGAGCTGTACCGAAGACACGCGCCGAAGGCGAGTGATAGGGTCGCCTTGGGCTATAAGAAAGCTACGGTACACGTGAAAAAAGCTCCCATTAGAATAGAGACAAGCTCTAGAGCTTCCAGTTCAAGCTTACTCTCTAGTTATCTTCCACACAGAAAGAGTCTTGAATCCACGTTGGTCTAAGTAACGTAGTCACCCCCAAGCGCTGCAATTTCTAATTATTCAGGAATAATAAGGATGGGCCGGGTCCGTCAAATCAAACACCACAGTAGAATGTGGTTTCGCCCCACCGCGATCATTGATTCCACCCCTCGAAAACTGCTGTACAAAATCGATACTGCGATTAAAATGCAAACTCCCATCAGGATTGATATCAATATACAGCGCTCTGTAATCAGCAGGTGTGTTGACCAGTCCATTGTCTCCGGTTTGCAAGAAGTAGTCATTGACGATGATGTGTTTCTGGTCAGGAGTGACTTTGATGTAATGCGGTCCGATTGTTGGTTGGATGGTGCTTGGGTCATCGAGTCGCTTAACGTTGTTGAGGTCAGAGATATCGAGGGCTGCAATGTGGTTATCTGTTGTGAGGGTGAAGTATGCATATTTTCCGTCCTTGGTGATATCGGAGCTGGAGGGGTTAGGTTAGTGACGTGTTTAGGGAGGGAAAGGGGGACTCGCTAGATTGCAACTACGTTCTCGGCTTTGGGACCGAGGTCGTACAGAAGCTCTGCTACACCTTGCTTGCCGCTTCTGTCGTAGCGAAAGGGGTAGATGATCCAGACTTGGCCCAAGGCGACTGCTGTAGCAACAGCAGCGGACTCGGGGTTGCCGGGGATGAATTTGACGTCTTGGATACCGCCTCCCTGTTTCACAGTTAGCGCGGCAGCTTTAAAGTTAAGTTCGAACACTTACGTTAGGAATTGTAATGGTGCTAATGACTGTGCGAGTATCCAGTTTCCAGAGACGCAAGGTGTTGTCAAGCACTATCCCAAGAGATGGCTTCAGGATCGTGACTGGAACCACATAGTCTGAGGTGAGGATAATATTCTTGTTCCAGTCGACAGTCAGGCCGTGAGGGTTGAATGGTTCTTCGACAGTGTTGAGAGTTCCAGCAATATCTGTAACGGCTGGAAATTCGCCAATGATATTGTATTCTGAGTCGGTTTCGACGAGTCTTCCCGGGGAAGCGCCGGCTGCTGAGCCCATGTAGGTGATGATGAAACCTCTGCAGAATGTCAGTTCGTTGCTAATAATAATAGAAAGCTTTTGTGGCTTACCCGTCTGGTTTAGCGTGAATCTCATCCGTCATTGAGGACAGTAGAGCCCTGTTGCTGTGGGAGAATTTTGGGCGGTATGGGTTTGAGACATCGAAATAGTAGGCAGTGTCCTATTAAGTGCAGGCGTTAGAGGAATCAAGAGTATAATGCTTATCTGTGAAACCCACCTGAGTTTTCAAGAGGGAAAGTAAACCACCTCCAACTAATGTTTTTCCATCTGCGCTGACACCCAGATGATGAGGCGAGTTGCCACTGGTGGGTACATCTGTTAACCAGATGAATTGGCCGAAAGTATCATCATCAAGACTGTAAGTCGCTAAGAAATCTAATAGTTTTAGCATACTGGTGGAATTACTCTATGGTCTTGCATACCTGCATATTGATTGTCGCCAGCCCCAGTCCAAAAATATCCAATCTTCTTCGGCTTAGTGTTACTTCCTGTGAAGGGAATAGAAGGGAGTGGTGGACCTGGGACCTGCAGGATTGGCAGAGCTGGTGCGTTTGAGATCATAGGATCGGTGATACCAAGAATAGTTGGAATAAGTAGGGGCTCAGAAAGCTGTGGCTCAAGGTCGGGAACTGGTGAGCCCACAACTAGGGCTGTACCATAAGTAAGTGCAAGGTAATGAAGAAGCATTTTGGGTTCAGCAAGGATTAATGCACTTGGCAATTGGGGTAAGAGATTTTGAGGAACTTTGCGGGTATTGGGCAGCTGCCAGAGTTTATATATCCCATCTAACTCCAATGTAAAAGTTTTCCATTCTTACAGTTGTGGGTCACGGCGCAATTACGAGCGGTATGCGAAACAAGTACAAAAGCTCGACTTTTAAGCGAGAGGTAGTAAAGCTCGATTTCTAAGGAGGACGCGGCTAAAAGCTTTGCAACTGCCAAGGTTTGACGCCACACTCGCTTTAATAGCAGGTGCGTTGCACGGTAACAAGGCCTCAAAAGCTTGTCATGCTTAAATAATAGCACTTAAGCCTTATAAACATTACTAATAGCAATATTCCTTTAAGCTACTAAGGCCCCAAGCACTGTAAATAGACCAAAGTTGTGTGGCGCCTTTAGGCTTGGCGCTCATCCCTACTAGTTACAAGACTTATCGTTATATCCGCCGTATTAAGGCCGATGACCTCTTATCCGGCTATATTACCTAAAGCCCAAACCTTAAAATCTATAACTTTACTTTTAGGCATAAACTTAAAACTTTAACTTAATTATATATAATTTATTTAATTATATTATAACGGCGGGATCAAGGTAATGGTCAAGGCTCAAAGATCCGAGAGTTCCATATATTGAGAACACTAAGCTAAAGAGAAGAAGGAGGAAGAGAGAGAGAAGGAAAGGGGATAAAAGGGGGGAAATACCAGCTAAAATCACTGAAATGCCGGCTAGCTAGGTGAAACTAGTCAGGTGACAGCCGCCCCCAGCCAGCGCCGTCACACATATAATTTATTTAAATATATAAAATATATATTTCTTACTTATTAAAGAAGTAAATATAAGTGTTTATTTTGAAAGTTATTTAATTTTTATATAAGCTTTTAGAAGCATTTATATTTTTTAATATTTTAATTAATTAAAAACTTTTTCTTTAAATATTATATATACATTCAAGCGTTTGCTTCTAGTCACGTGGCGCGGTCATATAATCTTGAAATATTTATAAATTATAAATTATAAATAAGTAATTTCAAAATAATTCATATATTAAAATTACTTAATTCTTTTAATACTTTAAAGCTTTTTAATATATAATATAAAGGATCTATAACTGGGAAGGCAAAATGTGCTATGTCTCTATTTATTTTATAATGCGCTTCTAAACCTGGCTCTAGAAGTGAATAGTAAAAAAGAATAAAAGGAAAGCAGAGATCTGAGGCCCTTCTTTCTTTATTAGTGATATCGATCCTGCACTGAGCTGTCGGACACGAAGAGGACTCTCAGCCCTACCGCATCCACACAATCCCTGCTAATTCAAATTATCTCGCAATTCATAATACGCTGCTCTTGTTGGTCGAGATCTTGAGCCAGAGAAGAGCGGCTGTATCTTACCCTCAACACTATTAAGAAAGGCAAGAATGGGATCAATCATACAAATTGGAAGTAGTCATCATTTAGGATAATCTGCTTTCGGAATCTATCCAAACATGCAAACTGTGCGGAGGTGCAAACATGAATTGTCTCCGTGAAAACGAGTGTAGTCTTAGCAAAGTACTCCTCTAATCGTAATGTTACAGTGAAGAATCGAAGAATCCATCCCAAAGCCTTTTGATCCATACTGATACAGGTACAAAGCCGCTCTTGATGCCCTCAAGAAAAGAAGGCAAATTTCGTACACAGAAACGAATGTGGGTGTCCTGCCACCGAAAGGATGTTCATTCTCCCCAAACAACGGTAGAAAAGCGAATGTGAATGCCCTCTAAACTACTGGGCAATAGTGAAAAGCTGATCCGCGTTACCGTTGCAAGCTCCTTGATCCAGAATCGGCGGGTTCGGGGTTGCGTTGCTGGTCAGGCAAGTTTGGCCGTTGCTGTTAAGTGGAGCGAGGAGTATCGAGTTCCCTCCTCCGAAAGGAAATTGTTGGGAGTTGGAGACTTGGCCTGAGCCGTCGCCTCTACCGCCGCATGCGAAGACCTGAACCTTGGTAGGGTCCGCACGTCTAGGGTCGAAGCTTATGCATCCTTGCATCAAAGAGCTCACGACAAGAGTGGTGTTGGGTGTATTGTTGTGGATGCCAGCGGTGATGAGATCGAACTTCTCGTTCAGACTGCCCGTGCAGGGTTGTAGGTTGACTGGGACCAAGTTCTGCCTGAAATCGCCAGCTGTTGGGTTGATGAAGAGGCATTGTCCGTTTGCTGCCTTGAGGGAGACGCCGGTGAAGGCACGGGTTGCTGTATCGTCTCGCTTGTTTGCTTCGGCAGCCGAGGATGGCTGGAGGGTTCCTCCTGCGCCTGAGACTGGGACGGGAGTTGAAGGATTGGAGGTGTCGGTTTTGATGATTACCTCGCCGGCGATGGCAGATACAGCAGGAGCAGAGACTGGGGAGGTTGCTGAAGAGGCTGCTGCAGCGTTGCTCGTTGCAGGAGCTGCGCCGGCGCTTGATGCTGCTCGAGTGACAAAGACGGTGGTGACGGAGTTGCATTGAGCGACAGCCGGGAGGTTGGAAGTTGCGGCGACAACAGCAGCAACTTTTGAGATGGACGATACAGCAAGAGCTGTGGTTGATGCCGGGGCAGATGCTGCTCCGCCACCACTGAAGCTGAATGCTTGCTTGGCATCACCGGTATTGCATGGGGCTTGATCAAGAACGTTACCCGAAGTGACAGTCAAGCAGGTTCCAGCAGCATTCTTTGGTTGGAGTGCCAATGGTCCAGCACCACCAGCAAATGCGAACAATTGGGAATTGGTTACAGCGCCACCTGCAAAGATTAGTTTTGCTTTACAAGCAGGGGGAAATCTTACCTCCGTCGGCTCTCCCACCACAAGAGAACATGATCACAGTATTTCCGGCGGCTCGACGAGGGTCGAAGTTCATACAGGCTTGGGTCTGCGAGTGTAAGCATCAATAGGGGAGCCAAGGTGCCTACATACCAAAGTGTTGACCAGAAGCATGGTTCCCGCCTGATCATCATGCTTGCCTTTGGTAATGACATCCCACAATTGTCCTTGAGATCCATCGCAAGTACCAGCTTGAATGGGGTTCAAGTTTGCACGGAAATCCCCAGATAGTTCATTGATGAAGAGACATTGGCCAGTTGAGGTCTGTCCATTAGCAGGGGTCTTCTACACAGGTAGAGAAACATACAGTTATCTCTATACCCGAAAAAGCACGCGTGGCTGTGGCATCTCTCTGTTGGGCCTCTTCAAAAGCAGCTGTGTTCAGCGCTGCAACAGTCCGGGCTTCGATAGGTCCCAGAGGAGAAGCGAAAGAAAGGGCGACGGAGGAAAGAAGGAGTGAAAGTGATGCAATCATGATGAATGTAAATGCGCTAGGCAAAGGAGTGTAAATCTGCTCAGCAGGAAGAACGTAGGCAAAGGAGTGGACGAGAAGAGATCGGCGGAGATGATGCCGAAAGTAAAAGATGGCCTTCCCAGCTGTAGATATACCTCCATCTCTACGCCAAGGTCGTGCCTCACGATCCTGCGCGGTAAAGGAGAAATCAGGGCGTTTCCATAAAGTTTCATGGCGCTCTGAATACTTTGGAGCACCCTGCCCAAGAGAAAACACTGTTTTTGGGCGCGAACGACCATGTTCGTCCAAAGTCGAGAAATCGGCTGGCGGTGAAACTCGGAGCGTTGGAGATCTCGTCTGATGTCTGGATTGTCGCCAGGGGCAAGGCCGAACTCAGGGCCCTAAGCGAGGATCTGATACGCAGGCGAACGATGGCGGCAGCAGGCGGCTTATCTGACGTGATTAAACATGATCCCCAAAACAACATCGATTGACCGCGGGAGACCCTGCAGCTGCCAGTCCGAGATCGCGACCAACGAAAGGGGCAGAGGATCTGCTTGATGCACGGTCGGACTGCCGAGGCTCTTGAAACTGGACGCGGTCTGTACTTTGCAGGCGGGATTTGGCCGCTTGCACGGCACAGTCCCGACATCTCCTGAGCGCGCGACAAAGCAGAGGTTCCTTTTGCTGACCTTCACAGAAGGAACCACCCGGAGTTCGAAGACCAGGGACGTTTCAATATATGTACGAAGGCCAGTTCATAATCGAGCAGTGTGGGCCACGATGTTTTGGCCAGCGGCAAGCCGCTACTCCTGCTTCCTGTTGGATGTTTGTCCACCATATCCATGGAAGCCCATCCAGATTGGGACGACTGGAGCTGAAAAGGGACCCCTCGAAGAATTTAAGGATTGACCCCACATCTTGGAACCCCCCCGCGCACATCTCCGAGACCTGATGTTTGATCGGATTAGATCGCTGCTGTCCGCGGGATTGGTCCGACCTCGGTAGCTCCTGGCGCTGTTGAGGCGGCTATGCTCTTTCCCACAGGTCCATAGGATGGTATGTCTTCGTCATGTTGACTTGGGGAGATGCTAATTATATCAGGACCCCAAATAGCCAGCGCTTCGAATGTCCTCGACCATTCCTTCATCCACCGACGAGCGGCGTTGCGCCGAACCCTTCCATCTACAACACCTGCCTCTCTTGATACCTCTGCGCGCGACGATATCAGCCTCGAAGGAAGAAAATTCTGCGAGATCCTGGAAGGGTGGATAGCAGACCATGCGATGATAAGGAAGCTGAGAGATGATATTCCGCATATCTGCAGACTGCCGAGCTATCGGAGTCAGGACAGGGTTTGGATGTGAGGTTAAGCACTGTTGAAATGACCGAGAAGGCACTGCTACGGACCTCTACTTGACATCGCTACCTTCCACGGATCCTTTTCCTGCCCGTGCGATCTCTCAGCAAATGGCACATGCAACGGACGTGGAGGGAAGGAATGTTGAACTCTCAAGCAACAGACCGGGTGCTCGATGCTTCATTCCCCTTGCAATGTGCGAGCCCCTTTCTCCCTCCCTTCCACAAGTTCTTTTGTCCCTCTAGGAAGGCTCCGTTCGTCCATCCCAAAGCTCATTTTGTCCTTTCGCACCCTAGGATGTGTTTGCCACTCGATTCGCTTTCTGTTCGTCGCGGGACATTCGAAATTGTCTCGAGTTCTCGTAGACACTGCGCTCGAGCAGTTGCTCCCCCAAGTCGATAAAAGATTCGCCGACCTTAGCCTAGTCGACTTTCCTTACCGTACACCAAGATTCCGACATCACCGAGGTGAAGGTGGAGGTGGCTACGCCAAATATCATGGCGGTCACCTACACTTAAGCAGCTTCATGGCCTAAAATTGCGACTCCTGTTAGCTCTGAGATCTGCTACTTGCTTAGATTTCTTCCTTCTTTCTATTATAAAGCAGCATTCATTTCAACTTCACCAAACAGACTGTATTCCTCCCAGGCATACAAAAGTAGCTCTCCCCCGTTTCCCATCTTTCTGGACACAACCATATTAAACTTCACTACACTATCAAATTTAAATGAAATAGAATGAGATACGTATGCGCTTAAGCGAACAGTCTTGCGCATGCGTTCATATAGCTCCTCTTAACCCCAAGAAGTCCCAACATCGACCGTACAGCAACATACTTTTGTAGAGATGTTGAAGGGACGGATAGAAATAGTGGAACATAGAGCAGAATTCGTGGGTGGAACAGATCTCTTGAAGATTGTGATCTCCTTCAAAAGCTTCGAGAGGCTTTGCGCAACTTGCATTGCCTTGTAATCTTCGCCAAAGATCCACAGGACTTAAGACTTCGCTCTATTCTGATGCAACCCACTAGAGTTAAGAAGGGTCAACAGAAACGGAACGGAGTATACAAGTATTGGGACAAAATTACAAGCTGTGGAGTGGGGATGACTTGAAAAATGTCCGGAACGAGGAATGGCTGGAATATGTGAGCGTCGGCGGGGACGGAGAATATATGGTGCGCACGGTATTAGGCCCCATATCCTCTGTTTGTAGAGTCTGATAAAGACTCAATTCTCGTCTCCCTCCTGGCCTGCTTTTGTTATTAGTTTTCAATATTCTGAGAGCACTTTCTATTGTTAATGGGACACGTCAATTTGGTTTTAGACTTGCAATTGAACCAGCAAATGCACTTGCCGGCATAGATGACTCTCCCAAATTGGGTCCGATGTTCAAGCGTTTGAATGTCCAGAATTAGCCTGGACATTAAGAAGTTCTCCCTTGAGTCTGTTATTCCTGCAATATTCATCAGGGATAGGAATGTAACAGTCGGTAAAGGGCAGCATTTTCGCGTGCTAGACGAAAACACGACGAAATTGGTACATTGTTAGATGAGAAAGTGTGGTGTGACAACCGAAAGTTCTTGATTTCGAAGACCACGCTGACGGAGTTTCCGGGCCGGTCCTCCAGACATGCAGATCCTCCACATATTTTTATATCTGATCGGCGTGGCCCTCTGGGACGCATAGTAAAGTGGGATGGGCACTCTGATTTTTGCCTCTCGGGGCCTAGCACTTGTTACGTCGTCAACCATGATTGGCGATCCCGGTTAAACTTCGGGGCGACTTCATGAACTTGCCTCTCCTATTTCTATCCCTTTTCAACCCCATCTTCTCTGAGTCTTTCTAAAGCAGAGCTGGCTCAATCCTCAGTCTGGAACAATTTTCCTCGGCCTTAGACATCCTTAACGCATCATGACAAGTTCGGCAGTGACGACTCTAACGGTTAATGAAGAGAATGAAAAAGATGTAATTTCTTCACGGCCCAATGATAACTCTGGGGAAGCAGTAGAGGATACCAAGGAAGAAGGCCAGGATCCCACGGATGAATCCACCAAGTTAGAACGATGGAATTACCCGAGGATCAACATGTACCGGTACCTCACAACACTTCTTTGCTTTATAAACATGGGAATGAATGATGCTGCATACGGTGTAAGTCTTCCCGGAACTTGGAGAGGACGATCTAACACTCCTAGAGGCTTTAATACCTTATGTAAGAACCACCTCCTGTTTTCATTCGACTGTTACTTTTGATTTCATTCCACACCTCTACTTTTTTCATCTAAATACTGGTCTTGCTTTCATCCATTTCTACTCCTGCATTCATTCCTTCTGTACTTCCTTGAGTTCAATGTTGGGCTTCACCTTGAGCATCTCTCTTTTCTCTTACCAACTATCTTACAGCTTGAAGTCTACTACAACGTAAACTACACCATCATCTCACTCGTCTTTCTGGCTCCCTTTCTCGGCTACACACTCGCCGCGTTCCTCAACAACACAGTACACATGCGCTTCGGTCAGCTTGGCATAGCGATCATTGGACCATCTTGCAAAATTATCGCCTACGTAGTAATCTGCATCCACCCGCCCTACCCCGTTCTTCCTGTGATTTTCATGTTCGCAGGTTTCGGGATAGGGTTGGCAGACAGCGGGTGGAACGCCTGGATTGGGAATATGCAGAACGCAAATGAGATGCTCGGAATCTTGCATGGTTGTTATGGACTAGGAGCGGCGATCAGTCCGTTGATTGCTACGGCTATGGTCACGAAGGCGCATTTAGTTTGGTATAAGTTTTATTATCTAATGGTATGTCTCCGTCAACCCGATTTTAGCACTGAATCCTGGACTTCTCATCCAGATTCTCCAACTAACCTCTCCAGGTTGGAGTTGCAGTTCTAGAATTGGTCCTTTCTATTGTCACTTTCCGGAGGGCAACAGGAGCCATCTATCGCGCAAAAAACCCTGGGACGCATTCTGAAGAAGGGCATTCACGGACCAGAGAAGCACTGCGTAACAAAATCACATGGCTCTGCGCCATCTTCCTGCTCTTATACGTCGGGGTTGAGGTTTCTCTCGGCGGCTGGCTCGTTACCTTCATGTTGAAAGTTAGGCATGGAGAACCTTTTGCTTCAGGTCTCGTTGTGACGGGATTTTGGCTAGGTTTAACATTTGGACGGGTGATCCTCGGGTTCGTGACAGGGAAAATAGGAGAGAAACTTGCGATCGCAGGCTATCTCCTCATTTGCATGGGACTTGAGCTCTGCTTTTGGCTCATCCCGAATTTTGTTGCAAGTGCAGTGTTCGCGGGTTGGCTTGGGTTCTTCCTGGGCCCATTATTTCCCGCAGCAATTGTGGTGGCTACAAAACTTCTGCCGAGGAGGTTGCATATTAGTTCGATTGGATTTGCGGCAGCCTTTGGAGGAGGTGGTGCTGCAGTTTTACCGTTTGCTGTGGGGGCGATTGCTCAGGCAAAAGGTGTGCAGGTTTTGCAACCGATTGCACTTGCATTGTTCGTGGCTATCTTGGCATTTTGGTGCTTATTGCCCGGAGGGTTCAAGAAAAGGGGATTGGAAGAAGTGCAGAGACAAAGGGACGAGGAAGCGAATTGCGGGGCAGATGATGAGGGAGGAGGCCTGAGTGCGTAAAGTAAGGCAAGGTGCCGAGAGAAGGAGGAAGAGACTTAGTATCGCATAGCCACAGGTCCGGAGGAGATATTGAATTGGTACGGAGGGCGGAATAATTATGGAGGTAAATCAAAAGTAGGATAGAATGCAAAAGTACCTTGCACCTAGTTCAAACTTTGATCCCGTGACACCAACAGGTGTTTCTACCACTGCCTTCGATGCCCGACGAAAGGATTTGCCAAACATACGCGCCTACCCAACTAAATCTTCCCCCACCTTCTTAACAATTCTAGAGGTACCCACAATGTAACGAGATTAAAGACCTCTACACTTTTCTTGCCTTTGTAACAACCCCAGTCCCAATTCTACCCTTACTATCGACAAGACCATAAGAATCTCAAGGTACCACCTTGAAGCCGCTCTTCAAAATTAAGACCCCTGCGGGAACTCAGGGTTTCATCTATAAAGCTGCTACAATCGAGAAGACCCAGCACCCGGCTATCATAAGAGCAACAGTTGCTAAGCAAGTCTCGGATAAGAGCTTCATTGAAAATACCCTTCCAATGATATTTTCTTTTCTAAATTCCTTGCACGTGATGCTCAATTAGTATAAGTGTAGCTATCCAGAGAAGTGCGAGGCCGAGAGATATCTATTTTAAGTAGCACAGCGTCATACCTCCAATCCAAACTTTACCCGACAACCCTGACGTTCCATTGGTTTAGGAAACAGATAATTCGCTATTAATGCCATTACGATGGAAATGTATATACCAGCATAGAAGTAGCATCTCGTACTCGGGCTCCTCAAAGTTGTTCCCCTTGAATACGAGATGATATTTAATATACTCGTCTCATGATCCTGATTAGAATCGACGGATGTGTTTGTGGCTCCTATTGAGTATAGCAGGGGGGAAACACTTACTGTTAGAAATGGATTTCTTTCTCATGATTTCATTATTTGGATCAGAAGAAAAAGGCTTCTGAAAAGTTGTTAGTATAAGAATCAGCCAGCCGAGACAGGAAGTAGTGCCATTGCGTTCATGGACATACGCGATTGAAGCAGATATTTCAAGTTCTAATTATCATAAACAAAATCCTCGGCCACGAGTTCAAGGCTTCCCACTCGTTATCCAAAGATCTCTGGGAAATTGGGAGAATATCTTGTTCGGGAGAGGGTTTCGTTAAATATTCTCAGAAAAAGTAATCAAGACTACTTTGTTGCACTTCTTGGCACACATGCAGAAGTATAAGTTGGCAACTAATAACTAATATAGGACGGAGTTTCATCTCACTTTTCAAAAGGAAGCGAATTAGCTGCTTCGAAGTGCAAGAAAAGTTCGAAACGGGAGTAGAGTGAATCTGAATTCTTTCGCAGATGTGTACTATTGATTTGGAGTTGTGGGAGGTACTTGGTAAGAAGCTTGAATGTTCTCTAATTCGATGAATGATCAGCGAACCTAGGAGGAACTTGACTTTAAATGGCAGAGTAGAATTGGAAACATGAAATTCCTCTGTAGGGATAGGGCGGGAGGGGGAGCATCTTTCAAGAAACGGAAGAGAACTGCTCAACAGGCAGGACTGGAGGAGAATTGAGTGGAATAGCAAATCCCGCCGGGTTTTGATACGCTGAAAGGCGTTATGGGCTGGATACTCATTGACACTAAGCGTTGAAGACTAAGTGTTCATAGAGGGACAAGGAAAAGAGTTGCCCATGCACACTTGCATGGTAGCACTCTGGACTGGAAGAAAAATCCTGCTTATTAGAATATCAATTGATATTTCTCGGGTGTAGATTCTGCCAAAAGTCTTCTGGCAGGATGGGGAGGGCTTGCAGGCAAAATTAAGGAAGGAGGTTCGAGATTTGCAGCAGAGTCTCAATGCAAACGAAATCGCTGGGCTCGCGAAATGCACACAATCTCGCGGTGCAACCGTCCCTCGGGCTGCTGACTTCATAGCCGAGAATCCCCATAGGAAGAGGACCACTAGTTTTATGAATAGCACGCGGTTTTGCAGAGAAATGATCTCTCGGATTTCGAGAGATGATGCAACGATTGCTTGCAAACGATACAGAGCTGAAGGGGATATCTGAGAGTATTCGTTTCTCTCCAAAGTACAAGAAATCTTCGTACAATGCAAACCAGTTCCAGCGCCAACCTCCTTTCCCATTGCACCTAACCCAAGTCCCCTATCCGGCAGCCTCCTTGACTTGATCTGTCTTCTGGGGCGGCTCATCAATAAACTGCGGCACTTCGTCCACCATAAAACTTGGCGTGCTCTCGGCGCCCATATTCTCAAACTCCACTTCCTCTCCCAATGCCTCCAGTTCCGCATCTAGCTCCGCCTCATCCACATCCTCTGGAATATCATAACTCCGGCTTATGCTCTCCTGTATATCATTGCCAATATCCATCAAGTCGGCCATCTCATCCTGCATCCGCTCAATCTTATCGATATTGATCTTGCCGTATTGTTGTTTCAGGCTCTTATTCGTCTGCTTCATCGCATCCACCGTTGTCATGACGTTCTTCAGGTTATCTTGCATCATGCCCGCTTGCTCCATGTTCCAGGATTGTTGTTGAAGTTGATCTCTTTGTCCCTCGTACATTTTCCGCCGTTGCAGAACCTTGAGTGCTTTTTGTTTGATGGCGGTCTTGCCGGGGCCGTCGCGCATCTTGGAGAGCTTTGTTTGGTAACCAGTGAGTTCGGCGTTAATGGCGGCGAGTTTGACGTCGATTGAGGAAACGCGTTCGTCGACCTGTGGATGTTAGAGGGGAGATGACCGAGAGGGAGGAGGAGAGGGAGGGGGAGAATTACATTGGATATGGCGGAGTTGAGTGTGGGCTTGGGTGCCGAGCTCTTCGCGCCGAAGAGGCGATTCATCTTAGCTGATTCGTTTGTTGTGGTCTTGAGTTGTTTTGTTTCTGATCTGATCCGTAATTAGTCCGCAGCGTGTGATCAGAGATGTGCCACCCTGTCCTCCGCTGCGCGCAGGTTCCAAGCTTCCTTGTGCCGGGAGAGAAGGTCGAGGGCCCCTTCTGTTGTACGCAAAGAAGCCGACGGCTGTACGTGTACTGGCTTGCGCGGCTCGCGGTCCGTTGTTTCTCTCCAGAAGGGCCGTGTCTCGAGGCTGAATCCGGATGGCGGGCTGTTGTTTTGGGAGATGCGGTCGCTTGATGGTAGGAGTGTTTCTCCGTAGGCTTGGCCTGTTGTTTGAAGCTGACGTCCAAGCTTCTTCTCTTCTGAACACGCCGCTGTGTCTTGTTTGAGATGGACCCTCGTGGCTGGTCGTAAGGCTGCCTCGTGTGCTTGATCCCCAGAGCTTCCCTCCCAATCATCGTCATTACCCCAAGGCCCGAACAGGCCTAGCTCTCGGTTAATCACGGGTCACGTGGAAAGAGCGTGCGTTCAGGTTCTGCGATCAGTCAGCGACTCACGACGCTGCACAGAACAATCACTCCTGCACGACGTGGCAGTCGTGGGGCCAAGACTAAATGCTGCAAAGGATCCTGAGGATATATATCGTGAAATCAAAATCAATTGCAAGAGCCCTACCACCCCCTTTCAATTCCGTGTCCCCCTCCCAAACCAATTAAAGGGGCCCAGTTCTTACAGTCTCGCCCGCCCACGCTGCTGCAGGGATTCGTCGGGAAGCAGACGCCAAACCCAGATCATATCAGCAAAACCTCGCAAGAAAACCGACATCCTGCAAACCACCACAACACCGCGTGCCTCATCGACGACGACTCCTCTTCTCCAGCCCATTGTACTTCTACGCCTTCTCTTCTTGTTGTTCTTTTGATACCCGCTCTTTGGATCCCGTCGTCGCCTTCTAATCCTCGCCGGTAGCGCGTTGCCAACTCAGTTCTGGTCTTGAGCCTCCACATAAATCCTGTCGCCCCCTCTGATCCTCGGCACACGACACCATCGACCCTTCTACACTGTACAATACCCATTGAGCATCTCGGCCATCTTCTGTACGCTTCCTTCCCCTCATTGCAGCCTCGCGGACGCACAGGCTGCGCGCAGGGCTGAACCGGCCTTGTTTAAGGCATCAATCGGCCTCCACAAGCCACCATCCCCAAGGCGAGCTCACCGCTGACTCTCTCCTCTCTCCCAGTGTCCGCAGCATCTCTTTACGAATCACGACTCGAGCATAGATAGATCTCTGCCCCGCGCATCTCGACCTCGACTCTACATACACAGACGTCATCCTTCGTTCGGGAATATATTTTGCGACTCTTGTAACGACCTCAATATACTCGCATGACCATTTCGCAACCCCTCTGCGGCCCCAGAAACGACATCTCCCTCGATCCGCCGCCATCTACCCGGTGGCAGACGAGCGCTGTCACATAGTTCAAGATGTTTTGGCGATTTGGCGGCTATGCCACCGTCTCTGCAATCGATACCCTCCTTGAGAAGCCTGAGGTCACTCTTGAAGAGCTGCTGGACGAGAGTGATCTGATACAGGAGCTCAAGCAACACAATACAAAGCTGATAGAATATTTACGGGAGGACAAGATCTTGGAGAGATTGCTCGAATACGTTGTTGCCCCGAAATTGGAGGTCGTCGCATCTGAGAAGCCCGAACCTGCAGCAGAAAAGGAACCCGAATCAGAGAAGGGCAAGGAGCGCTCTTTTTCCAAACCTCAAGAAGCAGCCGAAGATGACGAGGACGAAAGAGAGAAGAAGCGGAATCGATACGCCTACGTTGCGGCAGAAGTTCTGTCTTCGGACAACTGGTCAATATGCGAGTCACTGATGGAGAACCAAGCTCTGTTGCGAAAGTTCTGGGACTTTTTGAGGTTACCTCCACCCCTTGATCCTTTACAAGCCAGTTATTTTACCAAGGTCAACGAGGCTCTGCTGGACAAGAAGACAGAAGAGATGCTCGACCTGTTCAAGTCCATTGATGGTGCAGTGAAGAATATGCTGCAGCATGTGGATTCGCCCATGGTCATGGACTTGCTTCTGAAAATAATAAGTTTGGAAAAGGCGGAGGGGGGCCAGGGAATAGTTGACGTATGTTTCGCGCATGAAGACGTGATTGCTTTGCTAACAAATTCCAGTGGCTTCATTCCCAGGACCTGATGCCAATTCTCCTCTCATTCCTGTCTTCCGAACACTCCTGGGCGACACAGACTTCCGCTGGCGACTTTTTGAAGGCGATCATTACAATTTCCGCGAACGCGTCGCAAAATGAGCAGTCGTGTATTGGTCCAAACGAATTAACAAGACAACTGGTGTCACAACCATGCATCGAGAAGCTCATTTCGGACATGTTGAAGGGTGGGAATCCTTTGACGGTCGGCGTTGGCATTGTTATTGAAGTTATACGGAAGAACAATTCCGACTACGACCCAGATGTTGGTTCGGAAGCAAATTCTCTGCCCTCAAGTCGGGATCCCATTTATCTTGGGACCCTCCTCCGGATGTTTGCTCAAAGAGTACCTGATTTTATGGAGCTTATCCTGAGTCCCAACCACACAATTGGAGGTGGAGATGGCCCTGTGAACATACGGAGGAAAGACCTCAACGCAGCTTTTGGTGGCAAGATCGAACCGCTTGGATTTGACAGATTCAAGACTTGTGAATTGATGGCGGAGCTTCTTCATTGCAGCAACATGGGTCTTCTGAACGAAACTGGCAGCGAGGAATTTGTGAAGGCAAGGGACGCTGAGCGTGAAAGGCTGAAAGCAGAAGGCAAACTCAGAGTTGCACCAAATCAACCAACTTTGTCGGAGGAGGATTTGACCATGAAGTCTTCAACGCAAACGCGACTTGGATCGCCTGATGGCACAAGGAAACTGGAAGTTCAGAATGCCTCAGATGATGACGGATTCGAAGAGGTCACACATGCTGCAGATCTCGGAGATGACGCCAAGGATGACTTCGATGAGAAGCCAGAACCGGGAGAGGATCTTTTGACCCCAACGAGCCAGTCAATACCGCTATCCTTCATGGACAAGGATGATGAGGAGTTTGTTGACGAGCCGTTAAGTTCTCCCCGCCTGAAGACCGAGGAGCTGGATCACTCTCATCTACACGATCCCGAGATGGCCGTCATACCTTTATCACCTACAAAAGATCTTTCAAATCAAGTCGACACTCTTGATCTCAAGGAGGAAGACACAGCAATGACCTCTCCACCGCCATCAGTGGATACACACGCCGAAGATAGCGCCCCCTCTTCTCCTGAATCGAGCAAGCATATCCAAGAGCCATCCAAGGAGTCAACCCCAAGCTCCAAGGCAGAAGATGAGAAGTCGACTGGACCTGAGGTTTCATTACGGGAACTCACTCCGGCCATTGAAGCGACGGAAACCCGTCCTGAAGATGTACCAGCGCCTTTATTCGCCAAGAAATCCGAACCGTCCCCTGAAGTGATACCAGTAGCCGAAGCACCTGGGGTTGCCCAGAGCGTGGAAAGTCTTGACACGACAATGGGAGAAGCTGGTGATAGCTCCAATTCGATCATGATGGGCAACACAGATGAGCATAGCCAGCAAACACCCCCGGAGGAAACTCCAAGTGCACCTGTAGTTGGGGATTTCCTTAAGATGCAGTTTGTGGAACACAAAGTTGTTCCAACCATATTAGTAAGTCCAAACGTTCGGCTCCGAGAACCACAAGTAACCGTCACAGGATTTCTTCTTTCGATTCCCATGGAATAATTTTCTACATAATGTAGTCTATGACGTTGTACAACAGGTCTTCAATGGTCCCATGGACCGCGGGTATAATCGGTCTCTTGCCATCGACCTCTTCGAGACGGGAGATATCACGATGCGCATCGTCGATGGACAAAAGAAGAGTGATGAAGCCCAGGCGAGAGACAAGATGCGCCTGGGATATATGGGCCACCTTACTCTGATCGCCGAAGAGGTCGTGAAGTTCACGGAACGACATCCACCTGAGTTACTGTCCGAGTCAGTCTTGGAGAAGGTAATGAACGGCGAATGGATTACGTACGTTGAAGTCACTCTCGCGGAGACGCGAGAACGAGATAACGCCATTCTGGGCGGAGTCAGACCAGATATGTCTGTTGGACCTCGGCAAGCAGTCATGAACGCAGTCAATGCAGCCAACAACTTCGGCGGAGCTTCATCTGCGTTGGCCGAAGCTGGTCTGAACGGAGGAGCTGGACTCGATAGTATCGATCTGGCGAACGGCAACGGCACAACGGGCTTCACGCTCAGCGGCGGAACTCTCAGCGGATTCGGAAGCTCGAGCGACGAGGAAGACGACGAAATGGACGAGGACAACGACGAAGAGGGTGGGAGGAGTAACAGTGGCGCGGCCGAAGTGGGTGTTTCTGTCCCCTCAGCCCCCAATCTTGACAAGTTCGACGACGACGAAGTTGATTATGAGTACTTGGAGCAACTTGATCGCGAGACCCCTCTGTTTCCGGAGGGTGGAGTCCCTGGTCAATAATGTTAACTCATGTTTTCTTGTACACTATCTTTCCTTGGCGGAGAGCTGGCAATACGTGCGAGATGGTTTCCAGAAATTAGATGATAATTTCGAAGCCCCCGTCTCCTGCGATCCATTGATCGCTCGTCTACTCCATTGAGTGGACTTTGTGTGAATTTGAATTTGGAATATCGTGGACTAATTTTCAACCCCTAGTTTTCCCGCTATATCTCAACACCCTCAACAACTGTCGCAACAAGCTCCACCTCAGCCTCAGACCTTGAACCGCCTTCGGCGCCACCGCCACCACCTCCTCCCTTGAATATTCCGCCCTCGCGAGCCCGAAGACAACTAGCTGCTCGACTGGCGCTGCACTCGAAGCAAAATGCATCCGAACCCATACCAACCGGTAGTGAGAACGGCGATAAAGCCGAGCAGCAACATCGGAAGAACTTGAACCCCTTTGCAACGGAGGAGGACGACGACTCTGGGAACGAGGATGAAAATGAGCGGGATTTCTCGATCGGAGACCTGGATGTTGAGGTTGGTGCGAGGGGATTACCTGGTGGTGGAGAGATAGGGGAGGATAAGGGCAAGAACGTGAATGTGGGTACTCCCCCTGCGATATCTTCAAGCACCAACACAAACACTACCACACCCCTGGGCATTGGACGTGCCAGTTTCCCCAGCATGTGGCCCTTTGGCGCCAGTACTAGCCCTAGTCACAAAGGAGCAAGTTTCGCCGTGGAAGGGGGAGTGGACGACGGAGGAACACACGATAATCAATGCCATTTCAGAGGTTCGAGTGCTAACGGCAACGATGTGCAGAGCGATGAGAGTGATTCTTCTAATTCTTCTGACGAGGAACTTGGGTATGGAGACCGAGAACTTGAAAGGGAAGGAAGGGCAACGGAGTTTGGGAGTGATGGGCAGGGTGGGAAGAGGAGGTTGAGTGTTACAACGGAGGCGAAGAGGAGGACGAGTCTTGAGGATGACGACGATGAGGAGGATGGGGTTGTGCACGTTGGGATGGAGGTTGGGAAGGAGATTGCGGGGGAGAGGGAGGGGGGGGATGATGAGGAGTTGGTTGAGATTCAGCATGCGGAGATGCAAGGCGTTGAAGGAGAGGCTGTGGGGAGGTGAAGTGGGGAAAAAGTGTACGATATAGTTACATTGGGATTGTACAGTAGAGACACATGGTATATTATCGAGATTCTACAGATGTCGTTTTTCGTGACGTTGACTTTGAGTACGTTGTAGCTTGAGAGATTTAAGGGGTTGAAGTTCCAAGTGGGATAGCAACTTTGGCTGTATGTGCTGAATAGATGTATTGGTGTCTTGAGCTCTTTCACTTCTCTTGCTACAACATCATTCAATGACATGGTTTGGATCTTGTGCCTGAGTGTTGTTGAATTGTAAGATTACCAAGAAGCGAGGTACATCGTGGGCCATCTATTCTTCCGGTTCGCGATTAATACCTGGAACTGGACTCCCTTCATTCTCAACATCATCATCGTTTTGTACTACTCCCCTCACCACTTTGCCCTTTTGGTCCCGTGTTTGAGCTATCTGACGGAACAGTTCTGTGAAAGAAAGGGGTAGCAGCTTAGCCGAATTGGGAAGCACCAGCCACACTCGATGACTGGGAACGCCGTGGGAGAAGGTGGTGAAACATAGGCAATGATGTATCGGGTCCGTTTCTTTCGGGTGGTGGCTGAGCACTTCGACCCTGGCTCAGCTGATATGTTATTGGCAACTGCATCGCATGCTTTTCAATCGACATCAAACATTCTGTCGCGACATAGGATCTTCGACCAGGCGAGAAAAAGCCACGAATCCCAAATGAGCCCGAGATCGAGATTCAAATCTTTCATCAACAGAATCAGCCCCAGAGATGCGTGATTGGAGGCAAATGCTGCGACTGGCTGGCTTGACCAGGAGAGTCAAGTCGACGAGGAGCCCCACCAAGATACACAGTAGCAGCGACTGCAGGGATGAAGGTTTGGGTTCGGATTTGAATGCTTTAGTATCAACTAAACAGCCTGACAACGATCTCCCTCTGTGTCAGTCATGCTGTCGTATCCCATTTGCAGAAAGGCCGACGTATGGTAGTCGCCTTGTACACCATGAACGCCTTCTTCACCGCTTTGTCGAGTCGCTCATATCCTCTTCAGACTCTTGCCCTCTGTGATCTCGATATAGCTATGGACTTTTGAGAAGTTCGAAGGTGCCTCTCCCCTCAGATCGGGTAGATACCTATTACAAAGCTGTGGGAAATGCCCATGAATTTGAGTTGAAGTGTTGGACGCTTTTACAAGCAAACCACTCTTCACTTGGCTGACGTTTTGAGGCACACTTCAGCTCTCAACCTAAGCCGTATCCTGATAATCGGGCTGCCTCCGCTAGCAATTTGTGGCGCATACCCTTGGCACGAGGACAACCCGATAGAATCGCCTAATAGGGAAGAAGAGGTTAAAAGGGCGGTATACAAATGTTATACTATTTTTGAGCTTTTTGTATAGAATTCTGGCCTTTCTCGTAAAGTTAGGGAGTGAAGCGTGGAGGACTATGCATATGTGTTTTTTTATGCAGGCATATATTACATGCAGGTCTCTCGTAATATCTATTAACTCTATTACGGCATATTCAAGCCTTAAGCTCTCTTAATTCTTAGGAAATACAGAACTCATAGTATTTGTTATTATAACTAGAAATAGAATATAAAATATATATGACTTCAGGTCTTATTATATAAAATCAAATAAGAGTAGCTTATATTAAAAATAATAATATATATTATATTACTAATTGAATATAATATTCTTCGCTAACTAGATACTTACTCGGCTGCTATAATTCAAACTCATAGCCGTGACCGCTAAGCGAGGCGCTATATCCCAAGATGGAACGCTAAGCTGGAAAAGGTAGCGCTGTTAGTATAGTCCACAGCGAGATCGGTATGTGGGGTTGCACCCCCTCCCATTCCTTTGTAGATTGTCTAGTTTATTACCACTTTCTTACTATTACGAGAATATCAAAAGTACTGCAAAGCTCTCACAAACGATCATTCAATCTAAGATGTCGACCATATCGGAGATAGCAAAAGTCACCGTTGACAAAATACTACTTTTCGGTGACTCAATCACCGAAATGAGCTACAACCAAGAATTTGGCTTTAATCTCGCACCGGCACTCCAACACGAGTATTTCCGCAAACTCCAAGTCGTGGCTCGTGGCTACGGTCACCAGTGGGTGTCAGAATTGATGGCGCACAGACCACAAACCACCAAAAAGCTACCATCTTTATAATATTACAAATATACAATACTCTTATAAAATAAGCCAATTTCAAAGAACAGATTACCTTTGAAGCTAATAAATAGTATAAGTAAGATATATTAATAATTGGGTTATAGAATATTTGTAAAGGTTTAGTATAATTATATCTTTTAAGTAGACTAGAATCTTACCTATAAGGCGAGTTTAAATATAAATTTAATTTAATTAAAATAAATAAGAGAGTATATTTCTATTATGATCTAGAAATATAGATTGATTTTGCTTTACGTTGTGACTTTATATTTTCTTAAAGTCGGTGACTTTGGTTGAATTTTGGTGAGGATTTCGCTAAACTGGGGCGTGCGGCATCAATTCTGACACCCACTGGTGGGTGGCTATACCACCGAACACGGGCGTTACATCGTTGGGCCGACCATGGATGCAGAGGAAGCTGGCGGCAGCATAATCAGGCTTATGACCATCTTCTTTGGCACGAACGATGCTGGTGTTGATGCGGTGTCGCTGGAGAGGTTTGCAGTTAATCTTACATTTATTGCCAAAATGGTAGTTGGGCGCGAAATTCCTCTCATCATTGTTGGCCCGGCGCCAATCAACGAGTACGTGGACGTTGCGGGGAAGGTTACGATGAGAAATCTAGAGTACTCCAACGCAGCCTCCAAGGTTGCAAGTGAGCTTGGGGTACCTTTCATTGATCTTTGGCATGCGTTTCTAGAGTCCAAGGGCTGGATAGAGGGAGATCCTATTCCTGGCAAAAGGGGAGACAAGAGTGGGCAGACCTTGGACGATTTACTCAGCGACGGGGTGCATTTTACTGGCAAAGGGTACAAGCTCTGGTACAATCTTTTGTTTCAGACCATCAGAGATAGATATCCAGAGTTGGGGACTGAGAAATTATCGACCATTCTTCCGCATATCTTCGATGTTGATAATTCGGACTTGCCTGCCAGTCTGTGGCAGGATGTGAAGGAGGAAAAGCTCAAAGTGGGCACAGAGATCAAATCAGAGTTATGAAGTGACTATCATATGCTGCTCTGGACCATGATTAAGCAGGGCTAGATTATGGGAATTGTTCTCTCTCTTTTCTCCAAAGCTCAATCGTCCAATGTGCCCCTCGTGCCCACTGCAGGCCGGAACTTGACTGCTGTACAATGGTGCTGGTGACGGGGTCCGCCAACTGACTCATCGATTTCCGCTTTCACGAGTTTGGTTGAAGATCTTTGACCTCCCTGACCTCCTGGCCTCCCCCTGTCGTTCCTCGTTAAAATGCGGGGTATGGAGAAAACGGCGACCCGCCGCCCTTCATTTTCTCCCCTCCTACTCCGTATCACACGTTGTTCACTCTATTAAGCGCAACTTTGATGTGCGCCCCTCATATCAGAATCATATCTCTAATGATCGACCAGCCTCTGCTGCACCTGCCTAGCATCCAGGCTTTTTACTGCCTCCAGCGTTCACCTGGCCAAGTTTGACTGCGCCTTGCTCCAAAGCTGTTCCCATAATGCCGACGCCCGCATGTGACTGCTGCAATATCAGAAAGGTCAAATGCCATGGCGACTATCCATGTGCTCGTTGCATTGACAACGGCCTCACGTGTACCTTCCTGAGACGGCGACGGAAGAGCGGACCTCGCAATATTCGACCAGGGTCCATGGTAAAGATATGGGAGGAGCAAACTGTGTCGGCACTTCTCGCCATGGAGGAAACGCACTCCATCGGACCATATATGCCTGGGCCTCCTCCTGTCCCCCATCGAATTCCACTCACTCTTCTGAGCATTCCTTTGCGAATGTATGGGGAGAAATTATACGGCATATGGCCACTGCTCAATGCTGAGAATCTTATCCAGCGACTCGAGGATGACCCGAGTAACCCTGAGATCTACGCGCTTGCCACTGCACTTTCTGGAGCCACTTTGTCGAATTTAAATCAAGTTATAGTCCACAAATCGCTCATGGAACCCCTGGTAGCGGAGTCATTTATCACGGAGGCCAAACGGGTACGCTCAACGTTTGACTACATGGAACCGGTCACACTCAACACAACTCTTACATCATACTTCCTACACATTTTCTATGGTCGGCAGCCGTTACGCACGCAAACAGCCATTTTCTACATTCGAGAAGCGATCACATTTGCACAGCTATACGGCATGCATATTGAGGATTCTTATTCACAGTACCCCATTAAGGACCAACAAGTTATGCGAAAGCTATACTTCTTGCTTTTCATGACTGAGCGATACCTCTGCATCAACGATGGTATTCCGACTGTTCTTGAGTCCATTAATCTGCCCATTACCGAGAACGAAGAAACTCCTGAAGTGGTCTCAGGATTTCTCAACCTCGTCACGCTATTTAGCACTCCTGGCACGGATTTCTTCAGCAAATGGACTTCACACAGCTCAAACGTCTCAATCAACAGGGAACGCCTATTGTTGATACAGCACGCATTACAGCGACCTTTGGAGAATCCCGATTATTCCAACGACATACAAAAAGTTGATATTATCGTTTCTCAACACTGGATGAGGTCGTTAGCTTGGAAGCTATCAATACAATTGGGCTATGTGATGCTGAACAGCAAACGAGAAATGAACGTCACATACCCTTTGGAAATTGCCCAAGATGCGCTTGGTGGGTTGTCCAAATTTTCGCCTGAAGCTTTTGAGGCACATGGGCCGGGAATGGAGGTGAAGATATATGAAATCGCCAATGTGCTGGCCGATTCTATTCTGTGCAAGCCGGAAGAACAGTCTTCCCTGTTGGTTGGACCTAGGGAAACGCTTCAATGTTTGGCTGGGATCTTGTTCTCCTTTCAAGTCAACAACCCAGACTTGAGGAGTAAGCTGTCATCGAAGCTTGATGTGATTCTTGGGCGATCTATGGTCCCGCGTGGTATCGATGCGGCTGAGAAGGTCAATGAATTCGAATGCGATGAGAATGGATTCTCACCGAGTTTGTTTTTGCCAGTGCCTGACGAGTCTCTAGTATTTGCATGACTGTCCGCTCCCGGATTTTCGTATATAGAACTATAGGATTATGAGACACTTGAAGTTATATCTTCGATGTCAAAGTTCATTCTTCGTAGTTTGAGTTGCAGCAGTGAATGAATAGATTTATCTCATTGCTATGGAGTTTCATCAAAAACCGGGGGACAAGATCAACAGGCATATCTCTGTTCAGACAATCCATGTACAGCCAACCCAGAAAGCCTTAAACTCCAGGGACGATATCATCAGCATCCTCAATAACATACGCCTTAAACTTTCTAGCCGGCGCCTTTCGCTCAAATAAAATATCCAGCTCCTCATAGGTCCGTCCCTTAGTCTCTGGAAGACGAAAAATGCACCAAATAAGAGAAAACACTGAGATCCCTCCGTACAAGAACTCGATCTTGGCACCTGCATTAGCTGCACCGGGGTTCAGCAAGTAAGGCCCAACGACAGAAGTAGCGAGACCAGTAATGGCGTCAATCACGGTTGCAAGTGCAATGGTCTTGGATCGAAGTTTGGTCGATGGTGTTTCGCAGACGACGACTATTCGGGATCTCAGAGTCAGAATCGCTTTATATAGGGTGACTTAAGAGAATTGGAACTTGATTTAGATGTTGTGAGCCTTGACTGAGAGTGGAAGGAATTCTCCCAGCTCTCGAAATGATATAAAATAAGGAGAGAAAGGAACTAAGAGGACGAACCGTAAGTAAGTGGACCTAGAGTCATCTGCCAAATGAACTGCAACGCGATGAGCAGCGTAGCCTGAGCCCACGCATAGTTCTGGTTCGTGGAATAGTCTTTTGCCAGACATATGAAGGCAACAATGAAGAGTATCGTCACAACAGTTGAAAGTCCGAAGATGTAGCAAGATCGACGACCAAAATAAATCAATGGAATGGCAGAGCACAACGTCCCCACAAAGCCCATTCCGTTGAGACCTACGCCCACATCAAACGCATGCTCGCCGCTAAGGCCAACCTGCTCAAAGAGATAGGTCGCGAATCCAACCGGATTGCCCGAGAAGTTTTGGATAACGAAGAGCAAAATGCAGATTTCCATACGGCGACGGTTATCACCTTTCCAGCAGTCTGCATATGTAGTGCCGACTTCAATCTCGTGCTCCAGTATGTCAGTTTGTACCATCATTGCCAGGGTTTCTCGCGTGTTGATGCGTTCATCAGGCTCAGAAAGTCTCTCGAGCGCCTGTTCTGCAGACTCCAACTTATTCTGTCGAATCAACCACCATGGACTTTCAGGAGCGAAGGGAAGGCCACAGAGAAGGACAGCCGGCCAGATCCACTGAAGGGCGAACGGAATCCTATAAGCCCATTGACTGTGAAACCTCGGAGTCAGCATTACTCAGTAAAAGCAGATAGGGGATGGGCTAAGCGAGGTTGCCCGAGCCTAACTGCGGAATTAGACCGCCAAAGGAAGGATTCACATAGATATTAGAACAGGGCTCATGAATCCGATTACAATATGGAAGGAATGACTCCAGGAAGTACGAACTCGAAACGATTAATGAAAGCACGCGTAACGCCCGTCTGAATAAATTGGCCCATGACGTAGCACAGGTTAACTGTAAAGATTCACAGTCAGTATTGCTTAATAAAGCTAGTGAGGGGAATTCTGAGCAAAGCTTCTCCTATGGCGCCCTTCGTAGCGAGTAGAACTCATGAATTTGGACAGGGCAACAGATGGATAACTCCGAGAAACACATACTATAGCCTGTCAGAAAGCCTCGCAGACTGAGTGGGAGGACCTCTGAGGCATAGGTGGTCGCAATAACGCAGTAACCGCCCCAGACAACCCCCGAGAGATATTGAGATGCTGTGAGGACACCAATCGTGGAGGCGAAAAATTGCATGAAGGTGAGGATGGCAGTGAGGATAAGACAGACAGCAAAAGTCTTCTTCCGACCGTAAATCTCCATTGGATATGAGACAATGAATGCCCCAATAATCTGTCCGACCAGGGAGCCCATGGACATGGCGACTTGCTTGAAAAACGTCAATGTTGGCCTTTGCGTGAAGAAATTGGAACATTACCCAAGCGGCGGGGATTTGATAGCCGTGACCCTTATAGAAAATACCAAAACGTTGTTGGAAAGCCGGAAGTGCGTAAAAGTTGCCCATGATCTCGATGTCGTAGGCACGCATGATTATCGAGAGAGAGATGAACATAGACCAGAAGGCGCCTCTTCGGCAGATCTTCATGGCTTCCCAATTTCCTATCTTATGCTCAGTCGCAGTGCCTCTCTTGGCCATGTCTCTATTTATCTCATCGAGCTTCCCTTTGGCCGCTGCTTCGCGACGCTTCTCCTCCGCGTCCAAATTGGAGGTGGTGTTCTCAATCATCGTGGTTTCCGTGGCTTTCTCCATCTGTGATAACAAATCGATGTGAGAAGTTGGAGGTGCTGATGTCCTACGATCAACCTAGAACTGGGAGATATATAGCTAAAGGTTGCCAGCGCCTGGATTGTCTAGGGTGAGAATCATCCCACAGTAATATTAATGTGCCTGGCACGAGTCTTGGAGTGGCCTCGAATGCACCGATCGACACTCTGCCGAGAATTTGCGCGCATGGTCAGGGCGAGGATTCCGGAGGGGAATCTTGAAAGATGGGGAGGCCAAATGGCGGCCTCCAATCTGTGCGCGTGATACCGTCATCTCTGTGCTCCGCGCCAAGAAGTGGAAATCTCATATCTGTAGAGCGACCAATACGAAGTGGTCTGTTGCGTAGCTATCCCCAGCTTCCCCCAGCTCCCCCAGGTTGAGCGCAGTTCGGGTAAGCTGATCTTGAACCCCTGGCCAACCCCGCCCGAGAATCCCGCCGACCCGTATTTAGAGCCGACGTTGACAGTGGATATCCCGCCATTTGTGTCACGAAGCTTCGGCAACCCCCATTTTACAGAGACAGGATTTTGCCAGCTAGGCAAACACGATCGCAAAGGGAAAACTTATGTACCGAGGAAGGAAGCCCCGCCAGTGTTAAATCTTGTCTTGGACGCCACGAAAATTCTTAATCGGAGAACTTTATGTACGTTCATGAACGTCTAGCCTCAGAAATGGGCGAATATCATGCAGCGTTTGGGACGCTGACAAGGTGCTCAGATACACAAACAAGCTGCGAGTTCCTCCCGCCATCATCACGTGCCGACGCCCCTTTCGAACGCTTAGATAACTGCCCCTTAACTACGACATAGAGTTTCGACAACTTGGACAGTTATGGCCGAGGCGCTGTGGTATAATGAGCCAGCCAAGGCGTGGAGTATGGGGCTTCCAATCGGGAATGGCAGAATTGGTGCCGTTGTACTGTCGGAAATCGACAAGGAAACCTGGAGCTTCAATGAAATATCTTTTTGGTCGGGCCGGTCTGAGCCATCACCCAAGGCTTATGGCGGCAAAGCTGCAATCAAGGAAATCCAAGCCCGATATCTTGGTGGTGACTTCACCGGTGGGAAGCTGCTAGCTGAGCAGTATCTGCAACCCCCGAAGAAGAATTACGGCACAAATCTGACTGTTGCCAAAATAAATCTAGCTTTCGATCAGTCATCAGCCGCAATTAGTAACTTCAGACGAGAACTTAGTCTAGACGAAGCTGTTGCAAGTGCTCAATACATGGTTGGCGACCATAACTACCGTCGGGAAACACTCGTTTCCAATTGCCACCAGATCCTTGTGTCCCAAATCAGCACCGATTCATCCCAAGGCATATCACTGACCCTCTCGATTTCAAGTGAGAATTCTGATTTCACCGTGGCGAGTATGGGAAATGCTCTCGAATTTCAGGCTCATGCACTTGAGAGTGCCCACAGCGATGGAAAATGCGGGGTACGAGGTCGAGGAATTGTCAAAATCACAGCGCCGGGGGGTTCAATACAGGTCAACAATGAAAAGTTGATGGTAAAGGATGCGAAATCCATTCTTGTTTTTTTGACATTCAACACCGATTTCAGACAGGCCAACAACAACTGGATGTCACTGGCTTTGGCGCAACTCAAACATGCACAATCATATACCTACGAACAACTCAAAACAGATCACATGAACGACCACCAGAGTTTGTACCGTCGAGTCAGCATCAATCTTGGAAGCAATGAACGCGCAGCATTGCCTACGAATGAGAGGCAATCCAGGTTTAAGGAAGCTGGGTTTGATGACCCAAGCCTCTTCGCTTTATATTTCCAATACGGTCGATATCTTACAATTTCAGGCACGCGTGCCAACTCCCCTTTGCCTCTCCACTTGCAAGGACTTTGGAATGATGGCGAAGCAAGTAAGATGAACTGGAGCTGCGATTACCACCTGGACATCAACACCCAGATGAACTACTTTCCTACAGAGATGGCTAATCTTAGTGAGTGTCACGCCCCTCTTATTGATTATATTGAGACTCTCGCCCAAGACGGGAAGACAACAGCAAAACAGTTTTACGGCAGCCCAGGATGGGTTGCGCACGTATTCTCGAATGTGTGGGGATTCACAGATCCTGGATGGGAAGTTAGCTGGGGTCTGAATGTCACTGGGGGTTTATGGATTGCCTCGCATATGATCGAACATTTCGAGTACACGCAAGATAAAACGTTTTTATCTGAAATAGCTTTCCCAATCCTGAAGAAGTCGGCAGAGTTTTACTTGGACTACATGACTGTCGAGCCGATTAGCCGCTGTCTCGTTACAGGGCCATCTGTGTCACCCGAGAACAGCTTCTTCACCGGAGATGCTAAGGATGGCGAGCAGCAGCTCTCCCTTGGCCCCACAATCGATACGATCCTCATCCGTGATCTCTTCAAATTCTTGATCAAGGCTGGAAGTCAATTGAATACGGATGCTGGATTTTGCTCTCGGCTGAAGGATGCTCTCACAAAGCTTCCCCCCTTCAAGATCGGGAAGAAAGGACAGCTGCAAGAGTGGCTAGAGGATTGCGAAGAGTCACAACCCGACCACCGCCATCTTTCACATACAATTGCTTTGTGCAGAAGTGACCAGATCACGCCTCGTCATTCTCCCGCACTCGCAGAGTCAATCAGAGTAACTCTCGCGAACCGACAAGCTCGCGCAGATCTGGAAGACATTGAGTTCACCGCTGCATTGTTCGGACTCAACTTCGCACGTCTCAATGAGGGCGACAGTGCCCTCGAGCATGTTGGCCATTTGATTGGGGAGCTCTGTTTCGAGAACTTGCTTTCGTACTCCAAAGCCGGAGTTGCTGGGGCTGAGAGCAGCATCTTTGTGATCGACGGTAATTTTGGGGGGGCAGCGGTGGTGGGTGAGATGCTCTTGAGAAGCAGTGATAGCGAGATAGATCTGCTTCCTGCTCTCCCCTTGAAGTGGCCTTCTGGTTTTGTCCGAGGACTTCGGGCGAGAGGCAATCTGGAATTTGATATCAAGTGGGAAGATGGAAATTTGACGCTGGTGACATTGAAGGCTTTCTCACCGGGCCGTGTGACATTATACTACAAAAATTATCAGGTTCACTTGTCCTTTTACAGTTTGGAGGTCATTTGGTTGAGCAATTCTCTGGAGTTACTCTCAAAGGCATAATTCAAGAAGCAAACTTTGAAGTTGGCGGAAGGCATATCTAAATTTGAATCATTTGAAGCTATTCTATGCGCCAAGGTGCAATAGTTGAGAGCCGTATTCGTGGAGATAAGCCGTGAATGTCCCTGAGACCACTGTCGAGTTCCCGTTCCAGGCGTCAGTAAATTTCCAATTCCGACCCGAAATTCCCAAGTCACTCAACGAGACCGTCACCGCTTGAACTCCAGTCAAAGATGTACCGAATCCACCAGCGCCCTCGTCTGGCCCGTAATTAGCCAAAATGACATAGGCTTCATTCGCCTCGCTAGGGCCGGCAATCCAAGCCTGCAGCTGTTGGGCTAGATTGTTGCCACTTCCAGGATTTCGAGGTTGCATGGGGTATTGAGCAGAGAAGCTGGCAACAGCAGCCGATTGCGAACTTGTCAGCAACTGCAATCCTAAAGCATCGAGCTGTGTAAGATCGGAGCCGATAATCAGATTGGCGGCAGCTCCAAGCCAGTGGTTCATGACGGTGATTCTTTGAGTGTCGCTGACCCCAGTAACATTCGCTGAGTTTCCAACGAAAAGATTGTCCATGTCAGGATACATTGTAATTGCCACGTTCCGTTGTTTCTGCAATGAGATGTATTGCCGGTAGTTGTCAATCGCACGTTGAACTTCTTGCCAAGCGACAAAGGTATCTTGTCCATAGTTATCGATATCCTGGTCAGTCCTCATTGACTCGGCAAATCGACTCCAGAGGGGAAGGTAAGTTTCGTTGCGGCAAAGCTTCCAAGATAGATCCAATCGAATTTGACGCCCAGACTGCTCTATTGCGTTATGATAGGCTTCTACAGCTGCGCTGTTGTTGCAAATCAGGTTTGCTCCGTTATAAGGGCTGCCAGGAGTGACAAAGTCAAGCTTAATCATGTCCACACCCCACGAAGCCCATAATTCAATCAAAGAGTTGTGCCATTGTTGAACACCATCCTTCGAGAAGTCCCAGTCACAAAAGGCCAGACCATCGTTGTTTCCAATCAGAACATCGTCAATTCGGATGTCTGTGCCTTTGATTGTTTTATTGGCGGCACTGCAGGGAACACCCGGGATGACGTAGACACCCATCTTGAGGCCAATGCTGTGGAGGTATTTTCCAAGTTCCACCAAATCGAACAAGGCAGTGTTGTACTGAATTCTTCCATATTCATCAACATCGTTCGTAGACCAACCGGCATCCAGGCTGCATAGATCATAACCCATTTGCTGGAATTCAGGTCGAGCCAGAACGGTGCATTGCTTGATCACATTACTCTGGTTGAAGATTTGCCAGCTGGGAGTTGTCGCAGGAGTAGCTTGGATACCCCAAGAATTCCATCCTCTCGCGGGACCAGTGAAGCGGTTGGCAGTCGGTCCGGTTTTTAAAATCTGTAAATGCCCTGAATTGGCACTTGGCTGTGGATAACATCCATTGATAATGGTATCGGTGCGGACTTGAACGCAGAAACCAGGTCCTTTTGTCGGTATAGCCCCAGTTGATGAGTAGCAACCCGACTCCGCAGCCATCCAGAACCATTGGCCATCATCTGTTGCCCAGGTTCCAGTGGTCCAGCCATCGAGGAGACAGAAGTCAAGAATGTCCTGAAAAGCAGTCGTGTAATCGCTGTTCTTTCCATTGAACGGTTCTTGTTGCATGTAGAGGTTTCCAGCCGCGTCCTGGCAGTATTCTTGACTTGTGTTTGTAGCAAATTGACTGATGCAGTTTTGAGCTGCCTGCATACATTCGGTCGTAAAATTCACGGATCCGGGGGGATAGGTTGCCCCACCGCATTGCCATTGGGCGGTGGCGCTGAGCGCCATCAACAAAACAACAATGAGTACTAAAGCCATTCTTTGTTTGATATTCTGAGAAGTTTGAAACGTTTGAGCACAAGGTTCAAATAAATCAATCCCACAATTCGAACTTGGCCGGTTTGTATAAAACCCGCTCTCGACTACCTAGGTTATGCTTCTGGGATGCTTTCGGTACCATTTTCGGGCATGGTGTCACGGGTACCTCCACACCCCGCCCTCCGCCAGCTTGATGATGGAGAAAGCCGAGGTATGGGGAAAGGCCAAAGACACAAGGCAGAAGGCAGAAGGCAGAAGGTATTGTCATGAGATACCACGCTGTAACGTTGCGGCCCAATCTGACATGATGATCGTCAGAAAGACCGTGGAGATCTTCGTTGTCGTGTGTATGATGCCTCGCTTCTCTAGGTTCACGTTTACACTAGACCATCCCAACGCCAACCGAGGAGTCCCGTCGGCCGCCGGCAGGATTCTCGGCAGACTAATTTAGTGCCTCGATTTCGACGGAGGATTTCTAATCACTGCACTTGCATGCGCATGCAAACTCTTCCGAAAATTTGCCCGCTGCTGTTCCCCTGTTGCCTTTCAAACTTCAATCGAGAAGGCAGATAGAATCCGAGTCCGGATTAGTTTCTCCTAGCGGCGGATAAAGATCGTTGATACGCGATGAGGTTATTCCATTCGTCGCATCACAGTAATTCTTTAGGGAGCGCATATTTCCTTACCTTAGATATATATTACCAGCAAGTAATGTAAATATTCGCAGACAGGTGAGACACAAGGTACATGGTGGGTAACTTAGTACTACTTTATATCAAAGGCACTCTCTCTTTCCCCGATTCATAGCTACCATGGCTACTACTGAGTATATCGTTTTTACCCCTGCCCTCGGGCAGGCGGTTACAGTTTCCCCCAGAGTTCCAAGAATTGCAGTTTATGCAAACTCGCCGAAACCAATCAAACTGGTGGCCAAATTCGAAGGTGGTACTTCGGATTTCGAGCAGGTCGACCTCGAGTCATCTGGAGCTTTGTATACCTACAAGACCTCTTTTTCGTGCTCAGACTTTCCTGAGCACATCTCGATTCTCGCAAATGGAGTCCAGTTGCCAGGCAAAATTTTGTTTGCACATGGGTGGTCCCGCGACCACGACCGGGAGTTTTCAACAGAGCTTGTTCTCGAAGAAGGCGAGAATCTAAAGAGCCAAAAACTGGACTGGCTCGATATCAACGACTGGGAAGGCTGGGCCTGGTATAGATCAAGAGAGACGTGGATTGAGGCGTCTTTTACGCCATTGAGCAAACTGTTACCAAATACACCGACACACAACCTCCTGCTACGGCCAAAACCCCCGAAAATAGATCCTAAATCAGTCCTGGCGGTATTCCCAGCCTCTCCGCCTGGAGCTTTTATCCATCTCAGTGCCGCGCGTGTTGGAGAGGCACCTGGTGTTTACATCCGTGCCCGGCGAGTCAAGAAGTGTGGCAGGATCGTTTCATACGTTGGTGCAAAACTTACCGTTCACAATGGAGAGCTAAATGCAATTCGCGGAGCAATTGATGTTGCGCGTAAAAAGTACGGCTACTCTACGGCTCCCTTTACTCAGGAGACTGGCCACAGTCCCTTCGACCGTCTTGGCTTCTGCACATGGTCAAGCATTGGTGAAAATGTTCCGTTAACACTAAATCTTATGGATGACTTGGTCCATAAATTGGCCAAATTTAACATCCCAGTCGGTACTTTCATCATTGATGATGGCTGGCAGGATATTCGTTATGGGCTCAATGGCAGCGAGAAGACGCGAGGGCTGTGGAGCTTTGACACATGGGAGCACATGAACAGTCCGCTTTCGGATGTTGTATGTCTGATCAAGAAGACGCTCCCGACAGTGGAAGACGTTGGAGTCTGGATGACTCTACACGGATACTGGAACTCAATTGCCCCAACTTCGCCGCTAGCAAAGAAGTATGAGATGCGGACATTCAAATTGAATCGGGACAACATTCAAGGAATCGACTGGCCCAAAAATGACTTTGATGACCAGCAATCCGGTTCTATATCCAACCCCGAGAAAAGGACATGGTGCTTACCGCCTCTCCATCTGGCGTATGCGTTTTGGAAAGACTATTTTACAAGCTGCTTTGATGCCGGCATCAGTTTTGTGAAAGTCGATGACCAGGCTTATGGCTCACTTCTAGATGGGGTCTCGGGCGGCGAGGAGTTCGTCGCTATGTGGGATGGCATGACCAGAGCCGCCAATGAAGTCTTCGGGGACAGCAAAGTAATCCATTTCATGGCCCACTACGAGCGTACCTTCAATGGTGACATTGGAATGGGGGTTGCGACGCAAGGCAGGAAGATCGTCATCAGGAATTCTGATGATTTTGGTCTCAATCGACCTGATATCCACCGCAACCATATCCACTATAATATCTACAACGCGATGCTTACCTCCCAACTATGTCTTATTCCAGATCCCGATATGTTTGTGACAAGTGCCCAGTGGCCAGAATACCACGCAGTCTTGCGTGCTTTTTTCGAAGGCCCTCTCTTGCTCGCTGATAAGCCAGGGCAGCTTGATCTCGAGATCCTAAATAAATTGGTTGGAAGGTCAACGACGAACACCTACGAAGTAGTTAAGGCGCCACAGACAATCAGGCCGCTGTCGAGGAATGTGTGGGAAGGATGTTTAGATGGGGGTGCTGGCCCAGCAATCAAAGGCGTCTCATATTTTCCTAACGCCAGATCCGCATCTCTCATCCCTTGGAACGCACGAAAAAGCGCATTCGATAACGCAGTGGACATTATCTTCGAGCTCGACCTCATTGATGCTTTGGAAGGCATCGAGAAACCTGTTAATGGAGATGGGAACTTCGATGTTGCGCTGTGGCTCTCTAATGCCGGCGCAGCTAAGTCTGTGAGACTGAGGGGCTTTGGACAAGACAAATTTTATGAGACATCTTCGATGCCAGTGATATCTACGTTGATAGGCCCGCAGGCGTCAGAGACGCTTACTATTGCGCCCTACGAATATCTCGGCCACACCATGGTTGCATGTCTCGGATTGATTGATAAATATGCTGGTCTTGCGGCTATCCAAAGGAGTCGAGCCATAACCGGGAAGTTGTCTATAGACTTTAGTTTCAATGGCGTTGCTGGTTTTCTCGTCATGTTGAGAGCGGAAGACGTTGGGAAGAGGGCCAGAGTCACGGTTGATAACATCTCGACTCCATTTGTTGTCAAATCAAAAGGAAATGGGTTGTGTCTCATTGAGGTGGATTTTGCAAGCATACAAGCTGTCCTTGCCAAAGATAGCTGGACCGTAGCGGTACAAATTTGAGCAGTTCTTGGTAGCTTTCAACCATCGTTGATTTCATCAGAGGAATGTGCCCACTCATCCTAATGCTATAACATCGTGGAATCCTCTTTACTCTCCCTTGCATCTGTTGTCGATCTAACTTAGAGTTGTTTTATATACCGGCAAAAAGCGGCAACGCATTTCGGAATCTGGAAGGTGGTTGACTTAACGGAGAGGATAAACGGACAAAATCCCACCTGTCAGCCGCTCAAAGGCCGAGAATTACCCCTTCGGGGTTTGCTAGCAGCCCCCCATACAATTCATGTTCCACCGAGCGATATAATGAGTTGTGCGGCCCAAATGGTCTCCAACTTCTCATAACTATAAACGTGCTTGCTTTAAGCTATATATATATTTACTTAAATAACCTCGGCTCTGCTGCCTCTGAACACACACACACATATTTGCAATGTCTATTGACGAAACCATGAACGGCAATAATGCCACTGGAGTCAATAATTCAATCGAAGAAATCGTTATTAAATCCTTCGACATTTACGGTTCGAATTGTCTTCTTCCGGTATAAGAGCCACAGCTAAAGTCAGTCTATCCGCAGATCTACGATTTCCAACGAGTCTGGATCAATCCGGTTCAGATGCTATGAATCCAGCAGGGGACTACAGCTCGTCATACGTTATCCTCCATACGTCGAAGCAAGAGTTGGATGGCCACGGATTTGCATTCACGATTGGACGCGGCAATGATCTCGTTTGTGCTGCCACCCGCTATACGGCCGAGAGGCTTGTGGGAAAGAGCTTGGCAGAGATGACCAAAGATATGGGCAAGACATGGCGGTATCTAGTTGGTGACTCGCAACTGCGTTGGCTTGGACCAGAGAAAGGGGTGGTTCATCTCGGTTTGAGCGCTTGCGTCAACGCATTATGGGACCTCTGGGCCCGCTATCTGGGAAAGCCTGTGTGGCAAGTGGTGGGTGAGATGACACCTGATGAATTTGTAAGGTGCATCGACTTCCGATACATTCTCGATGCAATTACACCAGACGAGGCTATCAATATGCTCAAAAATATGGACGGCACAAAGATCGACAGGATACGGGACGCAAAGAACAATCGTGCTGTGGCTGCCTATTCAACACAAGCTGGATGGCTGGGATTTTCGGACGAGAAGATGATTGGAAAAATGCGAAGCATGCTGGAGGAAGGTTTCGACAAGTTCAAGCTCAAGGTAGGGGGCAGTCTTGAGAACGATATACGTCGACTGAAGATCGCTCGGGATGTGATCGGCTACGACAAGATGCTTATGATTGATGCAAACCAAGTTTGGAGCGTTTCCGAGGCCATCGAGTATATGCTTAAGCTTGTCCCTTTCAAGCCCGTGTAATCTTACCTTTTCTAGAAATATCACCCGCTTAGATGTACTAACAACGAGTTTCCTTCTAGTTTCATCGAAGAGCCAACATCTCCGGATGACGTTTTGGGCCATGCTGCTATTCGTGCTGCGCTGAAACCATTTGGGGTTGGTGTGGCTACTGGAGAGCACTGCCAAAACCGTGTTGTCTTCAAACAGCTGCTACAATCAGGTGCCATAGACGTCTGCCAGATAGATGCCTGTCGTTTGGGAGGCGTGAATGAGGTTTTGTCGGTGTTGTTGATGGCCAAAAAGTATCACCTATATCCATCGGTAATACGGTTATTTTCAAAATCATGCCAACATGTTTATAGATTCAACGTGCCCGTAGTACCCCATAGCGGAGGAATTGGTCTCAACGAATACACACAACACCTGGCTCTCGTTAACTACATCTCGTTGGGTGGAGAAAGGGCTCTCTTGGAACATATCAATTCCTTTAGTGAGGTCATCACACACCCGGTCAAAGTAGAAAATGGTTACTTCATAACACCTTAGGAGGCTGGCTACAGCGTCGAATACAAATCTGATGCAATTAGGAAGTATGAGTATCCCCGAGGAGAATTCTGGAACTCTTCACATGGACTCACAATTCGGAATGGGCTTAAACACTAAGAGATATTCTATTTGCCCTTAGGTTCTCGGTCATATATTATATAAGATTTGATAGCAAAAACACTTCAGGTGGCTAAAAATATATTAGGATATTGCGTTATTAATAGTATGCTATCGCATCGTGATAATTTCATTGCCACAAGAAAGTCTTCAGTCTTTAGCCTCATCCCACAGATGTATCTGCCCAAGCCCCGCTTCACCGAGAATGACATTCCCACACTCCATGGAATGGCTGGTCTTCTCGTCCCTCTTCCCATAAATTTCGTACTTACACCAAAAAAGTCTACATTCTAGCCTGATCTAATACCGGTATTGGACTCAAACTGGCTAAGTTTCTCTACTCCAAGCACCTAAAGTCTACAGTGGTTCACCTTAATGTAAAAAAGTTGGGACATAGGGATATATGATTGGTATAAAAACAATCAAGCAGGAGGGGAGGTCCAGAGACGAGGCCTTCAAAGGACCTTGAGTTCTTGCATTTGAAACGTTGAAAACTTCAGCGCTTCCCAATCCATAATTCCATGAATGTAACACTCCCCAATGAAAGTTCGAAAGTCTCCAGATTGTCGAAGTACCAAGGGAACCCACGTTCCCTTCCCGACCCAGATTTCATCCCCTTCTTCAGCATTGCTAGGGACCAGTCCAATATATCCACCACTTGACCTACAGGGCGCCGTTGGTGGATGTTTCTGCGAAGTTCACGTAGAAGGTGTTCTACAGATTTCGACAGAACCTCTCCTTTGTCAATGGATAGTGCGGTGGTATTGAGAATTTTGGTTGGGAGAGGTGTGGCGAGTGTGGCTGTTGAAAGTGCCTTGGTGGTGTTTGCTACTACGGACGACCTGCTCCAAAGAAATCTGAGTCACCATACCTCTTTCAGGTATTTCCGGAGTAGAAAATCCTAAGAGCTATTCGACATGGCTACCAGACGGAGTAGTACTCCGAACAGTTGGAACTTACCCTAGTTTCGTCATCGAGAGTGTGGTTGTCGAGGTATTAGAGGTGAGATTTGCAACCGTTGTTATGATCTTAGCTACAGACGTAGCTAGAGAAATTATAGAAGTTTTCGTAGTTAAGGCACTGGTACGAAGACCACGGCATAAAGTGACGGGATTACAGGGCATTTGGGCCCTTGGCATCCTCCAGGGCACAATTTAGGGGGTTGAACCCACCGTAAGGCCCTATAGCTCCAGGCCATACGCTCTAACGAGCCTACCGACATAAGTCTGTGTTTTTAGCGTGTCCCACACGTCACTATTACAATGTCTATAATTAGCATTTAATTAGGAGTTAACCACCCATGACGCTGCATAAGTACATTGACCCAATATTCCTGCTCTAAAACTAGCTCCTGTAGTATACGCTCCCACTCTTCTAAGACTATTGCTTCCATTTCAGCCACCGTAGTCGGTTAATGCCTTCGTCTATGCAATGCCTGCTTGATTCTCCTCCAACACTTCTTAATTGGGTTTATATCGGGGCTCGTAGACGGGTGAGGCATTAATATAATACTGTACTTCGTATAGTATTGAATATAGTAATTGCGAGTAGACTTATGGCCGTAAGCTGAGTTGCCATCTTCCATAAATAAGGGCTCGGCGGAGGGCCGAAGGAGGTGTATAATAGCCGCAAAAGTCTCAAGAATTAGCTGAATGCGCGAGAGGATCTGGTGAAGGTAATCGACTTGCGTAAAGGCTGCTTTCTTACCAGGACCGTGGACAAATATTAAGGGACTCTTATAGCCATACCCATTTGCTCCCCACACGTTGACTGGAGTCGTGCTTCCGCGGTGGAATTAATGTTGAATGCAAGTGGGGTGTGTCCTCTCGTCCTTGTTTCTTATCACTCTCTCTTTTACCGTCCTCCCTCTTACTAAGAATGTAACCTCGTCAGACCAGAGGACCTTTAGCCATTCCGTCGTCCAGAAGATATGTGTGATCGCCCAAAGTAATCGTGCGACTACTTGATCTGCCATAAGGTAGGGCTTTTGGCACGCGACGCACCGGAAATAGCCTCGTTGTTTGAGTCGGCGCTCAAGCGTCTTAACAGTGCATTCAAGCTATAATTCGTTATGAAGGAGGGTAAAGCTAAGGACTCGATAATCCCATGTCTCGGACGCGTATTCGATTATCTCGTCGACTTGTTTATCGGTAAGAAGAGAGGGTCTCCCGGTGCGAGAGATGCGCGAGCGCTCGGGTGCGTCATATTGTAAAACCTTATCAAGTGTGCTCCTTCCAAGCTTGTATCGCGTCATAAGTAGCTCAACTGGTACCTTAGCAAAGCCGTAGAGCTGGCGTATCGCCTCTTTGTATTTCGTAGGGATTTCATCCCCCGGTTAGTGGGTAAAGTCTAGAGGGGGGGTGCAGGAGGCATGAGAGTGAAGCTTGGTGGGGAAAATCACTCGCTAAAAACAGACTTACGAAGGCGGCGGGCATTAAAATCAGTTCAACTCGCTAAGCGAGGATTTGGGAAGTCTAGGGGCTATGCGGTTATAAATGTCTCGCAATTTCTCCCTAAAATTAATCGTTATAAAAATCTTGGAAAAGATTAATGTGCTATTTTTCTATTATATAACACTCTTATGGAAAGTTTTAGGCGTTGCGTTGGGGATTAGTGCGACTTTCCGCACAAGGCAATTTTGGTGTTCTTGCGCGCACTCTGTAGATGGACGATTTTCAACGCCCGTCGCCTTCGTATGTCGGCAGGCTCGTAAGCAGATCTCAAGAGGCGCTGTGAGAAATTCGCAAGGTATGAGAAGATCTTTAAGGGTAAATAGCGCTCTTAGCGAAGCGATAATAGCGCTAAGTAATTACTGTAGGGTTCTTTAGCCAGGTGTCCCTTGTAAGTACGGGGGAGAAGCCCTAAAACGTTATGATACCCTCTGCCCCGTATAAGCGTGTTTTAGGGCAATTCAGTGACCGAGTGCGCTGGAAACAGTCGGTGAAGTGCCGTTACAACACAAGTGTCCTGTAATCCCGTTATTTTATGCTGTGATCTTCGTAGAAGGCTTCGTAGTCGTCGGGTTGGAATTCGGAAGCGTAATAACGCAAGAAATAGCCACTCCATTCCCACCAAGCTTGCAAACAAGAGGCTGGAAAGCAGCAGGAGGGCAAGTGAGTTGCGTCAAAGACATGAGATACCATTCACACAGGAACGTGAACAGATTGTGGCCCATATTTGGAGCTGGAAAGACCTGCGCAATGAAGGCGCCCTCGAAGCCTTTGAAGAAGGGGGGACTTACTGCAGCCATGCTATTGCAGTAAGGTACGAGAGCACCTGAGTTGGCACCGGCTGAGATGATGGGCTGGCCGACACCGAGGCGGTACTCGTTTGTTTTTTGGACACCGACTTCGCCATTAGATGTGAGGAGAGTGTCCGGATCATTGAGCGGAAGCCAATTGGAGCGGCCTGTGACGCACTAGCTTGAAATTTGGACAAGGCGAGGGCAGGACCTGTTACCCCGGGACTGCCGATCTATGGTGCGACGTATGGGGTGCAGCCAATGAGAGGGCCGAGGATGTTGGTGAGCAGAGCTTCATCTGAAGCGTTGGTAATGACTTGAGCATCGTGGTGAGCGGCCCGATTCCCAGCGTTATCTTGTGCAGTAGAGCCATCGGGAAGAAGGAGGTGCTGCGTTGGGACGTTGTCAGGTGGGCAGGCGTCCGTAATCTCAAATGGCCGACTAGTGGGGCATGGATTTCCCAATTTGTCGACCCCCAGAGGTGGAATGACAGCCTTTCCAGATGCGATTCCAGCGTTGGCGGCGGAAAACCAGGATGCAGCGTTGCACCAGCTCACTTGTCCGAATACATCGCCTTTGCTCCTTGAAGACCGCCGATACATCCCGCTGCTTTCAGGGTGGGTGACTGGTTTGTTTCCTTGCCGCTGACATCGAGAAGCTGAAGAATTCCAACGATTGAATCGAAACCACAAAGCAACTACAGTTCCAGCTGGAAGAGTTGGAACGACAGGTGGAGCACCCGCAGTCTTGCCGGCATCAGGGACAGGAGGATGATATATGGAGATGGTACCAGTGGCCGGATCATATATCGCAGCTTCGGCAAAGGCTTGCTGTGTAGCGACCGTTTGGGAACATAGGGCGTGGAGGAGGAATGGTGTGGAGAGACCCGCAGCTGTGAGAGGTTGAGTTGGGAGAGCGAGGAAGCAGTTGGTGACGTTGGGATCGAGGGCTGCAGTTGTGCTCGCCGCCGCAACAACCGTTGGTAAAGTCGTGGCGGCTGCTATTGAAGTTTTCGCTAATATCGCAAGTGTGGTTTTGTTGGTGATTTTAGCCTGAACTTGCACTGCAAGCAAGAAAAGAAAGGCACCGGTCTTCAAAGAGGTATACGTGGTGACAAGAATCCAACTCTTGGCTTGAGGGTTAAGTAATACTATAGAGGAATGGAAGGACAGTGACCCAGCACGTCTTGGAAAAGAATTTACTCCAGTAACAAGTCGGTAAAGAACGTAAAGCCGAGGAGTGAATGGTGGCAGAGGCTAGAGAGGAGACGGAAGAGCAGGTGTTTGTGAGGGGGGCAGCTAAGAAAAACTGAAGCACGACGTTGTTTAAGACAACGGCTCTGCCCCCCAAAGGCTCGATTCTAGCCTCCTTGCGCATGTAGTAATGTAACCGGATCTATCTGCAGCCCATGGCCGGGACCCCCGGGCCTGGATTTTTAGCCCTTTCAAATATATCAGTATGGACATCCGTCTAAAATTGCTTGTTGCTGTTGAGGTGAAGGTAAATTCATCGTTGTGCTCGGCCTTGGGGATCGTGGAGAAGGTGTAGAATTCGTCCAGTATAATAAGAGACAAAGGAACAATCGCCGGTTCTTGGACAGCTGTAGCTTCCCGATCATAGTCCAGCTGCCAGTTCTTGGTAGCTTCGAGTCAATACGAAGATCACGGCATAAAGTAACGGGATTACAGGGCATTTGGATCCTTGGCATTTCCTAAGCCAGGCCCCCTTGCTAGTACGGACCATGTCTTGCCAGACGAAGGGATAAACTCCCTTTCTGACTTTGCGCTGCTTCCATGATGTGCAGCAAATTGCTTAATTTCATAATGGCGGAAGATTTCTGATAAGCGAAGCGAGGGGGGCTAAACAGAGTGAGGATCGGCCGACGAGTAGCTGGACACGAAAATTCGACTTGCACTGGACTCAAATTAATGTAAATAAAACAGTGAGCTGTGTATGGGTGGTGCCTGCGGGTCTCGTTAGAAGACATGATGTCGAACTTCCTTTCTCCCCGGTCAACACTCTTCTTTGGCGTCAGAAACCTTCAGGATTCCGAGAATAGCTTGCGGGATTTAAATCATATGGCAACTTGCTTACAGGACCAACGAATATTGTGCCATTCTTCGTGGTGATGCTTCTTTATGGCCTCACGGGTCGCTTGACCGAGATCTCGTTGCGGCCACGGGCTGATCAAGCGTAGGTCGCCAGATCAAGTGCGGTATCTTGCTCGGCTCGGCTGACAGCTTCTTCAGAACGAGGACCTGGTGGACGTGATTAATATATGACAGAGTGCTGAACAATCGATGCAGGAGACGTTGTGAGGGGAAAATTCGCTTAATTATCGCGCTAAGGAGTATTTAGCCTTGCTCCCGTGGCTCCCAGCTTCTACGAAGGCGGGCGGCATTAAAAACCGTCCATCTGCTAAAAGGCGAGGAACACCAAAATCGCTACGTTTTAAAAATCACACCAGATCTGAATGCAGAGTCTAAACCCTTTAAAATAGCTGTGTGGGATAGAAAGGAAACAAATCTAACTTTCGTAGAATTTCCTTAATAATTAAATGTAATACGGAATTACGAGAATTTCTATATTGCGAGAGTCAAGACTGCGGCCGCCTTCCCTTAGCTAATTGGACGATTTTTAATGCCGCCCGCCTTCGTACGTGCATCACGCTTATGTTCCCAAAAAAAATACACAATTCTAGAAATCTTGTTCGTATCGCGTGAAGTGTGTTTTTACCCAGTCGATCGGTTGACCTGGTACATGGTTCACTTCTGCCTATTTGTCCTCTGAGCTATCAACGTCGGGGCCTTGGCAAGATGAAGACAAGCAATTGGGCGGAGGCCAATCTTTACGAGCCCGGCCTCAAAAGTCCGTGTTTTTACGAAGGCGGGCGGGCACAACCTTGACTCTCGCAATATATATACATATAAATTTCTCGTAATTCCGTATTATATTTAATCATTGAGAAAATTCCATAAAAGTTAGATATGCTTCTTTTCTACCTCACAAAGCTATTTTAAAGAGTTTTAGGGGTTGCATTGAGATCTGATGTTCCTCGCTTTTTAGCGGATGGACGATTTTTAATGCGGCCCGGCCCGCCTTCGTAGCGATATTTTCAGGCATCGCAAACCCAAAGTCGCCCACTTCACTTGACAAATATACAACAACTATTAATTGTGACCTATTATAATTTATATTCATATAATTAAAAAAGCTAGAGTGAGTTTTAAAACTCTTTTAAAGCGATTTAGAGAATAGGATAAAAGGCCAAAATTGGGTTTGGCGTTCGCTTCTTAGCGAAATACCGTACAGACTTTTGAGGGTGGGCTCATTACGAGCCTGCGATATAAATCCGTGTTTTTAGCGATGTTTTCAGACATCACAAAACCAAGGTTGCCCATTTTACTTCACATTTTCTTTACAAATACAGATTAGAACCTCGTATAATTCAAGCGCACACAGTGAAAAAGGATAGATTGAGCTTAGAAGGCATGTAAACTTAATTCTGAATATAAAATGAAAGCATTTAAATAATTATGGGGCTCGTTTCTTAGCAAAATACCCTAAAAAGCACAGACTTATGTCTGCAAGTCAGACCCGCTGCGGGAAGCTGCTCCAGTCTGGCAGCTTGGCAGATCTCTCGATCTAGGAACAATCAAGCGCGGATCATCTTGACATCGCAACCCACCGGATCGGACAGGCGAGAGGTCAGGCCATGCCCCTGGATGAAAGAAAAGAGAGGGCGCACGATTGAGCGCTGCCGTGCGCAGACATGCACCTATGCCGGGGTCGCTTGGCCATGACTGTGTGTGACTGCTTTTGCTGGGCTTGAAAAGCGACTTCCCCCAGTCAGATCCAACAACTCGTAAGTTATGCTGTGCCTCGACCAGACCACAGCGTTCAGCTCCTTCTGCGCCTTCCACAATGTCACGATTGCATTTCCTTGACACACTCGCGAGAACGGAAACGAGACGGCTCCATAGAACTTCGCGCCATGGACACTCCGGGGGAACCTATCCTACAGAACGCTTTCGAGGTTCGGGAAGGGATTGAGATGGTGCCAGGAACGGTGCATCTGGTTGACAGTGAGTTCTCTATCCTCGGAGAAAGTGTCTCCAGGGCAGATACCCCATGCTACGGTCTCTTCTCTGCTCAATGCTGACGCTCCTCAGTGCAAGGAACATCCGTCCTCAAGCATCGAATTGGTAACAATGCAGACATCGTTCTGGTCCCTCAACCCACAAGCGACCCCGATGACCCTCTCAATTGGAGCCCTCTGCGAAAGGGATACCACTTTTGGTTGTTGATAATCTGGGGGGTCCTCATGTCAGCGTCAGTCAATTGGAGTGGGCCTGTTTGGGTGGGTATGCTGGGCCGAACCATGTTCCAGAACTGACAATCGTATATGGGATCAGTTGCTGCGGGCTACATCACAGAAGCACAAGGATGGCGATTTTGCTTCTGGTACCTGGTCATCTTTTTCGGAATTATCTTGGTGCTACAGATTTTCACCCTGGAAGAAAGCATCTACAGGCGTCCATTAGCAGATCCGGAGCCACAATACGAACTCAACAACGACGCCTCCAATGACAGTGCTCTTACTGGAAAGAATCCAAACCCTCTCATTGCCCAACCCATTCGACGAGATACCGTTACCGCGGTCTCAGCATTCCCAATACCAGCGCAAACATACTGGCAAAAGATGGCTCCAATCCATACCCGAAATGCGAACCCCAAAAAGTGGTGGTGGCTAGCCATCTTCCCTTTTCGTCTCCTCACGTTTCCTGCAATCATGTGGGTTGGCATTATGGTCGGTATCCAGATCATGTGGCTCTCCTTACTCTCAGTCACACAGTCCGAACTGTTCTCCGCCCCACCCTACAGTTTTGGCATAGCAGCTGGTACGTCTCCCTGCAACCTCCCCTTACCCTGTACTCACTCCTCATCTAGTCGGCGATACGAATATCGCCGCCTTCGTCGGTGGCATATTTGGCATGTGCTGGGGCGGACCCCTCTCAGACTGGTATATCCTGCGACGCTCCCGCCAAAACAAAGGTATAATGGAGCCAGAATTCCGTCTCTGGCTGCTCATTGTGCCTGCCATCCTGAACTCCGCTGGTCTCCTGATGTACGGCCTCGGTGCGTACAATGGATTGAGCTGGGTGATCTCCGCTGGCATTGGGACCGCCTTTATTGGGTTTGGTATCGGAAGTGGGGGAGCTATTTGCTTGACATATGCGATTGATGCGTATCCGGGGATTGCTGCCGAGAGTATGGTACTCATATTGTTCATACGAAACGTGATTGGGTTTTCGTTTACTTTTGCGATTCAGTAAGTCATTCCTTTCTCCTCGCATCTCCCAAATTTAAACCATCTCAACTAACGTTTTAACAAACCATGGATAGACGGCCTCGGCGGCCAAGTAACGGCCATCATGCTATCAGTACTGTGTCTAGTGTCCATGATGAGTTTCTTGATTATGGTACGCTGGGGCAAGAGCTTTAGAAGGAGGACCGCGAAGAAGTATTTGCATTATACAGAACAGAGAGCTAAAGAGGCTTGACTTTTAGTTCGGTGTCTGGGGAGTCGGAGGGAAGACACCCGTTGATTTTGCTTATTTGAGGGATGAAAATAGTGAGAGCCATTTAACGCAGTGTTTGATGTTGGTGCAAGAGGCGAGGCTCTAGTGTGATTCCTCTTTTCTTTTCTAGCATTCAGTAACCTGCCTAGAATCCAGACCTTCCTTTCTTGCATCCTTGCCTGAGAACATGCCTATGCTCACGTCTACCACGTCAACGAATATGAAATCTTTGCAGAGCAACCTGCCCTCGCTTCAACATCTCCGCTGATTCGCGGTCCATGAGCCCAAGCACGAAGCAAGTGCTGACGATATAATTTGTAACGGCCCGCTTGGCGGGGAATGATCGGAACTCGGATTTGTGGGAGCACGCAAATGAGATCGCCCTTTTGGATGCTGTGTGGGCCGTAGCCGATGTATTCCGATGCCGTGCAGAAAAGACGCGCTTGCTCGTAGTGTTCTGTGGATTGAAGAATGAGCCCTGTCTCAAGGTCCGAAGGGTTACGGGTGCCACCGTCGTCTTCTGTTCTGCCTTCTTCTGTTCTAACTTCTACCTCATCTTCTCTCTTCATCGCGCTCGTCCTCGCTTCCTTCTAGGACACTATGAGCTCCTCCCCCGAGAAATAGACGATGAAAGCGCACGTTGTGCTTGTATTCGATTCATTGAACGTGTAACAGCCTCTCGTGTGTTCTTAAGTAAGCAGCAGCGAGACTTTTAAATTCCGAGTTCATCACAAAAATGATATCGTGTTTGGTGAATAGCCGCCATGGCTAGAGAGTTCAAAACACAGACGGAGACTGGCACGACCTCGTGGAATGCCAGGAGGTACCAGTTCATTGTTGACGTCTACATCTAGAATTTAACATGTCAGATTAAATGTGATACCCGTTCCCATCGCTAATTGGAGTTCGGAGAGTTTGAAGGGCAGTGATTCGGCATTCTTGCTGGTTGGCGGAGGGAAGCTGTGAGATTAATCTCGTCGAAATGTATTCCAAAGAGCGTGAGATCCTGGGAATGGGGTTTGATTTCGATAGCAATCTTCGGCATGTCTGTGTTGGCGTTATACAAGGAAGGTTCGACAGCGACAGACCTAGTCCTGTTCTCAGCAATCGAGCTCCAATCGACAACCCATGATAGAAGGTTAGACATTCTATCCTCAGATATCAATCCAAATTGTACCTAGTTTATCCATTGATCCAGAGGTACTTCTTTTATAGATATATCAGTTGCCTTGCAGGAGACCTCATTCACGGACATTAGGCAGCCAACTTTCATTCTAATATCCATCAAACCTACCAGGCCAAACACCTGATCGCGAGGAGCTGTTGCGGCAAGGAGTTTACTACTCGCTAGGCTATCCCGCACAGGAAGACTTTCTCCTCCAGTTCTCCTCATAACAAGGGTAAGTGGTATTGCTGGACACATAGAACCAATTTACAACCATTCTCTGAGAATCAGCCGGTTTTGCTTCCATGTCGAGTTCCAACTGTCGGCCAAAATAAGACTAGACGCTAGCTTAACAGTAATATGATATTGATTTTCCGAATAGACACATCTTGGTCCACCTAGTTGGCTTAGAGAGAATAATCTTACGTGGCTAAATCAGCAGATTTAGATCATGTCCCCTCCACACGTTGACTAGGAAATTCAATCTTCCCAAACTCCATCTTATCGAACTCCTCCTTCTTCCTCTTAACAGTCCCCATCTTCGGCCTCAGTATCTTCCCCGCCTTCTCAATCTCCGCCATATGGTTTTCCTTTCCCTCCCACGTAACCACACTCGTGCTACTCTCCACTTCAAAAACAGGTTTAATCCTGCCCTCGGAATCAACTTCCAACTTCCCTTTTGCCCCACAAGCACAGCATTCGCACCCATCCCCCCCTTTTCCTTCTAATACAACAAGATCCAAGTGACAGTAAGGACAACTACCCTCGTCCCCAAGATACACAGCCTCCTCGTACCCCTTTCCAACCTGACTCGCTACACTCCTCCCTACCCTTTCAGCCAACTCAACAGCCCCCACACCTTCTATCAACACACTGTTGATCACAGGGAAGTTAGCTTTTTTTTTTTAATAGTACAATATACCAGGACTAACGGAACGGTGGGGGGGGGCTGTTGTAGATCCCGAGTGTAAATAACGTCGCAAAACTCATAAATATATATTTAAATAAAAAGAAGATAAATATGTTGATTTAAGAATTCTCACCTTCCTGGAAATGGACATCCTCTCACAATCACCTGGTCCACAACTTTCGCATGTAAACTGAAAACACATTGCTGCAACCCAGGCAATGAAAGAGCTCCCCACTCCTTGCACGTCGCTCCTCCTACTGCAATCAGGCCCACAACCCTGTTCTTCAGTACCCTCTCATCGGGCACATAGTCCTTCACGTAATCATTGAAGCGAGCGATGCCAGTGGCCTGCTGCTTAAGTGCACGGGAAACGAACGCCGCGTCGACGAAGGGGCCAAGTGCCGTGTCGGTGAAGGCTTTTAGGAGGCCAGCAGGCTGGCGCGTGTAGATGGGGCAAGAGATAATCAGGGCATCGGCAAGAAGAATAGCGTCTACAAGCGCAGGGCGGTCGTCCGGAATTGGAGATGAGGCTAAGATAGAAGGGGAGGAAAGGCCCAAGGGGCGTTCTAGGTCGTTGGGCATCGCGTGGGTGGGGAGGGAGAGGGACTGCAGGGACACTAAAGAAGTGGTGACAGTTGGGGATGAGGAGGCCGCCGCGAGGAGGGCGGTTTTAAGAAGGATTTCGCTGTTTCCATTTGGGGAACCGCAAGAAATGCCTAGGATTTGCATTTCGAGCGACTGTTAGTAGTAGATGTGATTGTCGTGGAGCTTGGGGAATTACAGAGAGTCCATGGCTTCATTGCTAGCACATATCATTCACATGTAGTAAGCAAAGTACACGATAAGAGCTGCACGTGCTTTGCCATGGCCGAAGTTCATTGAAGGCCTTGAGTGTGCGAAATCATATGGGTGCGATTTATAAGACAAAACGTCTCTAGCAATTTGTGTGGAGCCCAATGCGTCCAAAGCTCGAGTACGGTTGGCTGACGCCATGCCAATATTTGTGCTCGCTAAAGCATTCAGGGGGCGCGGCCCGGACATTCCTTTTTGGGCGTCAAAAGAAAAAGCCGAGTTTTCATTAAAGCGAGCAGTCTCCATAGTATCTGGCGAGAGTACTGTACAGCTGCACCTGGGAGAGAGAGGATAATGCCCTAGTTTAAAGACAATAGTAGTCTCATCAGATACAAGAAGCAGTCATAGTATCAAGAGGGAGTGAGCTTATGACTTGACTTCGGACACCTTACAGTCGGGGTTTTCAGCACTCTGCAGCACCTAAATTGAGAAGTGCTTGCATATTGTGGTCCGACTCGGCTCCCCCACGTTACTTCGCGTCTTCTCTCCTGAGTCCTCTCTGGTGCCTGACGCCCACACCACTTCGGATTCTGGTTAAATTGGGATTTAAGTGCATTGCGTAAAAGACTATTGTTACTAACATCGAGGTCCGCCCTGCGACTATCTCAAGTAGCCCTGTCCTTACTGTTACCAAAATTGTCACTTCGCCATGACTCCTCTCTTGCAATACCCGATTAAGAAGACTTTGGAAATTCTCGGTGGAATTCTAGCATTCTGTGTTCTAGTGAGTCCTAGGACTCTTTCCTTAAAATTCACTTCCTAATCCATACGAAGTGTGTTGTCGGTCGCATAATCTACAACGTCTATTTTCACCCCTTGTCACGCTTCCCAGGACCAAAACCCTGGACCGCTTCTCGATTGCCATATATTAGCCATATCCAGGCCGGCGCTTTGGCTAGAGAAATTCGAATACTCCATTGCAAGTATGGCGATATTGTCCGTGTTGCACCTGATGAGCTTTCCTTCGCAGCCCCAGAAGCCTTGCAAGATATCTACGCAAAAACCGCCACTCATCCAGCCTTTCCCAAGGGGCCGTTTTGGAATGGAACTATTAAAGGGCAACCGTTCATGGTCCTCAATGCTCTGGATCCGAGTGATCATGCCAGAATGCGCAAAGGCGTCGCAAGTGCATTCAGCGAGAAAGCTGTCCGGGCACAGGAAGGCCTGATAGAAAAATATGCTACTAAATTGGTAGCTTGCCTGGAGCAAGTAGTCTCTAAATCCGAAAAAGGGGCAGTATTGAATATCACGAGTTGGATTAATTTTGCAGCCTTTGACTGTATTGGGGATCTTGCCTTTGGTGAATCGTTCAATTGCCTTGAGAGCAATGAATTTCGTCCTTGGGCCTTTGAGATCTTAGCGAGTTTCAAGGCTGTCGCTTGTGCTGCCTCTTTGCGCTATTATCCTTACCTGGACTGTTTCTTGAGGCTGGCGATCCCCAAACGCGTCTGGGAGACGCAGAAATATCATTTTCAGCTCGCGGTCGACAAAGTCCAACGTCGTTTGGGACGCGAGAAAGAGAGACGGAGACCTGATGTAATCGGTATGCTTCAGTTGGATGAAAAAGGGAAAAAAGGTTTAACGATAAGGGAGCCACATGCCCATGCACCTCTCATTATTATTGCAGGGAGCCAGACGATCGTCACAGTCCTTAGCGGAATTGTGAATTTTCTGGTCAAAAACCCCGAGAAATTAGCCATCTTAATAAACGAAGTACGAAATATTCGGAACAAAAGTGGGATAACGCAGGTTGCGCTCAAGGATTTGGAATACCTCAATGGCGTCATCAAAGAGGGACTGAGGGTTTGTATGCCAGCGTGAGTAGTACTTACATTCTACTTGGTATTCTACCCTTCACTGACACGATTGTCACTTCAAGAGCTGGAGGTCTTAACCGTCTCACTCCTCCCACCGGAGGCACCGTCTTAGGCCATCAGCTCCCAGGAAACATACACGTCAATGTCCAGCCTTTAAGTATCCATCTCTCCCCTATCTACTTTCACGACCCTACCGCCTTCATTCCTGAGCGGTGGCTCTCTGCTGCCATCGAGGACCCTATGTCTCCTTATCACAGTGATCGACGTAACGCAGTGCTGCCATTCAGTACGGGATCCAGGAGCTGTCCGGGGAAAGCGTTAGCGTGGGCTGAGATAAGATTGTTGCTTGCGAGGTTGGTGTGGAATTTTGATTTTGAGGAAGTTGATAGTGTGAAAGGGCAGTTGAGGTGGGAGGAGCAGAAAGTGTATATTGCTGTGGAGAGGAAGCCTTTTGAGGTTAGATTGAAAGCAAGGAGTTTTGGTGTTGAGGAGGCTCTGTCTGAGGAGACGTATAGCTGACACCGGTTGACTTGAGAAAGATTTCAGGAAGTCTATGTTCATCACGAAATACGATCTGTGAAAAAAGGTGAAGATGGAGAAGAACTTAACAAGATACATTTAGTTGCGACAGCAGCTTTGTGTAAGAGACACGTTTTTTGCAACCAGGACGAATGTCTTGGGCTTGTCCGAGAATATGATAGTTGGGGAAGGGGTCTTTATCTTTATTGGACCAAATGTTCCTTTTCTACTTCGAGCGTTCAGGAGCTCACTCAAATGAAAATCCGAGCATCTGTGGTTCGTTCTCCATGTTCCATACCCGCTGTATCGCAGGCAACAAATTAGTATTGTCCTTGACCCTTCCAAACGACGCCAAGCTTCTTGTTTTTATTTCTATCTCATCCCTATTTCCCTTAGTTAGTTATCAAGACGAGATGTTTTTGAGTACATAAAAATAATCGAGCGGTACATCCCTGCCATGCTGATTATGGCGAATGAGCCATTGCTGGCGGACTTACACATTCTCGACTTTTCGGACGGCTGTTGCCGAAGGAGAGTGAAAAATTGGGATTCGGGGCTTTCATTGGGTAATTCGAAATTTAGTGAAATTCCGATCGTGGTTGATGCTCTGCAGGTTACCAGGAAGGTGGTCCTAGAGCGGTTTCTGCTGGGCGCCAAGTCACAGAAGGATGCGGTGGCTTCTTTCACCCGACATGGCCTTACTGAAGAAGATTTAATCCGCAAATCACTTCTCCAAATCGTTGCAGGTAGTGATATGTCTGCTGCAACCATCCACGTGGTGTTGCTGAATCTCTTGATAAACCCACAATGTTACCAGAGGCTGCAAGTCGAGGTTGATTCTGCTCTGCTGGCGGGCAAAATGTCATCACCAATTCTGCAGGGAAGAAACTATCCTACTTACAGGCTGTGAGAGGAGAAGGTCTCCGGAATACCCCGTCAGCAACGGGCCTATTCAGCAGACAGGTGCCAAAAGGTGGAGATGTTTTGAATGGGATATTCGTAACTGAAGGCACGCAGGCTGGTTCGTCATCTTAAGGGCTTCATCATTTGAAGAAAGTCTTCGGCGAGGATGCAGATACAGCCAGACGCGAGAGGTGGTTTGAAACGGAAGGAGATCAGTTTGCAGAGATGACGAGCAGAGTTGACTTGGTGTTCCATTACGGAAAGACTCAATGCCTTGGGAAGCCCGAGTCTCTCATGGAGCTAAACAATAATTACTTTGAGATCAGTGCTCTGTTTCACTGAGGTTTCTTGAATTAACCACCACCTAACTGCTTCGGAAGTTTGACTTTGAAATTGTGAATGTGAACCAGCCGGCGACGTTTTAGAATGCTGGGATTTGGGTCACCACAAAGTTTTGAATGCGGGCTACAAGAAAGTAGTGTCATAGCCACTCCAATCTACATTCGAACGCCTTCAATCCAACTTCTTTTCACCCTTGTCTCCATCTCCACCACACTTCGTCTCCGCATCCGATCTGGATTCAACCGTAGGAAGCTTCACGCTGCCCATCCCTTCTGTAGACCCTGAGTCTCCACCCCGTTCTACACCAGTCGGCACAGGATCCTCATGCCAGAAAATCCCTCTTCCCCTTTCCTGCTCTGACAATCCAAGCAGGCAACAACCCACCCTTAACCTTCCACGTCTACGGCTCTCTCAGTTCCCTATCTGGCACTACTATCCGTCCCCCACTCACCATCTCTACAAACCAAGTCGTAGTAGTGATAATCATATAACTCACGATCCCCGCGGTCAGCCCATACGCAATGGAATATGTAAACGGCATTACGGCCAATGTAATGAAGGCCGGTAGAGCGTCGCCGAAATACAGCCAGTTGATGTCCTTGGCTGCTTTCGCCATCATGGCACCGACGATGATGAGTGTGCAGCCGGTAGACCACGGAGGGATGGATGCGAAAATTGGTGCGAAGAAGATGGAGATGAAGAAACAGAGGCCGGTGGTGATGGCCGTGAGACCTGTTTTACCGCCTTCGGAGATGCCGGCGCCGGATTCAATGAAGGGTGTTACTGGGGAAAGGCCGAAGAGGGAACCGATTGAGATTCCCAATGCTATAATAGGTTAGCGGAGGAGGAATAAAAAGAGTGGAGAGGTGGGTACCGTCTACGAGGGTAGGCTACCGCGGAACCTTCAAAATCTTGGGTTTCTTCGTCGATTGCACCGGCGAAGCGGGCCATAGAGTACAGTGTTCCGGTACAGTCCAGGATATCTACGTAGAGAAAAGTGAAAAATGCGAGGCCGAACTGTCCTGAGACATCAGTTAGGTTCCAATCCTGGACAGCGAGCTTGTTCCGAATCCCGTGGAAAGTAACCACCTTCTTGAAGAAGTCGATGTTGTCGTTGCCAACAGGTGTGTAGGGGAAATATGTGACAGGTGTTGGTCTTGGCCAGGAGATGATCGAGACGAGGAGGATGCTTGCGACAATGGCGCCTTTGACTTTGTAGGCTAGGAGGATGGCGGTTACGAAATCACCGCAGAATATACCGATCCACATCGTTGGAGAGCGCATCTTGGTGGAACCTGGACAGACGCTGTCGACAATCTCTTCGGCACGACAGCCTGCAAGCTCTAGTGGCGTGGCGGTGGCTCCAGTAATGGCACCAATTCCAGCACTGTAGGTCTGGCCGATGATTGCTACTTTCCATTAACAGGACTCTTTGAGGGAAATGAGTGACTCACTCAGATACAGCCCAATACCAACGCCAGACGCCAGCTTGATAGACGCAGGAATAGCTCTCGCAAGCCATTGTCTCAGACCGAGAAGTGACAACCCCACAAACGCAAATCCTTCAACAAAGACAGCTGTCAAAGCGAGCTTGTAACTGACTGGACCAAGCCCATGGAATCCAACGACCGTGTAAGTGAAGTAAGCATTCAAACCCTACCAGGCGCCAGGGCGATAGGCATGTTGGCAAACAGACCCATGCAAAAGGATGTTAATGCAGCTATTGCAGCAGTGCCCGTGATGAAGTCCCGATGGATGATGCCGAGACAGAGATTATACTCTATATTATCTGCGTAAGCTGGATCATTTGCATCGGTGCAGACGCAGGTCCCACCGCTGTCTGTCAAGATGGTGGCATTGACCTATTTCCGTTAGTCCTCAGTTTGCTGTTCGAGGTGTCAAAAGCTATACAGATATGATATACGCCATGGCGAAGAAGGTCGCGAGACCTGCTCGAATCTCGGTCAAGAATCTGGAATTTTCACGCGATTTGGTATGCCCTGAGCCATCGAGTCGAAATCTTCTCCCCACAATGCTTTTCGCGACTGTTTCGTTAATTTTCTTCGTAAATCCAAGCATGACGAACTATGACGAACTTCCGCTGGCGGCGCAATCGAAGAGTCTAAAAATTTGACTCTCAAACCAACGCCCGCCAGCTCCTTTATAACAGAGGACGCTGAGATAGTTTGTTAGATCCCTTATCTCTGATATTTTAGAGATATGAGGTTTTCATTTGTCGCGGTGTTGACGGGCTCTTTGGCCAAGAGGTCAAGCCCTTGGCATGCCGATAGTATGGATCCGAAGGTTGGTCCGTCGTCCATGATGAGATCGATGGCCGGGCTTGGCACAAATGAGATTAGTTGGGCATGCTGGCAGCTGCCGTGAGCCTGCTTTCTTCGCCGCCGGCTTTAGCATGTGAACAAACACAACCTGGATCAACCTTCGATATTCGTAATTAAGGGATCACACGTGACATTGCCGTAAAAGTTAACAGCCATCATTGCAGTCTGCGGTGACTTTGCAGTTCATACGCCGAAAAGTATGCTTTGCAAGGCACGTGTATCTTCTACTTTAATATTGTTGTTGAAGTTTCCTTCAGGAATATCATTCCAGGAAGGACCAACCAACCCACGTGACGTGAATGGTCTCCCAAAGCTCGACGAGTACTGATCCCTAAGTTGCTAGTCTGCGTGAGAGAGGAAACATCACCTGGTGTTCTGCGCTATTTTGGGGAGAAGCACCTTTGCTGAGGCGCTAATTTTCGCATAGTTGCTGGAATTGGTGATCCCGAAAGGCTGAAAATGGGGGCCGGCAGATGTTTTCGTTAACTGGTTGTTCCATAGCTGGCGACCGGAGAAATGATTAATGCTGCCCGATGATTCTGAGCGAGAGTGGTGCAGTTGTCCATGCCTTGGTGCCTTTGGCACTGTTGTAGCAGATGTAAGAAAGGAAGATGTCGTCGGAGATAGAGATTGATTTCCTCGGCTGAACTTCAGCACCCGAGAAACTTGCCCCCTTCCCGCTTCTCAATGTTCACTTTCGCCGGTTTCAACGAAATTATGATCGGGACGGCACACTTGCCAGCCGAGGAATAAGTTGATAGACTTGCATAAAAGCAATGTAGATACTCCGCCTCTCAAAGTCGAAGTGAAGAAGTATGAGCATGCAACAATTCTGCAGTCAAGCCTTGAAATCCAGGAGAGGCCCACTCAACCCAAGCCACAATCCCCGAAAGAAGATATCGGAGTCAGCCTCAGTACCGAGTATTGCAAGAAGTCAAAAAGGCAGGACAACAAGTGCTAGGCGCTGACACATAGTTCAATAGGAACGCACTGGCATGTTCCACTTGGATCACGCTGTATGCAGCCATGGGAACACAATACTGGCTGGAGCCGGCCAGGTCGAAGTGTATTAACGAAAAAAGACAATATACTTTCTCTCGATATTGCTATGACGAGTGTGAGGGAAGCCTATCTGTCAAGTTGAAGTTAAGATAAGACCCGCAATCCCCCACTCGATGGTTTGGAGAGATTCAGGGGCAATCGGCTGTTTCTGGTCTGAAAATGCGGGGTCTTCCACTAACTGAGCAACACCTCCACGTCTCTTCGTGTTCAAAAATGGCCAAATGCCGCCATCTAGAACTTACACTTCTGGACCAAACCCACGGAAATCTTACCCTTGTTGAGTTTACACCAATCCGTAGTGCCACGCAGCGCCACCCCCTTCCACCCCCACACTAAGAGGATCGCTTAGCCCCTGACTAACGTACTTTCGTACGCCGCCGAAGAAGTTCCCACACTCCAGTCGTTTCTTCCCGCGATAACGCATTTTATATTTCTTTTCTCGTCATTCTCTCGTTTGAGCATTCCCGTTTCCCTTCAGTGCACGGGTGTTCATTGGTACTCTGGCCTGTGCTCCGTGTGTGCGACGCAGGCCTCATGCAGAAATGCACAGCACGGCTCAGCTGCGGATCCTCCCAGTGGCCTCCGTCCCAAGTCCCAAAAGCCTGCATACGATTGTGTATCTCTCTTCAACAAACTTCCAGGAATAGCGCCTCACGAGGTCCAAGAAGCCTTATCAAGGTTCCAGTCGCCGTTCCCTGGTGCAGAAATTGCCTCGCCACACCCCTTGGGACGGGTCGTGCCTGTCGTGGCTTGCCACAACGGTACGGGACGCGCACAGTCATTGCTCAGTTGTCGCAATTCGGGTCCTTTTGTAGCTAGCACCCTCACAATCTTCCTTTTGTTCGCTCTCTTTTCCGCGTTCTACCGTTATTTCTAGGATCAGGTACCAGGAGACATCGATAGCGGCCGCAAAAGCAAGAAATTGGCAAGCCGAGAGACGACCTCCTGGCCGTTCATTGCACGTTGCTTATCTCTGTTGTCACACTTGCTGGAGATGTTTTCTCCACTCCTAGCCCCGATCCGGAGATCCTCACGAACGACTGGAAGCTGCACCTGCTGTTTTTGACGCAGGAGATGAGACCACGTTGTGATAATGCGGAGAATTACTATGGGGTCTCGGTCAGTTCTTGTCTTGTAAAGAAGCGAGAAAAGGAAAAATGGGTCCATACATAATGTTGGCATATCCTCCCGCAGCGATAATTGTGCTTGGCGGCCTTTACGTAGTTATCTCTGTTCGATTGAGATATCTCTTTCTCTTCTGCATTCTTTGTTGTGAGCAGCCGTCAGGGCAGAACACCTGGGGAAAGTCTCACCATGGGTGACTTCGATCCTTCTTTCATACATGCTCTAGCTGTGCAATCATGGAGTTTATACAGTGTTGGCATATTTCTCATTTTGTTGAGATTGTAAGGATCTCCTCCTTTCCTCTCACTGTTCGGCGTGCTGACATCCAAAAGGTATGCAAGAATACATAGACTCGGTGTTCAGAATCTCCAGCCTGACGATTGGCTCATGGCGTTGGCGGGAGTAAGTCGACAACCCTTCTTCCCCGCCTTCATATGGAGACATTGACAAAAGGCCAGGGTCTCTACACAGCACTTGTAGTATGCCTCAACGTCATCGCCGGCGGAGGTGGCAGCAACCTCTACCCCCCCGAAGATTTCGATACCTTCACTCCGCTCGAGATCCAAGAACGCATCAACGGTTCCAAAATCGTCATCGTATCTGAACAAGTGAATAGACACACTTCTCTTCTGCTACCTTATATTCGCTAACAACTGGACAGGCAATGCTCAACGTTATCTACGTAATAAAATGCTGCATGCTACTCATGTACACGCGCCTAACCCTCGGCACCCAAATACAAAAGATGGTCATTTACCTCGCAATATACGTCTTCATCGGCTGGGCCGCCACCGAAATTGCCTTCTTCACTGCTTGCCGCCCTTTCTACGGTTACTGGGCTATGCCACCGCCAGATCCACAATGCACCACACTGCAACACTACGCAATCGTGCAAGCATGCTTCAACATCAGCTCCGACACGCTTATGCTGACCATCCCCATCCCGCTCGTAACGCGGCTGAACATGCCATGGAAGCAAAAGGGCATCCTGCTAGTCATCTTTTCGATGGGATTATTCGTCATCCTCGCCGCTATCCTAACAAAGGTCTTTAATCTTAGCAATATCTGGGACCCGAGCTACATGCTCTGGTACACCCGTGAAGCGTCTGTGGCGGTTTACGTCTCTAACCTCCCTATGATCTGGCCGCTCCTCCGCGAGTGGTTCCCTGCTCTCCGCACCATGACACCTGGGCAGAAGTCCTCCCTCAACACAAAGGAGCGTATAGTTACGGGGCTCGGTGGCAGACCCCGCACAACCACGATTGCGGGACGACATCTCAGTGGTGGGTTCGGCGGCAAGAGGCTGAGCGATCATGGGATCACCACAACGATTAAGGGGAAGGGGGAGAGTACGGAGGAGCTCAGCAGTGGGGATGATACTGAGATGGGCGCGATTTCGAGAGGGGATAGTTGGGAGGAGAGGCCGGTTACGGCGCATGGGAATCAGGATGTCGAACTCAGGGGGTGGGAAAGTGCTAAGGGGGATAAGGGCATCCATATGACGACTACGGTGCAAGTCTCTGAGGAACATGTTGCGGAGCCGGGACTGGCACATGCTGTGGGAGTTTCGAGCCCGAGGGATGTGGAGAAGGGGTTTGAGTGGGGGTTTGCTCATAGCAGGAAGTGATTTGAAAGGTGGTTGAAGGGTTTCAGTGGTCTCAATTAGTTAGTACCTGGGTTTGTCGGAGTCTTGGATTCGGGTTTCTGGTGTATAAATGGGCAGGGAACTTCTATTCCTGTATCTATTAGAAAATGTCACTTTTAGTTTTCCTCTCGTCCTCACTGATATCTCGTCATCCCATATTCGTCGTGTTTGCCTGCCGTCTGCAATTACCCTCAAATTAAAATCAAAATCTGCACTATGAGTATGCTTCCACTAATTCTCACTCCAACGAAAGCTTTCTTAAGGGCAAACCTTAACTGGCTTCCCTGGCGCCGTAGCAACCCCACACTCTTCCACAGGCGGCCTGCTCACCATGACCGGCGCTTTCCACTTGTACGCCTGTGCCCCCGCCTTCGCCGCCGCGACTGACGGAATCACATCTACAGCTTGACTGTCATTCGGATCCTGCTGCACCGTCCAGCCATCAGCCATCTTGTTGATCCAGTCCTCAAGGACGTTCCATGGAATTGTGATTTTGATGTTGATTTTCTTGATCGCGTTGCGGATTCTATCCCACGTTTTGTGGAGCCAGCTCCAGAAGGACTTCCGGGGAGAGGCGGTTTGCGGAGGCGGTGGATGAGCGGGAAGCTTCGGCGGAAGCGGTTTGGTAGGTAGAGGGAAGGCATGGGTCAGATGTGAGGATGGTACCAATGGAAACGGAGCTTGAGGTTTGGCGGCGTGCTATGGAAGAGTCTGGATTTAATGAGTTGTGTTAGTCTTTGAGGAGCGTTCAGGTGGGACACATACTGCATGTTTGAGGAAAGGGCCTGGCATTTACACCAACTGCCAGAAGGGCGACTGTAAAAAGTGTGAGTGGGAATTTCATATTGCTTTTTATTCGTCGGCTGGTCCGGGGATTGCGAGCGGTGGGTGATATGAAAAAATATCTTTTCCGGGCCGGAACTCAGTGGAGCATATATATTTCGTCTGGGCGGCTCCCCCTTTGGCGACGTTGCTTAAAATAGAGGGGGAGGGCGAGTTAACTGAGTATTCTAAATCCAGACACTCAGCCCAAGTAATCTATGCATATTGAGAAGTGGTTATACAAATCTAGCAACACAAACCTATTAGTCCTGTGCAACAAAAGATGTTCTAGAACATTTGCCAAGAAAGGCTGTTTGCCACTGACTTTCGGTGCAACCAGAAGTCTTCGCCTCTGAAGAATGTACGACAGAGCGAAGCAGGAGTAGAGACGCAAAATTCTATTTTAAGTGAAATTTAGGAACGTTCATTTTATGGAACAACATATACCGGACTCCTGGAATTATCTAACAAACTGTAGTGAGGACAAACGAACGATCTCGGTTCGATTCCTGACATTGGAACTTTATGGCGACCGTGTCCACCTCATGAACCCCACACTGGCCTTCTTTCCTTTCACACCAGTCTTACTCTCAGGTAATTCAAAGCAGTCTGGAATGACCCCTTCGAACACAAACCCGTTCTTTTCAAAGACCTTTCTGCTTCCAGCATTGTGCTGAAAATACGACCCCGTGATGATATGTGCGTTCATGTAGGGAATCATGAAATCGTGAATCAGTGCACGGATCGTGGCGGGCATGATACCACGACCATGATGTGAAGGCGCAAGATAAACTATCAGGAGTGTCAGAATATCTTAAAACTGGCCATTCCAAAGAGAGGAAGGAGCATGACTCACAGCCCAGCTCCCAAACAATCCCAGGATCTCCAGCGTCCAATGCCTCGTTCACTTCCTGTCTCCTTTTATTCTCATCACTCGCAGCCTTTATCATAAAATCCATCCTCGTGACCCCAATTATACCGATGAGCTTTTGCTCGCGATTCACGGGATCAACATCTCGAATCGCAATCACAGGCGCTCCTTTGACCCATCGTTTTTCATAACCACCGTCTTTTCTCGACTTCTCGGCTTCCCTCCATTCGAGTAGCGCGTCATGGGAGCCCTTTTGAATGATTGGGAACCATTCATCCCATTCTTTCTGTGCGTAGGGATACGGCGGACCTGCGAGGTTCATGTACACTCTTGGGTCGCTGAGCATGGAGATCACGGCTTCGCCATCGGAATATCGGGGCGGAGTGATGATGATGTTGGTGTGTGGTGCAGGAAGGCGAATAATGGGGGAATTGTTGGAGTCGAATTCCATGGTGAGATTCGGGGCTGAGAATGGCGGTGTGATTGTTGAATGAGTTCTTGGAGAGTCTTTTCAGAGTTGCAGCATCGATGGCTCAATTGCTTAAGCCCTAAATGGTATTAAAATACTGCTGGGATTGATGATTCTGATGGTCTTGAAGGGGGTAATATAGAAGGAGCGAAGGGTGACTCATGGAGGAGCGACTCACTTCATTGAATCCGGGAGCGATTTTGGGCCGTCTAACGACTATAGACACCTTCCTCATTCAAACAAGAATATGACTGCATCAGATTGAACGTTACATCGATCTCAGGTTTGTCAGCTTGTACAATTGTTGTTCCGGTCTTGAGACAGGAAAGGGAGAGGAGCTGAGATTTGAGCCGAAGTTTGGTGTAACTTCGTGGGGAAATGATCGGCTTGGGAAGCAAGGTCCGCAACCCCTGGGTTTCACAGTGGCTCAGTCCCTTATTATCATTTAAACTTTCTTCACAATCCCCCGTTCAGGCTTAATTCCCATGGCGAGAGGGATCACTGTTGCTGACACAGCATTGCAAGTCCGCACTCATCTACAGTACAGTTGGCCTACTATTTCGCCCTCCCCTTGCCCAATACAACCCAATGACTTGCCTCCAGAACTCAGCGCAACAAAGCATGCTTGGATTAATGCATTGTTAATAATAATAATAAACCACTGGGATCCACCTCCACATAGAAATTTTGGGATGTATTAGGGTATTGAGCAACATCGCAGAGTTGCGATCAACCCACACACACATCCGTGCCAACACCTCGTTTAAGCCCATCGACGAGAGACCCCCTCGCATCTCAATCATTTTGATTATTCCTGCCCTATGCAATTCAACGCCCTTTGAGTCACCAAACATTGCCTCATACATTGCCATCTTGGCAACTGCGCCAATGAGCTGGGAACTCGGACCACTGGTTGCAAGCGGGTTTCGAACCGAAGTAGTTGCTTTGTCTTTATTTGTAACAGGCTCGGTCCGCTGTCTTTCGAGTCTTGGAGTAGAGTTAGATAAAAAGCCACTAGCACAATGATCACCAGGAATGTCGCAACTTCGGTTAAGACCTTTGGAAATTATCTCGTTCGGAGAACTCCTGGTTTTCCTGGTCCGTCCAGGCCAGGCAAAACGATAACCATATTGACGATACCTGGTAAATTGTGGCGGTTTTACTGGAAAAATGGCAAATACTTAGATTCAATTCATGGTCCTTGACGGAGTAACGGCACTCTCTACGTCCATGTGCTTGACCGTCGTGCACACTGGAATCGGATTCGGGGATGAATGGTCTGGAGCAAAGTTCACTTTCCGGAAGTTGATGGTGCGAAAGGATCGAGACTTAGAGGAGGATGGGAGGAAAGAAAATCCTGGAAGTGAAGGAATGAGCGGCAATATGCTTAATGCAGACCAGAAGGAACCAATGAGTCAATGGAATCAGTCTGATATGGAAAAGTAAGATGGAATCTGACTTGTGGTGAAGTTTTTTACAACATGCGAGGCCCAGTCGGGATTTTTCATATCTTATTTTATGTAGTTTAATCTATTCTATTGATCGGTCTCGGGAGTTGTACAGGACCTCAAAGTGTTCTTTTCAAAGCTCATTTTTCTCACTTCCTCGCTTACACAGTCACTCCTGCTTCCGATAATCGCTCAACTAAAGTTTTGATTCCTCAAAATACCGTACCAAAGCCACATAGGCTTCGGTGAGCGCTGTGAATGGAAATAAATCCTTGGCTAAGCAATAACGACACGTAGAACTCGGTCTACTCTGAGAACCTCAGCCCTTAAAATCCCTAAACAGTTTCAAAAATTGAACTTCATCCAATTTACGTGCTGTAGTCATATGATATTAACCTCAAAAATACGCTCTCAAAGCAGACGAAATGGCCCAAAGTTCGGAAGAACTCTGGATGAGTGAGTAATTTGGAACAGAACTAGCATCTCATTCACCGCATCTAGAAGAATCATTTAATCCTTTGGTAAGATTTTGCATATTGTTCCTTGTTAGTAATTTCTATTGACTCTATTCTGGCATGGAAAGACTTACCGTATGTATGGTTTGCAAAGAACTAAGGATGAAAATCTGTGTACCTCCTAGTTAGTCGCCAAGTCACGCAATAAACCAAGAGCGGGGTAAAGAGAGAAAATACGATATCTGTACAGACCCAATTATCGGGCCCATGGAAGAAGTTGCTGATCTGTTGAGAGAAGGTAAGTGGACTCGAGAGTCGACACTGGACCCATGAGGATACCGCACTATCCTACGCAGTTGCTGCCCCAGCAGAGCCCCTTCTAGCGGTAGCAACCGCAGTTGTTTATTTGGTTCACTGTGTGTTTTGGAATGCATCTGTCTGAGTCCTGAGATGAAGTTGGAACAGACCCAAAGGTGCCACCAAAATTTCCAGCGGCTTGTTGGCGAGGATTGAGATGGATAGAACCAGCCAGACACAAGGGAGGGTAATAAGCAAGAGAAGCTGAGGGATCTTGATGACGACCATTGTAGCCCCAGCGTGAATTTAGTCTTGAGAAAGGTGCGAAGGCGATTGAGTGTGGAATCCATGAAGAGAAATTACCGATCTGTATACACTGGCTCTGATAGATTTAAGTCATGGAAAAGTAGTGAGGTTGAAGTTTTATGGATCTCGTGAGAGTGTTTATAACCCTCTAGGCAAGCGTCTTAGAATCCGGATTCCTCTAAAGGCCTTCACTTCAACTGTGTTGTATTCTAAATTTGTAGAATTAAGAGTTATATCTCATTTTCTCATGATATCTGAGGAGCAGAGGCAGCTATTCTCTGAAGCACACGGGCACGGATTCCATTTAGACACCTCTCCATTATTGAGATCTGACAGACTTTACAGTCTTTGTTGGTTCGAGGCTGACCGTCAGACTCGCAGTCTCACTGGATCTCGTCACGCTGGTCAACGCCAGTGATGAGGATCGGAGGCCAGATTCAAGGAAAAATGTTCTTTCAATTTCTGACTTCTCGTTAACATCAACCTAAGAAGTAAATAATATGTATTTAAAAGGTTGGAAGGATGCTCGGTGTGGTTGGATTGAGAAACCTGAAAGGATTCTCAAACACTGGTTGATTTCCTTGCAGTCGAAAGGTCGACTCAAAGGTGTGGTTACACTGCAGTAATACCAACTCGGCAGCGGCATGACTTGGAACCAAAACACTGAGGCGAAGCACTGAAAGCCCTACATCAACTGACATGCTTAGCCCCAATGACCTGGGTCGGGTAGCCTCAGTCGCGACCCTAACCGCCTTGCAGGCATATTTTCAGATTCCACTCCCACTTGAGAGTCGACCAACATGTTGCACTCATATATTTTACATCTTTGTGCATCATCATCTTTCTTCCTTTCTTCCTTCTTCCTCGTTCCCGCTCCTTGATTCGCCTGCTCCTTCTGTTTAAACCAAAACCACCAAAATGTTTTCACGCAATGGCTATGAACATGGGAGGCTGTTCCACCACGTTATTCTGATATCCTTAGCGCTCATTTTCTTCGCCAGCCTAGTCCTCTTTATCCTGTCTATCTACTACTACAATCAAATGATCGTGGACCACTCTTTCGCATCCACCTTGCAGGACGGAGCGTAAGTGATTCTTCAACCACGCCACTCAAGACCAACAGCTGAACGCCCTCTTCGATGCAGTTCACTCTTCCTATATCTTGTCGTAATGCCAATCCTCACTCTCACCCAAACTCTAATCCAGCTTCTTCTTTCGAACCGGAGCCTCTACCTTACGCCAAGAGCCATGGTGGCGACTGGAAGCATATTCCTTGTTGGTTGGATTGTCGTTGCTAGTATTTGGACGGATTGTGAGATCATACTTCCGAATAGTGATGCGAATTTGCTGCCACACTGGTGTCCTCATTCAGCGCCTTCAAGTCCTGCAGTCTCTGGAATAGTGTTTGAGAAGGGACTTACAACCACGAAAGATGCTCTTGGTTGGATAGTGACGTTAGGCTATGTGGTATACTTGGTCTCTGCGAGTATTGCATGGCGGGAGGAGAAGATGGAGGAGAAGAACAATAACAAGAGAATTAGGATAGAGTTAGAGTCTTTTTAAGAACAGTGTGATGGATGATTTAGGTGCAATCTTGGTTGTTTCTTAGCACATCGCCGTGAGAACTCAGGCAATGAATTGGCAGATCTCTCCGGAAACACCACAGAACGCCACAAGTCTAGACTAAATTGAACACTTGTAGCGGAACTCCTCGCTTTCGCAGTTCCCCGGAGGTTAATCTTGGATCCTGCCACGTTTCCTCACCTGTCTCATCATTTTTGAATATCTGATCAAAATCCTCTCCTGGATGCCTCCATATTTGCCACCCTGGAGGCAGCGGGCCTCGCCGAGGATCTTCAACTTGAAAATTTCCCGTCACCTTGTTAAAATACGCCCATCCATAAGAGCCACCGCTCGCGTCATATATCAAAATTGCTTCGAATGAATCCGGGAAAGTTCCAAACAATGCTTCCCCGTCCATGAACCCATCACAATACGCTTCTCCGATGACTTTGTATCTCCCATCTATAGTCGGACGCAGCACAATAGGAGATTGACAGCCTAATAGAACAGTGACTATATCACCTTGATTGGCCAGGAGCGGCGCTAGGCCACAGATTCCGTCCTCGGTCAAGTAGAAAGATCGCCCTATGCAAACGTGCCGAATGAAGTCTAATTCCCTTCTAGAGCTTTCCCAAACAGCTCCTAAGTCCTCATCCATATCAAATGTCAAAATCTTATACGCTACTGCTTCACCTTCTGCTGCACTTAGCACCGAGGATTGGACCGGCGATATTCGGTCCCCAAAACAGTTTCCACAAATGGTCCTGGTAAATGCTTTATGTTGACGGCTCTGAAAGGACACTTTTCGGAATCCTATACTTGTCGCAAAATCCCTTAAACCTCTAACGTCTTTCTTTCCTCCGGAAACATTCTGGAAGAAGACCATGGGTTCAACTTGTCTTATTCCTGCAACGATGACCCCTTCAACTTCCAAAATATTCACGACATGCTTGATAGATAAGCTATGACGTGAACTGGTTGAAGCATTACTGAGTTCTAAATGATTGTAGGGGAGTGGAGAAATAAGCTAAACAAAATTGTAAGTCAAACTATTCCAATTTCATTGAATAATAACGCATCGAGATAATTATTTAAGGAGAAATCCTCAAATCAGGGCATAACACCATGTCAATAATGTTATTGGTAGGAATAGAGGGGGTGGCACGATAATAATCAATGGATATACTGACGTTGGGAACCCAAGATGGAACACCTTCGAGGTGCTCATGACTCTCCACAATATTCAAAATATCTAGATCATGGCTAGATTCGATCAATGATAATGCAAAATCCCGATAAGTCTGGTATACGCCTTTTGTATAATTCGGCTCAATTCTGATCGACCAGGGTCTGTAGATTAATGACAGCAAGGCATAGATCTTGTCCCTTGGGTCTGAGCAGTTGGAGTTCTTCGAATAGTGAATTACTCTCCTGATGGTTCTATAGTGATTCACTCCAAGACACAAATTTATGACGTTGATGAAGCGTTTATAGTGTTCTTCGTCTAGGTCAAGTATGGCGAGAGGCTTCCGACCAAGCCATCGGATAGCTAATTGTAAGGCAGTCCATGGAATTGTGCGGACACCACACATGACTTCAACATCCCCTAGCGCTAGGTGGACTTCTTGCCATATCCAGAGACGCCCGAACCAGGGCCTTTGAATGAATTGCCATATAGAGAGGAATTCGACTTCATTGAAAGGAACTCCAGCCTCTGAATCCACCCAGTGGGCTTCATTAGTCGTAGCGACTATATTAAACGTGGCTTCGTCGACCTTGACCTTGGACGCAATTCTCTCAAAGAGGTCCAGTGCAAGTTCGGAATTTTCTGATGCAGGACCGAGCCAAACTAAGACTCTAACTGCTTTCGAGAATATATCTGCCATTCTCTTAACTTGCTGCCCTCTCTCCTTGAGATTCTTCTGATCAACACAAATAGCATCGACCCAGAGAACACGAGACTTGTCCTCAGAGCGGAAGTACGGCAGGGCCTTGCCGAGATTTTGTGTAACGGCCAGCGTCGTTCGACCCGAGTTCCCGATGAAGATGCTCACAGGATTTTCAGCCGAGCCCCAGGTATATGACACTGCCTCGAAATTCGGGACGTGAGATTTTGTGAATGGTGTGATGTCGAGGCAGACGCGGACGTCGGAGGAGAAGCTGCCAGGCAGCAGAGTCAAGAGGCGGATCTCTTGTGCTTCTTCATCGAGCGGTGAGTACGTGTAGGGCTCGGAGTGCTCGGAGTCGACGGCTTGATCTTGCGCCATTGTAAGATGAGATAGGGATGGGTGAGAGTGTGATTTCTCTGTGCCATGCGTGGTGTGAAGTTGGGAAGTTTGCGGCTGTTCGGGATTCTTGAGGCTATCCCTGAGCAGAGCACATTTAGTCACGTGACACACACCCCTTTTTCTGTCAACTCACGGCCTCATGTATGAAGTTTTGCAGAACAAGGTGAGGCAAGTTGCATACTGTTGAGCAACAAGAAAGAGTCTCCTGAGATATCGGAAAATTTACAGGCATCCTACGTTATATCCACTTATTTTCAACTAAGACAGCCGAGAAATTCAGACCACGAGGTTGCAACTAGCAAGTGAACTTCCAGATAACATCCTCCCACCCCTCTCTCCTCGCAATCTTCGCTCCCATTAGAAGGCCCCTGCCCGTCGGCTTCGCAATACCCTCTCCAATTCTCGATCTCCCCAGCACCGGAACCTTGATCAAGCCTCCATCACCACCCTTAACATCAAACCCCATAATCAGAACCGCAACAGCCCCCAAGATTTCCGCAAAGGCAAAGTTCCTGCCAGGACATAGGTGCTTTCCGCCACCGAAAGGGAAGTAAGATTTCTTCCGCTCTCTGTCTCCAGCGCGAGCCTGTGCACTTGTATCACCCCTTTCTTCGGGAGTGAGAAACCGCTTTGCGTCAAAGGAGGCCGAATCGGGTCCCCAGGCTGTTTCACTAAAATGAGGTACGCAGGCAGGCATCATCAAGTCGCAGCCAGCACGAAGGAGGTATTCTTTCTTGCCGTCTGAGATCACGGTATCCTCCATGACCCGTCTCGAGCCTACATTTCCGTTGGTGAGGCGGATGGTCTCGCGATAGGAGGATACGAGGACTGGACAGTGAGTGTCGAATTTGGTGATATCTATAACGGCCTCGCGTCTCCCACTTGTGAGGTTTGTAAGGGTGACCAAAGATGCCAGTTCTTGGCGTATGGTAGCTGTGGCCACGGCATCAGATTCAATGAAGCAGAGGTGCCAGAATAAGGTGGGAATAGCGTTAGCGGTTGCGACATGGAGGAGTGAAAGTTCGAATTTCCCGATATCAACATCAGATACGTTTTGTTTCCTAAGGATAGCTGCGCGCACTTTGGTCACCTGCGATACTTCTGGTTCGAGATCGTGTTTGGCCGAGTAGAATTTGATTAGAGCGTCTTGGAGCTTGGTTCGAGCTTGGTATGCCTTGGGGAAAGTGATGGATGGGTAAATGTTTAGTAGTAGGCCAAGCATATTGCCGTCAAAGTCCCTGACCTTGAGTGTTAGTGGTGGTACACTGAAACTCTCGTTGACTCACCAGAGTGCATCTACTAGACTGTTATCGAATCTGAGAGGATTGTGAGATCCATATAATGCATCGGTGGTCGCCAGCGTCATTGTGTTTCTGAGCCAATAGAACAGACTATCGAGCTCGAACGTCTTTCCGAATCCATTGACGGCTAGGGCTACGCTGTGAAGCACATTCGCATTCATCTTGTTAAGATGTTTCTCAGCCATTGCTCCATGAATTTCTTTGGCCCACTCGTGGAGAAAACTTGGAGCCTTCTCGTCGCCAGCAAAGCTGACTGGGGCCATTGTTTCATCCGAAAGCGCAAGCTGACGTTGACCGAACTCCAGAACAAATGGTTCAAACGATAAATTCCTATGTCTTAAAGCGGCTTGGACCATCGTTGGATCGGTAATCAGGTAGACCTTGCCATTGATCATGGGTAGGGTTGCAATTGGCACCGGTTTCCGCGTGCTGCGATTGTTAGAAGAATACCATGACACCATGAGAGAACGGCATACTACAGCTTGTCAAAATATGCAGAATGATATCGAAGTAGTCCGACGATGTGCCCAATGTATGGAATTCTTGGCTTCAGTATAGGAGGCTCTTGGGGACCTAGTTGGATCGCCAGGCGTTGCCGGATTATCAAGAGCACGCCAAGAACTGCAAGAATAACCGAGGGCGTATAGCCCTGGAATAAGAAGCCTAAAGCATCGTTGATAGACATTATAGTGCTCTGGAAGTGATCACTCTGACTAGGTTTCTCCCGGACGTGGAATGCCAGGGCTCGGCTCTAGCAAAATGTGTGCGCCTAGCAGACCGGAGCCTGACAGTCAGAGAATAAGATGGACACACGACCAAAAGGAGTAAAAGAAGAAGGTAGAGTTATGATGGAGAGGAGGACGGTAGTAATATTGCACTAATCGAACGGCGTGCCGCAATTTGAAGGCTGACTGCAGGGGAGTGGAGCTGAATCCGCTAAGTTGAGGTTGTAATAGAAGACATCACCCACCAACCGCCCATAACCCCTTCCCGCTCAACTTGGATTTTGGAGACCTTAACGTCGCAAATTCGAAAAATTAATACGATATTTGCAATATTTCAAGTATTCTCTATAATCTGGAAAGTCTTGGAATTTTCCAAAGACTTTGAAAAATCGAGAAAATTTTGGTGGGGCGGGCGCAGGCGGGAAGGGCGTTTGAGCGGTTGGTGGGTGATCCTTCTAATTCGCTTGCTCTCATTTGCTGGAGATACGAAGGCCAATCACGTATCAGGATGGGATTTCAAGGAACAAAATTATTTTAGCAAAGAGCCGTGAGATATTTAAATGCGATTTCTCTTGAATAACCTCCTCAGCTCCAACTACCTCGGATTGCGAAGACGAACCCGCCAAGTCCAAATGAAGGTGTCCCTGCCGATAAAATAGAGGTTTTCGATTAAGAACGAGCTAATTAATCAATCATATCCGATTATCAATTCCCTGAGTGATTCGGAGATGAAGAATCGAAGGATTTTGCACCGGCAAGAAACCACAAGTTAGGTGGCGGAGAGGTTGAGGGACATGGGGAAAGGAGAGGGTATTTTGTAGGGGAGATTGCGATGGAGGAGAGGCTGTCCAAGATCAAACAGAGAATGGTGTGCAACACAAGGGAGATCTCGAGGTCGCTGAGGGAACGAAGCAGAAATAAGTCGAAGACTGACTCAATTAGAACGAGGCCTAACTGTCGAAAATCCAGATTATATATCTCATGCCTCGTGTTATATATATATTCAGCACTCAGCCTGGGTTGATATATCCATCACTCCAATCTTGATCTTCCAGTGACTCCAGGCCAATTGAGTACGCGTCTTGTACGCATTCTTTTGCTCCTCTGACATGCGGTCTCTCATGACGCCGTCTGTCGTGTTCATGCCCGAACCCTGTGCCGCATATCGTGCAGAGAAACGGACGCTAATCGGCATGCGTGCGTATATGGGACCGAAGGTAGTGGGCTCGTGTAAACCGTCTCGGACACAGCGTACACTGGAATGTTGCGGGACTCTTGAGGATGTCGGGACTCCTACCGGAAGTAGGAGCTCTGACATGAAATTCGGGAATTCCTAAGATATCTTGGTGGTTTTGTTCCGAATCTACCCGGCGATCACGGCCTAGTCCTGTCAGTATGAGGTGTAACATACAGTCAATGTTTCACGTACCAGAATCCGGTGGTCTCAGGGTATCTAGTCTAGTTTTTGGCTTAGGTCGTTCGATCGACGAGGGTATGTCGGGTGCAAATTCGACGTTGATCTTAAGGGGTGAATCTAACATTTGCACCGAGTTCTCCGCATTATCTAGAGGCAAGCTGAAGGGTTGGTCGCCTGGCTTAAAGCGGTCTGTGTAAGTGGATGGCCGGCTTTGATTACGCCAAAGCGGTATGAGAGACGAGAAGCTTGCCTTCCCTACAAGACGGGAGGCTATCCGTTTCTCTACCATCTCTGTCCTTCGTATCTGGAGGTTGAGACAGCAAGTGTCTATCCAAGTATCTGATATGTCCGGAAGAGGAGTTCTGCGAAGCGAAGCAGCCATTTGCCGCGTTTCGATGTCGGTAAGTAGATTGCGTCCCCATGCTTGTGCCAGAAACTTCTCCCTCAGCTCGGCGTTGCCTCTGCTAACCGAGATAGAAAACGCCGTTCTTTGATCAGCCATTGAAGAAAAGGGATTTGCACCCGCGTACAGCAAGGCTTTCGTCTCCTCCGTCTGGTATGGGCGGCCTTCATCGATTGCTGCAAACAGGGCTTTGTCCACGGCCTCCTGGAACAAGTTTGACTTCCTCTGCCCCGAAGAAGCCTTGGCCAGAACTGCACGGAGTGCAAAGGCAGTGCCGAAGAGAGTGGCTGCGAGGACTGGGCTGTTCATCGGGCCAATTTGAGACAGAGGATTTGCACCTGCGTCGAGGAGAAAGGTAACCGCTTCATCACTGCGAGCCATTATTGCTGCGACAAGAGGAGTCCCCCAAGCTCCACAGTCTCGATCGACATCAAAACGGCCGATGGTGAGTTCCTGTAGTGATCGAACATCGCCTTTCAGAGCTGCATCGTGGAGCCTTTCATCCTGCTTCATGCAGACGCTGATGAAATGCCGGATCTCTTCTAACTCGCGCAATCGAACAGCGGTACTCTCTTCCTCTAATTCAGGTGTCAGTCCATAGTTAGGAATTTCATCCTCTGATTCTTCTTCCAGATTTTGCTGATGCAAGTCTTCTTCCATCGTGTTCTCCGGATTTATCTCTTGTCCGCTCCCATGTGTCTCTTTATTCGGTGGCTGCTCGCTGATTTGTGGTCTTGGCGGCTGGCAAGCGTCGCCGAGAGCACCGGCCAAGTGTGAATGGGTTGAAATGATCTCTTTTTCAAACCACAAGGTCGTCAAATACGAATCCTAGGTCTGGGCCGCCCCCAATTGATTCACCTGGTTTGAGGATTCGAAATCAAATCTCCGTTCAGGGGTAGGAACTTGAAGTAAACCGTCATCGAGGGGACGAAGTACAGCATTGCCAAAATACTTCTGCTCCTTTCTGATATCTTTTGCTTGTATCCTTTTGCGGTACGTTCTAGAGGATCGATAAAATAGACCACAGCGTGGACAGGCAGAGGTTGAAGCGCCCATCGTCCTAACCGCTGCCCCACACTTGGCACACAGCTGATTGCTCATCTGCAACTGAGACAGAACTACAGACATCTTGAACCGTTTTCGACGGACCACAACTGCTGTCCAATTGCCAGGGCCGACCGGAAGTTCGGGGTCATCCTCATCGATCATATTGAACTGCCCGCTCTCGACATTCAGCAAGCCTGGACAATCTTTGAATTGAGAACGGAGCATGGCAGCGAGGACGGGCCAGTCACTGAAGACTGCAGTTGGCAGGCTGTACCGTCGTCCGAGAGCATCGCGTACCACTATGTTGTCAGGTAGGATATTCGAGATGGCTGGAGAAATCATTAATCCGGTGCAGAGAATCAGCTGGTAAGAAAGAATACAAGCTCCTCCAAATAATTCAAAGAGTGTCCCAAACACAAGGAGGAAACGGATCTGACTCCCTGACAAAGCTTCTCCGTTCAATGTCGGCCATTGTGGTATATATTTCTCTGACATATTCGCTCTTCGGCGGATGGGAGAGGCACGATCCAGAACAAAAGACGGTGACCATGACACGGCGAGGGATCCGCACTGATGTTGGTGTTGCCGCCTATTTTTTGTAGGAGGTATCTGGATAAGCTGGGGTTCGGGCTCAGGAGAGTCGATCTGCCGGAGCACAGCTCCAGCTCCAGAGCCGAAGCTTGGCGCCGAACGAAGCATTGCCACGTTCTGCTTCTCGATCGCTTCTAGAGCGACCTGTGCCTTGGCCATGAAGTCTTCGGTCAGATCGAACTTCCGCTCACGCCGTTCAGCGTCCTCTTTAACGTTTTCGAGAATAGTGGTTCCAATGGCAAGGTTTTGCCGGCCCACTTTCAGCCCAGACAACGATACACTCCTATTGCTATGTTAGCTCTCCGCGTTTGGTTTGAGAGTACAGTACACTATCACTTACGCGGTAAGCTGTGATAATAAAGACTTGAGTGCGGAACTTTGGCCTTCAATCCTCTGCAGGCACTCCTTGGTCTCGGGACTAACCCTCATTGCCCACCTCGTTTTCGAAAGTACAGAACGATGGAAACCCCTGCGTCTCCTCTCGCCCAGCGTCCACTCAAATCTAGAGACATTTTTCTGGGTCGCGGAAGCAGTGGCGAGTAATTGCTGTGCTTGGGCTATGATGGCATTGACGTAGGGTATGTACTCAGGTAGGGAAGGGAGGTGTTGCAGCTGCTCGATGGCGAGAACCGTGCTGTCGAGCTCATGAGCCACATGCTTGTAATCGTCACATGCGCCGTGCTGGTCTTTGAGTACCTGGTAACCTTTTCTCAGGAGCTGTGCTGCTGTGACTATGTCGCCTGCGCTAAGTCTGATCGGACTCGCCATTGGCGGCTGTTCGCATGGTATCCACCGCTTCGGCCGGTGCTCAAGAAGAGGACATCAACCGTATCTTCTCATTGTGATGGGAGTTTGGCGATGCTTTGAAGACAGGGTTGTGAACAGAATATCTTCGATATTCGTCACCGGCTTGCACAGCCTCACTGGCAAAGAGATGTCTCACACGACCCTCAGCCAACCAAGTCGGAGAGTGGTGGATGCGCGGATGGTAAGCTGCTGCACCTGAGCAGGGCGTCGGCCCTGACCAAAGGTGTTTCCCATTACGGCTATGGTTGATTTTGGTGAGGCATTGTTGAAGTTGGCGGCCGAAGGTGGTGAAGGGAAAGAAGATTCAACTTTGTAGATCTTCTGGATATACAAAGGCCTCCAACTAGCTTATGGCCAAACCCCAAAAATGAGGACTTGGTGTTGCCGTGAATGCTGGTTATATTATAATAAGATAAGAAGATAGAGAGCTTGAGGCTCGAATGCGCGGTAAAAATGAGCGAATTTATGCTCACGTGAGGCAGCTTTCCGAGACTTGAGTAAAGGTAGTTCGAATTTTGTCGACACGCGAGGAGCAGATATTTAAACATCTTTAACGGTATAAAATTTTTGTATATCCATTGCTTGTTTGTATAATTGTAACAAAGCCATTTGTTGCCCACTGCCAAATGGCGCGAGTCACCAGATACGCCACTATTCCGACCCCGATGCCGACCCTTGCTCGGAGTACATACATTCATATCTCATAACATCATGCTCCAGTCATTTGAACTCCCATAAAAGAAAAAAACGCCGAAAAAAAATCAAACGCCTCAATTCATAATGAATTGTATTCCTCTCCATGCTTTAATAATATATACAACACGACGAAAGGTTGAAGAGATGTAATAAATATAAAAGTAGGAGAAAGGAAGATCATAGACACCTTACTACCATCATATGCATAGACAATAAGAGAATCATACATTTCGAATGCGAAACAGAGTTTCGGTACATGAAGAATCGAGCAAGAAAAGAATCAAGATGCATCATTGATAGAAAGAAGAATCTGCAAAGTCTGGACCAGCAAGAAGAGCCTGGTCGTCGAGATGAAAGTTTTGGGAGAGCATGGACGAAGAGGAAGTATCAAAGAACGCCATAGTGGCGTCGTTTTGAAACAGATGCGGAGAGAAAGAGGGGAAGCTGCTCTGGCTGGAGGGCGTGTACATGGACTGCGAGTCCATGCAGTTACCCTGCGAGCCAGAGCCAGTGAGATCGAGAGGCATGTTTGACATGCTATAGATGTTGGTGTTGATGGCTGATGGGTAGGGGTGTATTGGCGAGATGTCGGCGAAGCTATTGTCAAAGGTACTGCCACTGATACCTGATGAGACTTGTTGCGTGAAGAGGGGGTCGTCGAAGGCGTCGTCGAGGTTCTCGTCGTCGGAGGCGTCGGCGGCGTCTTGTAGTGCTTGCTCTTCTTCGGTGAGCTGGGTAACTTGCTCCTCCACTTCCTTCATCCAGTACTTCAACTCTGACATTGGCGGCCAGTCACCGCCGCCCTTTCCACCGCGCTTCTCACCGTCCTCGACCTTGGTGTTGCTCTTCGTGCGTGTTGGTTTCTTGGGCTTGAAGTGAGCCCGTCGGAGGTGGGCGGCGGCGTTGTAGTATGCACCGTACTTCTTCTTCTGCTGATGACATGCCTTGCATCTTGAGAGCGGCAGGACAGGCTTGGGGTGTTGGAGGCCATCTTTCGGCTCCTCGCATACCCACTTCTTCACGAGTGACTTGTGCTCTCGGTCTACATGTCGTCGGAGCTCATGCTCGCCGCGGAAACCATCTTGCTGGCTATCGCACAGCTTGCACTTGACGCGATCGTGCTTTGGTCGTTGGTAAGTAGCAACTTTCGACGCAATAGCAAGTTTGTCAGACGACCCGTCTTTCGAATCGAGTCGGTTCATCGATTGTGATGAGTTATCTCGAGACATTGGGGTATCTTCGCCGCCACCTTTGGGCATGAGCGGTCGTGCAGCAGCCAGCATGTTCTGGGCCTGCAGGCGTAGTTTGCTTCGAGATGATGCATTCGATGACAACGAAGAAGTACTTTCAATCGAATGAGATTTCTCCATCTTCTCGCCGAAAGAGCCAGAAGATGGGAAGGGAAAGGGGGGAGGAAACTGTGACTCGTGACTTGCACCACCAGTACCAACGAGAAGCTGAGTCTGCTCCTCGTTTGATGAATGACGACTAGAGGATGTAAAATGAGGAGAAACTTGATCATATAATGTCTGATCTGGACTGAAGTTTTGGGAATAGGAAGTGTGTGAACTGCACTTCATCATCTGCATACTTTCGAGCAGAGGCTCGTTAATAGTAATGACACTATTCTGTCGACTCATGTCGCTCGTGAGTGTAGTTGCTATAGTGAGCGAGTCGCTTGTTGGTGTCGAGGGAGTGTTGAAAGAGCCCCCTGGTAGTTGATAAGTGTTAAGCGTATTGGAAAAGGTCGGGACTGAGGGCGAGACTGAGACTGTTGGTGTGCCCAATGTTCGAAATATATACTCGCTGGGGTCCTCCATGTCTCCGAGAGGTGCCTCGAGGACCTGCTCGAGGTCTGGTTTTCGTTGTGATTGCGACATCGATCGTTGAAGCTGAGGGGTCTGGTGGGAAAGGTTTTGCGGATTGAAGGGTGTTTCCTGCGAGAGGAAGGCTAGCATTGCGTGGTTATCCTGACGAGACTCGGTGTGGAGGAGCGGAGGGGTCGGGCCGTTCTTGGTGAAAGGAAGGTTGCCGCTTCGCTGCGAGGACGTGCCCCTCGAGTTGGTGCGTGCCATGGAAGGCGCAGGTGCGGACTGCTGAGAGTATGTTCGTTGACGTGGAGCTGGTATCTCGATCCGATCCTAAGTAACATTAGAGCTGGTCAGGTATAGGACAAGAGAATTGTCCTACTGAAGGTGTCCTGGCCATGGTGGTAATGGCACCACTGCTGGACATGCTTCGTGGGGCATGTCGTCGTTGCGACTGTTGCTTGTGGATGGGTGTCCGGTGGTGTTGGTGGGGTTCGGAGGGAAGGAGTCTGGCGATCTCAGCCTGGATCTCTTGCTGTTGGGCGAACAGAAGCTGTAGTCGATCTTGGTCGCCGAGAGAGGAGTCGAGCCGTGGGTTGGACATGTTGCCAGGCGTTCTTTGGCTGTGTTAGTCGCTGTATAGCGTTGCTTTGCTCGAGGCGTGTAGAGATGTAACGCCTGCAGCCTCGCATCGTCAGTTGTGGATTCGTCTTACGCCAAACAGAGAGATCATTTAGAATGAAACGCGAATGAGATCTACACCTACGGCGAACAAGAGAATGGAGAGAGTTCAAACTGTTGTTTGGGGGACAAGTGATGAGCAACGAGGTTGACAACAGATCAAAAGTAAGGCGGAAGGAATGGAAGGGATGGATGGTCATATGTATTGCTCCAAATAAAGCGGGAAGCATATGGGGCTCTGCGAGATGTCGGTGTCGATCCAGGATGAGGGATGGGCCAAAGTGACTGGGCTGGAACGGGTGTGGAGCAGCTGCAGCAGCAGAGTGGAGCAGCAGGATTGGAAGATGACGGAGAGTGGAGCGGATTTGGGTTGAGTGGATTGGATTGGAGTGGGCACTGTGAAGATTCGAGATGCATAGAGTAGATGCAGAGAGTATTGGGAGGGGTGGGGGGGGAGGGGAGTGAAGCGTGCTTGGCGAGAGCACTGTGCTGTGCGTCCCAGGAATTTCGTAATAATGGCGGTGGTGAGTGGTGCGCGCGAGCGACTGAGCGGCCTGCAAAGCTGTGAGTGGTCAACACCTCGCCAAGACGGCTTCCTAGTGGTCCGTTCCAGCAGCCGGCAGCCAAGCGAGGTCTATCGGCGAGCATCAGCCTGCTTCCCCCCAGGCAGCCAGCCAGCACGGGATTTCCCAAAACACACACCGATCGGGCGTCGTCTGCATGCGTGATGCTGGCAGAAACAGAGAAAAACAGCACAACACGGCAATACTGTGTACGCACACGCACGCTGCACTCCTGCACTCACCTCTGCCCTGGTCCATGCAAAGCTACCCAGAATCACGCAGCGTCACGCAGAATTCCAGCGTTCCAGAAGTGAAGCGACGAATCACTGGCCCCCTTTTCCCTTGGCACGCGGTGCGGTTCGCTCCGACTGGGACCACCGCAAAAGTGAGGCAAACGGCTTCTTGGAGAACCCCAGGACGCTTGTCCGCCTCACCGAACTGGCTGGCGCTGATTGACTGCAGCCAGATTATTCCTTCCAGGGAAGCATTCGTATTCGTCGCCCGCCCGTTCCACCGCGACTCCACGACCACCACGTTGTCCGACGTGGTTCGCAATATTTTGCACAGCATATCCTGTGCCTGGTCACGTCGACGGCACCCTGCTTCTCAGTGGCCCCTCCTCTGCTGTGGAGATTCCAACGGTCTTGCTTGTGCAACCAGTCACAGCTTCGTGGCCTACACCGACCACCTTGATCTCTCGAATTGAGATCGGCGAGGCTTTTCTTTTGGCTGATTATTGGTATTTTCAACGTGCATGTTGTGCCATGGGAATGAGGCATTCGCCCTCAGTCAGACGGCAGAGAATCGTACCATTTCTGAGAGGCTTTGTCACACGGTGTTGGAGTGAACGGCTCTCAATCCAGTGCCGCGGTGCCCGAGTCTCTTCGCTGGCAGTTTTGCATTGGCACTATGATTTCCTGACTCCTGACGCCCGGCTCAGGTTCTCAAAGAGGCCTCTTCGGGACGAGAAGGCTGACATTATGTTTCACAGGGGTGTGCAAGAAGGTCAAAGAGATGAGCGACTTGCAGACCTAGAATTCCGAAAATAAATGAAGTCTAACCCCACATTCCGCTCTCACATATTGGATCACGTGAAGAGCATGATGAAGTGAGAAGGAGGAAGCTTTAAATGATTGATGTGCCCCATACCTGGCTTCAGGCTATGTTGGGGTTAGATTTCAGGAGACCTTTGTAATACTAACCAGCTGGGTTACTGGGTTTGATCCACTTTTTCGAGGCTGCGGAACTGACTAAAACGTGACTTTGAAGCCGAGACCAATTTCGAAGGGCACCCAATTAATTTAGATAAAGGATCTCAGACACACTTGCATCTTGTTAAGAAAGGAGACGGCAGAGGCAGCATTCTCTTCAATTGCAAAATGACAAGATTTCAATTCTCATATCACGTGCAAGCCACCCTCGGCTCGGCCAAACGAATCTCCGTCCGATTCAAGATCACGGCAAACGATGATGACAACTTGGACATTTCAACCTCAGCACCCCATCGATGAAGATCTGAACTTCTCGCAATTGCCATATGGCATGATGCGTCAACTCATCCCCGCCTTACTGGCAGCCCCGATAGCTCTTGCAAGTCAAACCGTGTTCAGCGTGCACGATGACTTGCTTGCGTATCCCCAAGTGCGCATCTCAGGTATCTGTTTACTTCACAGCTAACAGCTCCCAGTACGAAGTGATCTTTTCAGATTCATTCATCTCCGACGTAGAAGCGAGCCTGGTCATAGAGCAAGCTTCATCAGCTATTCACAATGCTCCACCACCAGCGAATACCAAAGGCATCGAGTCGCGGCGGAGTCACGACGGAGCACACACCTCGCAACCTCATCACCAATTCGACCCTGCACACGAGACCTACGAAATAATGTACCTCCATGGCGACCAGTACCTCTGCACAATCCCTATCGTCGACATACCCCCCAAAAACGAAACCTCGGAGGCCGAAGCACGAGCCGCCGAACAGAAAGAGCTAGCACGGGCCACAGACAGAGGCTGGGAACTGCTACAAGACCTAGAAGGCGGCTGTCTATACTTCGTATCAGGATGGTGGTCATACAGCTTCTGCTACAACAACGAGATCACGCAGTTCCACCAGCTGCCTCCACAGCCGGGAAAGCCGTTGCTTCCGCCGCAGCGAGATCCGGCCACGAAGCAATTCGTTCTGGGTAAGGCGAAGGGACAGGAGAGCACGGAAGATGAGTGGGGAAATCAGATTGATGTTCATAGGGGCAAGGGCAAGCACGACGAGCCATCAAAGACGGAGTTACAAGTCAAAGGCGACACGCGATATCTGGTGCAGAAGATGGAGGGCGGCACGACGTGTGATCTTACGGGCAGGCCGAGGAGAGTGGAGATCCAGTATCATTGCAACCCGCATGTTACGGATCGGATTGGTTATATCAAAGAAGTCACGACATGCTCGTACTTGATGGTCGTCTACACGCCGCGCCTCTGCAGCGACGTTGCGTTTATGCCGCCGAAGGAAAACAAGGCGAACTCAATTCTCTGCAGAGAGGTGGTCGATGAAGACGAGATTGCCTTCCGCACCGAACTCAAGACACTAGAAGCCGAACTTGATGCCACGGCGCCAAAAGAGAAGCTGGCGAATGTTGGTGGCCTGTTAGTTGGAGCCGGCAAATGGGTGAACAAGGAAGGACAGAGGATGCCAATTCCAGCCAACTTTGGACAGGAGAATCAAGGTAAGACGGTAGATATTATCGCTAAGGGTGGTGGCAAGGCGGAGGGCGGCAAAGTTGAGATGATCAGTGATGCTGATCTTCAGAAGCTAGACTTGGATCCGGAGATGGTGGACGAGTTGAAGAGGCGGGTTGAGAAGCTGGCGGAGGATAAAGGGTGGAAGATTGAGGTTGTCAATCAGCCTGGACGGGCTATGGAGATCTTTGGGATTGTGGATGAAAGCGAAGAAGGAGATGAGGATGAAGAGGGGAGTGAGGAGATATTCTTTAAGGATGAGTTATGATGGACGACTAAGGCAGATGAGAAATGATATCTGTATCTGTTCCATTCCTTGGTCTTGTTTGTTGCCGAAGACCCTGTGATCTCTTACCTTCCGATGGTTGACAAGTGTCGTACCCCCTATTCATTTCACAGTGGCCGCTAATAGCACGACGCACCTCCCTCGTGACTCGGAGACCCTCGCTCAAGTTTGCCAATTCGGGGATTAGATTATGCTTCCTGTTCAGCCGCCAAGCCGAGCTTGGAAGCGAACTTGATCTCCGGGTGGTCAGTAAAACTAAAGAGTAAAGCCCCCTTTCAGCAGGTAAAGGGCACTTAATTCTTTCCAGGGGTGTTCGACCAGGCATGTTAAGGGGCATTAATATCGAATGTAATTAGGTGACAGGTTATATGCCTGATCACGTGCAAGGCTAACTAGCCTGCACCAGCAAGTATGTGAGGAGAGCTTCCCCCTTAACAGATTTTATAGAGTAATTAATTATACTTTACTTACTTCTCCCACGTTCCACGTACATTTATTTAATAATTAAGAGCTCTAGCAAGTGCAATCAACGCTAAAAGGGCAGGTAAAGGGCATTTAGGGCATTACGAGGGCAGGTGTCCGGCCGAACGGGCCCGGAGGTTTAAGATGTTCAATTGTATGTTAACTAATCACAAAGTCCATTCCAAATTGTGAAAGAGTAGACCCAATCCCTGGAGCTTCACCGTCCATCTTCCCATGTACATAGCTTTCGCCCAAGAATCTGACTTGAGGTGTTTTGCCATCCCATGATGTGCCTGATCTCCTCAGAATAACCGGCACTGAACAACCAAACAAAATGCACACCAAATCTCCCTTCTCAATGTTTCTTGGGCCTACCCCAACCAAACACTCTCGTGGAGGAGCGAATAGCTCTTGTGTAGTTGAGGCGAGTGACATGTTACACTTGAAGAACTTTCTGCTCCATACAACCGCCTGCACTCGTTTTAGGTACTCGAGAACTGACTCGGGTAAAGACTTGTGAGCCATGAGTTTTGAGGTGTTCAAATCCCCTTCATGGCTGGTTTTCTTCAGAGCATAGACACAGGCTCGCTTGTACCACATAGGTGGGATTTTGCCATCTGGCCCTCGGTTTGCAACGAGCGTGCGCCATGTTCGATCTTTGATGGACTCAAATTACTCATCAGGATTCCAATCTAAGATACGGAGACAATCTTCCGAGATGGTACCGTCAACTACGCGGGAAGAGACGAGACTGATATCCCCAAGGATAATTCCCTTGGCGTGGAGTTTGCCATTCAAGGAGCGAGGTATTTCCAACGAATGTATTGCGGAACCAGAGGCATTTGATTCCAGGACTATTCCCGGTCTTTCGAGATCGCTCCTAGTGGTAATATTGGAGGTATTGGGATTAGTCAGGGCAAGAGACGACTGTAAATCGTTTTTGCTGCTTGTACTTCGAGGTCTCTTCTTTCTGGACTTGGCTGATTGTAGCTCTTCTTTTTCGGTAAATCGCTTGCCACCATCGCTCGGAGGTGATCGAAGACCGAAGTGCACGACTGGTGCCATTTGCAGAGAAGTATTGTAAATCCTTGCGCCAGGTTGCCCCACGAGACTGTCTCTATTGATGCGACCTGTCAAACTCGACGGGGGCCCGAAAGATGAGTCCTCTACGAGGCCAACCCAAGATGGAAGTGAAGATGTATACCATTTATTGTGCCCTAGTTTGTATGGAACAGGTAATGCCCAGTGTCGACAAGTAACATCCAAGGATCCAGTGGTCTTGACACAATACTCGACAAACTCCATGTATACTACTTCTGGCTGCTTCGTGTACTGGGGACTGAACGATCCTTCAACCCCACCCTCGGTGCCTCGATTCCCTGACAATATCTTGTTCCCATCTTTCGCCAACGCACAGAGTGCAAACACGGTATCCCTGGGGTCAGACGCAGCAAATGACGTGAGTCTCATAACCAGGGACTCTAGATCCCAAGTGTAGTCAAAGATAGAGCCCTCGTCTGTTTTGCTCAGCATACTATTCGTGGTACTAACCAAAGTTTGAGCGCCCGCCGATTCGACGTTATTTAAGGCATCAGGGTCATATCTTGACAAGTCGGAGGCATCATAGAGGATCCGGATTCGCGGCAATTTCCTCATAAAAAGCTCAACGGCATCAGCGAAATCGAGCCAACTGACCACCTTATTTCCACACCGGACTGATAATCCCGTTCCAAAAGCAACCTCTTGGACTACCCAACGTTGTGAGAACCAAGGCCGCTTCAATATACCGGCAAATTTCACCCATAACCTCAAGACTGCCTCGTCATGGCCGTCTCCTTCCACTAAACGGTCCAGAAGTTTGAGGTTCAATATTGACGGGAGAAAATCCAGTGCACAATCCTCCTGCTCTCTATAAACACCGATCCATATCGTTACATTTCCAAGCCCTTCTATAGATGTCGGGCATTTTTGGAAGCTGATGATTCTTTTCGTCGTCGTCTTCCTGGTTGATGCATATAGCATCAACCCACAGCCAGACGTCGTCGGTCTCAGACCGCAGACATTTCAACGCAGCAAATAAGTTCGGGCGGACGGCAAAAGGGCGGGGTTTTGTTTGAGTAGCCATAAGAATCATCATCTCCTCGGCCTCGCCTGTTGCCTGTGGAACAGAAATATCTTGGACAAAGATGGCTTCGGTGGGATGCTCGCTACCCCAACAATACGACAATGCCTGGTATCTTATTTTCTTGTATTTGATTTTCGAGATACGAATCGCTTTCAACTCGCAATAGATCTTATCGTCTTCTTTGCCAGGACTTAAGAGCACCAGCATGATTTCATCGTCGCTGATAGGAACGTACGTGTAGAGATTCTGTTGATCTGACGGCAGCCTTTCCTTCAACCTCTGCATTGCCTCCCCTTCGGAATCGTAGTATTAAGATAGAGGGGAGCGATTACGCCACTTTTTCCCGTCTGGGGATACTTCTGGAGGTGAACGGGCATTCCGTCGTTGGCGCTTGAACCGATTCGTACGCCCTTCTGAATTCTCGCTCTCACCATCGGAGGGTGATAATTCGGAGAGTGATGATATCGCAGATTCAGTATCCATTAGATCGTCAAGAGTCCATTATGAACCGTGATAGCTGGTTAAAGAATGGGTTGAACTTCGGCTGAGCGGGAAGGCACTACCCCGCTAAATCAGCCCTTACTAGACCCGAATGGATCAAAAAAGAAATATTTTGTTTTGTCCCGTACTCTTCCATAATTCGTGGACCCAACCTCGCATGCACAAGCCTTAAACCATGGTATTCTTACACTTGCAGAGCCGAATTATTTTCTTGCTCGAGAAGACCTCAATTTTAGGGTAAGGCACTTCGACATTCGAAATAATTATCGAGGATTGAACTTACTACACCCTCCTCTGACGTGATATTTTAAACTACTTGCGTATAGTACCGCAATCACTCATTTCATGGTTTGCGGAACCGATCGCTAGAAATACAGCGCACTGGCCCTGTAACCATCGCTAAAGAATTAGACCTACTTTCATCGATTAATTACCGATAATTACCGATAATAATTTAGCAAGCGTTGTCATTGTTTTTGTAGTATTTTTAAAGAGGAGAGTCCTGCGCTAGAGTAGTTACAACTGATGTGCAATAGTTCTCCCTAAAACCTAGCCATAGAGTGCTCCCCGTACGCAGAAATTCCCGCCTGTAAAGCACCCAAAACATTGCTCTTCGCTCGATAATAATTTATCGGAGCCCACCCTGCACTAGCTAAGCCCACTTCTCGATAAATCAAATGCACAGGTTTAGGGATATGCGCCCCTGACGATTCGCTGTTTCCAAAATTCGAAAGAGTATAGGAGATAGTGAGTTTTAGAGAAAAATCATTTCAGGAAAGTGTGCTAACAATCCTAGTGCCTAATTCCACCTCTGTTGTCAATGGTGTAGACTTTGAGCCGCTCAAAGATGCTGAAGGGATTTGCCAGGCAATGGTTGAATCCTATGGCAAGCTGTGAGAATATTTAAGAGACATAGAGCAGCAATGAGACTCAAAATGAGACTCCAGACTCTTCCCTCGAAGTTCTTTTCGGGTGTGCAGCGGACACGCTATACTAAGCAGCGTCGGTCGTCGCACGCCCTAAAACTACACAATATTTTCATTTGACAAACATGAAACTTTCCACGCGAACGAGTACATAGAAAGTAGATGGGATGTTTAAATGTCTGAACGATTGAGATGTTCGGTGGTACTTGATGGAATCGGGAATCTTGGTGCGGGAAAAGGGGTAAAGCTAAGCCCAATTAGGAAGACCACCCCGCGTTTTGTGTCACTTGAGCTGGCGAGAGAGTTGCAGTTTCTTTTTATGAGAAAGACGAAATTTGAAACGCTTGATTGCGAAGAGTCGTGAGGGAGTTTGCACAATAGGGACGCAGAGCGATTCTTGAAGAGGATGATCGAGGGACGATTTGTTCTCCTACCCATGGACAACTGAACGCGGGGTCCCGAGACACAACCACACCGCCACCAGGCAGGATTAGCAGCCTTGCCCGAACGGCAATCTTCACCATGAAAGATCCACCAACATTGCTCGAAGTCGAATCAATCTCACGCCGCAAACGATAGATGGGTTCCCATAATCGCCCTCCTCCATCTGCGACCAAAGCATCAATTGTGGAGGACGCTCCTGAGGACGGCCTAATGGCCGACCCCACCAGCGCTCCCTGCACAAGCAACTCCGCCCTTGAAATCGATTCCTCTTTCTCAGCACAAGATGACTCCGACGCACACTCTATGGCTTCGAACCTATGCTCTACGCACTCTGTGGCCTCAAATGTATACGAATTTGTGGAGGAACATGGGCGGACATATCACAAATACAAGCAGGGGAAATATGTGCTTCCGAACGACACAGAGGAGCAGAACCGATTGGATCTGCAACATCATATGGCGCTGAAGGTTTTAGATGGAAAGTTGCATTTGGCTCCTATACCCAACACTGTGGAGAATACGCTGGATGTTGCGACGGGAACGGGAATATGGGCCATTGAATTCGCGGAGCAATACCCATCCACCAGCGTCACCGGAAGTGATCTGAGTCCTATTCAACCTAAATTCTTGCCTGCGAACTGCCTATTCGAGATCGATGATGCGGGGGACGAGTGGGTATACTCGAAGAAGTTTGATTATATTCATATTCGATTCGTCATGACTTGCTTCCCGAATCCGAAGGCGGTGATCGAACAAGCGTACAAGACATGTGCGCCTGGTGGCTATCTGGAGATGATGGATGGCGTTTTTCCTTTGCGTTGCCACGACGATTCCCTTGAGGGCACTGTGTTGGATGCCTGGGCGAAGAGTTGCCACGAAGCAGGAACTAAAATGGGACGGCCTTGGAATAACACCCCGAATTATAAGGGATGGATGGAAGAGGTTGGGTTTGAGGACGTGAATGAGAGGATCTTCGAGGTTCCAACAAACCCTTGGCCTAGGGAAAGAAAGGCCAAGGAGCTGGGGATGTGGTTTAACGCGGATCTGCAGGAGGCGTTGGGTGCTAGCAGAGCGTTGTTTATAAAGGCTTTGGAGTGGCCGCCAGACAAAGTCGATGCATTCTTACAGGAGGTCAAGGACGATCTGATGAAAAGGGAGATCCGTGCGTACATGCCAATGTGAGTTCTACCGCTGATGAGACAGTTGCATACTGACCGAGTTTAGCCATGTTCTTTATGGAAGAAAACCACTTCGTTAACCCGACTTGGCATCAGCTTGAGAGGGAAAAGAGACGGGCGTTATGTCTTGGATTCATCTACGATTTCTTCAATTGAGGGCTAGAGTGGAGAGTGACGATAATTCTAATTGCGTTCCGTTTGAAAATTAACTCGCCCACAGAACTTCATAGACGAGCGTCATCCAGAGGCGCCCCCTGATTTATGAGCTTCCACTTTCGTCGCACTTCACATTCTGTTTCAATCCAATGCTTTCTTCATACACTATCCTTCACGGAATAAACCCCTGGCGTTCGGCGGCCACGGAGTTTGGTTAGCTTACATTGGCAGCGGGTTCGGCCTAGCCTAAACTTATATTGGCCTCCCAGTATAGGGGGTAAAAGCATTGGGGAATGTTAGCAACAATATTGCTGCGGAAGCATACACACGACACTTCAGCAGGATTTCTTATGCACTGGACTAGGTAGAAATATTTTATTGGCCCACCATTCGCGTCAGCACCCCACAATCCATTTCAGGCCTTCGGCCATCTGCTGGATTATATATCAATTCATTCGCGACTGGTCGAGGTTCAATATCAGCTGTCTTGCAAGATCTCGAATTTTGAGTCTTTTTTTTATCAACTACTGGCTTCGAAATGCAAACCTTCCACCCAGTGTTGTCGATAGTTCCAACTAGTTGGGAATTTTAGAGGCCCTAAACGGACTGGATAAAATTTGTAAAACGGGATAACATTTTTGAGGGTAAACTAGTTTTATTTTAGCGTCAAAATAGCAAATTTCGACGATTTACCCCCATTTTTAAGCTAGAAACTAGCAAAAACGTGACTTTCACATGACTTTCACGTGATCCTTTTAAACTACCAGTTTACTTTACAAAGCATAAAACGGACTAGTCAATTTTAAATTAAGCGAAAACGGACTAGCAAGCTTTTTTTTTTGCAAACTATCGACAACACTGAAGTTCCACCAATGCCCGCTCGCTGGGAACTCCCTTTCATCGCGAAGCTTGTCGAGAGTATTAAAATCGACGAGATTCGCATCTCGCTCTCTGGGACGAAGTTTTCTACACTATGAGGCGCTTCGGGCACGAACGTGACAAGCCAAGTTCGCCGCTTTGGCTAGCAGATGTTGGGGTTCCAGGATCAAGTCGCAGGCTCAGGTTCAAACCTGAATCCTGTGCGGATTATGGGGTGGAGGGGAAGATTGAGATGGCGGTCTATCCAAGGGAGGGGCATTTTGGGGGGGGAGGGCGCATATGGCGGATGTTTTGAGACGGGTAGACCGGTTTTGTTCTAGACTTTTGAATTGGTGAGGGAGGTCGAAGTGGTGGGCCTTTCTTTTGTGCATGTTACAATGTTTTACAGATAGCCTTGGAGCGCGTAGTTAGCCACTTCGGAGTTTGCAGCATTTATAGATGCATCAGAGAATCAAAAACAGGCTTCAGTGCTCATATATACAACCTCTCATTTCCTCCCAGTTCTCCCATTCAATGAACCATACTCTTCCCAATCTCACTCTGCCATCCCTTCGCTCGTTCAAATCCATTTGAATGCGTCTGAAAATCCATCATAGCTTGGTAAACTTCTTCTTGCGAGTTGAGAACGAAAGGTCCGTACTGGACGACTTTTTGATCGAGTGGGAGACCGGCAACGAGGACTGTTTAAATAGTTAGCAATTGGTCTTGAAGTTGCTGTGATGCTGTATAACTGGATGTTTGGCGAAAGGAAAGTGGGGAGAATTCATGAAGTGTTGTTGATAGATCGAAGCCAAAAGTGGCTAACACTCCTCCTGAAGCAAGAGATCCTCCAAATAGATCGAACCAATCAATTCAGCATAGTCTGCCGAGTCATGTCATGCAGGCTATTTGTCTGGTTGACCATAGCGACCAAAACCTTCTATGCCTGATTTTCGCCATTTTCGCCATTTTTCTAAGGCCACACCTAATTATTTTGACCCCATTATCTGAACTATACCAAATAACTATGTGATTCACAGCTTCATATACTATTTCTAAGGCCCCAGCTAATTATTTTAGCCCTATAGTCTGAACTATACTAAATAACTATATGATTCACAGCTTTATAGCCCTATTTCTAAGGCCCTAGCTAATTATTTTGCCCGTATCATCTGAACTATACCAAATAACTATATGATTTATAGCTTGATTTATAGTTTAATCTGAATTATTCAGGCTTCTATTTGAGTCATTTTTGGCCCTAGATATCTATAAAATAGGCCCTTAGCTCCCAATCCTTCCTCTAACTTCCTTATATATATATACATATATATATATACTTATACTCTCTCTCTCTCTTCTTATATATACTTTATATATAATACTTCATATATATATAATAGTAGCCTAAGCTTAATAAGATCTAGTTATCTGGACTCGTGTGGACGCCTCCGATAATGTTTAGTACTTCCTTTATATAGGAGGGAATAAGCTCTAGCCCTTAGTTATTAATAGTAGCCCTTAGTAGAAGCATACCTTTAATATTAATAATCCAGAACCCTCAGATATTATAATCAAGGGTCCCTATACTATTACTACCTTTAATATTCCACTTCTCCCTGAGGTTATTAATATAATCTTAACCTAACGAGTATAAGTTACTTCTCCTAAGTTCATATAATCTGTACTAAGTAATATAGTAGCCAAGTTAATATTTAAACTTCTTATACTACTTGCCAAAATAGTTAAGGCATTTTTAAGAAGTACTTAAGGGTTCCTAAAGAAGAATAGTATAGAGTATATAGTAACTATATTCGTTATAGTTATACGATCTAATATAGTACTCGAGATATTAATAATAATAGAGGAGAGGGTAATAGTAGAGAATAGCCTAAACCCCCTTAAATTATACGAAATAGCCGGGTTTTAAAGCCTGGATATTACCCTGGCCAGAATATCCCTTCTATTATAAATAGATAAATAGGACTACTCTTATTATATTATATAATTGCCTGGCTTTTATATAATACCTAATAGATTATATTAAGCTCTTAATATTTGCCCTCTTTTAATTTTACTTATAATTATAATTTAATTTAGAAATACCTAAAAACTAAAAAAAAGAGAATTTAATCTAGTCCCAAAGTATTATATAATAAGTATAGAATCTCTTAATATTAAACCAAGTTAAGAAGCCTTATTTCTTTCTCAGATTCTTTCCTCTTTTCTTTAAACCCTTAAACTTAACTTATTTAGCCTTTTTTATAAATATCTTTCTAACCCTTTTACTATATAATATACTCTGAATAAGTAGAATAGCCCTCTCTATCTTTCCCTTAGCTAGAGCTTAATTCTTCTCAGTCTGAGTATAATCTGCTCTAACTTATTCCTTAGCTTGTTTTTCTAGACGAAATACTCCTGGATCCAAAAGAGATTATATTTACTTCTATATATAATTATTTAAGCTCCCTCTTTCCTTAAAAGTACGGCTTACTAAGTCCTGAATTATATCTTCCTCCTCTATAGAGTCCTTAAGCTCTTGAAGTTTAGTAAGAAGCATACTCTTATACTCTTTAGCTATCTCCTTATATTTAAGGATTATAGATTACCGATTTATATATTAATATATAATCTCTAGGGAATTAGGAAGTGCGGATTAGAGAGGAGGAAGGGTAGCTTCTTTTAGTAAGGCTAGAACTTGGCTAGAAAAAGATTTCTTCTCAGAGTAATATTAGTATATAAATTTAATAAGTATTATATAATATATTACTAGTCTCGGAAAGGATTAAGAGGGCTCTACTTTAATAGCAGGCTCGACTTTTATATACTTGGCTTTAGCTACTTTGGCAGGCTAGAAATAAATATTAGTTAAAAGTAAAGAAATAGCTCGGTAAAAGAACTTATTTCTTGGGCTACTTAATTATATAATAAGATACGGTTTTATAAAACCAGGTATTTCTCTTTTTTAATAGCTTCTAATTAGGAAGAAGTAAATCCTATTAAAGAAGGAGTTAGAAAGGAAGATAAGAGAGGTAACTTCTTTCCTCTATTATATAATAGCTTAGATAGCTTAGGTAATATAAGAATAGCCTTATATCTCTTTTAATAGTATTAAAGGCTTTTCTGGGTAAGATCTTTATCCTTAGTAAATAGAATTAAATAAGCCTGGAACTTATAAATATTCTTTTAGACTAATATAACCAAGTAAGGTAAAAGATTCCCTATTATACGAATTTCCCTAGAAGAAAGCTCTTTTAAATCTTGCAAAAAGAAATTATCTCTATCTTTCTAAATTATAGCTATCCAAGTCTTATACTTCCCAGTTTAGAGAACTAGCTCCTTTATATAACTATATACTTGGCCATATCTTCTGCTTAAAATGCTTATTATAAGCTTATTAATAATAAAGGCTTATATTAGGTTATTATTTCAATACTCAAGTCTTAAGAGATTTATTCCAAAGACCTTATATTTAATATTACTTCCTAAGATAATATAAGTATTATATAATTAATAAGTAAGGAAAGTATATATATACTAAGAATACGGAACTAAGAAGATATAAGAAAAGGAGAATTAAGCTCTTTATTAGATAGCTAGATATAATACCCTTAAACTTTAAAGAAAGCTAATTATATAATCTCTCTTTAAGATCTAAACTTGGATTTTCCTGTCTGGAATTACAGATAATAAGAGAAAGTAAAAGAGCTAGTATTCGGATATTTCTACTCTTTTCTAGTAGTAGTAGTAGCAGAAGCTTAATATAAACCAGCTATAGTTATTATATAAGAAATAACTCTTGGCTTATATAATTAAGTAGCAGGTATAGAGGGGGGTAGGCTTAAATCGCTCGCTCTAGAGAGTCTTGGCCTTAATTTAATCTAACTAGGGTAATTTGGACATAGTTTAGTAGCCTATATATTATATAATATAAAGGCCTCCTCCTTTTCCTCTTATTTAATTAGAGAGGCTTCTTATTTAGGCTTGGCCCGGGCTTAATAAAACTTAGTAAAGAGCTCCTCAAGTAATAGAAAAGGAGAAGAGGAGGCTATATAATAGGAGTTACTAATAGGGAATACCGGATTACTATCTAAAATCTTAATAGTAGTCTCTTTTATATTTTGGAATATAGGAGAAGATACTATAAGATTAATTAGAGAAATACTATAATACTAAGGTCTTAAATTATATAAATCGGGCAAATAAGGGGTTTCTGTACTATATTACTTATACTAGAACTAGCTAGGCTTATTAAAAGTATTCCTGTATATAGGGCATCTTGAGAGAAAGCCAGAAATCTTTTTAGAAGGCATTTTCAAATAAAGGAAGAAAGAAGATATAATTATAAGTAAATTATATAATAAAGATAAAGATATGGCAAGATCCTTAAATAAAGATTTATTTCTTCTTTTAGGCCTCTTACTCTAATAAGTTTCTCTTATCTAGCTACTCCTTATTCCACTTTTCCTTATCTAACTTACTCAAATTACCTTCTCTACTAATATTTATTCCTTTAATCTCTCTTTATTAGGATTATATAGTTTCTATAAACTCCTAGTTCTCTAAGATTAGCTACCTAAGGCAAGATCCGTTTTGCTATATCTTCTTAGTACTAATTTTAATCTTTGGAATAAGTCCTAGCTATAGGCTTGAGTTTCTACTAGTAATATAACGTTATATAATAAGCCAAAGGCAGTAATATATCTTAATATAAAGCCTAGAATTATCTGGTTTACTAGTTCCTTCTATAAGGCTTAAAGAATTAATCCTAATATTTACAAGCTATAATTTGCATTATATTAAAATATTATATAGCAAGTACTTATTAATATCTATAGCTAATAATCTTAGTATATAAAGATAAATTTGTAGTCTAGCTAACTAAGAGGCCCTAGAGCTAAGAAGGGAAACTAGTAGTAAAAAGATATTAGGGCTCGATTTATTTACTTAAACAAGAATTATACGAGCCCCTGAGTTAAGCTATATTATAAGCTACTGCCTAAATTAGGAAAAAAAAGAGATTACAGGAATAACTTACCCTAATTAATATAATCTTGCTCTAATTTAGCCAAGAGCCTCTTATTAACTAGAAGTCTATATTACTAAATAGCTATATACTTATAGAGAAATACAGGAATACCTGCTATATAGTATTTCTTCTTTAGATCTTTCCGGATCCGGTAGTAATTCCATATATCTATATATAATACTATAGTATATTATATAATAGATATATAAATAGCTAGTATAGTAATTTGGTTTATAAGAATACTATTAAAGTCCCCAGCTACTATAAGGGCTTAAAAAAAGTCCTATACTAGATTAGCCCAAATAATAGAATTATATAAATAGGTATAAATATAAATATACTAGTAATATAGCCGGGATTTCTCAAGTTAATTTTACTAAGACTTAATTCTTTAATTCTTTATACTAGTCTCAAAGTAATAGACCTTCTCAAAAGGAAGAATTAGTATTATTATACGAGAGAGAGCATATTAGACTTTAGTAATAAAAGGGACCTCTCTTCCTTTATTAGAGAAAATTACTCGAGGGTAATAGCCAAGCTTTCTAAATACCTAAAGGAACTAGCCAAGTATACTATATGCCATATAATTAGAAATGCCTATATAGTACCAGATAATATTACGAGAATAAATATTAATAGTAGTATAGATTTGGAAGCCCTATAAAGCTAGCTTATTATACTAATTAAGAGACTACCCCTAATCCGGGCCTTTAACTACTATCTCTTACTTCTTATACTATATATTATTCGTATAACGCTTATAGCCCTTACTATCTAGGCCCTTAATAATATTATAGATTAATTTGCAAGGAGCAGTAATCCCTATTTAATGGAAGTATATCTTAATTAAGCCTGCTCTATAGCCTTTAATCCTCCCATAGTCTAGCTCCTCTTATATAATATCTACAAGCTACTAGTACTTCTGCTCCCTCTCCTCTACTATTATTCTCCGAATAAGGCCAAGATCTAGCCTATATCGTACGAGCTATTGGCAGTAGAGGGGTATTCCCTTAACTGAGAATACTTGGAGAATTATATTATTATTATAATTGCCTATAAATAACTTAGAAATACGTAATTTGATCCTCTTAATCTTAGGAGACCCATTCTTCCTATTACGTAATATATTCCAAGCCCTAAGAGTACGCTCGAGAGTAGTTAAGCTATATTCTATATATAAAATTACTCTTATTTTACTTAAAATCTCGGGATATATAAGCTTCTCAGAGACCTAATTAAGAATCTCATTTTTATAAGGCTCAAGACTAAGCTTTGGAGGCATTCTGAGTATAATCTAATGCGTGCGATATATTAAAAGTGGGATAATAAGGGCAAGTTATGGTTGAGGCAAAATTTGATTTTGCGGCAATTAGTCATAGAAGGTTTTGGTCGTTGTGGTCACCCGTAATTTGCGGGTAATGACTTCACACACCGCCATCTCGGGTGGAGGCAGAAGAGCCCGCCAAGTGGGCCGCCATTGGCTAGCCCACACGCACAAAATTGAATTTTCCTGTTCTCCTCATAACCCAGAATAAGGCCATCTTTCCACAATTCAAGCAAAGGCGTTTGTGGTTTAGTGGTAAAATCCATCGTTGCCAAATCAAGAGTTCTATCTCCTGAGCAGTATCGATGGGCCCCGGGTTCGATTCCCGGCGAACGCAGTAGAAATAACAACAAGAAACTTCTTTTTTGGCAATTTTTTTGCCATCCAGAAAGAAGAACTTTTGACTCCGCATCAAAGTCTCAGAGTCTGGGAGGAGGAAGGATGGATTTATTCAAACACTTCAAAAACTGAAGACCTTCTGGCGAATTTTTGGTCAAATTCTTCTCGGGAATCGGATCACTTGGATTAATAGATCCGTCTACAATATTGGAAGACAATTCTCCACTCGGGTATTGCCTCAATATCACAAATTTTTGGGTCGTGCGCAAGCGAGAAAGAAGGAAATCACATGACTTACTGAAATGTCCATTCTCCTTTGCGTCTTCCGCAACCTCAGCATTGACTTCATCACCCTTTTGCTCAAATACCACATTGTGGTACTGGCAAATCGTTGTCTTGTCCTTGCCAACTCCGAATGCGGTGCTTCCGCTCAAAGTATAGGCAAAAGCATTCCAGCCTTCGGGTAAACTCTGAACGATCTTTCCTCCTGGCTTGATCTCGATATCAAGGATCCAAACTGGTGTATACGCCAATTCCTTGACACTATCGACGCCGTGGCTTTGGCCCGAGATGATTTTGACATGCACCTTTCCCTCATCGATATCGATATTCGGTATTTCCCCCGCCCTCAAGTCACGGTATCTTGGCTCGCATTTCTTGAGTTTCTCTGGGAGATCAACCCACAACTGCATGCCAATATTCGCGCTGCCATCAGGATTCTGTCTCGGCATCTCAGCATGCATTATGCCCTTTCCTGCTGTCATGAATTGTAGATCTCCTGCCTCGATTGTCCCCGCATTGCCAGCAAAGTCTTCGTGGTCAACGGCCCCCTCAAGTAAGTAGGTGGGATCGTCATGTTTGCTCGTTTGTTTGATACGTAGAGTGCGAGAGGTGGTAAAAGATGCAAGCCTTTGAAAGCCGTCGTGTTGGTGTTGTAGAAGTCTGTGGTGAGTGACTCGATCGTGGTGATTATCGTGTCTTTGAATGCGATCGATAGGAATGCGACAATGATTGAGAAAATCAGAAGGAGAACCCTCATTGAGAATGAATGGTATACTTATAGGAAAAAGAAGAGAAAGAGAAGGAATGTTCTTTGCGGATCATGACGGACTTATGGAGGATCTCAGCCTTAGAGAAATGTGGGGTCTTTTGATTTCAAGATGCTGATTCAGGACTTGTCAGCATATCGTCATTGGCCAGTGCCAGCTACCGGGGCGGCAACTGCAAGGCTGACAATGCAGACTTCCGGAAAATTTCAAATTCTTTTCGATATCATGAGCAAACTTGCTGGATGATAAATATATTACATAATCTAATCCTTTCAAGTGACTGGCCTAAGTCAGGGGATGCGAAATAACTGCGATGCTCGAAATTTTCTCTTGCGAATTTGCGGATGAAGGAATTGGACTTGAGGGCAAGCGTGGGGAGAGATTTTATGAAGTTGGTACACTGGTGAAGTCGCCTTCGATTTTATCGTAGACGGCACTTCAAGGTCTTCCATGGCTGCCGGCATGTCTCCATTAAAATGTCGCAAACGAGCTTCCCGGCTTTTTGCTTGTCCTTAAGCGCGTCAAGGAGGTCACGAGGGAAGGAAGTCCTTGACGAAGCCCGGACCCTGGCTTGGCTGACTTGAACAGGAAGAACAGTAGATCACTAAGATTTCCGTCTTAGTTACTAAAAGACGGTTTTACAGAGATCTGGGCTCATAAAAATAGAAGAGTGTGCTTGAAAAGGCCACATAAGGCCACGCGGAACAGGCAGGCTGCAAGGTGTAGAAATGAGAAGAAGGGTCCGCCTACGACGGCACTATTATTCGGCCCAGTATGAGAAAGAAATACTCAAGGTATTCATACTACTCATGAATATTCATGGGTAGTATTGAATAGAATGTAAGTAGCGTAAAACTCAAAAAATTTGAGTAGAGTAAAATATGTAATCATGAATATTTATAAATGGAGGGCGAAGACTCAACACCTGTACGCGGTGTCCTCTACGAACCTCCAGCTCTCGATTGAGAGTCTGCAGAGCCAAGATTGAGTCATACGACGACGACGAATATCCTCCTCCTCGCCGCCACTCCGCCCGCGGTACGACATATGCGACTTCTAGTGGCCACTACGACGATAGGTTAACCAACACCTCACTGATAGAGCCTTAGTTTTGTCGCATTCTGTTTATATGGGCGAATCCGCCACCGAAATCAGAGTTTTCACCCCACTTTGGTCAACACGACAACACCAGAATACGAATACATTAGGAAGGGTTTTGGATTTAGTTGGAACGAAACGCATCGACAGTTACAGAGGACCTGGTTAGATTCAACATCTACTGTCTGTTACAAGCGCCTCGAGCTTGTAACTTCTCGCAAAGTACGAAGCCCCTTCCATCGCCACTCCTTTGGACCTCAATTTCGGTTACGTCGTCCTATTCTTCTTTTCGTACCCTTTTCTAGCCAGGAGAGCCTTTCTTGTAATGAGTAGACGTTTCCTACGCCTCTACGGACCTGGAATGGTGGCTAGCGGATTCACGACGCCAAGTTTACTCTCTATAACTACGAATATTGTGGCATTATATCGGGTCTCGAACTGAGGTTTGGGAGGGGGTATAAGGAGGATATTCGGGGAAGAGAGAGGTCGGAGACACAGCCTGGATACCTGCCCCTGTTGCTGAACAGCGTTAGGCTATGTAATAGTCCGTTATCTCGTACCGTTGACTCTTGGATTTAAGATCTAGGACCGGCGAACGGGTTACGTTGTACCAGCTGGTTTTCATGGTTTTTCCTGGCAGGGCAGTAGACGCAAATGACTAGAGTTTGTCAAGTTGTATGGGTAAGAACGTACAGGGATAGTCTTCCTTAACTACTGTACCGAATGGATATCTAGGGGGCTCTGTGTCATTGAAGGAATTTGGATTAGTAATAGAGAAGAACATACTGACTGAGGTCAGGTATTCTGGCTCGTAGGCAGAGAGGACCTACAGTGCTACATAGTTGTAAACTGATAAAGCACGTTAAATGGAAAAAAAAAAAAAAAAAAATATTTATAAATGCTAGTTGTGAGGCGCACAATAGCAGGGTGCTACGCAAGTGTCAAGGTAAGGGGTGGAATCCAAGGTAAAGTATGGAGTGAAGCGTGGAAGTATAATTGATTCCAAGAACTGGTTCCAAGATGCCCATTTCCAAAGCTCGCATGCCTCCATATATAGTATCTAGCGTTCCGCTGGATGTACGAAAGCACTAGTCCCAATTAGGCTACCAAATTCAGCCTGATATTACTGTTAATGTGCGTATTACAGTAAGCGAACTAAAGCACGGGATTTCGAAGAGGATATTAGTTTTATATACGACTTAGCTTAGTTTAACTAGAGCTACTAATAAATGTCTTAGTTATTAATAATTATTAAGCAAATATTAATTTATTCCGGTCACGTGACGAGTGTTTACTAGTGTGATGCGCACATGTGCCCAGAGCACGAGCGAACGTCCAGGTGGATTTGGTAGCCTAATTGGGCTAGTACTTATGTGAGATCGCATTCCCTAACTGGGACTAGTGCTTTCGTACATCCAGCGGAACGCTAGATACTATATATGGAGGCATGCGAGCTTTGGAAATGGGCATCTTGGAACCAGTTCTTGGAATCAATTATACTTCCACGCTTCACTCCATACTTTACCTTGGATTCCACCCCTTACCTTGACTACTTGCGTAGCACCCTGCTATTGTGCGCCTCACACTTACCATGCCTTGCCATTGCCTACTGTGGGACGGCAAGCCGTACTCTATCAAAATCGCTTTGTTTTGACAGTTTTGAGGTTTTGGTCGCATGACAAAGACCGGGCCTTTTGCACGTGACTTGCGGGAATCACATAAGAAAGCTGGATTTTCTGTAGTTCTAGACAAGAATCCCTTCTTCATATTCAATCAATTGATCTTTTGCACACTGCACACTATTTATGCTTTACTGTTTATGCCTTTGTTCCTGTTGTTTTACTATCAAGTCACGTTTTGCGCTCTGGTGTACTTTATGTGGGTTTTTGTCTTGTCGCAGTTTCCCTCCCACACTACTTAGATAGCGAGGCGGCGCTAGAGCGGGAGAAGCCGGAACTTTAACTAATAATGCTAGCCAGGCACGTACGCACGTTATGTGTTGTAATGGGCACACGTGATGGCGCATGGACAGGTGTCAGATGTCGTGGATCTAGTTCCCTATTCTGGGTAAAGCTTGCGATCAGAATTATACGGATCGCATGGGATCGCATTTCCTAATTAAGTAAAGGGCTTTGCATACTTGGCTAAGTATTAGGGAATATATAGGGAGATGCTCCTAGCTTTAGAAAGGGGTATTAATTAGTCTTTTACTAGAATTACTTCTTGGAATTAGTTATACTTGCAAGCGTTATTCTATAGCTTACTTACCTTAACTACTTATATATTACCCTGCTATTATATACCTTATATATATACTATTTAAGGTATTTTATAAATATTTATAATTACCTTAATTAGAATATAAGTAGAATATAAGTAGAATATAAGTAGCAAGAATATTTAATAAATAGAATATAAGTAAGGGCTACTACTCTACTCTACTCTACTCTACTCTACTCTACTCTACTCTACTCTACTCTACTCTACTCTACTCTACTCTACTCTACTCTATTCTACTCATTCATTTCTCACACATTTCGGCCTGCCGTAAAAGGAATTTGAACCAGAGGAAGCCTTTGAAGGCGTGCTTTATTTTGAGGCGTACGAGACGAACTCTCCTACGATGCAGGGAGCCGCGCATTCTTTAGCGTACGTGCTCGGGATTCTGGAGTGGCCGTTGGAGCACACATGTAGTGTTCTAGTGTTGGAGTCAACACCCTCGAGCAAGTATTTGTATATGAAGATTCTTTTTAGGTGGATTACTCTTAAGTAGCAGCTTGAAACTTTGAAATGCAGTTTCACGGATCCCAAGACGTTAATAGAAAGCATTTAGAGTCACAGTACTAGGGGCTGAGTAAACATAGTCGCATGTACAAGGCTGATGACAATTGCATGAATAAAGCAGTATTTGGCATGTCATAAGGCTTCAAAATGTGAGGGTAAAGTTGACGTAGATTGAGAGGTCTAAAGTACAAGAAGTGCGGTTTGGCGGAGGGTTTATATGCCTTTGCAGCTGAGCTACTTCAAAAAGGGGTGAATCACGTGTATGTCAACTGACAGCTGAGTGGTGTCACTAGCTAATGGAAACTCTTCCGGGCCAACAAAAATTGAAACTCAAGTCTGGCGAGCAAGTTCTCCTCTGCAGGGCCCGCCCCCCCGCCCCCCCGCCCCCCCGCCCCCCCCCCCCATTTTTTTAAGGAAACTTCTTGATCCCGGAAGCATAGTGCCCCTGTATGTCACGTAACTCAAAGCGATCTGTTTCGCAAACATTATCTATTCATTGACAGTGAACCTTCAAAGATGCTCTACATCTTGCTGGAAAGCTCTCCATTATCCGCCATCGGATGGTCCCCAAATTGACTCAAATTCCCCATTTGCACTCCCAATTTCTTTGCAAAAGTCGCCCACCCGACTGTAGTCTTCTCCCGCTCCTCGATGCTCATTCCACCTTCCTTATCAAATACCTTCTTCAAGAACAACGCATTCATTGCAGCCTGGGAGGTTCCGGCACTAGTGTGAGGCCTCAACGTGGCCACCGCATCTCCAACCAAGAACACCTTCTCATTCATGAAGACTGATTTTGTAGTCAAGCTGTCAGTAATTGCTTGGATGAAAGGAGATTCGATTTTCTGCCAGACTTCTGCAAGTTGTGGTGGAAAAATGGCTGCTGCTACTTTTCCCTGCTCCTCCTTGACTTTCGGATCGATCTTTCCAATTTTTAGCGAGTACTTATGTGAGACATCATCGCTGTCAGTGAGTATCCTTTTGAGTTCGGCCTGGTCGTGGTTTTGGTACCAAACGAGGTTGGCGAATAAGTCCCCAGGAACAAGGGATCCTTTCAAGCCAGGGATCTTATAACTATCCACATTTTCAGCAAGGTACAAGTATGCAGTAGCTAGAAAACTTGGGTCACTTACCATACGACCTGGGACCCCCTGGTAAAGGCGATGCAAGACTACACTGTGTAAGCTTTTGCAGCCTTAAAGACTCGCAAGCCAGAACGAACCTTGGTGCCGAGTAAGGTTCTAGTTTCATCTGAAAGTAGACTTTCCTTGACCGTCCCTCTCCAAGTAACATACCCCACATAAGTTCTCTCGACCTCAGGAAGCAAAAGCTTCCTCACTGTAGAACTCGGCCCATCAGCGCCAATGACAATATCAGCCTGCAAGGCCCCCTTCCTTCCATCCACACTCTCATATCCAACTTCCACCAATTCATCAACTTCCGTCAGGTCAGTGACTCTCACATCAGAAACATAGTTCGCTACCCCATCGCCCTCCATCTCCGGAGGAGCGGCAACATAACCCGCTTCATGCCCACCGTCAAAATTAGCCCTCAAAATATTGTACAACAAATCCCAACTCGCAACTTGAGCTGTTATTCCATCTCCCCCTGTCGTGAACTTAATACTCCCATCCTTATTCAGATACTGAATTCCATCTGCGGTAAGAGTCGGAGTTTTGGTCCCATCATATTGTTCCAGAAAATCCACGATAGGAGCGCCTGAGGTACCGAGGTTCTTCATCGCTTCTTGGATAGGAGGGATCATCAGGTAGAATGCGATGCCGGCGCCCTAGTCTTGGAGAGATGAGGCGGGAGTGCGCTCTAGGATCGTGACGTTGTAGCCAAGGCGAACGAAGACGATGCCTGTGAAAAGACCGCCCAGGGAGCCGCCGACGATAACGACTTTCTTTGAGGTATTATATGCCATGTTGGTAGGTTGTTATTACAAGACGTGCTCTTGTTGACCAGGAGAAATCGAGAGGTTTGGATGCTGGAGACCAGAATCTCCCGCTGATATATATAGATCTATGAATGAATTCCATAAGCTCCGTCCTATAAGGAAGGGGAGGGGTTATACGAGAACTCACTAGCCATTGGCCCGGTCGTTTTCTCCCCGTGCCTTAGTTAAGGTGGTTGCGGCGAAGGAGGAAGCACTAGCCGGTAACAAGCCAGAAACGTGGCAAAGCTGCTTTGTAAGGAGATGCGCTTTTTGTCTGTGCGCACAGTTTCTGGGGGTATCCCTTCGCACCTCGTTTTCCAAGTTTAACTTCCTTATATCTTTATTAATTTAAATCTAATACTTATAAAAAGTAAATTAAAATAGTCGCATAGACTAGTACTACTATTTTATTAAGGGGTTTAGGTTCTGGAAGCCTAAATGTACTAAAGTTATAAAAAGTACTAAAAAATAAATACAACTTTTATAAAGGAAATATTAAAAATAACTATTTTTGCTACTTTTATTTATAATAGTTTAATCTTTCTATAAAATGCTTATATTATAGAATTATAGTTATAAACACAAGCTAAATATATTTTTTGTTTAAAAGTAAATTTAAAGTAACTCTCTTTAAGCGGTACACCTTGTTTCTCTTCTTGCGTAATTTTCAAGAGTTTCGTGGTTGAGGAATGTTGAACTGTTGCTGACTGTGGCTTCCCTCAATTGCACAAATCCTCCCAGCGAGGCGAACGCAGATGCAGGACACGCAGGCGCGGGCGTACGAGCCCCCTTCTCCCTCTAAAAACAATAACTAAACAGCCTCCAGGTCCTCCACTCCTTCGACATCACAGCTGGAACATCCCTCTTCATATTCTGCACCATAATCCTCAGCGAATCAAAACGCAACACCGAAGGAAAAGTATTCCGAAAACTACTCCTCTGCTTCAGCGATCAACAATCATAACCAGCATCGGTATCCAATGTGTTGCCTTAGCAAAAATGCAATCTATGATCCCCTACCACTTCTTCATCGTCTGGATACTATCCCTTCTTTTGACTGCCACACATATTGGAATTATATTGGCAAACGGGTTACAGGCATGGATATCAGTCGGAGGCTAGTCATTTACGGACCCGGGCCCAACGAGAAGCGCCTTTAGTGATATGATGAGCTCGTCATGAAACCGTCGGCAATTCATCACGGGTTTGCTTGCCCTCATGAATCATTACAGCTTCGACGGCGTTGATCTGGACTGGGGTTACCCCCAGGCCGACGATAGAGGAGGTGTCACGGCCGATACGGAAAATTATGTTTCTCTTGTGACAGAGTTGCGAGCTGCTCTTGGTAAGTTGCTTTCCCAATCTCGAGTTCGTCAACATGATTATAGCTGACCAAGAATCAATCGGGCACGAAATACGGCATCTCCATGACTCTCCCTACATCTTACTGGTGTCCCCAACACTTTGATCTCAAGAACATTGCTCCAAGCGTTGACTGGTTCAATTTCATGACCCATGATCGCAAGCGAGCATGCCATTCCTTCAAGGACGTTTTCGAGTCTGTGTTGGGCTAACAGAAGGAAGTTCATGGCGTGTGGGATGCAGCTTCCCTATTTCTAGGTCATTATATCAACTCGCATACAAATGTCACTGAGATTGATATGGGCCTGGATTTGCTTTGGCGTGCTGGTGTTGAGCCTGCGCAAGTTAACTTGGGACTCATATGGGTAAGCAAGTTCAATTTGTTTCTGTGAACGAGGGTATACTAACTCCAAATCAGTATGGCAGAAGCTTTACACTTTCTGGCCCATCGTGCAGCACCCCAAATGGAGTGTGTCAATTCACAGGAGGTGCGAACGCTGGCCCCTGCACGGATGCCAGCGGGATCATGGATCTGAAGAGATCGAAAACATCATCTCAACGAACAGCCTCACACCCGTTTGGGATAAAACAGCCGCTGTCAAATGGATAACTTGGGACAGCAACCAATGGGTGAGCTATGACGGCGATGATACTTTCCAACAAAAGAGAACATTTGCAAACTCGCGACACCTCGGAGGTACTATGGTAAGGGATGATTCAAAGAAAGCCTTTGAATACGCTAACCGTAACACAAATTTGGGCCATTGATCAAAGAAACCAGACCGCTGATAACGGGCTCGCAGCCGCTCCGTAAGTTTTTCCTGCTACCTTCTCCCCAGTTGCGTTGGTCCTTGCCCCCTTCATAACCATTTCTATACTGCCAAACTGACTTATTCGCGTCAGCGGTATCACAACTCAAAATCAAGCCGATGCTAAACAGATGAGCGACAATCTGGCAGCAGGAGTTACCTGCTATATTACCGACTGCAACGTCGATTGAAAAACGGGTACAAACGAAGTGACACAAATGGATGGACAGCCAAATCAAATATCCACTTATGCCGCTGTGGCGCTGGCCAGCACCGCAATCTTTGGTAAGCAAATCTGAGTTCATTTACTGCTTTCAAACAAGCTGCTTCAGTTTCTTTTTCAAAAGATTCGGACGTTGAATCAGGAATAAATAACGTGTGCTAACGATCCGGAACATACAGTTGTGCAGACAAGACCACGGTAGGCACTTGCCAGTAGCACGGGTACCGTGGGATGGGTCTCTCATGCATGGGCGGTTGCGCGGACGGGGGAACCGAAATTGTGAAGGACACCAACAGTTTTGGTAAATCGAAAGGCGCCCGGGCGTGCACAGGTGGTACATAAAGTCATTGCTGCAAAGGCTTCACGCCAGTGCTATCGGGGAGCGATCTCAAAACTCAGGCTGAAGACGCAGCAAAAGTAGCAGCTGAAGCTGTTGCCGAACAAGCGGCTCTTGGCATCGCTGCCAGGGCGTTCTGTCGTCTGGCTGTTCCAGAATTGCTTGCTCCTCTGGAACTGCTTGAGGATGTTATTCCTTTATTGGTAAGTTCAACCTTCTCTTCAACCTTGCCGCTTCCGTCTCTCTGTCACTTTCAATTCAAGGCTGACCATTGTCCTTGCAAGCAAGATCTTGGACATTGCCGAGATTACTGCTACCCCAGCACTCATCAATCTGTGTGTCAAGGACGTTGAAAAAGAAGGCCAAGCCGAATTCAAGGTATTCGGCAAAGAACATACGCTTTCTATGGACAAACCAACAGCTACAAAAGAGTTTCGGCCTACCGAATCAAGCCACTCGATTTCCAGCACCAGCACCTGTGGGAATACTGCAAAAAGAGCAGATAACAACGGCTGGTGTGACCCCTCAGTTCACAGAAAAGTCATCACTGCCATCGATGATTTCGGCCCCACAAACCCTGTTCATCCCATACTCTGCGCCATCTATGGTCAGGCGTGTTACAACTTATTATGATTGACGGCAACTCCAGCCGTGTCGCCTCTCCTGAGGAGCTTCGTTGGGAATTTGGTTTCGATTCTTGCAGCGATGATTCGTGCAGCAGAGAGTTGCAAGCCTTGAGAGCCATTTCCGAGACCGTGAGGGAAGATTCCTTGCCACCCACGAAACCTAGCTCAGTCAATGCTGAGGCTACACCGATCTCAGCCAACGAAAGCGTTATTGTTCGAGAGGAGCCGATACTAATAAGCTTGCCGGGTTCAAATTCGATAGACGCCGAGTCTCCTACAGAGACAGGAAAAGCTACAAGCATGCCTAAAAAGTTTCCAAAGTTTTCAAGAGGAAGGGGGAAATTCTAGTGTAAATTATCCTCAAACGAGGCGCTCATGTAAAAAAGAAATTCATGTCGATCAGTATTCGAAGTCCTGGAGGATTCTAATTCGGTTGCTCAACTTGACTGTCCCCAATTTCTGTATTTTTGTATCGACGGCCTGAATGAGCATCGCCAACAAAGTTTCTGAGATGATGACAATGCAAGATCACCGAGCCGAGTGACTTCGATCTCCGCAGAGAAGACCTCTGTGACTCAGAACTCATCCACAACTTTACTTCCCCGTATCTTGGGTATTCGACTCTTCGGGTGGAGCAATTCCTCGCTGCTTCCAGAATTCAAGCAACTCAATCCTCCTCTCTTTACGTTTGCCTTCCATGAAACTCCGATACCAATGCTGAATAGCTTGAATACAGGCCTGTTTTCGATATTTCTCCCTGTCGGGCCATCCGTACTCACGATAAATTTTGCGTAACCCCTGTGATCGATACGTTAGTCATTTGAAACCATCTTACAGACATCGAGAGACCAAGAAATAGAGCCAACAAGATCAGAAAGTCTACTCACGTCCATTTCCTCAAAATTATAAGAGCCAGGCTTATCTTCCAGACCACCAAAAAAAAGGTCCCATGAACCATACCCGTCGTAGATAGAATCCTCCGGAACTGCCAGGACGGTCGTCTGGCGGTACTCTTCCCTCCATTTCTCCAGCCAGTCTTTCAAAGTGACAGTCTCCGGATAGCACTCGCGATCGCGCCAACCGCGTGGATCATCTGGTTCATACGTCGGAGGGTACTCGAAGTGGCCACCAGTACAGTGCATCGTGATGGTTCCGTCGGTCGTGTCCAGCATGTAACGATGGTCCTCACGATCCGTCCCCGATGTTAACTGAACCACCCACGCAGGCCACTGTTTCTCCGCTACCTGGTACATCCAAAGCGGCTTCTCACGTGCCGTTGGTGATAGAGTCACGCGTCTGTAGTCGCACACCATTGCAGTGATCATGATCCAAGGCTGGTCGCAGGAGATGTACGGCAAGTAGCGAAGAAGTTCAAGGGCTTCGGGAGTTTTGTAGATGCCATGAACTGCCAGGCTTGAGGCTGTGATTTCGGGCCAGCCGTCTGGGGGCGCCGTGGCGATCTGTGAGGCCGAGATGTGGGGGAGGAAATTATAGAAGGAGTGCAGATTGGCAATAACTTCATTGCGGTCGTAATGCGCGATTTTGTTGTTGAGTCGGGGGTCTGGGAGTGGAAAGGAATCTTGAGATGTCATTTTGATGATTGTTGACAATGAGATGCTATGGGCCCGTTTCGCAACCCTTGAATATTCGGATACTACCGATATTATAAAAATAAGTGTTTGCAAGTTACGATCAAAGGTTTGGGGGGTAGCATTTAGATACCAGTATCTGCCCCCATACTAAATCTCAGCATTTTCGTGACTTGCCTCCTGTGTTAAAATTCGATCCATTTCCCACGAACCAGGCGTCGAACTCTCCCCTGATATATCCGCACCTAAGCGCATGATAGATATAGTCCACCCACCAAAAAAAATCCACATTGGAATTCCATTAACCCCGTCGCTTCGCCGAAACCATATTGTCGAAATGTTCCCCCCCGTTCGTCAATACGAGCGATTGATCAATCGCCCCTCCCATTGATTAATCGGACGCTACGATTGGTTAATCGGGGCTAATTACGATTCGGGCTCCACAGTGGGTCCCGATTAATTAATCGTATAATATTGGGGTTTCGGGGCTAATGGGGCTAATGGAGCTAAAAGCTTTTACTTACTAGTTTATACTAAATATATCCTCAATTCTATATTCTTTACTTTACTTAAGTCTTACTCTTTATACTATAATATAGATTTCTAATATTTAATACTAAGTATATCCTCAAGTCTAATTTTCTTATTTCGCTTATACCTTACTTATTTATACTATACCTATAGTATATATAGTTTATTTAATTTTTTTCTAGGCATTAAGAGAAGTAATAATAGGGGTAAAGATACTTCTCCAGAGCTTCTAGATATATATGGGGCCTTTACTTCCTTATTTTCTAGATATAGTTCATACTATAAGTACTATAAGTACTAATTTACCAAGCATAACCACTAATTTTTATACCTCTTAATTAATTAATTACCTTATTTCTAATATGTCTCTTTTAATTCTTCGTTTATTCCCAATCCCGCATACGCCTCGTTAGCGTATTTATAGGCATACGGAGTAATATTTTAATATTACTACTCCAGGAGCTCGTTTGTCTGGCACCCAGTTTTTGCCCTTCCCAATTACTAAAGAGCCTACTAATAATTGGTCTGCCGAAGACGAAGCTATATGGGATTAGAGGCTTACTAAGGGAAGTAGTAGGAAAATTCTTATTACTAGGAAATGTATAAATATTAGATAGTGGCTTCAAAATCCTAATACTTCGCTTCCTAGTAGAACTAAGGCAAAGAAGCACTACTAGGCTAATATTAAGTACGAATCCCACTTATACGAGCTTTAGGATAATTAAGTATATTATAAGAAATACTATAATACTTGCCGTAATAAGATCCTTCTAGCCCGGTATATTCTTTGCTATAATAATACCTTTGAGATTTTAACTACTATTTATAAGAAATTAATATATATAAGTAAGTATTTCCTTAAAGCTACTAATTTTTATACTAATTATATAATAGCTTCTAATACTATATTCGAGTATATAAAACGACTTTGGTATAGCCTATCTTATAATAATTACACTTGAATAAGTACCTATTATACTTATTATAATAAGGAAAAGGCTCAAAAGAATAATATAAGAGTAATACCTATTTAATCTCATTATCCTGGCTAGTATATAGTTCTGGATTTAATAGATTTCTGTATAAGTATTCCCTAAGTTATGTAATTTACTCCTATTTTAGTCTTTCCTGTATTTCCTGTATTTCTTGTATTTTTAAGCTTTTCCTGCGATTTTCGCAATTTTCGTAATTTTTACAAAAATTATAAAAATCGCGATTTTTATTTATATTACTTACTAATATTATTATAGTATAATCCGGATAGAGAATATATATAGATCTGGTAATTAAAATGCCATTTTTTCAAGTTTATTTGGATTTGTAGGCTTAAGGCTAAGACTATGGATAAAGCTGCAGACGAGCTTATTAAATAGCTAAATAATAATAGATATATTACTATTCTAGCCTATAATAATAGGGGCGAGTTTAAGGGGAAAGTAATTAAGGTTTATAAGAAGAGAGAAATAAAGATTATTTATAGACGAGCTTATTACCCCTAATCTCAGGGCTCTATTAAGGTTACTAATTAAATCTTTAAGAAATGACTACGGGCCGTATGAATAGATACTGGTATCTAATCTTGGATATAATTATTTCCTTTAATTATATAAGTAATTAATACTATGGCTATATTTGCCTTTCCTAAAAGTAATATGCTATATAAGGTCTGGTTTAAACGAAAGCCACTTACTAATTTCTTGAATTATAAAGAAAGTACTTGCCGTATATATATAGCCTTAGGAGAAAGGGAAATTAATATTAATAAGAGTAGTACTTCTGAATAATTATCTACTATTAAGGTTTAAGAAAAAGAAGAGAATAGAGAGAATAGCTTATTTATTAATAAGGAAGTAGAATAGGAGGAAATAGTAAAGGAGATAATTTTGTCTGAACTAACTAAGAGAATTATAAAGTATATAAAGAAATAGTAAGAGAAGATAGTAAAGAGGGCTAGTACTAAAGATCTTGAATATAATATTCAGGAGATCGTAATCCTATAGATCCCAAAGTAATATTAATTTAGTATAGAAATGGCTCGGATTCTAGTAAGAGTTCTGGAAAAGATTTTAAAAGTATATAACTTATAAGAATATACTTTTAGCTAAAGCTAATTAAAAACGGGGCTACCGGTTAATTACTAAGTATAGTAAGCTTATAATCCTCTGGCCGTATAATACTCTTAATAAAGTTGCTTTATAATTAACTTATCCTGATTTGCCTATTACTAGTACGGCCTATAAGAAAGACAAAATTACCCTCCCCAAAGCAGTGGCAAAGGAGAATAATCGGGATTTAATTTCGTTAGTTCAGAAGGCTGGAAGGATATCTGAGAGAGTAAAGAAGAGAGTAGCTATTGAGCAAGCATGTAAGGATAGAGCTAGAGAAGGGGAATCAGGTAAATAAGTGGGTGTAAGGGTACTAAAAAGGGCTAGGGTAGCTATGAAAGCACCTAGACGAAGTGGGAGGCATGTATAATAAAGCTTGGTTTGGGTGAAGTATACTAATATATACTGCTTTTGCTATTCCCGAAACCTTAATATTACCCGATTAGGCAATCGGGGTCCCGATTGATTAATCGGGACCCACTGTGGAGCCCGAATCGTAATCCCCCCCCCCCCCCCCATTGATTAATCGGGCGCTACGATTGATCAATCGGGAGGGCGATTGATCAATCGCTCGTATTGACGAACGGGGGGTATCAGAAAGAGCGGTGGCCGAATCGGTGCAGGGGTCGGAATTGTTAGTTTCCCCGTTCTTGTCCGTTCCGACGAACATGTCGGAGCCGTTGTGACCGAACTATCAGGCCGAGAAGGGTTTAAAGCGAGCTAGGCCGGCATTAGTCATTTCAGCCTGAGCTATCATTGGGTGAGCGGGCTTAAAGGGGCTGTCTGCGGAGTGGTGATTGGGTGGACAAAAATTCTTTCGCTAGTTTCGCGCCTTCGCTCTTAGACAATGTCCGACTTTCCTGGAGCATCACCACATTTTGTGTGGTGAATGAAGTTTCATGACAATTAAGTCACGGAAAGTATTCCGTATTAAGCAAAAGGTTATCAGTATATAGTATCTTCATTTTCATTCACTTTCGTCTTTTGGTACATAACAAGCATTCAATGGTTCTTTCACATAGCCTGAACAAATAGCTCAACAATCACCACTACCAAGTACAGATCTACAATAATAACCTCGTATAGCACAACCTTACCTTGTACATACAGACACCTCCTAATCCATCAAGATGTCTTCATCTGAGGCCGTAAGTTGACACCTCTCTCAATGACAAACACATGCTAATCTACTCTCTAGTCAACTCAACAGCATGCTCCATACGCGCCCACAGTGGCAGCCCTTGGAGGCTCGCCGACAACGGGCCTCGACGACCCGGTACGTACACAGAATCTCCCAAATGGAATGAGCAAATGAAGTTTTTGTCTCAGGAGCACATACTCCATATCTCATATGGAGCAAGTGATTGCTGACCCCCGACTTCCTATAGATAACCTCCATATTTCTCGTCATTTTCATTACCCTCGCGGCAGTACACATGACAATATTCCAAGTCAATCGACGGAGGGGACAAAAGTTCGTAATGTCAGGCATGACCTTCGGATTCTGCATGGCACGAACAGTAACCTGCACAATGCGATTAGTCTGGAGTACACACATCAAAAGCGTCCCAATCGCAATCGCTGCCCAGGTCTTCGTGTCCGCGGGCGTCATTCTCCTCTTCGTCATCAACCTGATCTTCGCGCAACGGATTGTCCGCGCCTCACATCCAAACTGGGGTTGGGCGAAATGGTTCTCAGTTGCATTCAAGATTTACTATACTTCGATTGTGGTAATGCTTATCGCACTCATAACGAGTATGGTCCAAAGTTTCTACACGCTGTCGCATAACACGAGACGGATTGATCGCGATGTACAACTTGTTGGGTCGACGTACTTTGCGGTTGCTGCATTCATGCCCATCCCTCTCGTCTTGCTTCGAGTCGTCCTTCCCAAGAAGGTGGAGCACGTCGATAAATTCGGAGAGGGACGCTTCAGGACCAAGATTCGCGTTCTTCTCTTCTCGTCTCTCATTCTGACTTTGGGTGCTGCGTTCCGTGCCGGAATTGCCTACGTTCCTCGACCACGAGCGGATCCTGCTTGGTACCACTCCAAAGCTTGCTTCTACATCTTAAATTTTACTATTGAGGTCATTGTGGTGGCTTTGTATGCAGCAATCAGGGTGGACAAGAGATTCCACATCTCAGATGGCGTCCACGGCCCAGGCGCATATTCTGCTGGCCAAAACGCTGAGCCGAAGAAACCGACCATTCTTGATCAGGTGAATAGCGAGGAGGAAGTGTTTGATAATGAATCGGAGGAGGGGAAGAATGTCGAGAAGAGTGGGGATCTTGAGATGGGAATGACTCATATTACTGCATCAACGTGAGTGAACTGCGTAGATTTTCAGCGATTTGATTTTGGAGCATTAGAGCGATGACGGGAACACCACTCGGCATAGACTGTACATACTATATAATACCCACATATGCAACTTTCATATCTTTTCCAATACTCTTGTTGCCGTCTCGTTGAACCCTGACTTTATGCTTTGCCACGAGGGAAAGTTCCCACCCAGCTCCCGAACGGCCTGCATGACGCACGAAGATACGAGCTTCATGTTGCTCATCACTCATGCCGAAGACGGAAATCTAATGCTGAGTAGAGATATCTTAACACCCCCTACGAGCAAACTGAGCTCAAGGCAAGTAGCAAGATCGCAGAATCTCAAATTCCACCGCTGGGGCCACTGCATTGAGTTCATCTCTGAGGGGGTGTCGTCATCTCATATTTCGCCATTGAACAACCGTTTCGTCACCACTTAATTTATCATCGCCGTAATTTCATATATAGAGTCTGAAGCTAGTCAATACACATGACTGTTTCACCACTTTGCTTAAGAATCTCCGCGCAACGTGTCTGGCTTTTAATCTGTGTTTGTGGCGTCTGTGCCTTTCCAATATCTGGCTGCTGTAATTTTAGTGTCTTGATCCTTGGATTTGAGAATATGAAACTTGGGGATTCACTCTCCTTATATTCTGTTTTGCCGCTGGTATTACCACACCCATACTCCGAACACCTCACTCTTTGGTCACGAGCAGATTCTCAACTATTTCTCGATCGGAGACAAGAGGGACATGGGACCGCTCTCGAACCAGGCTCAAGCTCAATTGATCTACCTACCCTCTCTATAAAGGCATGCCGGCGCAAGTACTATCTCCCTGACTCGCCATGCGAGAACTGCACTCTTGACCAGATCGGTGATGTTTCTATTCATTGCTAAGATAAAGAATTTCAACGCATGATGGTGGCAAACGCATTCTTGGATACGGAGATAGTGTAAGTTAGCAAGAGTTTTGTTGTCCTGTCCGAGCGCCTCTACTTTGAGTTAGTGGCCTTTCGCCCCTAATCGACACCCCTAATCGATACCGGGTGGGATTGGGGGTTATTTTACTTTTTCCCGGAGACATGCGCAGTTGAGTGAAAACCCCTTCCACCAAAAAAGAAAAGTTTCCGCAAAGAAGGGCACGCTAAGCCGAGACAACTGGCGGATATTATCCACGTCGTTGAAGACTCTCTGATACCAAAGAAATAAAAGTCGAGTTGGAATTGCCAACTTACGCATGTCTCCGGGAAAAAGTAAAACAACCCCCAATCCCACCGGGTATCGATTAGCGGTATCGATTAGGGGCGAAAGGCCACTAACTCAAAGTAGAGGCGCTCGGACAGGACACCAAAACTCTTGCTTTTTCTTTAATTTAATACAATTTTATAAGGAATTAATATAATTTAATACTTGTTTTATTTCCTTATAGCGCTAATTAAGCGCTATTTAAATATAATCTTTTATAAAATATGGATTAGTAATAGCTTTCTAAATCAAATAGGTTAAAAGATATATATTTTATAGCCTAAAGATAAGCTTAAGAAAGCCTAGAAATTTAGCAAATAAGTTCCTAAAACCAAATATAAGAGCTCTATAAGCCCCTAATCTATAGGGCCTTATAGGGCTAAAAAACTAGAACCTAATTAATTAGTATATAAACTCTCTTAAATTGAAATTCCATTTTAAGGAATATTTCTATTATAAGCTAGGAAGCACGTGATTATAATACTAGGGTTATAATATGCTAGCTTATACTTATATTAAAAAATATAACTTCAGATTTTTAAAGAGCTTAGGCAGCCAATTACAAGTTTATCAACACCCCTAATCAACACCGGGTGGGGGGTCGTTTTACTTTTTCCCCACCCCACCTGGCAATAACACGTGGCACCAACCAACGCCCTTATTAGGATTTGATTAATGCTTTCGTACCTTTAATATCATGACTTATTCCAGTGTATTCCATCGATTCTTAACAGCCAAAACCAGTCAGTCGCCAAGCCAAAAGATTCAGCGAGTTTCATCGTGGCCGTCACCCATGATTTAACTAGAGGGCAATAAACTTTCCACCCGTACCTTACGAGTACCTTATCAGATGCAATGACCGATCCTGTCCCAACGTCCACGTCCTCTTCGGGGTCGCAGCTCCACTCTGAGCTGTGGCAAGCGGCATATGCGCAACTTGATGGAGAGTTGAAGCAAAGATACGAAGCGGTATTAAAAGCGGAGCTCAATGTCGGCCTTGATGCAAGCATCGATCAACAAGCTACCTCACTGGTGGAACGTCGGAAGCAACGAGTTGCGAACCGCCAGTGGACGTACAAATGGCGCAATCGGCCACGGGAAGTGCGAGGCCAAGTCGATACGATTCTTGACATTGTTCAAAAGAGTAGCAGTATCATATCGGTTGGTATGAATTTTGCGCCCATCTATGTCTCATTGCCATGGACCGCAATCACTACGTTGCTCCCGGTGAGTCTTTTGTTAAAAATTTACGTTCTCAGAGTCCCCTACCCTACCTTGATTTGAGATGACTCGTCTGTCTCCCTTTCAGAAGAAACAGAGACAACATATTCCAGCCAATGATATATATATAGATGGAAGGTTTTTAACGAAAAGCCCTTCAGTTCATCACCAATGACTCGAAAGAACACAACATGGCACTCAACGGCCTCGAGAAAGTGACCGAGATTATGGCTAGATACAAATTTGTCGAGGAGATTCACATTGAGCCGGGCTCCATGACATTTACTAAGATGAAAAATGCTGTTGTGGATCTGTACTCAGAGATCTTCAAGTATCAAGCGCTCCTCGCCGACTATTTGGGCAAGAATACCCTTCGCCGTTTTGGCATTAACAGCATGCAGTTGGGCGGGTGGACAGAGCACACAGCAAATATTTTGTCCGCAGACGAGACTTGTCAAGTCTGGATGAGACTCCACGACTCAGAAGCTTCGCGATCCGGAGTGCGGTCTTTGGCAGATCTGATGGCGGAGCAGACAAAAAGCCTAAAGGCCATGGCTGAAAAACTGATCCAAATGGATGATGAGCCTTCAAAATCTAAGATTTTGTCTTGGATCTCAGAACATGATGCATTCGAAGATCATAATGAAATGCGCGAGCGAATTGGCGCCGCCTACCTCTTGTCTGGACAGTGGCTGTTTCGTGAAGAGGCATTCAGGAACTGGGAGCAATCTCATTCTGGCGTATTGATTCTCCGTGGGAGTGTAGGAACCGGGAAGAGTTCACTAATGTCAATCGTTGTCGAGCATCTTCTGAACACCACAACCAGTTGCATGGGATTCTACTACTGTTCTTGCACACCCATGGCTGATTCCAGCCCCCGAACAGTCATCCTTTGCATCTTGCGGCAGCTCGCCTTAGCAGGAGACACTCGTAAGCTGAACTCGGTAATACTCGACAAGTACGAGAGAAGGACGCAGAAATCCTGGAATCACCTCAGCCTCTCACGGAACGATCTTTCAAATCTCATGGTCAATGTTCTGAATAAATATCCTGGAGCGATCGTTGTGGTTGACGCTCTCGACGAGTGCGCAGACCTCGAGAATTTGCTAAAGTTTTTCAACGAAGTTTCCGAGCGATCACAAAACCTACGCTTCCTCTTCTCTGAAAGACCCCACATTTCAACACGCTCTAGGCTTAATCACGCTCATCGCATCGACGAGCTCGATGTAGCAGATTACACCACGGAAGACATTCAAGACTTTTTGAAAACTGAATTAACCCTTAACTCTCGAGGCGAGAATGATATGCCGAGCCTTCATCAGGCTACCGCTCTTTACGACCTCTTGAGAGAGCAGGCTTCAGGCATGTAAGTGTTACCCGAAAGAGGTTCACATCCGTCAAATTTTTTCACATGCCAGCACTTAAATATGTTCTCGTGAGACCGCAATAGAGGATAATAAAGCAACATTAGACGTCAGCTAACAACCAATATATAGGTTTCGATGGGTTAAACTGCAAGTCGATCTGTTTCTGAGAATTGAGCTACCGAGTGACTTCGACAAGGGCCTCCAGCGACTAACAAAAACAACTCTGAATTTGAAAGGCGACGACAAGGCCAAATTGTACGCAGCTTACGATGACATGTACGACGCGAACGTTGGTCGTAAACCAACAGATCTAGATGCCGCCCAAGCTGAGCGCGAGGCAGTCGTGCAGAGGATCTTTCTGTGGGCATTGTGTGCACACCGGCTACTGCGAGTACGTGAGATGCTGGAAGCCGTGAGGGTCAACGACAATGGCTCTATCATCAATGGTATCGATGAGGAATATCTACTCAGGAAAGGTAGCAACTTCATTCGGAAAAACTTGAAAAATAGAATCGTCTTCACACATTTGTCTGTTCGGGAATACCTTACAGAACCGAGAAACACAACATCGGACGGAAGATTCTCTCTAGATGCCGCACATTGGAATGAAATAGCTACTAGACGCTGCATAGAAACGATGTTACTTCATGAGCCGAGTCAAACCGACTGGGAATTCCTGTCTGACTCTTTGCCTTCTAAATGGAGCTTCTACTCATACTGTTGTACATATTGGATCCAACATCTACAGTCATCAGGGAGATTCCGCGACAGTGACGCGATACGCGAGGCCTTGTTTTCGTATACGACCTACATCATGGCCAAGTCACCGAGACTCCTCAAGCACAGTTATATGGACGACCAGATACTTTACCGCTATGCAACTGAAAATACCTGGCCCATCTCGGCATTGGAGGTTGCGCGGACGATCATGACGGCTACATTTCTTGCTCTGGATGAGATGCTGCAAGCTGGGCAGCCCGAAGGAGTGTCTTGGAGTCTGGCAATGGTTCAGTGCCTTGCTGCTTGCGGTGTATCTCTCTCGACAGAGGTGAGCTCTTATAGAGAAGAGCTTCTGGCCACTGGGGACGTGCAAGGAAGCATGTTCTTTCGATATGATCCGAAGACACTCATAGAACTGGCTATTATTTACAACGATTCTCTGTTAGAGATGCTACTTTATTACGATGCAAGGGTAGATGTTGCTGCCTCTCACAAGCGCACTCTACTACATGTAGCAGCCTGTAATGGGACAGGCGAAGGCATGCGCATGCTGCTCAAGTCACAGTCAGGGGCCAGGTGCCTCGCAATTCCACAGCCCGATGGGTTAATGCCAATCGATGTGGCTCTTGCGGAGCACCATTTTGGATGTGCTGATGTTTTGTGGTCGGCTTTGCTAGAAAACGGTAAAATTCCAATCTCAGACTCTACCGCCAAATCCTATACCATGAGTCTCTGCCGTGTGCGTGGCGAAGCACGAAGTCGCCGAACGGCATTATTAGGCACACATAACTATAACAGAATTCCTGCGATGATATTTAGTCAAGATTCAACATTGTGCTACAACTGCCAAATGTTGTTCATCAAGTATAACAACTCTGGAGATCCCCCTCAGTTGCTTGGTAGCCCCGCTGATCTCGCCGCGAGAGCTATTTTGGGATGTAAGATGTGCAGCATGTTTGAAAAGCGAATCCTTGGGCGCCTGGGTCCAAAGGAGAAAGCTTTCAATGCTTCAAGTCGACATCATATTCTTTATTGGGCTGCAGTACCGGGTTTGCTATACTCAACCTACTATTCGCTAGGGGCAGGGTTACTCTTTCTTATGCTCTGGGGCTGTCTCGTCCTTTACTGTAAAGAGAACTTTGATTGGAATGCTCTGACTGGGCAGACTCGAGTCGAAGTCTCGTTGTATTGCAAAAAGCAAATCTTTCGAGAAACGTATATGAGTATTTGGACTCTTCAAGTTGTACGAGGACGCCAAGTGTTGACTTCAGAAGAGTTTGAGATTTGTCAAAGTCGAGGTAAGGCAAGATGCTTGCTCACTTATAGGATTTTGATGCTGAAAGCATACAGACTCACTAAATCTAGACGTGAAGGGGACGAATGGTGATAATCCCTCTTATGTAGGAAGGTTTCGCAGTTGCCCGTTGAGTGAGGATACGTTCGAGCAAGGAGCTCTCGAAATGATCCAGGTCTGGTTATCCACTTGCAAGGACTGCCACGACCAGTGTAGGCGGTCTTCGGGGGAGGATCTACCGACGCGTGTGCTGGAACTTTCCTCAACTGATAGACTGATCCTTCGTAATGGGAGGGGTCGTGGGATATACTGCGCCTATTCAGGGGTGGCGGGGGGCTCCGAGCGCCTTACTCATACCACTACGTCGAATATCATGGCCAGAATGCATGGTATCCCTTTGGAGACACTACCAACATCATGGCGCGATGCAGCGTTACTCGCTCGGCGATTGGGATTTAGGTACATTTGGATTGAGGGGCTATGCGTTATACATGACGATGAACAGTCTTGGAGAGAAGAGTTCGTAAAGATCTCAGATTATTATCGGAAAGCAACCCTCGTCATAGCATCCGCACATTCAGACAGCTCGGGAGCTCTGCAGCGCAAAAGATCAACGGACAGTACACTTCTCACGTTGAACTGCTTATCCCCGCCCCCTCCCGGGGAAATTCCTTTGCAAAGCCAATTCACGACCAAGATATCCATCCGGGCACCTTTGGAGGACGGCGGTACAAGCCTTGTTCAAAGTGCCTGGGCAAAACGGGGATGGACCATAGGGGAGCGATATCTTGCTAGCCGAATGTTGATAATCGGCAATGACCAAATATATTGGAATTGTAACCAATCTTTCTGGTCGGAGGGCTCCACGGTATGTCTGCCACCGCTTTGGAGGATCCCAGGCTCAGCCGTCCGTGGCGGTGACCGGTCGATATGGTACAACCTCGTCGAATATCACACTTCGACAGAGGTGACATTTCAGTCGGACCGACTTGTTTCATTGAGCAGCCTCGCAATAGCCTTCGCCAGTGGCAATCGCTATTGGGCTGGCATCTGGCAGGACGACTTACACGTTGGTCTGCTGTGGCGAAGAGCTGGGTCCGACATTGCTTTCTCTGACTACGCTGCACCATCATGGTCATGGGCCTCCTCAGGGTCGGCAGTATCATTCTACACATCAACCACCAAACGTCTTGAGACCTCCGAAGATGCTGAAATCATTGAATTGTCGTTGAAATTACTTCCTAATGCGGTGCTTTCTTCACTGACAGAAATGAAGGATGAAGATGCATCATGTCAATATGGTCTCATCGAGTCAGGCTTTCTGATACTGAGTGCCAAATTAAGGATTTTAGACGCAGCCCAAGAAGACTCTCTGGGCACGTACGTTTTCGATCACAGCAAAGAAGAGAGTGAATGGCAACAGCCAGAAGAGCCCATAATCATAGCCCTTATTTCGCAGTGGGAGAATCTTGCAGGCAGTAGCTGTCGATGGCATGGCCTCCTTTTGCAGAATTTGCACAATATCAATGACCATGGGCGTGACGTACAGGAGGGTAGGAGTGTACACCGGGCCGCTGCGGAAAACCATCCGTTCAGAAAGGACTGCCAATAGTCCTGTACAGACATCTGGCCTAGGGGATGACTGGAAGCGCTTAGAGTTCCTTATTTTATAAGCCTATGACTTTAGGGACAATAGTTAATACGGAGTATAGTTAATTAAAAATAGCGTAGTGATAAAGAATATTAAGAGGCTCATTTCTTTTACCTTTACTTTCTTAGGAGATGTTGCGGCACAAACACATAAACAGGTTCCTATTATTAATATCCATGTCGGTATTGAGATCTTTTATCATCGCCACTTTCCACAGTTCAAGTTTGTCCGAGAGTCATGCTTCTGTATATAGTAGATGAACTTGTACAGGTTAACCAAAACACAATATTTGGATCGAGATTTCGATTATACTAAAAATTAATGTCTAAATAGCTATACTGCGAATTTCTGGTCATGTGACTAGTTATGTGATCTCGCATTGTAGGCGTGGCTCGACCGGTAGCCTAGTCCCCATTAGGCTTAGCAGATTTAGGGATCGCATATCAACACCACGATCTGCGATCCTTACTTCTGAATATCAACCACTTCACTAACTTAACGCAAACGGCATTCCACGACTACGTGACGGTGCTACGCGTTACTAGTGAACCGACAATTAAGATTACTCTCCTCTATATGGAAAGTATCGCCTCTTTCCACAACAGATTCTGCAATGTGGTGTGTTCCGAAGTTACTGGCGCAATGTGAATACGTCGGACGTCACTGCTTATGGATTAGCATGCCGAGATGTTTTATACGGAGATCGCGGCATAAAGTATCGGGAATACAGGGCATTTGTGCTGAAAGTCCACTATGGAGCTCATTTCTGGCACACTCAACCGCTATAAGCCTCTATATTTCTAGGCCATTACCCTGAAAATGCCCTATAAGCAGTCAACAAGAGGTGGCACACCTTTTAAAGCCTTCTCCCCTGTCGTTACAGGGGCTACCTCGCTAAAGAGCCCTATGATTGCTCTCCTTTAGGGGTGGATAATTATATATAATTCCTACCCTATTATTATATACGTATAAATAATGCTCTTGAGCCCATTATGCGTTATATTATGTGGGTCCAATATTGGACCAATTATATGGCTAGAAAGTAATGCACGTGAGACCCACTTCTCCTACTTGTGGAAGAAGAATAAAAAGTATAACTTTAGTCCTGAAACCATGCCATGTGACTTGTTATTTGCATTAAAAAAATCATAAATTACATATAAAATTATACATATAATAATGGCAAGCCTATTAAATATAATTTAGGCTGAGCCCATTAAATATAATTTAATTATGTAATTTTTTTCATCCTACTCTCCTTACAGTGTCCGAGCGTTATAGTTGCTCTGCCAGTAGCGCTAATACCCCTGAAGATCTTCCACAACCTTGCGAATATCTCACAGCGTGCTTTCAGGGCGTATAGCCTAGAGTCACAGGGTCTCATAGCGGGCTCAGCCCCTACTATTGCACGCTATCCGTTCAGCTGCCGCCAGGTGCGCCCTGGCCCGTGCACACTAGTTTTCGCTTAATTCTGGCCAATCAAAGGGCTAGAAGGGTTCACCCACCAACCGCCCAAACCCCCATTCCGCCCAACCAAAAAATCATCGCTTTTCATCATTAATTGCAACACAACCAATTAATGAATTTTATTGATTTCAGTGCCATTTTAATCGCATTTAGTCCCTCTTCAAATCTGCCACCATGCCTATCAAGAAGAAACCGATTATCAACTACCCTGACGACCCTAACGAGATACCGTACCACGAACGCTTGGAAATGGCTTGGGAGGCCTATATTGACTCGAATGGGAAGCTATCAATACGAAAAGCAGCTAAATACCATGGGGTTAAATAGGAGACTCTGCGAGATCGAATTAATAGCAATATAATATACAAACAAGTAGCAGAATCACAGTAGCGCCTGACTCTAATAGAAGAGCAAATAATTAAGCGGCATATTATATAACTTGAGGTTTGGGGATGGCCTCTAATAGTTTCCCAGGTTCAGAAAATGGCAAAGGAGTTTTTAATTACGAAGGGGGATCTACGGAAGGTTGGAATTAATTAGATACAGAAATATCTTAGACGCCATCCATAGCTCAAGGCTCGATTCGTTATACCATTAGATAAAGATCGAGTTATCTCAGAGGATCCAGATTAAATTTAATACTTTTTTGAGCTTTTCCAAATTATAAAAGACAAATATAATATTCACGATAACGATATATATAATATAGACGAGAAGGGTATTATAATAGGGGTATTAGCAAAGCTCAAAATTATCTATTCCAGGAAGCACAAAAAAACAAGGATAACATAATAAGGGAGCAGAGAATAGGTATTATTAATTAAGTATATATCTTTAAATAGAAGAGTACTCTCTCCGTATATTATCTTCAAGGCCAAGTAGCTTAATAAGGCTTAGTATAACGAATTCAGGAAGGACGGAGAGGGAACTTGTACTATTTCTAATTAAGGTTAGACGGACAATAAGCTTTGCCTTAAATAGTTTAAAATCGTCTTTAAACCGGAAACTACAAAGATCAAAAAAGGAAAGTATTAAATACTACTTTTTAATAGCCATAGATCTCACTTAACACGTCAAGTAGTCTCTTACTACTTGGAAAAGAAGATTATCTTACTTTGCCTTCCTAGCCATTCTATATATATCCTTTAACCATATAATATTAGTATTTTTAGATCACTTACGGACGCCTATTATAAGATTCTCACGAAAAAGACTCGATAGGGAGCTAGATATTCTATTAATAAACTCATGTTTTTGGAGATCCTTCATAAGGTACAAATTCAAGCCTTTACTAAGTACAATATTAAGAGATCTTGGGAGAAGACAGGGCTCTTTCCATTTAATCCTAAAGTCGTAATTAGCTCACTTCCAGTAATTATCCTATAGCAAGAGGAGGAGGCAGCTAAAGCAAAGGCACTTCCAAAACCTCCTAGTTAACTAACTATATCTAGACAACTAGCTCCCTTAATTATCGAAACTCCTATTAATATTAATGCCGTCAAAGTCATCGTCGAAGTATCCTTCAAGTCTAGCTTTAATAGCCTCAAAAGTACGCTTGGAATAGTTAATTTATTATAAGATTAATAGCTAAAAAATCTAGAGATTATGGTTCAAAAGCTTAGTAATTCCGCCACTACCATAATTATAGAGATAGTCCTTACCAAAGGAGTCAATAAAGAGCTTGTCAAATCGTCCGATTATTAAAAAAAATCGCAAGAAGGCTTCCGCAAAAGCCAAAAACAAGATCACCAATACAAGAGTCTTAAGCTTGGAAATAATGGATAAGGTAATACGAATTAAAGCAAAGCAAAAGAAGGTAAAGGCAGAGGAGCTTGCAAAGCAAAAGAGACTCAAGGCTATTTCAAAGTAGTGGAAAAGCCTCTATAATCAAACCTTAGTTGAATTCAGGAAATAGGGCCCTGAAATGCTTTAGGAGGTTAAAGATAATATAGATCTTGGGCATTAACTATTAATAGGAACAAGTTTATTAAAAGCTTTAAAAATACCAAGATATCGTACGAAGAAAGCGCCGCTAGCGAGCCCTCTAATCAAGTATATTCTCCCTCATATCGAGTTTAATAATCTCCCTGCTCCTCCTGCAAAAGCACGATTAACTAGTCTTCTCCCTCTTATACCTACGACTCCTCTATCTGCCCCCTCTCTATCGAAACGAAGATCTCCAGTAAAGCAATTGGTAAGACGAAGAACAAGAAGGGCAAAGGAGGCAATTAATAAGATAATTAAACCTCCAGAGACTCTTATAATTAGTGGACGAAGGAGTAAAAGGAGGCTATTCCACGATGAAATGCTTGTAAAGGGTCTAGCCAATTAGAAGGCATAGATATAGCATAAATGAAATGGCTATTTTTGAGCTTTTCGTAAACCGAAATTCGATTCTATATAATATCCCTGGGAAAGACACTTTAGTTCTACGTAGCAAGTATAAGGTACCTGGATTTAGGCTTATTTCCCCGCTAAATGTAAGTCACTAATTCTCCCCTGCAGGACTATACTCGTACAAACTACCTTATTTATGATTCTATTAATACTAATAGCTTTAGAAGATATTAGGAAACTAATTTCGGTATTAAAGATCAAGTTTTAATAGGAGTTTTAATAGTTATTAAGGAAGAATCAAAAATCGCGATTTTTTGGTTGGGCGGAATGGGGGTTTGGGCGGTTGGTGGGTGAACCCTTCTAGATTCCCTTATCAAAAGCATTAATTCTACCTTAATCTATGAAATACATTAAAACAACCACGATCTTTACATAGATATATATCGCATTGCTTGCACCCATATATAGAATCATGCCTCGTGCTTTCCCTGCCTTGATTCGATACGATTTGAGCTAGTGCAACTCGTTTTTTAGGCCGATCTGTAAACCGGAGCCCCTGACAGCAAATACACCTCCCTTTTTTACCAAGCTTAACTTGCTCATGTGCTCTAGGAGGCATATCACTAGCTCCCTGGCTAATATGTGATATTCTTCTCTTTGGACAAACCTCACTAGCCCTGGATTTAGCTACAAGAGCACCAATTAACTGCCTTCTAAAGTCTTGCTGGCTTCTAAAGCTTACTTGTCTAGGCTCTGGAATATTGCTATATAAAGCAAGTAAATAGTAATTAATTAGAACCGTACGAAGTAGCCAGTGCTCAAGTACTTGGTGCCCCCCTCGTCTCACGTGCCGTAAGCCAGCGTTCTGGACAGTCAAGTGATCAAACTCGTCCACAGCCCTTATATAATAATTATATCCGTCCGCAATTGCAGGAATCGAGAGTACTTTGACAGGCTCTTTACCAAAGGGCTTTCGTATAGTCTTTGCCTTAGAAGAAGTCTCCTTAGGCCTCTTCCTTAGCCTCTCAACTCGCTTATTACCTGATATAAAGGAAGACATCATTAAAACAAAGGCTTGATCTTTCCACCCAACGTGATACACCTCTCTATTAGGCGTATACATAGAATAGGTCTCTCCCCAAGGGATTATATCCTTTTTGTCTGATTTCTGAAGGTCAAGAAGCTCCTTAATAATCCTACCAGTGGTCCTGCAAGTCCCAGTAATTGTAACTCCCTGGGAGCGAGCATATTGGACAAAGCGGGTAGAAACAAAGAGATTATCGAGGTAAACGTGGTAGCCAGATCTCTTAGGAGGCTTAGGCAACCTTTGAATTAGGTACAGGACTATTGCTTGTGTCTTATTTCCCCCATTTCCAGCCTTAATTATCCCACCAAGCTCTCGTGAAGTACGTACTCCTACAGGCCCATTTTTTTGACCAGGAATATGCCAGTTCCATACGAGTAAGAACCTCCTTTGGGCTGCCCCCCAGACCTTATATCCTATAGGTATGGGCTTGTTTGGAACAGTAGTTATTTCTTTGGATCGACCTTCAAATCATACGATTATCTCATCGATTACCAAGTCCCGTCCAGGCTTCTAAACACCCAAATTAACCTCTTGAATGCGTGCACTTAAGGGCTCGACCTAAAGTACTATATATTAGCCGATATTAAGGTAAGAAACCGTCCATTTTACTTACCTTAGTATATGGTCCTTTAATGTTCTCTCCATATATTCTCATACGCATATGCAACTCCTGGAAGCGGTTCCTGCTCATATAGCTTGCAATTGGGTAATCAGGAGTAAAGTTCTTTGTATTCCAGTAATCGGAGATCTCGTTACATATATATAAGGTTATATATATCCGAATGGCTAAGTAGAGATAAATCTCTCCAGAGCAGGTTGGGTACCAGTTATTTGCTCGTGTGTAAGGGCAGGAATCGTCTTGAGGTTCTCGCAGATGCTAATTCGTCTTCTCGACTATTAAATCGATGATTTCTGGTATATAATACATAGTAAATAATGTAATGGGATCATTGGGAGAGGTATTCTCTGGTAAGGTGATTTCCCAATCCTAATTGGGCAATTGCATGGGCTTAAACGTATCCCCTTGCTTGCGTATTGGATCCTCGTTCGGCCGAAGGGTTCCTTTATCGGTAGAATCAAATACAGTGTCTTCTGGTATGGTGGTTGCGGTGTAATTGATGATTTAATTGATTTGTTTACATGTAAATACAGATTCAGGTTTTGGTGTTCCTCCGGAATAATCGTTTTTCCGCTTCCGATCAGGGCGCACCTGGCGGCAGCTGAACGGATAGTGGGTTTAGAGTCCCAACGCGCTGTATTCCCGACACTTTATACCGCGATCTCCGTATGTTGGGTTCGAGAGGGTGCCCAGCGAGCATGTCCAAAGCACGATCCATCGAGTTCTTTTTCTTCTACCAAATAAGAGCGTACAACGTAAGAAACTTCAATGGTATTCATAGCCATACAGTTTTGTATGTCCAGATGTTGATGTGGGCAATAAACCACTCTATTGAACCTGCGGTGCAATATTTGTTGACAATATGGAGAAACCTTGAATGTCACTTGAAATCCATTTCCTAGGTCTCAGCCAAACCCAAAGTTGAGGACAATCCGACCAGTTCTTGAGCTGACTTCAGGTCACTGTCGGGAACACATAAAAGGCATGTAACTATGCAAGAGCGCACTACGCCGATTTATGCCGAATGGGATCTGCCGGACAAGGTCATCTCAGATCTAGATCCACAAGCGACTTTTAGCATGCATCTTACCAGCGCAATGTTGTACGGAAAGGAGTCCATATGTTTCCTACTGTAAGAGGATTCGATAAAGTCTTCGAACTCCCCAATGCCAGCCCTTCAATGTCATGTTCTCGCTGGCAGTACAATAACGACATAAATCGCGACAGTGAGAAACAAAACAACCGCGGTAATAAATAGAAGATTGGAATTTAAAGAGGCCGTATGTGAGCGATACTTGGGACTAGAAGGCAAGACTTGAGTTCTTTGACTGAACTTAGAAGGGAGGGAGGAGTGTTCTCGAGCACAATTTGGAGCAAGTCGTCAATGCTACTGAAGGGTATACTTGGAGTCCATCTGATCTTATATGCCTAAGGCTGTTCCCCTCCAGAAGACCTTTGAGCTCATCTTTGTGGGTACCATTAAAGCAGCAGCACAGGATAGGAGAGACTTTTTCGTTTCGGGCGACAAGCGATAATGAAGGTTCCAAGAATGCAAGAGATGGGGCTAACATCGCAATCGCTATCTTGCCCTGTCCAAAACTTTTACGAGCAAAGCCCATTCTAGAAAGCCAGAGCTCAGGCCTTAAAGTTCGGCATGTCATCCTCCCTCTTCTTGCCCCTCCCATATGTACTTGAGAACCTCTCTCTCATATGTCCCTCAACCGTCAACGGCTCCCCCTCCACCGCACTCCCATCCAGCGGCTTCAACACACAATCAATATTTCCATCAAAGAAATAAGGAACACTATACCTATCCGTCCCGCTCTTATTAATAACCCTGTGTAAACTACTCTTATACCTCCCACTCGTCCACATCTGCAGCATATCGCCCACATTCACAACGTACGAATCTTTGTTGGGCGTGACATCGACCCAGTTTTTGCCTTCGCTGTCCCAGACTTGAAGGCCCCCGATCTCGTCTTGGAGAAGGAGAGTTATGGCGCCAAAATCTGTATGCGCGCCGGCTCCTAGCTGGTTTTCGGCACTAGTGGTTTGAGGTGGGTAGTGCAGAAGACGGATAGATGCTACTGCGTCGTTTGAGACGAATTCCTCAAATACTTTGGGACCGTAAGGGAGGCCGGCGGCGAGGATGTCCATGACGGTCAGGGACAGGTTGAACATGAGGTCGTAGTACTTTTCCATAGGCTCTCGGAAGACTTTCTCAGGCACCATGGATGTCGGCGGCCAGAGATTTGGTCCCATTAAGAACGCATTATTCTGCACCCTCGGATCCGTGGTTGGTATTTCCTTGCCAACGTAAAATCCCTAAACATCACCATCAGCTTTCTTCAATCCTTCAATCACAGACAGCGATTGAACAAACCTCTTTCAAATCAGGCAAAGTTCCCTCCTGTAGCCCTTGATTCCCAATAAGTTCATAGCCCCGGTTACTAGCCCCAACTGACTCGCCCTTGTCCAACTTCTTCTTCTCCTCAAACGGCAACTTGAAAAATGCAGCCGCGCCCGCAAAGACCTCGTCTTGCAGCGAGCGTGGGATCCCGTGACCGATTGATTGGAAGAATCCGGTCGTAATACATGCTTCCCGGACCTGGTCGACGATCTTCATGGCCTCGATTGAGGTTGGGTCTACGAGGTACGGATCGAGGTCCACCGTTGGGACATTGAAGCTAGAGCTTAGGGACTTGGTGACTGCCATTGTGCGAAGTAGGCTTAGGAAATGATGTCTCTTGTGGTATCGTACCTGGTTAGGAGGAACCGCAGTCGTGAAACCTGATGTTCTTCCATATTGATGTTACGGAGGTACAGCCCATAAGTATTACGACACCACCGCAAGGGTCTGAACGCCACGCGGGATTTCAACACTCATAACTTTTCCTATACACAGCCAAAAGCCTTTATTTAAACACTAAAATGACCCCCAAGAGGAGATCTATATATCTATCTATTTTTTGTGCTCTGGTAGTGCGTTTTGGTTATAACATTAGGTGGTAAAATTGAGATCCCTGCAAGTGGCGTCGTAATACTTATGGGCTGTACCTCCGTATGCCTGCCTTGCGTAAGCCTCATCAACCTCACCTTAGAGATTGCAAATAAGTAGGGCGGGGTTTTAGGCGGTGAAGTGTCAAAATCCAAAAAACTGAAACACTAGAATACCAAAATACCAAAACCCAAAACTACGAATTGCATATTACTTCAAATTAGGCATGTAATTATATGAAAATTATATTATAATAAGCTAGTTTCTAAAAAGTTATTATAAGGCCTAGTTTCAAGCTTAAAAAGCAAGGTAAAATAGCTCTTAACTTAATTTAATATAGCTTAATATATCACGTATAGGAAGTATATAATAGTTATAAAGTATATAGTTTTAATAAGAGTTATTTTTTAGAAAGTTATTAAAAAACTTTCTTTTTATATTAAAAAAACACTTTATTTATTATAATAAATTATTTTTAAAAAGCTGTTTCTTAAAATATTCTTTAGATATTATAAGAATTCTTTTTTAAAGAGTTATTTTCTAAATAATTATCTTTTAAAGAGTTTTTATATATTTTTAAAAGCCTCTTAAATAATAATTCTCTAAAATATATAAAGAGTTATATATATATTTTTAAAAAAGCTTTTTATAATAATAATTATTTAGTTTAATTTACTAGCTATAATAGTTATAGGCTTTAATATAATTTTAATATAATTACACGCCTATTTTTAAGTAGTATACAATTAGTAGTTTTAGGTTTTAGTATTTTAGTATTTCGGTTTTTTGGATTTTGACTCTTTGCCGTCTAAAATTCTGCCCTAAAACGACTATGTGCAGAGACATTGAGAGCGACAAGAAGGTTTTGAAGCCTACAGGATGAGTACGATAAACTTTCTTGAATGATAGAGAGATGCCAAGCTACGAGTTGCAGCCATTGATTAGTGAATAAAGTCCCGTAACCGCAGTGTCGTGGACGTCGAGGCAGTCGCCTCTCAAGTTGAATTCAAGGATCGTCGAATTATGCATGATCCTCAAGCAACGCCTGGATAAGATTTGTTTAAAGATCGCAAGGCGACTAACGAGCGCCGGCATTTAAGTAGAACGCAATGGGACATTCCCGTTGGGACGATTTCGACCTGGGAATTGCTCGATCGGAGTCGGAAGATGGCCACTTGGTCAGGGGGAAACAATGTTTTGTTTCCGCGAAGCGCTCAATATAAGAAACAAAGCCAGTGCCAGGTCCAATCGCTCTTTCGTATGGAAGAGAATGTTGTTGTTCAATCCAGCTTCGAAGAATAGGAATACATCTCTCTTCAATATTCTCTGTAGCATGAGTCTCGCTCTGGATGCTTTCTCGCACTCGGGACAATATTCCAAACTCCTCACTCGAGACAACACAAGGAACAATGACAACATAAAGTGGCTCCAGTGCAAATCGGGCGAATCCATTCATCCTATCTAGCAAGTTCATTTTTTCCCAACCCATCCATCCATCCCTCATCAGCACGCACTGTCCCTCATATCTGGAACACTCAAATATCTCAGCCAGAGCTCCTTGCAAGAGCCACACTCCGCTCGTTGGAGCGGAAAATATCAATCCAGTATCGTACACTCTCTCACCAATACACTCCCACCTTGCAACTGCTCACCCATTGCCGGTCCTCGTCTCGTTCCTGAGCTCACTTCCTCCCACCACTCTTGCCTTTCCCCTTTCCGGCACCCATAGCCCCCGGACCACCAATCCCAACAGCAGCTCCACTGCTACTAACCTCAATCAACCCCAATCCACTTCTTCGTCTCGTCTCGCTCCTCGTCAACCTCTGTCTACCAGCAATGCGCTCTTTGATTTTCTTGCCTTCTTCACCACCACCACAAGCTCCAGCATCCAGACCACCAATCCCAAGCCCAAATAAGCCTTTAACCTCGCAACCAATCGCCATAGCCAGATTATCCGACTCGAAATTTGTATCTTCAGCGAATTCCATGTACCGAATAACGACTCTGCACTTGCCCCGACTCATAGCAGCACGGATGCCCTCCCAGCGCGCAGCGTCCGCGGCAATCTGCTCGTAGAAGACTTCCCACCATTGTCCCTTGTACGGAGACACTACCTTCTTTCCGCCTTGCTCCGGGCCGAGCCAGTATTTCTCGTTCTCTCCGGATTGCTTGATTTTCGCCTCGCGGTCGGCATCGGATAAGCTTTCATGCTCGTCGCCTGAATAGAACGGGCCAATCCCGCCGACTTCCAGGAATGGCGGCAGCTCGCTCCCATCATCTCCGTTGAACATCCCACCAGTGGTATTATTGAATTCGAAAACCGGTAGGCCGTTATGGCTGAAATCGAAATCTCTCCTCTTGTATATTTTCTTGCCACCTTTTCTCGAAGAAGAGGGGAATTTGGTGCGAGATGAGAAGGATGAGGTGCCAGAAGAGGATTGGGTGTCGAGAGCTTCCGGGTACGCGGTGACGTTTTCGAGGGGGCAGGCGAAGACTAGCCAGCTTGTTGGGATTGGAATTTGGAAGTTTGGCGGAAGGGTGTAGTTAGAATTGGGTTGGGGGTGCACCAGAGAGGGGGTAGGCCATTGAGCAGGCGAGTTTGGGGGGCGAGTGCTTGGTGTGTGGCATGTTTGCGGCGAGTTCGAGACAGACGAGGGGTGCGAGATTTTGTTGTGCGAGGGAGGGCGAGTAGACGTGTTTTTGGCGTTGATGGTCAAAAGGGGTCGGGAGATGAGAAACCAGAGCCAGGTTTGGGTGGTTGGGATTTGGGTGCCGGTTGAGGGGTCAGTGGTTGCTGTTGGTCTGTTGATCGTTAGCTCTCTCTCCCTCTTTCTCTTTCTTTCCACTAAATAGAACACTCAGGGAGGAAAAGGGGGAAACAGAGGCAAAAGGACTTACAAATCGACTTCATAAAAATCCACCCTCTCTCGCGCCCCATCCGCAGTAAAATGACCCAACAACTTATTGCTCCAGGTATTATTTCGCATATCCGGGGTGAAGTCATGGAAAGAGATACTCCTGCACTCCATCTTGCGCATCCCGAACTCCTTGCCCTTGCTCAGAAACCATTCTCTCAATCCTTTTCCAGTTTGCGAATCGACGGATGGGCTGTTGAGCGGGGAGAGCGGGTTGATGAAGTGGAAGGTAGAGGGGTTGCGGGCTGTGGTGCGGGTCGAATGGCCTGCATCGAGAGAGGACGGTGGGGTGGGTAGGGGGACGTAGGCCGTTGGGCGTTTGATGTCTGGGAGGTCTGCATTACACATCAGCTCAAATCCCCTCTCCAGCAGCCATCCAAAACATCCGCGAAAAGAGACGAGAGAAAAGGGATGGACGAACCAAAAGCCAACTCATTCCTAACGCCCATAACGGCTTGCATCCGCCTGCTACTCGCCTGCACAAACGGCGTGCGGTCCCTAATATGATCCTCCAACACCTTCATCGCCTTTCTTGTCCTGACTTCGATACCCTCATCAAAATCCTCCTCCATTCTCCCGTCGCCTCCATCCAATCCACCACCACCACCGCCACCACCACCAATTCTACCTTGAACACCCCTTTCTTCATCTCGCAGCCGGCGTTTCGCTTCAGGCCAAGGATTCCCAACGCCACCAGCACCAATCATCCGACACCCGTCCAGAACAGGATGCTCGCTCTGGGAGTAGACTTTGTCGAGTGCTTGAAGGGTGGGGAGATGTGGTTCCAGCCGAGCGCGGCCTTCTCCGGGAATCGGCGGGGAGATTGGGGTGGTGAATTCGCGGGGTGGTGAGGAGGGGGGCGTGGGTGAGTTGTACGAGCCCACCGAGCTGTGCAGAGGGGTTGAGTAGTGGGCGTAAGGAGGGGAGGAGGTGTGTGGAATTGTGTGGGCGAGACGCGCGTTGAGGGTTTTGGCGTCCGGTTTGGGTTTGCGGCCGGAGGTTGAGGGGAGGGAGGAGAGTGGCATTTTGAGGAGGGATGAAAGGGTGATGGGATGGTGTCGGGATCGGTGTGTGAAGGCGATGGGGAGGGGTCGCCCCGCAAAGCGAGGTCGAGGTTGAAGCTGAGAAGAAGCAGCCCAGGGAAAAGGCTAGGGACTTGAATCGATATCAAGTAAGAAACGTCAAGAACGGCCGAGTCCTGATGTTTAAAGAGGATGGTGACCATCCGATACAGTTGATGTTGAGTTTTGTAAGAAAGGTGACAACAAGTCGTGGCAGGACGAGTTGGTGGAAGTCGAGATGTTAAGTATCGGACGGCAGGAACGACTATTGAAAAAGCTATCTCCGATTTTCTTTCAGGTCGAGACCCGAGTGAAAAGCGTTGTTTGTGTCGATTCTAATAATCTAATCTCGAAGATGGAGGAAGGTTTCCAGAAACATCAGAGGAATCGTTGTGGAGGAGGCGGGATCTTCTCTCCAGACGTAGCTGGAAGGATCCAGGCAGAATCGGAGTTCCAATGCCTCGGAAGTTGAGAGAAGGAATTTGTTGTGTGATGTAGAAGGAAGGAGGAAGTTGGAAGAAGTCTTGTGTAAAGGTGTAGGTGTACAGGGGAAGTGGTGAATATATCTCGGATCAAATTCAATCACTCTTTCTATCCCATGAACTTCTTTGGACGGAAAATACCAAAAGACGCGAGAAAGGAAGGCAGCTGGAACTTGCTTTCGGTGTGAAGTCAGCGCGAGGGGTGAATGGGATGTGTGCGAGAGGCAAATGATGTGAGGCAAGAGAAGCTCATGAGATTCAGAAGTACTAGCTGAGGTTGATCGTTCTGTTTTTCCTTCATTTCTTTCCCCAGAAACATAGGCTGAATCCTCTACCTTGATCCGCGGACCCTATTGAATTCATTTGCAAGGAAATTTCTCCTTCACTAATAGATTGCTGTGGAATTCTGGTAGGTATGAATACTCTCAGTGTGTGAAGAAAGACTTGACACCAGATACTAGAGAACGATCTGGATATTCCGAGAATATTTAAAGGCAGATAACGAAGCTAGAAGCAAGTATGAATGTGGGTGAAGCACGTGATATTCAACTTCAAGATAGACCGACACAAGCTGGGTGCAAAATATTCCATTTCCCCTAAACACAAGGACATTAATGTCCCGAGTAATTGTTCGCGAGTTCAGCACTGGGAGAGAAAAAGTGTCAAGGTGCTAAGACAGCAGGAGATTCGTTGTCTAACGACGTGAATCGTGAAACCATCATCGACATTTCCAGGCCTGTTAGAAAATCGCAAGGAGACAAGCCAAACTATGGGAATGAGCTTTCCAGGTAGATATTGACTGTATATTACTTGCACTTGCTAATCTCTTTCATTCAGCCGCGGCTTGTTGAGAAGTAGTTGCACTTGCTAGCACTTCTTTGCTCACCTGTCACATCCAGCTCACTTGCTGCCCCACCGCACGCGAAAGGGCTTTTCATGAAGCGTATCATTTGCTTCTTGAAGCTGATACCTCACGAAGGAGGTATCTGATATATCTCTAGCCATTAACATTACGCTTCAAGGGTTCTTTGAAATGCCACAAGCCCAGAACGCCGCGCTTCATCTATAGCTCTCATGCAAAGCCCTTTCTCAGGGCACAAAGCAAAGCATCCTCCGCATGCAATGCATATATATACAACAATGCCTTCGACCAAGAAAGTAACAAGACCCACTCCGAATCGTGATACAGGTATCTTACAGCCAGTACATAAATCCAAGCATCACACCTACGAGTCCCACACTCATCCCCGTAATCTCCTTGCTTCCATTCGAGCCGGATTTCTTCGTGCTCGTACTTTGGGCCCCCGTGCTCGTCGGTGTTCCCGTGACCACCGCACCGGAAGCATCAGTGCTCAGTGTCTGCCCGATACTCGGCAGCTTGACATCACCCTGCACCAGCCATCCTCCGGCAGTAGAAGTCGGGCACGCAGGCGGTGACAAGCTTGGCGAGTATGCTGAGCTCGCAATACCAGTGGGTGTCAAGGTTGCCCATTGGGATTGCAGATTCGCGTAGTCTGGTGTCACAGGGATGGGAGTACCTGTGCGGGAGATACCTGCGACGACGTTGGTGGCCACGACGGTAGCGGCGACGGAGGGACCGTAGGAAATGAGGCCGTAGTTGTTGGTTTCCTCGATCCATTCGTAGATAATCGCTCCAGACCAGATACCATTCATTTCCGGGCCAAAGATTGCAGACTGGTCGTCGAAGGTACGTGGTTGCACGGTGTTGCAGCCCGTCTCTGAGAAGAAGATCGGGATGTTGTAGCCGGTTGCGAATTGGTTGAGGGTATTGTAGCCGGAGGTCAGCATGTTGTTGTTTCCGCACCATTCGTATGCGTTCAGGCCGAACATGTCGATTGCTTCAGAGGCGTTGCTGCCACAGGCGAGATAGTTCTGCAGCATGGGCCGCAGCTCGGCGATATCTGCGGCAGAGTAGCCAACGGGGATCTTTCTGTAGCCTTTGCTGTCTCGGTATGCCTTTAGGTCGCGGGCTGCAGCTTTGACGTATGGTGCTGCGAGGGACTGGTTGTTCAGGGCAATGACTTCGTTTCCGATGAAGAAACCTGCGGTGTTGTCAAATGTGTGGAAGGCATCCATGACCTTGGCGTAGGCATCGAATTGGGTTTGGTTCCATGATGTATTGCGCTGCAGAGGAATTAGTGGCCGTCTTTATGACTGCTGGGAGAGAGGCTTACAGGATCGATAGCAGTGTTGAATGTCTCCAAGTCAACAAACAGATAGATTCCAGCAGCCGCGAACGCACTCATGCACCCAGTGTGGTCTCCGGCAGGATCGACGTGGTATACTCGAATGGCATTCGCGCCCAGGATTTGCATGGAGGCTGCATCGAGCTGGCATTGCTTGGTGTTGACCAAAGGGTCGGCTTCCGTCAATTGATACGCGATTCCTGTGCAACAGTTAGCTATAGTCGTACAGGAGGGGGACGGCCATACCTTTAATGAAGTATTGAGTTCCATTGCTGTAGAAGAACTTGGCTCCCACAGCTTCAATGGTGGGGACCGCATTGGCGGCGGCGGCGGCGTTGATGGCAAGGCCAGCAAGCAACCCAGCTGTTGCCAGTGCCTTTGAAAACATGTTGCCGTTCTGCGAACGAGGGTAGAGCTATGCAACGATGTCTGGATAGAATTGAAGCAGAATTGAGGGTATGGCTACGCGTCTTCGTGGTGGAAAGGTGCAGGCTGGCAGCGAGTGAGCGACAGGGAAGCTTGCCGTTTTGGACCAGCCTGGTGAAGTTTCCGTAGCGACAGGTTTTGCAGTGCGATGCAAACGAGTGTGAAGTCGCGATGGACTGTGCGAGGCTTCTTCCCGGTCTGGATCGCCGAAGTGCTGCAACTAGTGAAAGTGAAGCAAAAAAAAGGGAGAGGCGATAATGGTGTTGAAGAGGGCGAGGTGGAGGAGAGCACAGCCAGGGAGGTGTGAGTGAGTGAGGTGGTGTTTGGTTGGAACTTGGAAGTACCCCGGGCAGAACTCGCGACCTGAGTGGCCGGAACAAAAGCTGGGAAGTTCACACTGCAGCAGCATGCGATTTTTGCAGGCTTGCAGCACATTTCGATATCCTGCCGAAGCCAGCGGCGGCGCTGCTTCCTCTCGCTGGTCAATTTCTCGCTGTGGCGTCCCTGGCGCGCAATCTTCCTTTTCCCTGCAGCTGGAGAAAACAAGGCAGAAGCTTATCGGGTGTCTCGATTAGGCCCGATACAGATAGGCCGTCCGGGGGAGCGCGTTTGCCAGGTGGTGATTCGATCGCGTCGTGGCGGCGCAGAGCCAGAAGGAATCGTTGAAACGAAGTGCGGCGTGGCAGGCCGCAGGGGAGGGGTGAAACTATTTCGAGTTTCGGGAGCAGAACCGGGGCGAAATCATGTGATTGGCCTCGACGAGACGTCAGGGGTAGCGCTATAGGTAGTTGTAGATTATCCAACGTCATAGAAAACCAGTTGTTGTACCTTACACTGCATCATGTGATTTCACGAGAACCCAGGGTGAACCTGACTGATGATCCTCTAATCTCTAACGCCAAGGGGGAGGATGTTCTGAACATCTTCTGGACATACTGGGAGTTTTCATTCTGCGAACGCTGTGACGAGTGCCAATACCTACAGTAGAAGAAAGTGTTCATCGAATCAGGTGATTAGTCTGGACGAAAGCTCAGGGGCAACATCTTCGGTAGACCTCTCCAAAGTCTCGAGGAAAGGGCCAGCAAGCATCGATGTCCCTTCTCCAAATCGGCAACTGCCAGTCTGCTAAGGCTCTGACAGGTGTCAGTTGAGAACATTACATGATCGGATGTCAACCAGCTCGGAGAGCTGTCAGATCACCGAGTAGATCACCTCAAAAGATGGCACGTATTCTATGCGGGGAAAGTTCTCTCCCTCAATTTCAATTCCAAGTCCGCGCTACTACCTCCACGGTCAGGCTACTAGGTAAAGCCTAACTTACAACAAATGTGGTCGTACGAGTGGATGTTCACCACGGGCGAGAATGGCTTCTTGGTTCCAGTGGGGGCGGGGTTGACTGCGAGGCTCATTTGTGACTTGGGCTTGGCGCTTGAGGCTTGAGAGATTTTTCATTGTCTCGCCATCATGAACTAGCTCGAGTTGAATCCTGTTACTTCAATGTTAGATCTGTGATCCCTTGTCAAGTTGTCGGCGTGGTTGTCCCACCGTTTGCGTTCTCGATAGGAAACTTATCGCCGTCATCGACCCGGAGGTTGAGAAGGTGACCTTGCTTATGGGCATCAGGCAATGGTAAGACTCCGCGTATCATCTTCCAGAACCTTGGATATTGTGGCCGCTTCACCGGACATCTTAGGGGGCACATTATCAAGAATTGCAGCTCGACTTGCGACTGAGAGAGGCAACGTGAGCGCAGCTTCAATATTTCAATCATTACCTTCCATAATCACATCTACTCGTCCTGATCCCCTGGAAGATCCCGCGAATGCTGTCCATCTCTGGCCGGTGATCAACCGTCTGGCTTTACAAGGAGCCAAGAAAGCCTCGACAATGGCGGACCTGAAAAGTACACGGCAAGAACTTTCCCAAATTGCTAAGACATTGACCGCTCAAAAATATCACCTGTCTTCTGAAACATCCGCAAGCCTGCGAATCAGGTCAGGACGTGCTTCAAATTCTGATCTGAGTTGGCTCCTGAAGGCGATTTCCACCATTTATATGACCTCAGTAAATGATTACCCCCAATCGCTAATCAGCTTGTAAGATTTTGAATTGCTGGAGCATTTATAGGATGCGTTCTTCAAACCTTGTTGTGAGTGACCGTTATTTCATGTATAGAACAGTCTGACGTCTCAGGTTCATGGCCCCACAACTTGCACTTGCGTTGATAAGCGTTCAAGCTACAATATCTAGAGCTCCATCTCGACTACTCAGCAGCAACATTATGTTTGAAGATTGCCTCGACCAGATCAGAAGCCTTGAGTACGCGTGTTTCCGACACTGGGAGGTATGGCTCTTAAGCTTTGACCTGACTTGTGGTTGTATACTAATCCCAAGCAAGGCATTTCACGCGATGGTTCTGTAGGAATTCGAGGGAAGACCTTGGGGTTCATTATTCAGGCAAAAACAATTCCACATTCTTAACGTCGATGGCATTGTTATTACTCATTAGAATTGGACAGAGACTGTGACCCCAAGGTCATCGCTGGCTGTATTTATAGCCCCATCCCTTCCGTTCTTTTAATTCACTCGTGACTTAGGATCCTTCAATACTGGACATTTTGGTTAAGTTATACTAATCCTTAAACTTGCAGATGCCAATGATGTTGGGGAACTTACGAGTCCGTGATCGTTTGTGTCCCCGACCTAGCTGTTCTGGCTAAGGGGCTCCTGTTACGGTGATGCAGCCCATTCTGCAATGGTACCTTGACCCGAAGAAAGACAATCTCAAACCAAGGCTGATATATTTTGAAGTCCCAAGTGTGAGCTTAAATTCACACCTGTGAAAAACCCCGGGTTGTCGAACGGTTGGAGAAAATCCCAGATACGTTCTTCAGAAAGCACAGACAGTTCGTCTAAATCCAGCAAGATAACATAGACTACTACAGACGATATTGAGATAATATTGTCGAGCCTGTTCATTACCAGAGATCCTGAGCTGCTGTGCCGGCAACAGATACCGATAACATGGCCGAATGGCGCCTCAATCAAGCAAGACTTCAGTCCCGCAAGAGAGAGCAAGCCGAAATTGCTCTTTTTAAAAGAATCCACATCCCAGAATGTATTCAAAAGGTCTCTTTCTGGCAAGTCTCGATAGTAGTATTCCAATCTTAGCTTAGATACGGCGATGTTTGTTAAAGCCCGATGGACCCACTTTATCATCACCGCAGGACTTCAAGGATCCAGTGAGTCTGAGTCAGAACAACAATCTCAGCTTTGAAATATTCTGGCCAATATTCAACTACATACAAGCCGTATAGGAAGAGGGCCAAGATTGGAGTTGGCGGATCTTCTTCCATTTACAGAGCCCGGATGGTACCTTGCAGAGCGAACGCTTCACCTATTTTCGAGAGTTATACTCCTTATGTGGCTATCAAAAAGATTTGCATCACTTAACAGACACGGCTGGATACAGTCTTCGATGGAATTGTAATCATCAGCCAGTGGAATTACCCGAACGTCGTCGACTTCTACGATGTCGTCTGGATGATTAGAGATAACCAAATTTGGAATACGATGGAGTATGCAGATTGCGGTGCACTTACAGATTTAACCGATCACCCCTAAATGAAAATAATGCGTGAAGGCCATATTGCTCAGGTTTGTCATGAGGTATGTTCTTCCTAAACATCTTCGTCATCTTTGGAAAAAGTGATCCGCCAGAATAAAACATTGATCGAAACAGGTTGCCCAAACACTTTGCTACCTTCACAGCCACAATATCACTTACCGTGATGTTAAAAGTGGTAATGTCCTCCTCTTTAACAATGGAGATGTCAAAATCAGTGAGTTATCCCCAGTGTGTCAAATAATTTAATTAATTATAATTATTGGCCGGTAATCAAATTCAATTAAGTCGGAATCGTAGTAATCAAATTGTAATTAATTATTTGCTTAATTTAATTAAATATAATTAATTACTGGATCACGTGTTAGTACACGTGACTACAAAGATAATATAAGCGTTATGGCGCAAAAGTAAAGCGTATTTTACCCTAATTTAGATATCGCCTTACTATTATAGGCTTAATAGCTAGTATCCCGCCTTTACTCGCTTTACTTATCTTTGTAAATAAGTACTATAGTAGGGGTTTTGACTTCTCTAGTCACGTGGGTGCGGTCATGTGATATACAGAGCAAATAATTCACATATATATTACCTTGCTTTCCTTTTCTCTTCTTTGGAAATCAATTAACCTTTACTCTCTTTATACTTTAGTCGTATATTATTTAAAGAAAAAGAAGAGAAATTATTACTTATATAACTTTTATATAGGTTTCACGTGATAATTAGAAATATTTAATTATATTTAATTATAATTTTTCTAATAAATTTTTTTTAAAAGTCGATAATCAAATTATAATTAATTATTTACTTGATTTAATTAAATATAATTAATTACCTTAATTATTTTTTTGACACACTGGTTATCCCCTTTAGACAATAGCGGAAAGGACCCTCTGGATATTTAAATTGATTTATTCTGGCGGACTTCAACCTTTCTTCAACAAAGGACAAGTCAAATTCAGTGTTTGGAACTCCATATTATATGGCTTCTTAAGTTATAAAGCGAAAGGAATACGATTCAAAAGCCGACACTTGGGGACTTGGCATCATAACCATTGAGATGATGGAAGGAGAACCACCTTATCTTGATAAAGAACCGCTCCAAGCTCTAGACTCAATCGCTGCCAACGGGAAGCCTCGCTTCAATAGTCTGGAGGGCTAGAGCAGAGGTTTGAAGGAATCCCGCCACTGTACCTTGCGTGTGGATGTGGGGTCCCGAATGGATATGAGACAGGTCCTCCAACATCCCTTCCTCGATGGAGCTTGCCCAAAAGCAGAGCTACAATGTTTTATTTTGTCAGCAAGAACGAAGGCCGCAACAAGTGGTACAAGTGCTCATTTCGGCAATTTGATGGAGTAGATGTATAGGAGTTTTCGCTCAATGGTGTTGCTAGTTCGTTCCTTAAAATGCAAACCAAGGTTTTTCGAGGAAAGCACCTGTTTTAGTCCAATCACGAATAATCCCATTCACGAATGGCACCCTCCTCTTCGCTAAAGATTTATGCCATTCGCGAATGGAACGTGCCAGTAAAGAATATGGGCTCATAACCGCGCCAGTCGAGAATAGCTCCTACCGCAGCCCTAATAAATATACTAGCCGATGGCGCTATTGCTAACTTACCTTGCTATCTCTTACTTATTACACTGTTAACTTCTTGCCTTCCCTTTCACTTACTCACGAGCTATAACTTCTTTTTAAATCTTATTATTTGTCCGATAGCGCAATACTTAATAATGAGTAGAGCAGGTAAAGCTCGTGGGGTGGGTTAGTAATATTTAATAGTAAGGTCAGTGATAAAGTTAGTGAGGAAGCTTAAAGGGTATTCTTGCGTAGCTATGAGCTCGTATTTTTAGCCGGCATATACCATTCGTGAATAGACGTGCCGGTCAAGAATACTATGCTATCCGCGAATGGCATATGCCCTTTGCGAAGGGGAGCTCATTCTTGATTGGACTAGAATACATCACGGAGACCTTGAAATATCTAGCGAAATTGCAAGCATTAAGATGAGGCTTCAATTGAGAGACTCAAAGAGGGACAGTTCCGGCATTCATGTTATACTTGTTGATTCAGAGCTAGTCGAAGCAGCTCAACCGGTGATTGGACGAAAATATTTCCTTGTGGTGGCTGTGCTGACAACCTTCACGACAGCCGAGAACGCGTCGATGCCACTCGTTGACTGCCTGAGACCGAGTATGCCCAGAGTCAGGAAGCCAGGCTGCATTGTGCGACCGCACAACGGAGCCAACTCGTCTCAACCCTGCGATAAAACCCAGCACTACCCTCCATAAAATGTGATTCTCTTCCACCTTCGCAGTGTTTTTGCCATTTCATTCTGAACTGGTGATTTTGGGCCTCCTGGCCCATATAGATACTCTCCATGCAGTATGACCGAAGCATTTGGCATAGTCGCAAGCGGAATCAGCGTCGCGTCCCTCGTTATCCAGATTGTCGAAAATCTCAACAAGGTTATCAACTTCTGCGAGTCCATCAGGGAGGCTCCAACGGATATTCAACGAATTCTCACAGAACTACACATCCTGTCCAACATCGTCTCAAATATACAACTTGTGCATGAGAAGCGTTCACTTCCCGAAAGTAGCGAGGCTACGACAAAACAATGTCTCGGCCTCGTCAGAGATGACATCAGCAAACTATCAAGCCTCAGTTCGGATCTCGAACGAAAAGTGCACTCTGATAAGAGACTCACCCGTACATGGGCTCGTGTGCAAACTGTGCTTTCCGAGAAGAAGATTGCAATGCTCAGAGGTCAACTTGACGGTGCGAAGGGAACACTGCAATTATTGCAATCTTGTTATATATTGTGGGTTTGGCATTCCTTTGCATGGCGCAAAATGCTGATCAAACGTCGATAATCAGTCAGGATCTCCGAGCTCTTAGTTCCCTGTCCTCCAAAACGCCAAAAGACTTAGGTTATTCTTGGGAGACAGGTCAGCTGGAGGATCATGTCAAGGTTGATGATGGCTTAGAAAAGCCCTTTTACTTACCGATTGATCTATGTTCGACTCCGAAGGTAACATCCAACTCAATCGTCCTCTTAATTGTATTGACGAGCCCAGGACTTTATCAACGTCCTCTCTGTAAAGTACAGGTCAAGAAAACTCCCGGGATTGTCACAAATACAGCGAGGTCATGTTGGAGCTTTCAACTGGAGCGAAGACACCTACATCAATGACGACAACTGGGACTCGATGATAAAAGGTGGTCGAGGGATTAAGCTGGCTTTCATCATGAGTACTTGGCACGGCTTTCCGCTGGGCAAGTGTATACGATGTTACAAACCAAGGGGTCAGAATACATCGGGACGAAGATATACAAAATGGTGAGTTCAAAAACCTTGCCTACCTTCACTTCAGAGTAATAAATTGTTAGTTCTTCATGTGGCCTAGAACTACGCAGGGTAGAGCCCGATGCAATTCCATTCGAGGTAACAGATGTATCAGAAGGATTAGGTTCTGATGAGTATCGAAATTACCGTGTAGCCTCCAGGAAGAGGATAAGTGCAGGGACTACCCGTTCCATTCCAGAGAGAGGCCCTACGGCCGCGACGACCAATGGTACTACCCATGACAATCCACCAATCGATTTTGTCTGCAGACGTCTCATCGTAAAATGGGAACCGGTATTCAATATTGTTCATCGTTACCTCCACTGTCGTTGCGTGATCCGGCTATCAACCCCTTCACACATAGGAAAGGAGCTGACTCTCTTGACCTTTGCTGAGTGTCCTAGGCATAACATAGGAAGTGTCTGTCACCTCGATTATGGAGATACCATCGACTCCCACCAGGACCAGTACTTCGAGCGATTTGGGGGCTACCGTTCCTTCCAAGGCATGATTCATTATTTCGCACCCAATATATATGAAAGTCTGGGCGGAGAAAAACTCCTGCCTGCTGAGCAAGTCGACGAAGCGCTCAAAGCCTTAGACGAGTTTCAAAAAACCAATGAGGAAGGCTTTCGCAAAGCGTTTCTCGAATACGCCTTTGAGGTGAATGATATGCTGGAGAGAAATGGCTTCCCGTTGCCTGAACAGGTTGAACAAGCTGTTAGGGATGAAAGGCTCCGACGAAGGAGTGCGAAAGTTGTGAAGAACGAAGAGCTTGGACTTCACGACTTCACGGATTTCAATCTAATCGAACTTCAGCGGAGTCTCCGCGATAGTCCAATGGTACGAGAACTACATGAGATACTAGATGGGAAGTGGTCGGGGAAGCCGCATTGGGTAATTGAGGATGAAGAATAGCGTCGCAGAACTAATATCCAACGGACAACGCTTCTCAGACCTTGGTAATCATGCTCGCTGGAGCATGCGCAAAATTCAGCCCAGAAACTGGCCAACAACTCAGGCAGCAACCATTGATCATCAAACTCCCATCGGATAGTTGTAAGTTAACTGTCCACAGCAAGCCCTCCTAGTATAAAACGCCGACCTTCCACCCTGAAGCGCGTACAACTTATGATAGAATCCAGCTTGCACATCCTCTGGCGGAATAGGCTGATGCATAGTAGTATGTTCATCGAAAGCAACGAAAGTAAGACTCGAACCCTGAGGGATATCACCCGCCACAGCAAGAGAGTTAAATGTACTCACTGGGTTTGAGGATTTGTGTAGTTCTCGGTACCAGCGAGCAAGATGCGGAAATTCTTGTCGCCGAGATAGTTTGATATCGGACAACGAAAGGAGTTTGGGTTGGGAAAGGTAGTTGGTTGGCACAGCTGGCGCGGTAATGTTGACTACGGAGATCGCGGCATAAAGTGATGGGATTATAGGGCATTTCGACACTGAGCCCACTATAGAGCCCAATTCATGCGTTGCCCACGCTATAAGGCCCTATATCTCGAGGCTATATACCCTAGAAATATGCTGTGCGACATTTGCAAGGTTACAATTGATAATGTTTGAACGTAGGAGGTCGCGAGGGTGAAAGTAGTTGACTCGTTGCATAATATTTAGTTTAAGGGCTGCCCTACCTAGTATTATTATTATTATATATCCGAAAGAGAGTCGAGCGCGAAAATTACTGCCTTGGGCGGACAACCCTGGTTTGGGAATGCTACGCGAGCTGAACAGGGGGGTCCATAGGGGTTGGCAGGGGCACACAGATATTGTATTTGTATTGTTGGTTGTGCATTTGCGCATTCGAAGTTGAAAACACCAAAATCGCCTCAGCTAAAAAACGCGTTTTAAAGCCAGTTATTCATATCGCTGTAAGCGCTCGCTATTTTAAGATCTTACATTGCGGGAAACTATTTTCATGAGTTATACGCGACATGGTGTGTTCACTCGCTCGCCTCCGCGCGGCTGACCTACTGTCTAAAGAGGCGAGAAGCGAGAAGCGTTGGTTCCTCGGGCCCGGGTCCAGCAACTTCTCCTGCTTTTATTGAGATGTTGTTTCTGTGTGGTGGTACAGACCCTTCGCGATGTTTCATCCTTCCATTATGTTGGCATCCTACGTTGATGGAGACTGCGTTTTTTAACAACTTGGGGGGCCCGGAAGGTCGGAGGAAGGGACGAGTTGGTCTCGAAATAGTAACGGCGGCTGGAGGTATTCGAAGCCGGACGTAATCGAGGTTGTGTATATAGAGTGGAAGTCCTCCCTTCAATTATAGCATTAGTCGAATATCCATTTCCTTCTTTCACATTTCCTTCTCGGGTCTTTTCCCTACGCACGTCTTTCATCATGGTTTCCTCCTTGTATTTTAGGGAGATTCTTCTCTTTTCTCTCGTCGGGAGTTCGGTTTCTAATAAGGTTCATCTCAAGGCTCGACAGGAGTACGGCGGGTCAGTAGGCGCCATTCCACTATGTGTTGCTAGTGCCGAGGGCACATTGTTTACAGAGACCTCTGGCGTCCTTCCAACTGCCGGCTGCCCCGGTGTGCCTGGGGCTGCGACTGGGGCTGCTAGAAGTACTGGGGCAAGCGTTACTAGAGGTGCACAGCCAACAACGACTATAAGCGTTTCTCCATCGCCAGCAGGGATATCGAGTACAGACTCCCCTCAAGGACCGGTCTCAGCAGCACCATTACCATCCTTCATCACCATCCCCGCAGCGGCCTCCGGATCCAGTGAGACATTTTCACAGACAGTTTTCCCGGATCTCGCAACCCTCACTATAATCGAGACAGTCACAACCGGTATCGTTCAAACGGATGCAAGTGGAGGGACAACCACAGTTCAAGGTCCAATTGTCGTGGGTCCCGGCGGTATCGGTTTTATCGGACAAACTGGGGCTTTGCCTACAGGTGTCAGCATTGATGGCAACGGGAATACTCCAGGAGGGTCGAATAACAACAACCCAGGGGGGGATAACAGCAACCCAGGGGGGGACAACAACAACCCAGGAGGGGGCAACAACAACAATAACAATGATGGCGATAACAATCCCTCGACTCAGTCGACGCAACAAGAGAGCACAAGATCCGCATTATCTACAGAGGCATGCATTCTCACCGAGGTTGCTTGTACCCAAACATGTACGGTCATCTCAAGCTCCGGCGATTCAGCTCCCACCACCTCTTGCGGCAGTCCTGGATTGTGTCGAAGACAGGCTGGCGGCGGTGGATGTACTTCCACAACAGGCACAACCACCTCAACATCCTTTACAACTGCCTCGGCCTCAGCCTTTATTTGCAAGGGCGGTTCGTGTTTTGGCGCTGTCTGTGGAACTTCCGCCCCGAATATAGCGCCAGCTATAACCACGAACGCTCCGGGCGATCAGATCCCAAGTCTTGCGGATTTGCCGAACCCGGCATCCAAAAGAAGTCACAGAAGAATCACAAGAGTTGATAAAATTATCAAGCGGGTCGGGGATGTAAATGCAGAAGACCCGACATCGATCAGACAACTCGACTTCACAGATCCAAACTCGTTGTATCCAGATGAAACCAATGGCCTATCTGGTAAAGGACGGTGGTATACAAACGCCCAGACGCTTGTGGAGAGCCAAGGGCCGGGCAATTTAATTTTCGCTGTAGGAGAGGACCAAAAAGAAGGGGGCGCCTCGTCGACGAAGTTCAACTATGCAGACCTGCGGCAACATGCCATCACCACGGGAAGCGGTCCCTCCTGGGGCTGTACCAGTGTGTTGGTTTATTCTGAGCGGGGGGTATGGATTGCACACTTCTGGGAGCTGGAGCAGATGCAAGCCGCCGACTTCAATAGCGAAGTGCTTAACTTCATCCGCTCGGGCGATCCAGGAAGATTCGAAGGGCTCAGCGACGTGGTCCCCTCGCTCTTTTCGGGACCGTCACCCGGGGAGGAAGAGGGAGAGATCGTCGAAGTCCCCGTCTTCTCAGGTGCCGTCATCTTCACGCCCAGCTTCCGCCCAAGGAATGTGCTGCCCCCAGGTTCGCAACGTACGGACCCCATTTACAGCGACCAGATCAACCAGATCAAGACCGTTTTGGTCAACCAGATCCCCGGCTTCACGCTCGCGAACATGAACCAGAAAATTAACGTCGCGACATATCAGCCTGTTGAGAACGAGGCCGAGATAGTATTCAATCCATGGCTTGGTCTCCTCACATTCGAATACGTGCCCCAGCACGTCTCGAACGACAACAATGCGTGCGAAGTCCTTCGCGCCATCCGCATCCACATCCAAGATGCCATCCAGCCTATCATCCCATGGAACTGGCCCGATCCCTCCACAAACCCCAACGCGGCCGGGCCATCGAAATCGAAGAACAAGCGGCAGGGCGCGTGTCCCGTCAACCTCCCCCAGATCCTATCGGCCCAGGGCGATGGCACGGCCGAGCCCGCAAGTTTTTTCGATATCAGTACGCCTGTAAGTGGAGTAACGGGTGTGACCTCACAAGTCGGACCAGCATCAGGTTCAGGTTCAGCATCGCCGCCAGCATCACCAACATCGCCAGCTGCGCAACCAGCTGCAACGACGAGTTCGACTGCGGCGGGTTCTGTACTGTGTAGTAATTGGGAGCTCGGCGCGAACGGCGTGCAGGTGGGGACGGACTGTGATGGGGATCCGAATAAGACGGTGACGGTGACGGTGGCGCCGGGGAAAAGGGCTGTCAAGACGGTTTTTTGAGGGGGATAGGGGGGTGTGATGGTGGGGAAGGGGTTCGGTTAGGTATTGGGGCGTTGAGGAAAGGATTCATTTTATTCATTCGTGTATCCGGCGTTATCACATCATATCATAGCAATCTGAGATTGAAATCTATAAATTTATACTGGCACCGTCGAAATCCTCAAACCCAATGTGCACCACCTTATGGGAATCGCGGCATCTGATGGGTGCTGAGTCAAGACTAATGCGATGTTGGTGATGTATTAATAGGATATTAAGCCTCATTAATTCATTGGTCTACTCCGTAGAAGATGTATTAATAGGATGTTGCAAGCCTCATTATTTCATTTGCCCACAGCGGTGAACGGTGAACCGCAACCCCTCCTCGCGCTGTTTTAAAGTTAGCAAGTATCCCGCCACCATCCTCTCACACCCTAAAGGTAAACTAAACTACTAAACTATCGCTCTCCTCGCGGGACGAAAAACAACCCAATGGCAACCTCAAGCCCAAACTCAAATCCCGCCCCATCCTCCCCAGAAGAAGCCGAAAAGCTCATCCGCCACATATGCCACCACGGCTACCGCACGAACGACGAAATACAACAAGCCATCGATTCGCATTTCCTCCCCCACGCAGACCAAATCCTCGCTCTGCATAAGACGACCCATTTCACCGACAAGCCCCCCTTTGGGTCGGTGGTTCCGTGGGCGCTGGGGAAGAAATGCTATCCGCTCCTGCGATATCTCATACATAATGGGTGGGAGATGAATCGGGAGCGCGAGGGGATGAACGGATGTCCGTCGTTGCTAGGGTACGTACCTTTCATACCTATTCATATATATATGTATTTATTATATTATTCATCAAGATATACATTAAGATTCCCTAAAATATACTCTGCTTATATATGCACAGCGCACTCCCTGTCCTACGAGACATAGATCTGACCCGCTTCCTCCTCGCCCAAGGCGCGGACCCCCGCGTCGGAAACACCCCGCCCCCCTACCCCCGCACAATCACCCGCGGCTCCAAAGGTTGGCTCCTCCACCTCGCCTCCATGTTCAGCAGTCTCGAGACCTTCACGCTCTTGCATTCACACGGGGCAAACCTATCCTACGCGCACGCCCTCCACGGCGCCGCCTCCGCTGGCCCCTCGCAAATCCCTATCATCCGGCACTTGCTGGATAGCAAAGCCGTCGATGTGGATGAGCTTGACATTTATCATGCTGTGCATCAGGGGACGCCGCTGCTTGCGGCGATTACGAAGGGGCATGTAGAGGTTGTAAGGGTGCTGCTAGGGTATGGGGCGCATCCGCTGGCGTGTATCAAGACCCCGTATGAGTCGAGTGCTGAGGAGTCGGCGAGGGCGTTGGGGAGTAGGGATGAGGAGGCTTCGAAGGAGATTTTGAGGATGTTGGAGGAGGCGAGGGGAGAGAGAGAGAGGGAGGGGAGGTTGGGTGGTGTGCCGGTTTCGGTTTTGGTTAAACCTAGGTCGGGTGCGTCTGGTGCGTCTGGTGCTTCTTGAAAAGGAATTGGGATGGCTTGGTAAAAGGACGAGTATTTATGAAGCAGTTGTATCTTGAAAACCGTTTGTCGGAGGGGTGGTTTAGCGGGTCTTAATTCCTGAGGGGTGATAGTTTATTTAGCATTAAAAGATTAAAAGAGGGATTTAAATTATCTAATACTTAAATATTAATTCCAAAGTACTTTAAGCTTAATTATTTTCCCCGATATAGTTTAAATAAGGGCATTTAGATTTCTTCTAGGGGAGGAGGTAATGTAATAGGTAGTATAATTACATAATTTGCTGCAAATATGATACGAGGGGAAACGCGCCTAAAACGGGCAAGTAAGCTAGAGGTTACTAAAAAACCACTAAAGGTCAAAGTATTCCCTTCTCCTTTACTCTCTAGCTTAGTATTTTTAATACATGAGATTCTCTGAACTTTGTGCCTCGGCCATTGCATTAATCCCGCCGTCACAATTGGAGCAACTCTATGTCTTTTTGCCTTGAGCGTGGCCCCTTGCTAGCGCTGGACATGTCTCAGGGGACAAAGGGATAGACATCAAATAACCCCTATTACCCTCGAAACCCCCTGAAACCCCCTGTACAGCTGCACAGCTAAATTGCCACTGTCTGCTCTGGGCACGCACCCATTTCCAACAGAGATAATGCCCCAGCATGACTACGATGGTAAGCCATCCTGTCGCAACAAAGGCGATAACAACCTCTGACTAAAAGACGCGTTAGAGCATTGCAACAAAGACAATAACAAAGAGGGCTCACGGACTCCCATTCCAGAGATATTGGTATAGAGCTGAACAGTTCCAGGATCAAATGAACATTTATACGAACAATCTGAAGACATTGCCGGAAATTGGGTTCTAAAGGCAGGATGAGAAACTATCCCACACGTTTCGAATTCTTAAACGAAAGGTCTGCTCTGCGTTCTTTTCTCGGACCGGCCAACACCAGTGTGTCAAAGAATTAATCAGATTAATAATGATTAGATTAGATTAGAATATGATTAACGTAATTCAGATTTTTTTTTTGATTAGATTAGAATAATTAATCAGATTAATCAGTCACGTGACTGTAGTAAATTAACGTTTACTTAATAATTATTAGATAACTAAGGTATCTATTAAGTAGCCCTAGTTAAACTAAGCTAGGGCTTATATAATAGTAGCTAAATACTAACTTTTAATAATAATAAACTAGTTATTCTCTTCGGAATCTCTATATTCCCCCTTTTATTATTTGGCTTCGGCTCGCTTACTAAGCGTTACTGCCCCTAATTAACGTAGCGCTAGAGCCAGAGCGGGCAGGAGCGTTACCAGATTCGGCTAGTGCTATCACGTGTTAGGGTCACGTGCGGGCTAATCAGATTAATCATAATTAATCTAATTAATACGTGATTAGAATATGATTAATGAGTTTTTTTCGTGAATAGATTAGATTAATGGCCATTAATCTAATCTAATCTAATCATTTGACACACTGGCCAACACCAGTGACCCAGAGCCATTCATCGCACCGAAAAATGCGCGAGGGCCTACAAGACAAATGGTAGTGGCGAGTCTGGATATGCGTGCAAGTTTCCGGGCGTTGTTCCAATGATAGCCCAGAGATTTTTAAAGCACATTCTAGGCGTTGACATGGCCACCACTGTTTCAAATCGGCACCAGTGAACATGAAAACCGTTAGACTTCCAGATACAGACAATATTCAAGTAAGTGTCTCCACTTGAAGAACTTCTTGGGCATCATCACGCCTTCTATTGCTTTGCTAGCGGTGCTTCGAGAGCAGCGTGTGATCTGTTGAAATTAGGGGCCTGAGGCCCCTAATAGGCTTAGTAAGCCCTGGAACCGAACGCCATGGGGCTGTGCACTAGCTTAATACCCTGTCCAGCTGGAATACCCTGTATAGCTGGAATACCCTGTACGGCTGGAATACCCTGTATAGCTGGAATACCCTGTACGGCTGGAATACCCTAGCTGGAATACCCTGTACGGCTGGAATACCCTGTATAGCTGGAATACCCTGTACGGCTGGAATACCCTGTATAGCTGGAATACCATGTACGGCTGGAATACCCTGTATAGCTGTAATCGGTTCAGCTGGCATAGGGATTTAGTACATGTGACTTAGGGGGTTCAGGGCTATATATACGGGCTACTTACCACTGTAGAACAGCAGTCAATTCAGTACGTTTTACTTGGTTTACATTGCAAGCACGTGACCCTAGCTATATTGCTTTAGCTAGTTCAACATGATCCTCCGGCAAGCGAGATCAGCTGCTCTGGAGCAAGGGAGCTGCAGACGCCACTCCTCGGCACACTTTCCCCAAAAATGTCAACACACTCGAGGTCCATCCCTTTTCAAGTGCAACTCACCACGATTTTTGGGCTGTCTTGTAATGATGTATGCCCTTCACGAGTGATGTTGAAGAAGGGAAGTCCCTCGTCAGCAATTCCTTCCCTGTTTCATCTCACTCAATCGCCCATGCCGCACACCCCTTCCTTCCCTCCGGGTATTTCGATGCATGGACTAGACACATCATCAGGCACCACAAGTACCCCGCGAACAGACTCATGGTAGGTCTAACGAGTCTGTGAGGTATATAGGTAACTTGGCAAGCTGCGAATGCTCCTTCCTTCGTGGGTTACACTCTGTGCAACAGATCAGAACGATTGAGCACAATCCCCCACTTCTCTTGTCTCTCCCTTCACCATCCCCTTCTCTCACTCACCACCAGCACAATGGCCATGAATGTGGAAGGCAAGACAGCAATCATCACCGGAGCAGGCTCTGGCATCAATTTCTCCTTCGCAAAAATCCTCCTCTCGAAAGGCTGCAACGTTGTCCTCGCAGACCTCGCCCTCCGTCCCGAAGCAGAGGCCCTGGTCTCACAATACCCCTCCACTTCCCCCGGCGCAAAAGCCGTCTTCCAGAAGACAGATGTAATGGACTGGATGCAGCTAGACAAGATGTTCGAGGTAGCAATCGCACATTTCGGAGGCGCAGACATCGTGTGTCCAGGAGCAGGAGTCTATGAGCCAGTTCGTCTCCCACTTCCCTTCCCACGCCCAGCTAACTAACATCCGCCTCTCTCCCACAGCCATGGTCCAACTTCTGGCATCCACCAGGAGCTCCGCCATCAAAGGACGATCCCGCAGACTCGAGATACGCCCTCATCGACATTAACATAACGCACCCGATCCGCGTAACCCAAATAGCAATCTCACACTTCCTCTCCCGCAAAAAGCCAGGCTGCATACCACACATCACATCCATCGCAGGTCAAAGCCCCTTCTTCCCGACGCCAGTCTACGTAGCCTCGAAACACGCACTCAACGGCTTCGTGCGCTCTTTAGCGCCCCTCGAATACCCTCCCTCACCCCTCCCTAAGATCCGCGTAAACGCTGTAGCGCCAGCGAGGATCTTGACGCCGCTGTGGACGGATAACCCGGACAAGATGCAAATGGTGGGGAAGGAACCTGGATGGGTGACGCCGGAGGCTGTCGCGGAGGTTATGTTGGGGCTGGTGGAGAAGGAGGAGTGGGTGGGGGGCACGATTATGGAGATTGGGAAGACGGTTAGGGAGGTGAGAGCTTTTGATGACCCAGGGCCGAGGGGGGGAGGGAATAACGTGGGGAATGATGTGGGGTACCAGGATGAGATGTGGGAGAGTTTGAAGAGACAGTTTGAAGGGGCGTAGCTCCTTGGTAAGTTGCAACTCTGGGTGGTCGATGGTTTTGTTTCTGCTCTGAAATTTGGGAGTTGATACAGTGCAACTTCCTGTCACTAAGACGGCCGTTTTTGGAAGAAAAAAAAATCCTTTTACAGACTGTTTTATTTTTTGCGTGATCTTTCTTCGACACCTTGGCAAGTGGCATCTGGGGACAGCTCGGCATATTTGCCTTTTCATAAAAGATAGGAACAGCACTGTTGTTCACGTTCAAACATCACGGATCAAGGGGGGAATTCTGCACTTCATTACTTAATTTGCAAAGAGCATTCAATACCTAATTAAGATTCTTTGCGAGGACGAAGAAAGCATCTTCATAACGTACAAATTGCCGATGCCAATTCCCAATCAGCCCCATTCCAAGCACAGAATCCAATGCAAGTATGCAATTTTGTCCATCTCATCAACCTTTCATTAAGTTCATTATTCCCCGTTCCCATTCGTTTCCGCCTTCGACGTCCCTAGACCGCACCGCTGTTAAATCCAAATCCAGCATTGCCCCTTTCTTCGCCCTTCCACCACTTACCATGCGCAATTGGTACCTTTCGTCCCTTCTTGACCTCCTCGCCCTTCTCTCTCTTCGGAACAAGCAAGCTCAAGACACCATTCTCCATGCTAGCTTTGACTCCCTCCTCGACGACTGGTTGCGGGAAAGCGAAGGTACGATGGAAGTCTCCGACCAAACGCTCGGAAAGCAGGATCCGGTGCTCAGACTGCAGCTGTTGGGAACCAGCAGCAGCGGTATAGGTTTCGTGGCGAGAATGATGGGGATGCACTGATTGCACTGGCTGAGTTGGTGGGGGAGGGAAAGAAGGACCGACTGGCGACACGGCAGCTTGCTGGTCTTCGTTGCTGGAAATTGGGACAGCAGGCTTGTGGTCAGCACTGCCCATCTCCTGCCCATGCTCATGGTCCTCCACCATAACCTTCACGAACTCCGGGTCCTCCTGGCCCTTTACCTCATCCTCCTCTCTAGGTCCAGGTCCAGGACGAAGTGTCTTGCCGTAAATGACTAGACTGTGGTTATTGTGGGCTTCAACTGTGATGTCGTTTACAACCGCTCCTGGGATGTCGCCGTAGAGGTAGTAGTTGTGTGCGTCCTCTTCCAGATCGAAACGCGGGATGAAGCAGTTCACGAAACGATGACGATGGGAGAAATGACGGTCGAATTCATCGATGTAATGAAGGATTGGAGAGAAATCTCTGTCAATCCCATTGCCGTAACCACCGCCGCCAGCTGCGAGTGAGAGTTGACTGAAAGGTGACATCTCTTTTTCCGAAATTGGAATTGAAGCATGAGAGAAAGTTTGAAGTTCGATTGAGGGATCTTCTTGGACTTTTGTATGAAATTCGAGGGATGATTTCAGGTTTTGCAAAAGGAAACGGATGTTGTGGAGGAAATGTGAGATGTTGGGTGTTGACATGGCCAGCGTGACGTATATGCCGGGTAACAAAGCCCCAGAACATCAGCCAACATATGATTCGTTTTTTTTTTGAACGACATGTGCAACGCAACGCTTTCACTTTCAATATAGTAGAATTGCCATGATCAGATCAGGCGACAAGGGAGCTGGACCTTATGACGTACCAGGGGTGTCAGGCTCTGCAATCAAACGCTGTATCAGTCCACTTCCCCCGCAAAGTCACCCCACAATCTCGCGATTGCATCACGTGCACCTATGGGGAATGCGGGCAAGCAAACAGATTATGCTACCACGCGCAGATCAGTAGCTTATAAGAGCTCGAGCTTGCCCTAAATTCCATTTCTTCCACCAAACAAAACCACAAAACTCAATTCAACTTACTTACCTTTATTCTGCGAATACCATACCTTCAAGTCAACACACCCCAATCAACCAACACAAGCAAGTATCATGGCTGCCAACGGAACCAACGGTGCGACCGAGGCCCCGGAATACCTCTTCCACGTCAAGCGCACCATCACCGATTTCGCCGAGGATAAGTCTGGCGCAACCCGCGTCACTGACATCTTAGGTACTTTCACCTCTCTGGCTGCCGCCAAGAACGCTGCTCGCGGCGCCCTGGCAGCAGAAGGCTATATCAAGGATGACTTCGAGGTCCTGGAGCAGAAGGACGAGGCGGATTCAGAAGAGTGGAAGCACGGCGATGGCTGTCTCGTCTTCGCCAAGGCTCCTAGAGGCCAGGAGTTCGATGTCCGCATTGATACCAAGCCCAATGTCTTGAAGTTGAAGGGCAATGCCAGTGGTGAGGTTGATGGTTTCTTGCACTATGGTATGTCGTTTCTCCCTTCCATTTCCCTCACTTTGGGTATTGAAGGTCTGAGTGGGTAAAGGAGGAGGCTGATGAAAGGTGAACAGTCCTCCAGACAACCATTGACTACAACAACGACCGCATCGGCGGCATCCAGCGCACCGAAGTCGAAGGCACATACCCAACCCGCAAGGCCGCCTTCATCGCCGCCCACACGGCTCTTCTCGATGACGAAGTCACCAAGGAGTCCTTCGCTGAGTACGACGAGAAGGAGCAGTTCGAGGGCGAGTGGCCATACGGCGACGAGGTCTTGGTCCGCGCTGTCGGCCACACGGGCGAGAATTTCTACGTCGCTGTCAAGGCCCAGCCGCACTCCCACAAGGGGCATGCTTGTTCTCATCATGGTGGCAAGACGTGCGAGTGTCCTTGCACGAAGACGGATGAGGGTTGCAAGCGGAAGGCTTGCAAGCATGATGGTTGTGAGGCGAGCAAGACTTCTCATTAGATGTTGCTTTTTTCGCACTTGCGTTGATGGCTAGTCTTTTGTTGAGTCTCTCGTTTTCTTTGGTTTGGGGAATTGATATTGGGTGCTTTTTGGCGCTGCATAAGGAGAGGCGTCTTGAGGAATGGATGACTTGAGAAAATGAAAAAAGCATCGTGAAGCCATGGACAGGTAATCGGCGACAGGATAATCAATTGCAGAAATGCAAAAATGTAACATAGTAAAATGCATGCGATGTGAATCAACCCGCCCCCGTGATTGTTGTGAAACGCTGCTGTTCACCGTGATGGATAATGTGGGAAAATTCGGGCCACTGGATAATAGTCGGACTTGACGTCGCGCTAAAGGGGCCCTTCCCTTTAGTCGGGGAAAGCAAGTTGTCCCGGGAAAGCAAGATGTCCCGCACCAGCCTTTTTTGCCTTCTAAAAAATAATATTAGGAATTAGCTATAGAAAATCTAATTAATACGTTTTATTTGCGATCTCATAGTTACCTATCGCATACTTAAGGGCTAAAGTTTTAAGTAAAAGAATACAAATTTATAATTAAGTAAAAGTTATAGGTCTAATACTTGCGAAATGGTCGCGAATAAATAATTCTTGCAATTTTTGTATTCCTCGCGATTTTATTATTAAAACCTTAATAACTCTCTACTCACATCTTTTTTTAAGATTTAGAAAATCGTATCTAGTTTATAAGGCTTATATTTTTAATTCTATTACTTAGAATTATTTAAAAAGATTAAGGTTTCAAGTTATTAAGGATTTTATTTGGTGCGGGACATCTTGCTTTCCCAGACTAAAGGGAAGGGCCCCTTTAGCGCGACGTCAAGTCCGACTATTATGTGATGAGGCTGATAGCGGCACACGCTTAGTGTGTTCTGTAAAGTACGCAAGTCCGCGGTCCACATGCGCAGACTTCGGAACAACCAATGAGAAATTCATTGCAGAAAATTACAAAAATGTTGGGGGTATACCTCCAAACGCCAGAATTACAAAATGAGCCCCTAAAGAAGATCCCCCATAACCGACCCATCATAAAGTACCAGTCGGACCGACCATCCTGGGAGTTGAAATCTCCTGTGCCGTCCGCATCTGTCCAACATACCCAGCTGCACCAGCCCTCAACTCAACATCCCTATTTGGCTTCGCACCTTCAACTCCTTCCCCAGGTTCCCCCTATCTGTCAAAAAAAAAGCCAATTTAAAAGTACCCCCAAGGCGTCCTACTAACCAACCCATGCTTCGCCTCCTCCATTGCCCTAACACCCTCGCTCCTCTCCCCTTCTATATCGGCACAATCCTCTCATGGCCCTCCCAATACCTCTCCTTCTTATCCCTCATAATAAAAAACCCCACCACCTCAAATAGATCAAAGGTCGTCAGGCGGAGTCGAGATATATATACCGCTGCAGCCATCTGGAGGGGCCGTATTTGGAGATGGGGGGCTCAATGAGGACCTCAAGGCCGCATTGGTCCGGCTTTATGGCCAAATTCTTCTCTATTTGGCGAGAGCAAAGGCGTATATTGACAAGCAAAAAGTTGGTTGGTATTAGAGCTATGACACTGTACAACCTGGGTACTGATTTAAGTATAATCCGTGTTGTTTTGAGTGCTTTTCGAGCTAAGAGTAAGTTTGAGACTATCATGAACAAAATCTCGCAGGCGTTTGACGATGTAAACAAGTCTGCAGCTCTCATTTGTTGTGAAGGTTCTTTACTTTCCTAATTTTCCATGCTGACTCCCTCCCGAAGTAGAGTTCTATTCTATTAACAACCCTGATTTAGAGGATTGCGCTCGGTATGGAGAAGTCAAGACCATCGTCGAAGCATAGCGTGCCACATTCAAGGGGACAAGTGCCTAACTCGGGAGGTTGGGCGAACCCATACTGCAGATTAAAGTTCAAGTGTAGAGTTTTGAAGATAACCTGGACAGTAAGGACCCAACCAAACCGGGTGAAGCACAGCTAACCTCGAATCTAGGCATGAGAAGAAGACAAATTCTTGATTGGATGTCAGATACAGGATCCAGAATCCATACTTGCTAGTATCGCTCGACAACTTGCTAATCTATCTCCATCATCAACTCTTCTTCCTCCTGTGGTCAGGAATACATTAAAGAGGGATAGCAAGGCAATGCGTCAGGAATTCTCAATATCGACGATGCTACGGACCTGATATTATAGCCTGCCGCCTTGTATCCGGTCACAATTATCATCATCGACGCACTTGACGAATGCCCAAGAGAAGGACGAGCTACACTCATCGAGTCCGTCAAACCAGTGGTCCGAAATTCATCCAGCCTTGCCAAATTCTTCATGTCGAGCCGTGAAGATGCGATATTGTCTTCCATCTTGGAGAATTTCGAAGTCTCAAAGATATCATCCAGAAAGAACCAAGTTGACATTGAGGCGTTTGTCGAAGCAGAAACTGGACGACTCGTACAATCGGGATCTTTGTTACGCCTTAGTCAGAAGAAGCCACAGATGATGGAGAAAATAATTTAAGGATCGCAAAGGATGCGCAAGGAATGTATGATTTGTGTTTCTGGGGTCGATATTTCTTACGGAGGGTAGAAGTGGTTGCAGGTTTAGAGAACATGTCAACGACCAGCCAATGCCACAAATCTCAACGACAGGTGCATAATCGGAAGATGTAATTAGATATATTGATATGGCTTCCGTAGTACTACTTGCCTGAATCAGTCTCAATTGTTTTGGAAAATTCCAGTTAAGTCAACCAATCTCCACCGAACGAGCCTTTTAAGCGAATGCATAAGGCTGTGCATCCTTCCTTTGCCGTAAACAAAACCAAGATGATTCCTGATGAAACATAATTTGCGTCAAACATTACCATTACTTCTTTGCGACTTCCTCGTCGTTGCGGTGGAGTGTTGCTACCACTTTGTCCGTCATCCGATCGTCAACATTCGGTGTGAAGCAAGCACAGATAACACAGCAAACGCTAAATGCAATCGTTGAAAAGAAAACAGTGCGGTATGCATGAGAGCTTGCAAGTTTGTAAGCTGCAATCCCTGTAGCCTCGATAGATGGAGTTATTCCCGGAACGTCAGTGAAAGGAGTTCCTAGAGAAATTGCAGACAGGAATGCCTTAACAGACGAAGCGGGCAACCCTGCCGCAATGAGTTTCGGGGGCACTTCACTTGGAATAGTCTTTCCCAGGCGATTAGTGAGGATGGCTGTATAAATAGCTGATCCAATTGTTGACACGGTAGAACGCTAACCATCTGGTTAGTATGGGATTCAATTGTTTTTTTTTTGTTTTTTTTGAGGGAGCTCATGAGCCGAGGAGCCATGCTCCTGAGACGAATGGACATGCAGACTCCTGGGAAGCTCCAGCGCTCTGAGTTCTCAAAGAGAAGAATGGTGAGTTGGCAGGGAAATAAGCTTACCATTGAGCCCCCAACACCAACGGCAGTTCCAATCTCAGCCTGGTCTCTGCATGTAATTCCGATAATAGTGGTGCCGACAGTCTCCACGTAGCCCATGCAGAAGCAGCCGAGGTAGAGTAATGGGATAATCGTGCTTCGGTTGTCTGGGGTCGCGCAGGCGCAAGCTGGAAAGCCAGGTCAAATTTGGGAAATAATTCAGGAAAGGGAAGGCTTACCTCCAAGGAATGTTCCCATACATGTCGCTGCTACGATTACTTGAATCCTCTGCTTCCCTAGCCGGCGGCAAATAAGACCGCAAACAATCTGACCGCTGTTTGTACCACATCCAGTAATGGTGCAAAGCAAGCCCCCGTATGTCAAGTCGTTCGTATACAACGAGAACACCATCGTCGGCCAGACAATAGAGAAGGCGAAATATACAGTTGCTCCAAGGGCAACCATAAACATGGTTGCCACCCATGGAAGGTTCTTGAAGAGGTACATGGGAACTAAGGGCTCCTTAAGCGGTACTAGAGCCTCGTAGAGAGTGAAAACAACCAGGGTGAAGAAACCGACGATGATTGTTGCAATAACCTTCCACCAATTAGCAACGTATTATTGAAGGCAAGAGAGATCCAGTAGCGAGCCGGGAGATGAAACATCCTCGAAAGCACAAGAGCAGGAGCTTGAGGTATGGGCAGAAAAATGGATTGCATACATGCGCAGATTTCCACGGATAGAGTGAGCCTCCCCAAGAAATGCCCATAAGAAAGATTAACAAACCACCGACTAGCAATACCAGTCCAATGAAGTCGAAATCCTGAAGAACTTGGCGTTTCGTCTTTCTATGTGCGTACTTTTGGTCGAATGTGGGCGGGAAATAGCTGTGTACTATTAGTACTTGAATCGCAGGGAGTAGCTTTTGGACTTACAACAAAACCCAGCAAATTACGGCCAAACCATTGACTCCAATCATGAGATAGTAGCATGATCGCCATGTGTGTTTTGTGTGCTGCACAAAGACGTACGCTATCGCTGGACCAAATCCCGAGAAAGGGACCGCCCAGGAATATAGGAATGTCATGCTGAGGAATCGATGCTTGAAAGGTATAAGTTCCCCCACGACGAATACGTACGAAAGTTGGGACGCTGCTGCAAATCCGACTAATACAGTTCCACCAATGAGCATATTGATACTCGTTGCGACTGCACTAATGACACAGCCCAAGAGAGCTAGAAGCTAGGTACCGGGGCAGTTAATAATTGCTCGATATAGATTGTTTCGGGAGTGGGTATTGTCTGAGGAGCAAATCATGAAACAGCTTCAAGTAGGAAAGGGCTTCTCCCTAACACTTACAGATCCTAATATAAAAAACCATCTCCGTCCAAACAAATCTGACAGACGGCCGACGAGAACTTGTCCAATAGCAAGAGTAAGTATATAGACCAGTGCAATCCAGACATAGTTGGGATCGGGACCAATATCATTGTTGATAATCCCAAGCAGTGGTGCTACAAGAGCAAATACCCCAACACCCTATCAAAAGTGAGTTTTGGTTATCTTAGAAGAGGGGACAGCGACATACCCCGGACACGGAAAGGCCAGAGGCCAGTAACGTTCCCACAAAGTAAGGTTTAAGGAAGTAACCTCTAGGCAAATCTTTGGCATCGATATCGGCTGCCTCGACTTGCTGGGTGGCGACAGAAGTTGGACCTTCTTTCTCATACTCTACTGGTACGGCATTTTCGCCATCGCTGCTTGACTTGGTGGCCATCTCGAGGAAGGACGAGTGGGTTCCACTTGTTCCAGAGATTTGCCGGAAACTTTGTTGCAGAAGAAGACTGGAGACCCGATAGAAGTCGTCCCCGTTCAGTGAAACTTGGGAAGAACAGATTCCGAGAGCCGAGTACCAGCATGTTTAAGGAGTGTGTCGCTCACAGCGCACGGGGAGAGCTGGGCTGCGCATCCGTTCCATGTCGCTTGGCATGCATGAGGAGGCTGCACTCTCGACTCCACACGACTGGAAATGGGCAGCCGGTGCTGGCACAGTGCCATCCCGGGCGGTGTATCGCGGCTCTTGGAGGGAGCATTGGTGTGGAGACCGTCGAGTTGAGATGTGCAGCCCCGCAGCTTGACTCGTAAGCGTGCTGGGAATTCCGGGGTCCAGGGTCTCATCAACGTACACATGGCGTGGGCTGAGAAGCTGCACCGCACAAGCAAGCTCATTGCTCTCAAATGGGCAGTGTGCGTGTGTGGACTTCTTGAAAACGGGTGCGCCGCTACTTCCTGTTTTCCAGACTGGCAAATTCCTTCCTACTAAGTATGTTCTTATGGTGCTCCGTAGACTTTAGGTTAGTAGAATACTAACTTTTTGATTCGACGTCGTTTCTTTTTTCTTTTCTTCTTGAGCCGTCCCCATAACTTCTAGCTAGTGTTCGGGACGGGAGGCGCCAAGGTAATGCGGGTCTAAGCGACGGCAGAATGCCTGTTGGTGCAGAGGCTGGGGAAGCAAGGAGCGGAGCGCCGCGGAACATCCTATTGGCCCCGACGTATGGAAGGCCCCTTCCTCAGCCCCCTGATTCTAATGATCGAAGATCGATCCCTATTATTGTCGGCGAGCATGAGAAATGATGACCGGGACAATGAGGCCAAGACGGCGAAGGGCAGACAAGTGCTGTCCCGAATCCCGCTGCCCGTTGCCCTCTCGCCCCGTCGGCCTATATACAGTACTGTACAGCCCCGCCTTTGAAACGCCTTAGAAATGCCAAGCCAGTGAACGACCTGCTTTCATGATTCTCTGCCCATTCCTCTGTCCTGGCTCGAATGTGCCTCATGACTGATCAATATCGTGTTCCTGGCGTGGAATTCAACATGTCGACCCCTCGAACCTCTGGCAATTCTTCAGACTCGGGAGATTCATCCAAGACGAAGCAGCAAGCCAAACGCTCCGTATCCCTTCTGACTCCGGCACAATTGCAACGAAAGCGCGCACAAGACCGTGAAAGTCAGAAACAAACCAGGCAAGTCAATTCAAGTCAACCCGGCCAAAGCCACTTCTCCCACAGCAAGAACCACAAAACTGACCACCTGTAGGGCACGTGTAAAGCAAACAATCGCAGAGTTGGAGAAACAGGTGGAATTTTTGACGCAAGAACTGCGTCTTACTAGACTGGAGACTGCCTCGCTTCAGCAGAAAAATCAGCTTTCACCTCCAGGAACGATTCCAGTAACCGCACCCCCACTGCCGATAACAAGTCTTGGGCACTATCCAGAAGGTATTGCTGCACTCATGGATGTTCAGGTGCGACAGAAGAGCTGCCCACCACAATATGGGGGAATGGGTTCCCAATTCTCAAACCCTTTCACTGTTTCAGGACCAGTCAGTACAGGTAATCTGGAACCACCAAGTTAAGGAGATATTTGCTCACAACCACATGTAGGACCTGCGCCCCAAACCGTACTTGATCCAAGTCTTTGCAATATATACACAGACTTCAAACAGCAACCCATATCTATCCAAGTTTGGGAGGCCAAACCAATTCATTACCCTGCAACCTGCGGCCTTGACAAAAATCTTCCTCGACCTTGTTCGGCAATTGAACCCTCTTAATAGTGTTGGGGGAAATGCTTATGAGTTTTCCACTTCCAAGTTTCCACAAGTCACGGCTCTTTTGAACCCACAGCAGCACTCAATTTTATATCCTGTAACTTCAGTGATCGTCCAGGTATGCGAAGAACAACTCAACTAAGGCAAGATAAGTGCTAATTAATTAGGAGGTAATCCGATGTCTTACAGTGGAAAGCCTTCCTGAACAGGTGAGTTCTTTACCCGTTCTCTTACCTAATACTGACACACGCAGATTGGAATCCTGTACGTTATGTGTCATATATTGCGAGTAAGTCGGCTCCGTATTTTGAAGTTTCGAGAAACTCATAGTAATATAATAGTGGATAATCACGGGCAGTGAAGAAGATTACTACGCAATGCCTGACTGGCTAAGACCTGGAGCCGCTCAACTCTGTACAGCTCATCCTATATGGGTCGACATAATGCCGTGGTATGTTCAACACTTCAAATTTTGTCGCACTTCACTTTTTCTATACCTCACGTTTGCTAGCACATGCTGAAAGGCTCTAGGCCTAAGTCGCGAGATAGATTGTGCCGAGACGCACATTATCACGATAAATTTGAGGCCCTCAAAGGAAGGGCCAATGAGACAATATCAGTCAATTGGCCTTACAAACCGGAAGATACTCTGATCCAAATGTCACCCACTGAATTTGCAATCAACCCTGTATTTACTACTCATATTCGAACGCTTAGCAATTGGACTTACGGACCAAGTTTCCTGAAGGAGTGAGTGCATACGAAGTACTGTGTGCCAAGAAGATCCGTGCTAAAAGAACATTCAGTTATCCCGACTTTGAGGGCGAGGTCAACATTGGACCGCCCCGATTAGTGCGCTGAATTGATCATTCGCCCAAAAAGAAGGGAACTAGCGTCGTGACAAGAGGTTGCCTTCATCGGAAGGAGAAAGCGGGATACTCAATGCGGGGTGCCTTCGTTCTGGCAAGAGCTCTGATTAGCTGAGTTCTGCGCGTCGGGCAAGTCATTCGATTCCAGACTCGTTTGACTCGTAAGCGGCCCAGCCTGACCGAAGGCACCGACATGCAGCGGCGGTGGCCGGACTGCCAACAACACATCAGTGTTCCACCGGGCAGCGGTTTACAATGCCCAACCGTCGACTATATTGCCTTCTTATCTACTTCGCATCTACTTCACATATACTTCGCATCACCGTGCTGTCCAGCATCTCATAGGCAATCATGGGTCTATTTTCTTGTCTTGATGAGAGCCGAGCTCAGCTCTGGGCTTCCTGGGGCTGGTTATCACTTGCATTTTTCTTACTGATATTTGTAAGTGACCCACGAATGGTAGCAGAGCAGGCTGACAAGAACCTATAGATCACGACTCTTCTCATCAGCCATGTTATTTACAATCTGTACTTGCACCCATTGTCCAAATTCCCTGGTCCGTGGTATGCTGTTGTTTCAGATGTAAGTTTACAGTCGATACGCTGGGGAGACTATTGATTTTCACAGATTTTTTACGCCCACACCACCATCAGTGGGTCCGGAACTAAGGCTATGAGAGCACTTCATGAGAAGTATGGTGTGTACCATCCACTGAACCGACATAAGTGTTAGGCTAATAGTTGTTAGGTGAGGTTGTTCGCATTGCTCCACGTGAATTGTCTTTCTCTTCAGCGACTGCCTGGAAAGATATCTACACACAACGCAAGTCGGGCAATGTCTTTATAAAGGACAAACAGTTCTATATCACCGATAATGCGTAAGAAGTGAATTCTATTGGCTGGATCAGGAGTGCTGAGTGAGACACAGGCTTCGTGCTCCGCATATAATCAACACCATCAACGTCGAGGAGCACGCAAAAGCGAAGAAAATACTTGTTTGTCTCATAGCACATTCAATTGAACCTGTCTGACTTTTCAGTCCCATGCATTCTCTCCCAAAGCTCTACTTGAGCAGGAGGATATGATTTTGAAGTATGCGGACATGTTTATGGTGGCTATTGCAGAAGAGTCTTCCAAAGGTTCTCTGAATCTCACCGAATGTTACAACTGGGTTACGTTCGATAGTAAGTAGACCTTAGGGCTTGCTGCACACCTTCCTAATTCCAATTAGTCCTCGGGGAACTTGCGTTCGGTGAGCCCTTCGGCTCAGTGGAGACAAGGAAAACCGATGAATGGATCACCACGATCCTAAATATGGTGTTCTTTATTGCCTGGGACTCTGCGATCTATCGCGTATCCCCGAGGCTGGAAAAGTTACTGGCGCTTATCATCCCACCAAAGATCAGACAAGGTGCCCTTAATCACGTCATGCAATCCAAAGCAAAAATCCTGGCTCGAATGAGGAAAGGCGAAGGGGTGAGAAGAGATTTTTGTTCTTATATCTTTAGAATAAAAGACGACATGGGTCTTAACGATTGGCACATGGCTGCCTATAGCAATGCTCTGATACTTGCTGGCAGTGAAACGTCAGCAACTGTCTTAAGCGCGTTGACCTACTTCCTTTGTAGGACACCACGTGCCTACGAAACGCTAAAGAAAGAAGTCAGGGCGAGGTACAAATCTTCGAGCGAGATCACTAGTTTGACGGCAACATTTCCATACCTGACTGCCGTTATTCAGGAAGCGATGAGAATGTATCCTCCGGTACCATTTGGGATGCCGCGAGTGGTTCCAAGAGGCGGCGAGACGGTGGATGGGCTCCTCATTCCGGGAGGAGTGAGTCTTTTCGCTATTGGAACTAATCAATTAAGCTGAATTCTTTCTAGACAACTGTCAGTGTCCATCCATGGGCCGCGACTCACAATACTAGGAACTTCCAAGATCCAGATAGCTTCACTCCTGAACGTTGGCTTGACTCGGGGAGCACAGATAAAATCTCGGCCAGTAACCCTTTCTCTCTTGGACCGAGATCTTGCATTGGACAGAAGTACGCCTTTCAAATGTTGTTCTGCCTAATACTGACTTGAAAATAGCATGGCATGGATGGAGCTGAGAATATTGGTCGCAAAAATGGTGTTCTTGTTTGACTATGAATTGGTTGATGATACACTTGACTGGGTGAGGGATTCCCCTACCTTCATTCTTTTCAACAAGCCCAAGTTGTGGACCAAAATTACGCCGAGGGATGTTAAATGATTTTTTACATGATTGTCTGAATTCTTCTAAGTTTAGATTTCGAGGTGTTTCTAGGCAATAAAGAGATATACAAAATTTTGAACTATAAAATTCAAGCTGTCATATTTCAAATGATACTATTTAATAGATTCCATGTGCTACGTAGCTGGAATAATAATTCGTCTCGTCGAGTATTAAGATAAGGGGAGAATTGGAGGGTCTGAACTTGCGAGGATGGTCTTATGGGGCGTCCATGCCGAGTAAAGTATTTTGATCTATCAGATTCAGAAGCTGTTCTCCTCGGCGAACACATTCTTTACCACCGCCGGACTGGAATCACAACTCACATGATCGAAGAAAGTTGTATTTCTGAAAGCACCATAAGACATCGAAGAATTATCCCACTCGTGTAACTGCATCCATTTATGAATGATCGGATTATGGCACCCAAAGAGTTTCAACCCACAACGTAAAGCACTGAATGAAGTAAGTAAAATTAAATTTTACTATTGTTGTGAATAATCTGATATTCCTCTCGGTAATAGTGTCCCCTAGGAGAAAATGTCCGTGTCCCGGTTCCCCGAAAATGCCCTCTACCCTCTCTAGTGCAGAAAACAAAATCTTGATTTGTGCATCGCAGGACTTTTGATCCGGAGCAGCGGCGACGCCATAGAAGCAACTATTAATATCGGTCTGAATCCACCATTGGTCTCCTCGACCGCCGATCTCCAGGAAGCAGGGAATCAAAGATTTCCATATGTAGTTAGGAAGGAGTCGCTGGGTACGATGGCATGCGAGTTACTAACTTGATGGGCTTCCTTAGTAGTTAGTACGCAGCTGGGACTCTCGGGTTTGAAACTCTGCTACGTTGGTAAGATGAGCACAGTTTACATTGCGAACGTCTACAAGGACCCGTGTGCAATACCATCTTCCTGTCTTCTTTGATATGGTGCGGGGTTGTCTATTAACCTTGTCCAAACAAAGGGTTTTCCAATTATGCCAGCCTTTGGCCCGCTTTGAATTCTATGCTACTCCCAACTAAGCGACAAAGAACGCCAGAGGCATCAATCAGAACCCAGTCTTCGTGATTCAGGCCTAAAAAGTTAAAACCCATCACAGAACGCTCTGACCATTTGGTCGTGGAGGCCTTACTGATTAGGTAAAGTGGGTCAAGGGCCTCGGCACGACCAAAACAGCCTGGCGTGCGAAACCAGTTGCGAAATTGCGATTTTTAAGTTTTGCGAGAACTATGATTCAGGGACTACCAAGTACGCCACGATATCTTATTTAAATTATAAGCCCGCTTATAGAACAGGGAGCAGCTCTCGGTTAATTTCAGCCCACGTGCTTGCTTCTTAGAAGCGTAGTTATAAAGTTATTCTAAGAACCATTTTTTATACCTTACTCCTCAATTTTTAATGAGCTTTTCTAATAATTTATAAACTCTATACTTAATTCTTATTTAAATTACTAGTCTTTATAGAGGATTAAAAGTGAGCAAGTCTTAGTTAATTTGAATTTGATTGCTCTTGTTTCTAAAACTGTAATTATAAAGTTATTAATAAAAAGGGCTCTTTTCCCTTCTCGTAACTTAGAAACTTTAAGCAAGTATAATAAGCAAATAAGACAAAAATTGCTTTTATTAATAACTTTATAATTACGCCTCTAAGTAAGGCATATATAGGCTTCAATTAACCGAGAGCTGCTCCTCGTTCTATTTATATAAGTACTAAGAGTTCTATTAAGAATTGAGTCCTTTGTGGTTTACTTCGTATCCATTTCGGGTTCTACCCCTCGCTTCGAAATCGATTTTCGCACTAGTTTCGAACGCAGCTGAAACCGGCACTTGGCTAGCGCAAAAGGAACACGAAAATCTCTTAGTCTTGACAAATACTTTATGTGAAGTATCATGCGATATGAAAGAAGCACAGGTATCTATTCTTGTGTTGTAGTGATTATTAAATTCCAGGGAGACTTTATTGCGGCTTTTTGAATACGAGGGAACGATTCCGAAAAGGTCTCGCTTAGCGGAATGCCGATTTTCAAAGCCGGTCTGCCTTCGCAAGGTAAATGTTGATGGTTTGTGACTCGCTCTTCGAGCAGTGCAGCGGTCCTGAAACCCCTCTGTATCTAATCTCCCTTCCTTGCGACAGAAAATGTGAGCCTGTGTCATGGATTTCGTGGGAGACTGCTCCAAGCCGCGAGTAATGAGCTCGTTTTCCTTGCGAAGAAGTGCCGGTGTAGGTTGTGGTAAAATGCCGACCAGTGACTGCCGAGGTCCCATCCGTTGGCAACGTGACTCCGCATTTATCAAGAATGTGGCGCCGCCTACGATACTTTTCTGGGGATATTTCACTGAAGGCGCCTCGCCATTTTTTGTTTTTTTTGTTTTTCGCTCCTTCCTTCCTCCTTGCGATCCCAATTTTCTAAGCAATAAGAGCACAAAATGTCATTCTTTACATATATCCGTCTCAAGGCAGTCGCTACTTTCCTTCGATTCGGCATACCAGCTATACCTAAGCCACAGACTGATGGTGTTCTTCAAATTCCATCTCGGGATGATGGCCGAACAATCAAAGTCTACGTCTACAAACCAAGCAATCCACAACCAGGGCCATCTCCTGTTCTCCTCAACTTCCACGGCAGCGGCTTCATTCTCCCATTACATGGCAGTGATCAAGTCTACTGCCGCCGCATCGCAGAAAACACTCCATACACAGTGCTCGATTGTGCATATCGCTTAGGCCCTGAATGCCCATTCCCTGCAGCACCCAATGATGTGGAAGATGCCATAAAATACGTCCTTTCACGCCCAGAGGAATATGATCTCACTCATGTGTCAATCGGTGGCTTCAGCGCAGGTGCAAACATGTCACTTGCCCTCGCTGGCCATGTATTTCCGCCGAAAACCTTCAGATCAGTCCTAGCTTTCTACCCTCCGACCGACGTCTCCGTTGACCCATACAAGAGAGTCCAGCCGGAGCCAGCTCCGACTAATGTCCCGGCATGGATCGTGGCAACGTTCAACGAGTGTTATTTCAAGGGCCAGGACCCTAAACACCCGTTGCTTTCCCCGATGTTTATCGATGCGGCGAAGTTTCCAGATAATATCTTGATTATCACGTGCGGTCAGGATCCGTTGGCGTTTGAGGGCGAGGAGTTCGCAAAGAAGCTGCAGGATGGAAAGAGACATGTGGTCACCCAGAGAATCCCTGGCGTAGGACATGCTTGGGATAAGCAGGTTGAGGCAGGGAGTGTTGCGGAGGAGAAGAGAGATGAGGCGTATGCTTTGGCGATCGAGATGCTGAAGAGATAGGCCACTGTAATTTAGAACAAGCTTTCAGATACTGTACCGACTCTCACAGCCTTGACTAACGAGCTCGATTCCGCCAACGCATACAAATTTCGCCCAGTTAGCTTTCGCTTGATGATGGTAGTATATTTTACCTTCCAATCTCGCATGCAAAGATCCCTACCCTGGCAAGAGAGAGTTGCCGTGCAACGTAAGCCACCTGAGCGAGTTATACCGATCTGCAAGGGTAACTACCCTACCCATCACCACAAACACCACCAATATCTCCTCCCTCTGTCGATTCCTCTCGTAACAGCCATTCAAACGACTTCTTGGCGTCGTAAGGGCCGTGACCTCGCAAACTGAAGTATTTGGAAGCACCACGCTGTAGCCCCCGCCAACTCGGTTGCTCTTTCGGCAGCGTTGCGTTATGTTCATTACCTCGAGGCTCTCGACGACAAAGGGCGTCGGCTGCAGCCACAACCCTAGTCTCCCCTTTTCTGCTTTCCCCATCCAACCTTACCTTAGGAGCCAACAGAGGGGAGGATCTCCTAGAACTTTTGTGATCTCTAGAGTTACTAAGGTTCAGACACGGAGACATTGCTGTGGAGGACCCAGAAAAGCTACAGAAAGACGGAGTTCTCCTTCGGAGATTGAGGTATGGGGTTACACTCCGACTCTGCCCTCTCTGTCCTTCCCTAATTATCATGGCAGAGCGCGAACGGGCGCGCTTGATCTCGGCGACCTTACGCCACGCCTTGAGGTAGCATCCGCCGACAGAGAAGCACCGCCTCAGCCATCCTCCTCTGCATCCTCTGCTACGGCAATATACGAGGAGGAGGAAGAGTATATCCATGATCTACAGAAACAGCCCTGCCGCGCGGTATCGGTACGTGTGGGGGAAGGCGAGCATTAATGGCGCGGTTTAAATGAACATAAGTAAACCTTAAGTTAAGGCGTTTGCGATTTTTGGTCTGGGTTAAAGAGTGCACCGTATCAAACGCAGCAACGACGGACTCACCGACGCTCGCTGAAGCCATTGTTGTGAATAAAGATGTCCAAGCTGCGAAAATGGCCGGAAGGTTTTCAAGAAAATAAGCAAGTGCATTATCTTCCACCAGGCTGCTAGCAACGTTACGTATCTGACCAGGCATCAAATCCTGTTTGATGCTCATCGGGAAGAGCGACCTCCTTCACCTTCTCCCTTTCTGTCACTGCACTGTTCACCAATCCCCTCGTTTAGTATGATATCTGCACTTCCAAACCTGGAGCGACCCATACACGGTCCCAAAATTGGTTCGTAAGATTATTGCGGGTCGAGAAGGAGAATCCATTCCTTCTCTGCCGACGAAGGAGGCAGCTATAGAGTGAATGCCATACGCGCATTAGCTGCCAATATACATTAATATGCACACATTGGTACATACAAAGTAATATATACAAGCACTTGCCACCGCCTGCTGATTTCGGTTAGTGTAGCCCCTAATCGACACCCTTAATCGACACCAGAGGGCGGGGGACGGGTGGGGGGATCGTTTTACTTTCCCCTCCTCTCCCCCCGCCCCCTTAAATACTCGCCTAACCTCGCTTATAGCCACCATTCGTCAGCGTAGTTTGCTCAGCTACCAGCAACTTGGACGCTCATAATAACAAATACACAGAACAAGATTGACGGCGAATTGCTGGCTGCTGTGGAATTCCTTACACCAAACACGGCCGGCTACGCAGCCAAGTTCAAAATCAGAGGCTTCCTAACGGAAAGCGTTGTTCTCGCCTAGCAAAGTGGATTTGGACACTGCTTTCAAGCATGATTTGCATGATCCTCTGTAGTCTCCTTCACCTTTTGGCGCACTCAAATGTGGGAGATGCTTTTCATTGCCAATCTACAACTGCATGAATCCACCGAATATTATGAGCACTTCGTGATCCTTATGCTCTGAGCCAAATGCTCTCGACTTTCCAAGTCACTATTAATTCTTAAATTCGGTCTCATCTCATAAAGCCTCCAACAGATTCTTTGACTAGCCTATCTGAGGCCAAAACCTAATCCCATTGACGGCGTCGGCGTCCACCGGGCCGGTATCTTCCTAACACTCTTCCCCCCTTTCGCTGCAATGTAAGATTACATTCCCATACAACCATAACTCAACCCCTTAGGAACCCACTCGTCAAAGAGCTTCCCCAACGGGTAGGAGTTGTCTGCGGGTCAAAAAATAGGGCAGGCTCCGGCGCTTCCAGGGGATTGGGTAAGCTGCGTACAGTCGAACAATGCCATCTCGTGCTCGGTGAAGCTGATAGAACTTCTTGCGGGTCAGCCCTAAGCAGATAGAGCTGCCGAGGGAGGGGCTCTCTTGGAGAATCTCGAAGAGCAGGAGGTGGGTTTCAGGCGGGATGCTTGGCAAGGACTTGGATGTTTGGGAAAGACTGGGTTGGTTTGCGAGAAGTGCCTGCTGGAGCATTGTATTTAGCAACAAATTTACGGGACTATGAAACCATTCGGCAAAAAATAGGGAATGAAGGTAGCGTACCGCTTTTGTACAGTACCCCTTTAGATAGGCCATTAGCCAAAACATGTTACTTGGTAATATCAAGTGTGGGAGCGTCACTAAAGTCGTGGGCTGCGAAGAGAGGAGCATATCTGTTCTCGCTAATGAGCGACATTGTATGGAGATGGTAATCTTCTATTGATTATTGTGTTATTGCTGGAAGAAGAGATTGTTCTCATGCTGCCTTGTCTTGCCTTTCCTTCCGTTTGCATTGAGCTTGCTCACTAGTTTGTGTTTCGATTTTAGAAGAAAAGGAAGAGGTTCGAGGAGCTCTACGTTTATACATGGAAAACCTCAAAGTTGGGGGTCTGGCTAAATATCCTGTGGCTATTTACCATAGGGTTTTCATGGCCTTCAGTGATCCAATCCGAGCACAAATTTATAGGGGTAATTAATCCACTTGCACTCGAAATTTGGACCTTTGAATACGAGGTGAGCTAATGGGAATCTTTGTATATTTGCAGACGAAATATTACAAGATAGAAAGCAAACGCATAGTGATTGATCCTAACGTGACTAGTGAATTAGGTGTTAGTTAATAGTTCTGATAATGTTTGGTGTTTGCGAAAGAAGATGCTTTGGGGTTACACAGGTCACGTTAACAATTTGGTAGTCCGCGGAGGCGAATCAGGTGATTAACATCCCACAACCCGGATTCAACTACTCCATTCTAGAATATGCAGTTGTGGTATTTGTGCTCTTCTTAACTACTCTCACAAACTCTGGCTTTGTCTTAGGTTAACTTACAAACTCATTAAGAAGACCAACTTGACGAAGCGCAGTCGAGAGAAACCCATCATGGTTGACGCACTCTCTCTAACCACCTTTATTTACTGTTCTCGGATTCAAAGAAAAGAGGAACTGGTAACACAAGTCAAATAAAATAATAGAGTTTCTCTACCAAATCCTGCTCGGGCAAGTTGGTATCTTACAGTACACTGCAGCACTGGCTACTTCGTGTAATGTGATTGGAAAGGTTAAAAAGGACGTAACGTTTCCATTCCTGCACGTTCGGGCCCTTTAATAGGCTCGAACGAGCTTACGTGATTCCACGTGGAATTAGATTACATACAAAAGCATAATCAGAAATCATATCCTCCCCTACTTAAAAGCGAACTTACTCCTGAAGTTCGTACGAAAAGAGAGAATATTAAAACCATTTGCCATAATTCTGTATTAATCGAATTCCTTTTTATAAAAGAAAATTGCAAGGCTCCTCAAATAGCTTCCTTTTATCCCAAGGTTCTTTCGTCCGAGGGAGTTCTTGCTATTACCCCTTCTATATACTAAACCGGATAAAAAGGGTCTATTTTCGTATGTTTTTGACCTGTACCCTACTCGTACCTTTCTTTTCTAGCTCTTGCCAGATTCGTTCGAGTATAACCAAGGTTCATTCGTATTAGGAAGGTTCGTTTAAGCATATTCCAAGTAGTTCTATCTTAGTAATTCCCATTAAACGGGCTAATTAGAGCTCTGGAAATTCGCCCAAGCGAGTATAAGAAAGCCTCCTTTACTTATTCGTAATCCTCCCTCCTTTCTATTAATAATCTCCATACTACTAACTCAAGTCTTTGTGTTTTGGTTACTTTACAAGTCTTCCAAGATTTTCCATATACTATTCCCTTTTCTTTTAAACTATTTCCTAGTTTAATTACTTGCTCGTATCTACTTCTCACCTTCTTCTTTCTTTCCTTTTAGCTTCTGGCTTTTGGCTTCGTATATAAGTTAGTACTATAAAGCTTCTTTACCTTTTTCTTATTCTCTTGGTTTATATCTATATTACTTTTATAGCTAATATAGATATTGCTTCTAGTAGTTATACTACAGGTTTTGAAGGTAGTAGTTCTGGTAGTAGAGGCAAGCCTCCTTATTATTCTAGTATAATTAGTAGATATAAGGATTCTATAAGTTATATATTCTGGTTCCTTATTTAGAACTAACTTTATATAAAGAGAAAGCTAAGCTAGTAAGAAATCGAGATTAAGACTATCTTTCGAATAATTTATTTAAAGGCTTCTTACTAGCTTCGTATAAATATCTAAGTTTATTAAGAACTTAGCTAGTATAAGAAGAAATTAATTAATTTCCGTAATTATTCCTCTATACCTAAAGCTAGTTTTCTTTAGATTATGGGACTAGTAAATAATTAAAAATATACTTAATATAAGAGAGAATTAGGCCTATTCTCCTAATATATTTCTTTTTACGAGTTCTTAAGTAATAAGGTTCCTAATTCTCCTGCTAATTTTCCTCTTCTATTTGGTAGCTCTTATATTAATTATTATTAGAATAGCCAAGGTTCTTTATATTCTCTTTATTCGGGTAAAGATATATTTCTCTCTTTAATTTTTCCCTAGTTTAGGCTAAGTTCTAGCTCTAGCTTCTATTTCTTCTTATTATATTCGTATGCCTTTATACTAAAGCACTTTATATAATTATACTCGAATTAGATTCCGGTTTAATTTAAATATCCCTAATAGTATTAAAGTAGCTATAAATAAATAATAAGGTATTATTAATATTCTTTAATATTAAGGAAATCTTCTTGCTTTAGGTTATGTAATTCCTAATATTAGGGAAAACTCT